AAATATCTAACAAATGAGGTTCTGCATCCAAAGTCATGAAAGTTGTATTACTCACTGGACCCAGGGCAGGTAATTCAATTAATCACCAGTAAATTTGGGCCCATTGGCCTTCTGATGTTGGGCCTCGTGCCTTTTTTTTTAAAGCGGTGTGGTGATTTGATTTGGAGGGGAAGAGGCGGGAAGGATTTTTTTTTTTTTTTTTTTTTTTTTTTTTTTTTTTTGGATGGTTTTTTAGAATGTTTTTTAAATTCCTCCCCTAACCCTAACTGAATATAAACGATATCTGCAGCAAATTACCTGATGTAAACTATTAGTTAATGTTCTTTGTTGGGTTTTCTTTTCAGCTTTATTATCGAATTTACGTTATTATTTCCGAGAAAACTTCATACTGTTGCTGCTTGCTTTGTATTTGGTGTTACAAATCAAATTATACTCAACTGTGTACAAATACAATTGCACGCATTTATGTAAAAAGCTATGTTGGTCTTAGAGGACCTTATAATAGTCTACTTTTGCGAGCAAAGTTGATAGCTTTGCAAATTGCATGAATTATTTGGAGACAACTTTGTTACATTCTACAGACATGGGATCCACCACCAGGTCCTCAGCAAGAAGCAAACAGGGGAACACACAACACTCACATTTTTATCAGCTTATGGAGAAAAAGAGAATCCCACAAATCCCTAATTCTTCTTTCTTGGGATGGGAAGAATGACCAAAAGAGTGGGTCAAAAACACTCTCAACTGCCCCTCCCACCTGTATTGAAAAAGCGCACACACAATGATTGGCTGTCTAGCTGGAAATAAATGGCTATAGCCTATAACATGCTTACTCATAATGCCATGTTATACAGCTGCACAACATGCAATAATCAATACCAGTAAAGAAATATGAGAGAGAGAGAGAGAGAGAGAGAGAGAGCGCTTAAATGAATTGTTCTTTCTCATTTGTGTCCAAATAAACATACAATACAGTGAAGTATAGCAACCAAAAACTAAGAAAATAAAACAAGTGTCTACTTCTAATGTATAAGCTCCTAATTCACCTAGCCTTCTGTTTAAGAACATGACGCAACTGTGATTTCTGGCTTTCTATTTTTGCATCCAAAAGCTTGACCTTCGAACCATTCTTTTGAGTGGCTCGAGGCCATTCGATGGACCCTTTCATCCCTCGAGTTATGTGTGGATTCACTGTGTCTGTTGGGATCCTCTGTCCAGCTGAATACCGGTGTGTAGTATCATGTTCAAACAACCCTTTATTTGAATTTTCTCCCCAACGTGATGTTATCCCATTTGAAAGCCTCCCTTCACCCTCATCAAAGCCTATCTTATAAAGCTCATCATTGCTTGGACATGATCCCCAAAGCTTAGATGCAGAAGATGTCTTGCGCTTTGATTGCTTCTCTGATGCTGCGCATACCTCACTGATTTCCCTATCTGGAGAACATTGAACTGCATTATCATTACTATCACTAAAGCTCCTTGAAACAGTTTTTCCCTGGCCAACCCTGTCAATTGCGGGATTACCCCCTTCCAATGAATCACAAGAACCTCTGGCATCTTTCTGTAAACAACTATTATAATCATTATGGCAATTCAACTGCTTTAACAAATGAGTTTGGTTGAACCCATTATCCTCATGGCTAGGAGTGTGGCAAATGCAGGGTTCAATCTCCCTCTCACTACCTTCACATCGCCAGAGCTCTTCAAAAACAGAGAATATATCATTTGATTTTGGAGGAACATTAGAAAATTCTTCAATACCATGGATATTCAATGACTTAACTGCCTGCAGGATCAACTCAGCTTTTCTTAACTCCGTCATATCTAGAGTGCCAAACCTTGACCTTAAGAAAGTTTCAACATCTGTTATCAGCTTGTTCAACTGACAATATTTATCTTCAAGAGTTAGTTTTGCATCGATCAGCTTCATCTGGACCCGTTCTTCACGCCAAACCTCTGCTATCTGCAACATCTTCCTCTCTTCTTCCACTTCTGCAACAATTTTCTTTGATTCTCTCTTCAATGCTTCAACTTCAGCCTTGTCTTCTCCAATTTGTTCAGCTAGTTCATTCGAAATTTCTTGCATGAGTTTTCTGCTCTTTTTCTCTTCCTCATATTTTTTCATGAAATGCTCCGCAGAGAACTTGGCACCTGCTAATTGATTTATCAGATTGGTGTTAAGGTTTTCCACCTGCTGACGACTTTTCCTTTCCCTACCTAATTCTTCCTTCAATTTGTCAAGAGCACGATTTTTCTGCTGTGCTCTGCTCTTCCAATAGATTCTTTCCTCTTCTAGCTTCCTCAAAAAATGTTTGACTTTCTTCTTAAGGGACTGCCGCTTAGCTTCTAGTGCAAGAATACACAATCTAGCTTCCGTTAGTTCTGCATTCATTGTCGAAACAACAGAGCCAGTAGTAACTGGCCTATCTTTGAGAAGCTTCACAAGGTTGTAAAAACGATAGATGTCATCAAATTCTTTTGAGCCGCCAGGGCTCCACTTTGTTTCCCTCTCTGATGCACATTCGGGATATGGCGAAGACGGTTCAAGCTAGAAAATCAAAAGAAAATGAAACATAAATACTAGAAGTTCAGAATTTAGGTATTGAAGCTTGAAATCTTAATAATTAGATAAGTCAAAGTTGTATAAGACATTAGGTTGCTGAGCCGCAATTTTTTTGTTGAGGCTAAGGGCAGGCGAATATAAAGTTTTTGCATAACTGAGACATAGTTTGACAAAGATCAATCCTTTCCTTGCCCAATGATGAGTTCAATATTAATATATTCAATTTCAAGGCATGAACCATAATGATTGATTTCAAAGTCTTAAAATCTATGTAAAACCTCTAACAATTTGACAAAACAAAATTGGCTTTAAGATCTGAACCCAAAATTGAACATATCCAAATGATAGCAATGCAGTCATTCTCTCTGAATTTCCTACAATAACCATTTCATATGCAAAATTATACATTTCAAATAAACAAACACATAGCAGAGTTCAAACTCACAGTGGCAGTCACATAACAGAGTCAAAAACGAAACTTTTACAAAAACTACTTGAAAATCGAATCAGAAATACCTGAAGCTGAGGCGGAGGAGGATCAGAAGGGCCAGAATTGAACTTGAGGTCTTGATCCCTTGAAATTTCGTTAAAGCGCAATTGCCAGAGCCCTGCGGCAAGCTTCCGAGCGGAGGCCTGGACGACACCGGTGGTTTTGTCGTCGTCGAACTTCCAGTGAAGAAATGGACTTGACGGGGGTCCGAAATTCCGGCGCCGGTGCGTCCAAGCTTTCCGGCGACGGGAATGGGCACCGCCTGACTGGTTCATTCGGTGGTCATCCGAGTCTCGGTTTTTGTGTGCTTTGTTTGCTGTTGTGAGTGAGAGTGGTTCCAACTTCCAATGCTTTTATAAGGAAAGGAAGGATGGTTCATTGTCTACGTGTCTGTTTTTACTGTTTAGTCTATCATTTTACACTTTTACGTAGAGTCAAGGGCATGTTATGCGCTACATTATTTTTCCAAAACCCCGAGTACGCTTGAATTGAACATAGAAAACCATCACGTTTGCAGTGCTAACTAACAAAATTAAATTTCCATTAAAAAATGTTAGGAAAAGTACGGTTTGGATGATCCAAAATCTCAAATGTAATTAGTCATTTTAATGTGAAACACCTAACAAAAATGCTGCCATTATTAATTATTTATTACTGGCTAGTACGGTAATACAATGTTTAAGTAAAATTAAATTTTAAAATTGAATGGTAATGTCTCCATGTAAGTTGAGTTATTTACAAATCATATATTTACCGAATATCCTTCAATATATATATATATATATATATTATAATAGGTTTGTTGATTGTTGCCTTTCCTGCAGTGTTCTGGGTTTAATATGGGATATTGGAGATTGCAAAACATTTCTTTTATTCATCAACTTAAGGAAGTAACCATAGAGCTTTCCATTGGATCTAATGGAATTCAGTTTGCAAAATATGTGCTCGAGCATGCTCGGAATTTGAAGAAAATGACATTTTTTTCATTCACCTCAGCAGTCGAAAGCTGTAAGGAAGATAACAAAAAGCATGATTGCTTCCGGTACCAAACTTGTCTTTTTGGAGGATAGAGAAAGATGAAGATAATCATAATCTGAACAGCTCACCAGATGAAGGGTCATCAAGGGTTGTCTCCCCAAACTTCTAGAGAGCTCAATCAGATCAACTTTCATCTCTATGCTGTTCAATGTTTTGTTTGAATATAAGTGTACGTGTTATTTTTGTTTAACTCAACTGTGTACTGATTGACAATCCTAGACCATATGTGCTTTTTTTTTTTAAGTCAAAAGTCAACTACGTAGAGGTTCCACCAATATTTTAAGAGCCACATAATTTGATAGATTACATGAAGCTTATAGTTTTTGATTTTTTTAGTAGCTGCTTTTTGTTGCTAGCCTGTTTGGCTGTTTTGATTGCCACCCAACTCAGAAATTCTATCCCTGGAAATATGTTAAATCAATTCCATGGACAATCCAACATTAATGCACATGATGGATTTTTAGGGGATGATAATTTACTTAAGAACAGAGTGAATGGTTTTGATGAATAGTTGTTCATTTGTAACTTATCTTTTTCTACTTATTTTAATTTTAATTTTTTTATAAACTTGTTTTTAACATTTACAATAAAGACCGAGTATAGCCGTGCGGCTATACTATTTCTTTTTCAAAAAATTAAAAAACCGAGTACATCCGTACGGCTATACTATTCTTCTGAATAAAATAAAAAAACCGGGAATAGCCGCTTTTTAAAAAATTTAAAAAACCAATATAAAAGACTGAGTATAGCCGCTCGGCTATACAATTTATGTTAAATAAATTTGAAAAATGGAGTATAGCCGTCCGGCTATACTATTTCTTTTTAAAAAAAATTAGAAAACCCAATTCTAAAGCTTAATTTCAATCCAAGTGCAACCATAATCAGCTTATAGTCCTCCGGACAGCTTTATAATTTCATTTCATGGTTCTTAGGGCATTCATTTGAGTTATCTTGCTTTTGTTGTGATGTGTGACCATAGCAATAGTGCTTCCCCTGCAAATGCAAAGGAATTATTACATAGTAAAATAACTTACCTTAACAATGTGAACAATAAGAAAAGCCACAAGCATCAATAACTCCTTCCAGTAAATGTTGTGTGATATAGGTGCCTGGGTAGAGTTGTTCACAAATTCAATAAGACAGAATCTGAAACAACTTCAAAATTGCAGATAACCAAGAACTTGGAACTGACCTGCTCATCTTGCAATGAAACCACCTGCAACAGAGGAGATGTGCGCTTTAGAGTTTTCTTTTAGTTCATATTAGTGCATAATATCTAAACTTGGTCTATATATACACTCACGCCACGTTTGGACTCCAATTCCGACTACTTTTCTGCTTCCTAAAAGTCATGTGAAACCTCAAATTCCTTGTTAGTACGTTGGTAACAGACTCATTGATAGCCCAGGGGATCCGGACAGTTGTGTGAAAATCTTACCTTCTTCATCATTGTCTCTTTCTTCCATGTTTATATGCCTTTCATTAAAGCTTTTGTTGCTGTGCCACCCAGAACTCAGAAGAATATCTAATAAGATTATTGGGAGTGTATATTCTGTAGAAAATGTAATATACTTCTAATAGTCATAGCATATGTACTCATATCATTTGACAGATTCAAATAATTAAGCCTATGTAACATACTTCTTTATCTCCACCATGATTCCTGTTTGAAGGTAATACATAGAGATTTGAAGGTCAGTAACATTCTCTTGGATGAGAACATGAACCCAAAACTTTCAGATTTTGGATTGGCACGTATCGTTTAAGGCACACAGAGTCTAGCAAATACTCACAAGGTTGTAGGAACAATGGAAGCATCATCTCTTTCTTTTCCAATTCTCGGAAGTCTTCTTTAAAAATTAAATCCTTGAACACACTGTCACTCATATCTGAATAAATGGCCTAGGCGGGCGCTAGGCGGGGGCTAGGCGGTCTAGGAGGGCGCTGGCGCCTAGAAGAAAGAAAAGGCCATTTTGGAACTCCAAGGTCTGGGATGAGATGACGATGGTGATATGAGGCGAGAGAGAGAGACGACGATGATATTGAAGAAGACGAGAGCTTGCGTGTAATGTTTAGGGTTTATAAAAGGGCCTGGGCAAGAGAGAAGGGCCTGGGCTTCAGAAAATACAACATTAAATGGATTTTGCATTATGAAATCACTAAAGGAACCACTAATAAGTAACAAATAACAAATAAATATTCAATACACAAAATTTCAGGTATATCACGAATGCTGAGTATTGATACTACGTAGAATTCAAGAGACACTCTTCAAGAATATATCATAAACCAAGATCCATCGGAGCTATTCATCTATAATTTTGATAGCATATTGATCGCAATGAACAATATCAACACAGCTACAGTAACAGATAAGGACATGAATATATGAAGTGATTAATTTGTAGGTACCCTACGAGAAGGGAAGGAAATAGCAGTAAAAGGACTATCTAGTAGCTCAGGGCAAGGCATAGAAGAGTTAAAAAATGAGACGTTGTTGATCTCCAAGCTCCAACATAGAACTCTTGCTAGGATCATGGGCTGCTGCGTCAAAGAAGATGAGAAGATACTGATTTATGAGTTCATGCCAAACAGAAGCTTGGACACTCTTCTACTTGGTTAGTTTCATTGGACTTTATCTTCGTAAAGAATCAAAATTATTTTCGATTGATACAAAGAATCACTGATTTATTTGCAACACAAACAGTCAAGCAAGACATCCTGCAGATTTAATGCACATATGTAAACTGGATTGTACACTACATGAGTACGTTTCAGTTCTTTATAAAGTAGAAGAGACAATGTTAAACTAGACCTGAAATCAATTTTGAATCTGATTACACCCTTGTTTCACTATTGTTCATACAAATACGTCAGTATTTTCTATAGAAATTTAAACGTAAAAATCTAGTGACAGTGTCATTGGTCAATGCATAGGATAGGATATATGAATGAAACTACTGGTTATATTTCGAATGCTTGCATTTAAAAGATCCAGCGCGGAGACCTGAGCTTGATTGGGGCAGACGCTTCAATATTATTCAGGGTATTGCTAGAGGGCTTCTTTATCTCCACCATGAGTCTTATTTGAAAGTAATTCATAGAGATTTGAAGGGTCAGTAATATTCTCTTGGATGAGCAAATGAACCCAAAAATTTCAGATTTTGGATTGGCACGTATCATTCAAGGGACACAGAATATAACAAATACTCAGAAGGTTGTGGGAACGCTGTAAGCGTCATTCCTTTTCCTATTCTTGGAAGAACATCAAAACTTAAATATCAATGTTCAGCATATTGCCATTCATATCCATATATTAGTGAATTAATACGGAACCAGCAGATAGTCAAAGATAACATGTAGGAAATCAGGCTGTACCTAAACGTTGGGGTCCTACTTTTTATATTCAAAAATAGTATAGCCGCACGGCTATACTCTATGTTTTTCAACTTTTTTTAAAGGTAGACTTGTATTGACCCGTGGCGCCTAAACGTTGGGGCCCTCCTTTTTATATTTAAAAACTAGCAAATTAATATCTACAAAGTACAAACTAATGCAACTTGGAGGATTCTTTTTTCTTCTATTTATTTATTAAATAGTGTAGCCTTTTTAAACATTAGCGTATTTAAATAGTGCAGCCGTGCGGTTTTAAAAATAGTATAGCCAGGCGGCTATACTATTTTTGGACACGTGGCTCCTAATCGCTGGAGGGTCCTTTTTTTTTAAAACAAAAAAGAGTACAGCCGCCACGTTTGGAACAACTTCAAAATTGCAGATAACCAAGAACTTGGAACTGACCTGCTCGTCTTGCAATGAAACCATCTGCAACAAAGGAGATGTGTGCTTTAGAGTTTTATTTTAGTTCATATTAGTGCATAATCTCTAAACTTGGTCTATATATACACTCACCGCCACGTTTGGACTCCAATTCCAACTGCTTTTCTGCTTCCTGAAAGTCATGTGAAACCTCAAATTCCTTGTTAGTACGTTGGTAACAGACCTTACTCATTGATAGCCCAGGGGATCCGGATAGTTGTTTGAAAATCTTACCTTCTTCATCATTGTCTCTTTCTTCCATGTTTATATGCCTTTCATTAAAGCTTTTGTTGTTGTACCAACCAGAACTCAGAAGAATATCTAATAAGATTATTGGGAGTGTATATTCTGTAGAAAATGTAATATACTTCTAATAGTCATAGCATATGTACTCATATCATTTGACAGATTCAAATAATTAAGCCTATGTTTGTATAAGCGGTAGCAACTATCTCCAAAATGTTACCAACTGCTCTTTGTTACCAAGTGATGGTCAATTTTTCATTGTGAAGTGCACGGGATTGGGATGTATTAATGACATTACTGTTATATTTTGAATTCCAAATTCCAATGCCAGGAGGAGCAGTGCTTGATTGGGGTCGACGCTTCAAGATTATTCAGGGTGTTGCTAGAGGGTTTCTTTATCTCCACCATGATTCCTGTTTGAAGGTAACACAGAGATTTGAAGGTCAGTAACATTCTCTTGGATGAGAACATGAACCCAAAACTTTCAGATTTTGGATTGGCCCATATCATTTAAGGCACGCAGAGTCTAGTAAATACTCACAAGGTTGTAGGAACAATGTAAGCATCATCTTTTTCTATTGCAGTGACCAACATATAGGCTTCCTAGGTTATGTAAGCTCACACTCTAAATCTTAATTGTTCCACATTAGAGAACTTCTAAACATCTTTGAATTTCAATAGAAGCATCTCCTTTACTGTACATGGGTTGCTTCTAAAATAGAGCCAGATCATTAACACTAAAGATGATTACCACCCTATTAGAATCACAGACTTGCTGGCCATGGGAATCAAAATTTGTCCTTTCACTTTTTCACAAAAGGAACCTTTTAGGCTTCTGTTTCCCTGTTCAACTTGCTGCTCCTATCCAAATGAACTCTTAACAAAGCTTTTTGATCAATTTGGGGGTATCCAAATGTACTCCTAACAAAGCTTCTTGGATAATTTGGGGTTGCATATGATACAAGTGACAAAGCTTTGTGCATATTGTTATCATCTTCGCTGCTCATGACTGGAAATTCAGTTGAAAAAGTATGGAGATTCTAGAACCTGTTGAAAGTGAAAGTCGCCTCTATTTGTGGAGGTGTAGTTGTTGGATCTAGGTAGGTAGGTGTAGGTAGATCTTCCATCATATGGTATTGAGGGATTGTGAGTTTCCATCATAGGTAGAAGGAAGTTTTTTATTAGGGATATTTCTGGAATTGGTCTCTTCTTTGGTTTTCATTATATTTCCTTGAGAATACTAATGGGTTTCCAATGTCTTCTATTTGATTTAGATCATCCGTTTGTTTTGATTCAGATTATGGGTTTCTTCTGTATATTTTTCATCACTCTGTGTGTTTGCATAGAAAAATAATAATAACTACTTACGTTAATTAGATGATATTATGTATTTAAAAAATAGGTAAAAACTAAGTAAGTTAACATTTCATGTGCCTACATATATTACATCATATGATAAACAGGAGAAGATAATAGATAAACTATTACTCGTAAAAGATAATAGGTAAATTATTGTCTATAAAAGATAATAGGTATATTATTATTCAAAAAAATAATAGGTGCATTGAAAAAATTAATAGGTATATTTATCATTCATAAAAGATAAATAAAAGAAATAAATTTTCTATTTAAATCAATCACATAATAAGGAACATTATTATTCAAAATATATTCTAATGTTTTAATAGTATAGCCATACGGCTATACTCTTAAAATATATACGAAGATTTCAAAATACACCATCTTAATAGTACTCTTCAGATTTTTTCGAATATTTTAATAGAGGCTGTACGCTTTAGATTTAATGGAATATTTTAATAGTATAGCCGAACGGCTAGACCGGTTGGATTTAATGGAATATTTTAATAGTATAGCCGCACGGCTATACTGGTGGGATTAAACCCCATTTTTTATAGTATAGCCGCACGGCTATACCGGTTGGATTTAAGCCTAGTTTGGGATTGCTGCCGCTTTAAAAAAAAGCTGTTTCTGCTGTGCTTTAAAAAGAATCAGCTGTAAAGTAAAACAGTTAAACGTTTGGTAAACTGTAATTTTAAAAGTGCTGTGAGTATGAAAAGCAGTGTCAGAGCGTTTGGTAAATTTTACAGTAAAAGTGCTGTAACTATTTATAATGACTAAAATAGACATGATGCTGAAAGTGCTTTTTACTAATCTGTTTGATAAAAAATAAAACTGTAAAGTGCTTTTATACTTTTCTCCCTAAAAATTATATTAATCTTTGCTTAAAGAAAAGAAAATTTCAAATTGAATAAATTCCAACAAAGATAATTATGTATTGAATAAATTCCAACAAAGATAAAGAGATCACCACGGTAGTAGGTTCATACATCATCCTTCATATTGAATAAGTAATAAATATTTTTTTTTGACAAATCCTTTGTCCTAATAAGGTTTGAATTGTAGCAATAAAAAAACATTGAAACTAGGCTTAAATAAATGGAAATAAAGAAACTGTCTAAGAAGATGCATGCATTAAACTTGCAGCAATCTTGTTCCTTAATGTTTCTAGTTCTTGTGCTCCAGGACCTTGAGTAATATGATATTCTTCTTGTGCATCACTCTCCATCTCCATTGCATTTGGGTTGTCATTCACTTTGTCAGAATGAATATCACGTTGGGCGTGCCTCCTTATATAGTTGTGAAGTATCATAGTTGCAATTACTATCTTCACTTGCTTATCGAATGGATAGCTAGGCATGTCTCGTAAAATACTCCATTTGAGAGAAATACGCGAGGATAGATTTCTAACCTAATAAGGGTATTTGTGGAATTGCGAAAATTTCATTAAAGGGAGCGCGCTGCTTCAATTAAAAGCAGCTTTAAAAAGCAACCCCGAGGTTGCTTTTAAAAGTTGCTGTCAAAAGACCATTGCTTTTAAAATAAGCAGGATATTTTATTTTTACCAAACACCTTAAACTGCTTAACTTTAAAGTTAAGCAGGTTTTTGGCGAAAAAAAGCAATCCCAAACGGGGCCTTAATCGGCCATTTATAGTAGTAGCCGCGCGGCTATACTGGTTGGATCTAATTTTTTTTACTAGTATAGCCGCGTGGCTAGACCGGTTGGATTTAATCGGATATTTTAATAGTATAGCCGCGCGGCGATACTAGTTGGATTTAGTTGGATATTTTTATAGTATAGCCGCGCGCCTAGACTGTTGGATTTAATCGAATATTCTAATAGTATAGCCGCGGGGCTAGACTGGTTGGATTTAATCGACTATTTTAATAGTATAGCCGCACGGCTATACCAGTTAAATTATACTAATATTTTAATAGCGTAGCCGCCCGGCTATACCTTTTAAATATATATAAATATTTAAAAATATATTTGTATATATTATCTTTATACTATTAAATATTCAAATATATTTAAAGAGTATAGACTACTATTTAAATATGTATGGATATTTAAAAATAAATATTCAAATATTTTAATAGTATAAAGATAATAGGTAAATATATCCGTGCCATTTGTGGAGTCATGCATGAAATTTGTGGCGGCAAAACACGTACTCCGTCACTACGATTTACTGTCCTGAGAAAAGTGAAGTTTGTAGGTCAAGATTTTGCCGCGAAAGACTAATTTTCTTGTAGTATCTCGATTAAGATAGCAAGGAGAGAGAGGGAGTTGTGTTAAATATGATGATATGGCGTTAAAGCTAAGTGGAAAAAAGGAGTGTGAGGCTATTGTTGTTGTTTAAAGAAGAATAAAAAGGGGTTTATATATTGTTGTTGACCAACTACGTACGAAGAAGGTGAAGGTTTCAAAGACCAAGAATACAGAGATTGACTAATTAAACCCTAAAGTCAAGGATTCCATTTGCATACTTATGTTCACACTCTTCCTTGTCCGATCCCAAAATATTCCATTTCAAAAGCCAATTCACACTTCAAATTCAAAATTGACAATATTCTCCCCGGAACTGGTGTAGGGCTTGACCATTCTGATTACCAGACAGCCAGCCAGCTACCTCAACACACACGCCGCGCCACGCCACGCCACGCCACACGTATTAGAATTAGACCAAACCAAATTAAACACCTTCATATGTACATATTCAAGCAGCCAAGCTAAGCCCAGCCGCGCGCTAACTTCTTGTCGTAGACCACCTAGAAAAAAGTTGAACCATGTACGGTCCTTTATATATGTACTATATTCATACATGTAATTTCCCGGAGGCTGCAATAATATTATCATTTTTTGTGACGGTCTCACCCCGCCAACTCTACCTATCTTTTCTCTGCTATATATATAACATAAACCTCCCCATTGTCAAATTCTCTCTTCTTCCCTCAGCAGCCTCAATTAGTTTCTAAAGCTATATAAGCTGAATTATATCTAGTTTAATTAAGCTTAGCTCGCTAGAATGGGAAACTGTTTGAGGCGTGATTCGGCGACGGTATGGGCCGGCGACGACGACGACGACTGGGTCGACATTAGTTCTCAGCTGCAGCTTTGTGATGATTGTAATAATAGTAATAATAAGAAGAAGAAGAAGGCTTACAACCACTTGGTCGAAAAGGAGAGGCTTCTTGGTGAGATAATATCATCAGCTTCAACATCTTCAACTTCAACTAATGGAGATCAGGTGAAGATCAAGATTACTAAGAAGGAGCTGGATGAGTTGGTGCATGGAGGAAACCTGCAAGGTCTTTCGTCTGTCGAACAACTCTTAGATCGCCTCTTGACGACGAACGGCCCTGATGAGGATCAGAACTTCTATGAGATGGATCGTCAGGATCAGGACTTCTATGAGATGGATCATCAACGGCCCTGGAGGCCAGTCCTCCAAACTATTCCAGAGTATTAAGGACTAATTAGGATGAGGCCCTTTTTTTTTATCTCTCATTATTATTACTATTCTTTTTTCTTGAGAGATTCAGATTTGTCACTCTCTGTTACATACCATATATATAATAGAGAATAGTTTTCCTTGGTATATATGTTATTTACTCCTTTTATTAATGAGTTTTTAGCTCATCTGATTTTGGACTGGTCCATATCATGCGCACATCTAATTGAGCTGCTCAGTCCAATATCATTATGGGCTTCATCCTGAATAATATGTCTACTAGACAAGGCCTACTTGGGCTAAGCCTAGCTTAGTCTTGTGTTTGATTTTAGTCATGTTCGATTGGGATAAATTAATTTCCCCCCCCCCCCAAAAAAAACTTTATCATTATTATTTTATTTTATTGGGGAGGGAGAAATAGAACCTAGGACCTCGAATATATAAGTAAATACTTTTAACCACTTGAGCTACTAACCCTTTGTTTATTTTATTGATTTTGAGCTTGAACGAAGAAAGATTTATCCGAGTGTTGGAAACTTTATTCCATGTCTTTCCTTTTGTCACTAAGGGGGAAAGGGAGGTACATTGTTCATTTGGCTAGGCTTGCTAGCTAGGAGTCTATTCATAACCAGTGAAAGTTGATGTTAGCTTGATGCTTTCCACCCTTTTATTTTATGATCCTTAGTTGGTCTTTAATCATGCAATGCTTATTGTCGAAGACAAGCTGTGAATTCCCTCCTTGGAAGACATATCAACATCAATTATGCTAATCATTTTCCTATGCTTTCCCAAATAAACGAATTTTTAAAGTGTTAACGTACGTTATAACGAATCATAAAATCATGACAAAGATAGATAGATAATCAAAAGATTTGAACTTTATTCTCAAACCCAATTCATTGATTTCATGTTAAAAATATAGATTGTTTTATTAAATTCAGATCCTTTTATTTCAGAGATCCTTTTATGAATGGCCAGAAGAAGGTCAAAATTTAAAATGAAAATAGTATTTAATAACTACTCAAGTTTATTGCCTACACAATTAAGCACCAGAATTTTTTTGAGCAATGGCCGCTTTAATTATCCGAACAACCACTACCACAGTGCCTGCCCAAGCTTTGTATAAAAGTAGGCCATTGGAGCTTTCGCACGTGTGAGAGACACGAACCAATGGAGCAGGTCATCACTGCCTCAGGGGTCACGCGTGCCAAATGGCTGGTGTAGAAAGTAGGAGTTGGCCAGTTGGGAAGAAAAAGGCGATGGGTGGCGTTAATGCGCCAGTGCTCTTCTATCTCAGTTTTCTGGTCAGTGTGGGGCCTACCTACTCTCTCCCAAGCAAGACAGCTATTACTCTCACACTGCTTCTGGCCCCACCCCACTTTGAAGCTCATTCATGGCTTCTCTCTACTCTGTCTCTATCTCTCATATCTTCCTGTTTTCACAATGTCTCCTTTATTTTCTCACATCCGCCAAACCATTCTCTGAGAAATTCCAAGGCTGATGCTTGCAAGCTGAGTTTCAGTCCTTCATCTATCTCTTTCTCTCTCTGTTTTTCTTCAGTTTCCCTCCACTTGGCTGTAGTCTTTTGTGATGGTTTCACTATTTGGGGGTAAGGAAATTGAAGGCATGAAGGAAATGGTGTCTCTGAAGCTCACCGTCCGTATATTTATGTTGTTCCTATGTGAGTATTCATATGTTTCTTGTTGATTTCTTTAGTGGGTTCTGCTTAATTTTGCATGATCTTGAGTTTTGTCTTCTGGGTCATTGTTAAAGTTGCTTTATTTTGAAGAATGTAACTGGGTTTCGAATAATTTGACCTTTGGTATTTTTGTGCAACTCAGATTCTGTGAAAGGTTCTAGATTTTGATTTCAGTTTCCAAGGATATGGTGCATTTGGCTCTCAAAATGATTGAACTCCTATTCTCCTCAATCTCCTAATATGTTGCTTGTCATAAACCACAGCTTCACTTCCACTACTATTTAGTTCTTTAGTCACTTGTTAGAATGAACTAAAAATATCCCAGGTTTAGGGCACTGTTGGGATTTTGATTGCTGTTCGAGTTGGTATAGGTTTGCTCTTATAACTTTGTATGACATACATTAGTATGGAACTGCGGATTTAAGATTTCACCATAATCGCCATCATTGCTAGATTATGGACATATTGAGGCACATTACTTGCCTTTGGTTAAAGTATTCATTGCTAAGCAGTTCTAGGATTTATGATAGTTTGTATATATTTCCTTTTATCTCATTCTTTTTCGTTTTTGACTTCCTCTTAGTTACCTCAACAATACTAGTTGATTTAAGGCTTTAGAACTACTGATCGAAAAATTCATGAAGAAACTATCCATCTAAATGTTATTGATAGTAATCTTTGTAAATGATTTGTTTTATAGGTCTCCATATATGTTGTGGCAGCACGTTAACTTATCATAAAGATCCAGTCTTGACGATTAAACAAGATTCTATGTTACCGATGATCTCTCCTACAGGGACTCCTCAGCCCTTTCTTCCCCTTCTGGCTCCTTCACCACTGGCACCGTTCACAAATACCACTGTCCCAAAATTATCAGGTTCCTCCCTCCTTAATTTTTCTAGTTAAATTAGATTCCCCAACGCATTTTTTGGTTAAGATCTGAAGTTATATATTTTCGTGTTGATCTGTGGGTGCAGGACTCTGTACGCTAAACTTCAGTGTTGCTGAGAGTTTGATGAGTGTGACCTCAGTTGATTGTTGGTCGGTTTTTGCACCACTGCTCGCTAATGTAATTTGTTGCCCACAGTTGGAAGCCACTCTCACAATTCTCATTGGTCAATCCAGTAAAGAGACCAATGTTCTTGCTTTAAATGGGACGGTTGCTAAACATTGTCTATCAGATATTGAGCAGATTTTGGTGGCCCAGGGTGCAAATGACAGTCTTGCTCAAATATGCTCGGTTCATTCATCAAATCTGACTTATGCATCTTGCCCAGTCATTGATGTTAATGAGTTTGAGGATACAGTTGATACTTCCAAGTTGCTTGCTGCTTGTGAGAAGATTGACCCTGTGAAAGAATGCTGTGCTCAAACTTGTCAAAATGCCATATTAGAAGCCGCTACGAGGATCGCATCAAAAGCTTCTGATCTTTTGAGCACGGATGGTGCTCACGATATCTTACCTGATGGAGTAAGTAAAGTCAATGACTGCAAAAGTGTTGTCCTCCGGTGGCTGGCAAGTAAACTCAATCCTTCTCATGCAAAGGAAGTTCTAAGGGGACTATCTAATTGCAAGATTAACAAGGGTGAGTTTAGAGTTAAACATGGTGCTACACAGAACCTCCATCAAAGTTCTGTGCCTTTTCTTTTATTTTTATTTTCTCTAACAAAAAAAAAAAAAAAAAAAAAAAGAAGAAAAAAAAAATAGTTATTATTTTAACAGTTTAAAACGTAGGGGCCTCATATATTTTTCTAGAAGTTTGTCAGAGATTTCTCCTAAAAGTAAAGTATCGATGTATTAGTGCCAGTGGTTAAGGAATACCTGTCATTACATACATCTTCTGATAAAAACTCTCTCCATCATTCTCTCTCTCTCTCTCTCTCTCTCTCTCTGTATGGGAGAGAATTTTCTTGGCATTTCCTACGGTTGGATTGCCATCTTTATGAATTTGGATCAGACATTTCGGAGATGTTAGTGGAATTTTATCTGTATACCTCATATTTGGGGCTTACACCTGCATTATTATAGTTGATTATTCCATGATTTTTGTATGTGGAGTGTGTTCGAGAGAGTATACTAGTTTATGCTTGCTCCGTATCTTATATCAGTTTGATTTTACTTAGAGATGCCAATCTCCAATTGGAGTATCTGACCCTGTATTGTATCTGGTATTCACTTCAGTTTGTCCCCTGGTTTTCCCCAACATGAAGCATGTTGCAATGGGTTGTGGGAATGGGATAAGTAACCAGACTGCTTGTTGTACTGCCATGGAGAGCTATGTGTCCCACTTGCAAAAGCAGAGTTTCATAACCAACTTGCAAGCTTTGGATTGTGCTGCATCTCTGGGCATGAAGTTAAGAAAATCAAATATTACTGAAAATGTGTACAGCCTATGTCATATAAGCCTCAAGGATTTCTCCCTCCAAGGTTAGTACGTTCCTCTAGCCCTCTTTTTAAAGCAAACTATAAGCATTGGATCATGTTACTAATACAAATTTTTTTGTGATTTCTGTATGTCAAATTGATTTGGGGATTGGATTTGTACAACTCAGTTGGAAATCAAGGTAATAAACTTGGTTGGTTTGTATTGTCCAATTATATTATACAGAAAGAACTGCTTAGCATTACCAGAAAGGTTCACTGTAGCCGAAAGAAGAAATTACACCTTTTCAATTGTTAGCATCTTTTTATTGTCAAAGTAGCTGCTTTTGACTTTGCCAGTAATTTCATGCCTGTGCTTTTGCTCTTTTCTTGTTCTAGTCTTGTAAACTGGTCTATCTTTGTACTTTTTGCATCATAGTGTCTGGATGTCTTCTGCCGAGCTTGCCTTCCGATGCAACATTTGACAGTTCAGGGGTCAGCTTCCTTTGTGATCTGAATGATAACATTCCAGCTCCCTGGCCCACCTCTTCTCAAGGGGCAGGTTCATCATGCAGTAAAAGTATGTGTAAGCTATTAACGTTTATTCATTTGTATGGAATACCCTACCATTCCATTTCATATTAACATTTGCAAGACTTTGTTGTTAATAAAGGTTGTATGTCCTTTCTGTCATGCTCTAATGATTTTTGCCTGACTTGTTGGAATTTCAGATGTCAAGATTCCTGCACTTCCTGCAGCAGCATCTGCTGAAAGTGGTGAGTAGGTCCATTCATTTATCTTCATGAGGGATCATTTACTGCCTCAGTGCTAATTTGGTTTATTTGAGCAGTCCCCAAGTGCAGTATAGTATGTAAGGCATGCTCAGATATTTTAACCTTGTGAAAACTCTTAAGAGCAAGTTGCAAAACAGATGAATTGTGATTTTGTTTTTTCTTTTCCTCCTTTTGGGCTGTTTCAGAATTTAACTTTAAACATTTATATGCTCTCATGTTCTCCAGGTCTGTACAATGATGATGTGATGCTTTCTCTACTCCTTGCTTCTGGGGTGGTCCTCATGATGGTTTTGTAATAAGTATTCCCTTGAGAGAAACTTGTCAGTCCTCGAAGGAGTTCTTTGTTATGTTAGTCACCCCGAGCTAGTCGATAGAAGACCGTGAACTGGGGATAGAAGCTAGATCTGAGGTGATTTCATGTTTGTGCTTCCAATCCGTATTAATTCATGATTCTTGCTTGCTTCTGTAATAAATATTTTTTGTAAAGAAAATTAGGAGAGTGAGGGAGGTTATATTGTAACTGACACTATCGAGATTGCATGTGTAAATTCAGATTGCAGCCAAAATATAAGTTTAGTTCTTTTTGCCCAATTAGTCTGTGCAGTAATATAGCGTCTCCTTCCAGTCACTTTGTGGTACTGAATTATGCACAATGGACCAACTCAACTTGTGTCATAATAGGAGTTTTCATGTGCTTCATTTCTTATTGTCGTTCTTGTTGGCCATCTTGGTTCAGAATTTCAGCCCGGTCCTAGCCAATTATTCAGAACTGTATAATGAGACCAATCAATGCATGGGATATAAATTCGCACGATTGGTATTATGATTATGGGGGTGTTTTTGGCTTGTATTTTATCATCCTATAGGTTCCCAGAAATAGTACATTTTGTTTATTACAGTACTTGAATAGTATGGACGCCGAGCCGAAAGCATACGCCTCTTGTGTAAAACGATTATAAATCTTTTTCCCCCTAACCTAAATATTAAATAGTGCAGCAAGGGGTGTAGCTTTCTTCATTTTCCCTTTGACAAAATCTTCTAGTCTTGGTTGAACTATTGTCATGGACAAAGGATGGGACGATTCGATCAAGATCCTCCTTCCCAAAAATAAATGGAGTTTGCTAAAAGAAAGTAAGTAGGTGTTGGACCAACCATGAGTTAATTTAATCCCTGCAGGGCCTGCATAAATTTCCAATATTTATACACTATATAAGTCATTTGGACTTGCTCCGAATATAGCCAGTGTTGTTCTAAATTTAGAGGCAGAGAGTGATCAAGACGAAAAAATCGATCGAGCATGGAGAACATGGACAGCGATCAGCACAATGAAGCCTTGTTACAATCCGAAGAAGCTTCAGCAAGAGGGCCTATAAGTTCAGCACTGGAAGATATACTAACCAACCCTGATCTCTCATACTTCCAGCGCCTTAGGCAGGCTTCTTGGTGCGAAATCAAGACCCTCTTCTACCTCGCAGCTCCGGCGGTGGGGAATTACGTGCTCAGCAACATCACTGCAGTAGCCACCCTCATCTTCTGTGGCCAACTTGGCAATCTTGAATTTGCTGGTGCCTCTCTAGGGAACACTGGAGTCGCTGTCTTTGCTTACGGCCTTATGGTAATATTTGTCACCAGTAACGTTCACATGTCTACTTATTGTTTCATATTTTTATGCACAAATTTTGTGATCCTAGAACTATAATTTTGATCGATAACACGTGCAATATATATGCATAGCTTGGAATGGGAAGTGCGGTGGAGACATTGTGTGGCCAAGCATTTGGAGCAAATAAGAACGAAATGCTGGGTGTATATTTGCAGCGAGCAACAATTCTTCTCACGGCAACAGCAATCCCAGTGATGTTCATCTACATCTTCTCCAAGCAAATCTTGATCGGACTAGGCGAAACGGAGAGCATAGCATCTGCAGGAGCACGCTTCGTCTATGGCCTAATTCCACAGCTCTTTGCCCTGGCTTTCAATTTTCCCTTACAAAAATTCTTACAAGCTCAGAGCATAGTGTGGCCTAGCGCCTGCATATCTGGCGTTACAGTTGTGGTGCACTTAGTACTTAGTTGGGTGGTGGTGTACAAATTAGGGTGGGGTTTGCTGGGTGCATCTTTGGTTTTGAGCTTGTCTTGGTGGATCATGGTGGTGGCCCAGTTAATGTACATCTTGGTGAGCCCAAGGTGCAAATATACTTGGACTGGGTTTAGCTCACAGGCTTTTACTGGGCTATGGGAGTTTCTGAAGTTATCCACTGCATCCGCGGTCATGCTGTGCCTTGAGACTTGGTACTTTCAGATTTTGGTTTTGATCGCTGGGTTGCTCAAGAATGCTGAGATTGCCTTGGACGCACTCTCTGTTTGGTAAGACGAAACTCAAAAACCATTTGTAGTTCAAGTGGTTAAGAACAGTTACTGCTACATTTGAGGTCCTATGTTCGAATCTCCCCTCCCCATTATCGCTCGTATCAACAAATTCATACTTTTTGCTTATGTGTTTTTTGTTGTTGTTTAATTATTGGTACACTAAAGAGTATGTGTAACTGAGTTTATGCAGCATGGCTGTATCTGGATGGGTGTTCATGATCTCGGTTGGGTTCAATGCTGCAGCAAGGTCAGATGCTTATTCATATGTAATTAATACAACTATGGACTAATTATTAATGAATGAAATTAATTAGTGTGTGGTTTAATTAATGTGAAAAAAACAGTATAAGGGTGAGCAATGAGGTTGGTGCTGGGCATCCAAAATCAGCATCATTTGCAGTGGTGGTTGTAACTACAAGCTCCTTAATCATCTCCTTAATCCTTGCCATAATCATACTTGCACTCCGCCGTTACCTCAGCTATATATTCACTGAGGGCTCCACTGTTTCTAATGCCGTCGCTGAACTTTCTCCTTTCTTGGCTTGTACTCTTTTACTTAACGGCATCCAACCTGTTTTGTCTGGTAATTAAGAACTATATGTTTGAATAATTAAGTTAATTAATACGAAAGATGCATGTTCATTAATTCTTAATTGAATTTGTTTTTGAATTAATTAAGGGGTGGCTGTTGGGTGTGGATGGCAAGCAATCGTGGCATGGATTAACATAGGATGTTACTACATCATTGGTATCCCATTGGGTTGTGTTCTCGGCTTCAAGCTCGACTTGGGAACTAAGGTATGAATTTAGGGTAGCGATTTTGAAACTCGTTTTTCTTAATAATTTGCAGTTCAAAACTGAATAATTTACACTTTGGAGTGTTAAAATCACTAGCCATGAATTTATTTACATAAATTTGGGACTAACTTTTTTTTTCTATCCCCATTGCGCCTGTAGGGAATATGGTCGGGAATGTTGGCGGGCACTTTTATTCAAACTCTTATACTCTGTTGGATCACATTCCGGACTGACTGGAATAAAGAGGTAACGTTGGCAAACTAGTATTTCAATTTGATTTTTCCCTTCCAATAAGTTAATCATACAATCATATCTGTATAAATATAATTTGGAGGTGTATCAAGCATTCAAATGTAATTTTTTTTTTTCAGGTTGCGAAATCAAAGATTCGTATAGATGAATGGGAAGACAAGAAAGAGCCTCTTCTCAATGAATAGACCCTAGTTTAGGAAACTTGGGACAAAACTATCGTTTTGAAAAAAAACACTTTGTTTGTCGGAGGGACAATTGGCATGCCTTGTCTTTTTATATAATATCTTCAGTAACACTGGGCTTTGGTTTTTCTTTTGTCACATTAATATTGTATGGGAAATTCTAATTCATTATCTCACTCTTTCGACGCCTAAGCTAAATTCGAGTACTTTTTTGAATAAGTTTTAACCCGCCACCCCCTACATGCACAACATTTTCCACATCAAGTAAATAAAAGTGATATCGACGAAGAAAGACGTTTCCCATTGAATGAAAAAACCAAGCTAATGAAACAATTGAAATCAACATTTAACAGAAACTTGTTTATATAACCAATTTCAACAAGAGGGATTCACAACTTCTGAACCGTAATCTGTTGCAGCAGCAAAACTGCCCTTCTCAATTTGAATTCATAATTATTGGGGCTTGACCTAGGTTTTCATCTTGTGTGTCCCCATTCCCCTTCCCATTATCCTTGAAAGTTGAAAATGACTCCACAACTCTAGTTTGAGAAATGGAATTAAAAGTAAGGTACACCAAAAGTTTGTGCTCAAGCTCCACCGTAGTCAATGGCCATGTGAAATAGATAAGTGCTCTGCAAACACACACAGAGACCTCTTGGCCCACCCGCAGCATCACCTTCCATTCCATTTCATTCCCACCTAATAAATTGCTATCTTCTTATTCATACTCTCAACTCAATCATAAATTGCTTCATGTTCAGTTGGCAGCAACTTTCTATTATTTTTATAATACATGCGTTGTTTGGGGACGGATGAATAGAGTATAAGACCTGTGATCACGTGAATAAATGTTCTTAACCATTTTTTAGTTACGATAACGTTTCTGAAAATTTAGCAACAAGTTTAATAAACCAAAATTCCTTTTGCGCTGCTGGGATCGATCAAGTAAAGGGATTTACTAGTTGGTTGTTGCAAAGAACAATTGATTGAGTCTTCTTCGATTTCTTTTGGTTTCATCGTTTTGTGGGGGCAGATGTAGCCAAATCACATGCACGACTCTGTATGTACTTCAACAACAAACCTTCCGCGTTACTGTAGGATTCAAAAGCGAACATTATTATAGCCACCACCGAATGCTGTCCTAAACTAAAACAAATAAATTAGATGTGCATGCGCGCTTGAATAACCTTAATCTCTCACATACGTAATAGCTTAGCAAATCCAAGTAATAATGACCAGGTCAATGATTCCTTAATTACGTGGACAACCAGAATAGTATATATTTTTCTTCTCCAGGACTATGTTAAACGAGTGCAAAAATGAATATTTTCCTCGACATGACGTTATTATTATAAAATTATTATTATTAAAGCAAAGCAAATGAGTGGTATGCCTTTGATTTGATTTGTGAATAAGAAAAAAGCAAAGATAATCTTTACATTTAGAAAAACACAACAGCCACATTTCAAAAGAGGATATATTTTCTCGATATAATTAAGGTGGCCGATATATTTGACCCAAACGAGAAAGAAACCAAGAGAGGCACAAACGCCACTCCAGAAGTAGATGTGACACACCATATCCATGTTCCTTTTATTTATTTACATGTAACGCTCAATTAAGTAAAATTCGTTTTATTTATTTATAAATTACTTTTATTATAGTTTTTTTTTTCTTTTTATTAACTTATGGCAAATGATTTGCCATCCCATAGCCGTCCCTAAGATTTTGAGGGCCCTGTGCGAAACTTAAATTGGGGCTTCACATAATCTAATACGAAAATGCTATATTTTTTATTTTGCCATACCCTTAATGTCATAAAACAACATTTTCATTGTCATCATTCTCATTATGCTCAACATTACCCACACATTCATCCATATTGTTTTCAGTAGCTTGCAATTCCTCAACATTATCGTCTTGTTGTTCATTGGAAATATTTTCATCAATTGTAGCATGTGATTTTAACAATGAATCTATCTAGAGCTCCTCTTTGAGATTGAATCAATTCTTCAATTTTTCTTTTTCTAAGTCCTTTTGTATATCCATAAATGTATTTCTAGTAGGTGGCATGTTTAAATTACAAAGAAAAATTCTAAAATCCTATAACCCAGAAGATAACCCTAACAAGAAATAGATAAATATTTCTAAATATATATTTTCTTATATAACCAATCATCAACATGATAAATTTTTTTTTTTTTTTTTTTTTTTTTTTTTTTTTTATTTAAAAGTCATGTAATATATATGAAATTTAGATACCTACCTGGATTTGAATTGAGATTTGATTGAATATGACTATATGATTTTGAGTGGTTTTTATGAATTTAGGAATTTGGGTTTTCGCTTTTTGATGTTAAATTCCTGAAATTGAAAGAATAACAAAAATTTTCAAAGAATTGAAAAAGAACAAAAGAGATTGATGAATGATGATGATTATTTACTAGAAAATCAGAGTTTAAGAGAAAGAAGAAGTCATGAAGTTTTTTTGTGTGTGTGGAAGAAAGTACTTTGATACTCAAACAAAACAGATTGATATATATTGCTACTAGTTAGTTGTACTTTGATCCTTTGATGTTTTCCTTTTTTTTTAAAACGTGTTTCTGTTTTATTTATTTATAATTATTTAAAGTTTGTTGTTATAATGCAAAAATAATAAAAAACGCAAATAGAATGCCTTCAATGAATTTCAAACCTAGGCCTTCCATTAAGAGTACTTCCACCAGTTAGCCCATTGCCATGGCAAGGGGAGCCCTAGGGCGGGTACTATTCACGTGAATAGTGGCTGCCCTAGCACAAAAAAAAAATTGTGTTTCCAGCAATGCAAGGCTTGCCATGGCAAATACTATTCATTTTTTTGTTTTTTTCACAACTTTGTTTACTTAAACAATTAATTTGGATAATATTTTCGGATAATATTTTTGGGTTAAAAGTCAGTATTGGTTGGTATTTATAGAAAAAAAAAATTTAGTATTTTTTTCGTATTTTTTGTAAATTTTTTCCGATTTTTTTTTCATTTTTTTATTGGGCAAAAAATTGCCTGCCGTTGGATTGCTGGAAAAAACTAATCGGAGAGCCCAAGAGCTTCCACGTGGCATAGAGCTGTTGGGGGTTGCTTTTTGGATTTTTTTATTCGCGAAAAAATGGCTGCCGTTGGATAATTTTAAAAAGTAGATCGGATGGCTTAGCATACGACACGTGGAATCATGCCGTTGGGCGGCTACTGTAGCGTGCGTCAAATTTTTTTTAAATCGAGCGCATGTATTGCACGCGCTAGCTTTAAAAAAATTTAAACAGCAGCACTGACGTCATCCCAGCCCGCGGGCTGGAGCTCGGGCCAGCCTCCCCCTCGGGCTTGCCCAGGTTTGTGGGCCCCACTGCTTGCCCCGGTAGCTTATTGTTGCTGGAAACCACATTTTGGGTTTGGCCCCCCTCCCCCCCCCCCAACCCTCCCTTAGGCCCCTTGGTGGAAGTGCTCTAAAGGATATGTGTTGGAAAGTCAATTCCGCCGCACACGCTTTTGTGCCAACATGTAGCACACTAAAGTATATATACAATTTCTATAATATTAATATATATATATAATATAAAGAAATTTTTTTTGAAGGCCTTCAAAAATCGAGAGTCTTGTGTGGTGGTGCCACTTGCACCACCCAGGGTACATATATGTGTATATATATATATATAAGCAGAGCTTATGAGCTGCTCACAGTGGAAGGCTATAGAGAGAGAGAGATCGGAGAGCAAGCTAGCATGGAGCCTTCTAGTGATAACGAGCTCTCTGAACCCCTCTTGCTTTCCAAATCATCGTCGATGCATATAGTGAGCCGTGAACTGGAAGACACACTAAACAACACTGAGCTCTCATACTTCCAGCGCGTCCGAACCGGCACATGGCTCGAGCTGAAGACCCTCTTCCGCCTGGCAGCTCCGGCGGTGGTGGTTTACTTGCTCAACAATGTCATATCCATCTCCACCCAAATCTTCTGTGGCCATCTTGGCAACCTTGAACTCGCTGCCTCCTCTCTTGGCAACACTGGCATTCAAGTTTTCGCCTATGGCCTCATGGTACAACTAATTAATTAATTAATTTTGCCTATGTTCTTTTATCGAATATTATGTTATGTTATTCGACTGTAAATGTCTGATGAACGATCTGACAACATAACATATTGATCGGATTGTTATGTTTCCAGGGATTAATTTGGTATAATTAGTTCATGTGTGTTATTGGTGCAGCTTGGTATGGGTAGTGCAGTGGAGACACTCTGTGGTCAAGCCTATGGTGCACATAAGTACGACATGCTAGGCATATATCTGCAGCGTTCGACAATCCTCCTCCTGGCAACTAGCATCCCACTGATGATAATTTACATCTTCTGCAAGCAAATCTTGTTAGGCCTAGGTGAATCAGCCTCCATTGCCGCCGCGGCAGCGATCTTCGTCTACGGTCTCATCCCTCAAATCTTTGCCTACGCCTGCAACTTCCCCATACAAAAGTTCCTCCAAGCCCAGAGCATAGTGTTCCCTAGCGCCTACATATCGCTGGGGGCACTGGTGGTGCATATAGTGCTAAGTTGGGTGGTGGTGTACAAATTGGGAGGGGGCCTGTTGGGCGCCGCGTTGACGTTGAGTTTTTCGTGGTGGATTATAGTGGTGGCGCAATTTGTGTACATATTGTGGACGCCAAGGTGCAAACGCACATGGAGAGGCTTTAGCATCAGGGCATTTTCTGGGCTGTGGGGCTTTTTGAAATTGTCTGTGGCATCGGCCGTCATGCTTTGCCTGGAGACTTGGTACTATCAAATTATAGTTTTGCTTGCTGGGTTGCTTAAAAATGCTGAAATTGCATTGGACGCTCTCTCTATTTGGTGAGCAAAATCAAAGCTATTGACTATAATTAATTAGTTTCCCACTTAACCTTAATGATCAGATCATAAGGTCCACTCACTCTTGCTCTGCTTAATTAGCAGCACTCACAAAAAAACAACAAAAAACAAAATTTGGTAGCTACTAGTCTGGTAGCTGGGCACAACAACTAGTCAATTCATTTATTTATTTTTAAGCTTTGACCAAAGTCAATGTGTTATGAAACGCTCAGGAACTGTGTCTGTATTTCTTTTTACATGGTTTTCATGTGAATGAGGAGAAGACATGCTTTGCATGCTTTCTTAAGCAGTTACAGATCTTAAAGCCTGCCCTGCGTGCGTTCAAGTATTTGCCTGTCAGATTGTGGTCAGCTGTGTCGTTTGTATTCGTATCTGTATAATTCTTTTCTTTGTATTCTTTACGTCACAGTCACATGTAAAAAGTTGGACATGCATGTATCACTATCTAATATCTAATAAAAAATATTATCCTTTAATTTATGATTGATGCAGCATGGCCATAACTGGATGGGTCTTCATGATTTCTGTGGGGTTCAATGCTGCCGCAAGGTCAGTAAATTTCACAAAACACACGACATTATCGGATGCAGGTATAACCGTTCTTAACCACTTGAGCTAGTAATTATTTGAGAACTAATGGATGAATAAATAATTATGCAGTGTGAGGATTGGGAATGAGCTTGGGGCAGGACATCCAAAATCGGCAGCATTTGCAGTGGTGGTGGTGACTTCAAGCTCCTTCATCATATCGGTGGTGTGCGCCATAATTGTGCTTGTTTTACGACATGATATAAGTTATGTGTTCACTGAGGGAGAAACAGTCTCCAATGCCGTCTCAGACCTTTCTCCGTACCTAGCCATATCCATCGTTCTCAATGGCATCCAACCTGTTTTGTCTGGTACGTGAGATTGATCGAGTTTTATTTTCTTTTTTTTGTCGGTATGTGTTGGCAGACCATGAATGTCTAATAAATACAGAAACCAAACAGTCAACGATCTAAAAATCTACGTGATGGACTTAGTAGTTGAACATCAAGATCATACGACGTAGCCCTATTTTCGATCAAAATCTGCCTCTTCTGTGTGTCGTTTTTTGACTTTACCATGCAATTCAATGTGCGTTTTGGAGTGTTGTTCTGGATACATATATGCCCTAATGTAGGATTCTATATTTTTGGCCAAAAATAAAAGGAGTGGCTGTTGGGTGCGGATGGCAAGCATTTGTGGCATATGTTAACGTGGGATGTTACTACATCATTGGGATCCCATTGGGTTGCCTTCTTGGATTCAAGTTCGATTTCGGAGCTCAGGTGATAATACTATTTTCTTGTTTTTAGCACTTTAATTATATATATATATATATTGTTTCTGGTTTTATGTATAATTAATTTTAGGTTTGTTTTAATTTTGTCAGGGAATATGGACTGGCATGATAGGAGGCACTTTTATACAGACAATCATCTTAGTGTGGGTCACATATCGGACTGACTGGAACAAAGAGGTTAGACTAATCTATAATAATTAACTACTTTAATCTCACTATCAATTGGACAATTATATTTAAAATAACGTTAAATAATTGTTCGCAGGTTGAAAAAGCACAGAGTCGTTTGGACACTTACGAGGACAAGAAGGAGCCCCATGATGAAGTGCTGACCAGTTAGTCGAGTTTGGCGTTGCCCAGTTTTCAACTTGCTCTTTTCTTTTTCTTTTTTCTGGCGGACTTCGGGGAGGTTACATGAGTTTTGCTTGCTTTTTACGTGCATGGAAAGTTTTGCATTGTTGTAATGTGTTGTTAATGAAAAAATAATAATGTTCCTTTCCTTGATTAGGAAGGAACAGTAAGTAAGTCCGCCTTCTTTAAATTAGTCTTAATTGATAATGCTTAGTGTTCCCTTTAGTTTTCTTTTTAAAAAAAATATTTTAAACTGGATGAGGAGGAGAAAGGGTCTTTTGCCTTGGGGTTCATTCTGGGCTTATTTTGTGGTTGGTCTGTTTCGTTGTCTGAGGCTGCTCTCATCTTGTCATTTTGGGCCAACCTCCATGAATTGTTCCTTGAAGCCTTTTAGTAATTTCTACTGCAATGTGTGTCACATTGCAAAAGAAAACCTCTAGGACACGCGTAGGTCCAAACAAGTCAAAGTAAAAGCTATTGAGAACAACAGAGGTAAGAAGACAGCTGTTTTTCCATAACATAGAAAGAGAAATCGAGTGCCCCCCTAAGGTAGCTAAATCATGCGCCACAAAAGTCGCCTCGTGAAACACATATGTTGTTAACCAACATCTTCACAAAAGGAGCTAAGAAAAGGAGCTAAGATGAGCAATATCCTGTGATCGTTTGATGCATGATTTATTTTAGTAGTGCGACAACCAGGCCTCATCATCAGTGCCCACTGCCCAGCAAGCAATGACAAGACACATTCAATTTTCTGTAAAATCAATTGATTTTCAGTACTTCTTTTTCCAACCGATAAAAGACAGTTGAATAAGTGTAAAAATACAAATCGGATTTGCATGCGCTTAAACAGACGACCCGTCAATACTGATCTATTTTAAATATTTCAACTCATGACGAAAACAATGGTTTCTCCTCCGCTTAGAAGAATTTAGAAAGGGAATTTAGCTCAAAACGGCTTATAATCAAATCAGGATTTTGATAAGAAATCGAATTTTACTTCAAAGATTTGAGACAATGACATAGCTGATCTATATGATTGTAATTTTGTAGGTAAATAACCTTTTTTTTTTATAAAGATAATTGAATTTCCACTACATTACGAAACTTATAATAATTTTTATGTATAGACTATAATAATAGATTTTAAGTTCGAATCTTTCTTCTAATTTATATAAAATAAAATACAAAAAGATTAGCGCGATGCCCAAATAAACTTATTTCCATCTCCGCATCTTGTCTAGCTAGGTGTTGCTTTTTACGTTTCATCCGCCGGCATCATTTATCTGGGCAGCTTTCTTTCACTTTCCCAGTAGCCCGGGGGCTTTAATCATGTATTGCCTTTCACTTTCAATGTTGTTTCATTAATTCTGGCTCCCGTGCTATGGAAAAAACCTCTTTTGTAACTTGGATATAACTGTTTTGTTATTTCCGGTTAATAAGACAATGACACATGCAAAAGTTATTTCACGTGTCATTGTGTTATTAGTTGGGGATAACAAAAAGAGCTATTTTCGTTGCATGAGAGTTTCTCTCCTTGCTATACTATGTACTAGTTTCAGTTTCAATGAAGTACCAATTGGTATAATCCAACTCCTTGTAAGCCCTTGTAATGTTTTCTAATTTTCCAATGTGTGGGTGGGACATTTTCATATTCACATCTTCACATGCCACTACACTTGTGGCGAATTTTCAAACATAGTACGTGGACAATATATAGTGGGTGACATGGAGCACATGTAGGATGTAGCCGTTGGGCTTTCACATGTGAACAAACCTATTCTGATGTCATGAAAGAAGTTGAGGTTCCATCCAAAATCAGACAAAAAAATAAAAAATTCCCACATCGTGTCGAAAACAAATTTGTTCTCTTACAAGGGGCCTTGTCGTTTAGTATAATTTCTCCTCATTATTATTTATTCCAAGCACCCATTTCCTCGATATATCAAATTTTGGCAGATACCACAAACACCTTCATTATAGTTGTAAGTCCAATATGGTCAATAATCAAGACCAACTCCGCCAACCCATCTTAGACTCGGAACCCGAAGCCTCCAACCATGGCGATGGCTTGGAGTCTCCACTTGAGAAGGTGCTATCTGACACCCAACTGCCCTCCTTCAAGAGACTCCGCTTGGCCACATGGATTGAACTCAATCTCCTCTTTCGCCTTGCAGCCCCTGCCGTCTTGGTTTATGTCGTTAACAACTTCATGTCACTTTCCACCCGTGTCTTCGCCGGCCACCTCGGCAACCTTGAGCTCGCCGCCGCCTCCCTCGGCAACAGCGGCGTCCAACTCTTCGCCTACGGCCTCATGGTACACGTCCCACAACCTTAACTCTTGTTATGTTTCACTCTGTCAACTAAGAGTTGACGTGTCACATTGTTATGTTGTCATTCTTATCTTTTGCCGTCTGTCTGGCTCTTGTCTCATGCAGTTAGGCATGGGAAGTGCGGTGGAGACTCTATGTGGACAAGCCTACGGTGCCGAAAAATATGACATGTTAGGCATATACCTCCAAAGAGCAACCATAGTCCTAACCCTCACTGGCCTTCCACTGCTTCTCATCTTCCTCCTATCCAAACCCATCTTGATCTTATTTGGTGAGACACCAAAGCTGGCTGCAGCAGCCGCCGTTTTCGTCTACGGTCTTATCCCACAAATCTTTGCCTACGCCATCAACTTCCCGATACAAAAGTTTCTTCAAGCCCAGAGAATTGTGGCCCCAAGTGCCTACATATCAGCAGCTACACTTGGAGTGCATTTAGTGCTGAGCTGGGTAGCTGTGTACAAGTTGGGCATGGGGTTGATAGGTGCGTCGTTGGTTCTGAGCTTGTCGTGGTGGATCATAGTTGGGGCTCAGTTTATTTACATCCTAAAGAGCAGTCGGTGCAAGGAGACGTGGACGGGTTTTAGTTTGCAAGCGTTTTCTGGGTTGTGGGATTTTCTGAAACTATCGGCTGCGTCGGCTGTGATGCTGTGCTTGGAGACTTGGTACTTTCAGGTACTAGTGTTGATTGCTGGGTTGCTCGAGAACCCTGAGCTCGCGTTAAATTCTTTGGCCGTATGGTAAGAACAAAAATCATCTGGTGGTGAGGCCTAATTAATTTTCACTGTCTACAGTAACTTCACATTTATATATAGCTAGCTGGTTTGGTCAAATAAAAATATGGGTTTGACTGTGACTACCGAAATATCGAAATCATAATGATTGGTCATCATCAGTGTATTTTGTGTGAACCACACTTTTAGAAGGTCACACAAGACATTATTGATCACAAAACGACACATGTCATGAGTCATTCCCCGATTTTTCTATCAGATAGGAACATATAGACATGTCTTTACTTTTTGGTTGGACTATAGATACGCATATGTCATCCACCCATCAGTCCTACTCAGTTAAACTCCACCTTAATTTACTTAAACTAGCAGTCCTGTTCTCCTAGACTCTATGGCCAAGAAATTTGTGGTGATCACCCTTAAATCTAATCCAAAGGTGGATAAAATATTTATTTTAAATTCTAGGATGATGACCACAAACTCTTTGAATTACAAGCGTCAGGAGAACGGGATTGCTTAAACTAATTAGCCAAATTAATACTCAAAACTTCCTCATGAACCCTAATTAACTATCAACACATCTCTACTACTTACGTGGGCATGCATGTGTATACGTAGAAATTTATGGATTTAATTATAGTGTTGGTTTCGTGGCCTTATGCATGCAGCATGGCGATATCTGGATTGTTGTTCATGGTTTCAGTCGGGTTTAATGCAGCTGCAAGGTATAATATTGGATTAATTGTAAAAATAATTAAGTTTAATATTATGGATATAAAATTAACATTCAGTTAATGATATTGTATGAGAACAGTGTGAGGGTAAGCAACGAGCTAGGTGCTGGGAATCCAAAGTCAGCAGCTTTCTCAATTCTAGTGGTAACAATTGTGTCGTTTATGATTGCTGTCGTGGAAGCTGTGGTTGTGCTCTCCTTCCGTGACGTCATCAGCTACGCCTTCACCGACGGTGAAACCGTGGCCAATGCCGTCTCCCACCTCACTCCTTACTTGGCCATCACTCTTATCCTTAACGGGATTCAACCAGTCCTGTCCGGTAAGCACTCTTATCCATCCAGCTAGCCACCATCAATTTGGTATAATTAATCAGGATTCAAATTGGATTTTAATTATAGTTATATCCGATATGACATCTTTTTGGCTGGTGAAAAGACAAGACACGAGTGATATGTGTGAGGCTGGTGTATATAATAATATATGTAAAGACAAGACACTAGAGCGATATGTGTGAGGTGTCAAATGAGTCGATCCGGCCTGACACAAATATGTTAAAAACACGAGTTTAAATAGACCGGCCCAATTTGGTTTGACCCGTTTAACACCTGTTTGTGTGATATTTTTTCCGCTTGATTGAACACTAGTTCTTGACTTGTCGTTGTGATCATATAAGAAGACAACATAAGTATATTTCAAAATAGTGGTCCATCTGCAGAGAATATATTTACAAACACACCAAGTTAATCAACATATTTATGGTAATGAATTGAATTGCAGGGGTGGCCGTTGGATGCGGATGGCAAGCATTTGTGGCGTATGTGAATGTTGGATGCTATTACGTGGTTGGGATCCCAATTGGTTGTCTTCTTGGATTTAAGTTCGACCTTGGTGCTGAGGTAACTATATAATAATACTTGTTCCAACTTAGCATACATTGATTTTGTTTAATTTAATAAGAAAAATTATTTTATGCCATGTGCATGTCACGTGCCACTGAATTGGACAGGAAAATGTTGGGTTAAGAAGGACACACAGCATGAAAAATTTGTTTTGAATATGTGAAAAAAGTAATTGGAAATGAACATGCAGGGGATCTGGTCGGGGATGATAGGAGGAACATTCATGCAGACTATCATCTTACTGTGGGTAACATTTCGTACGGACTGGAACAAAGAGGTAATTGTCTTCTTTTTTCTTCTTTTTTTTTTTTTTTTTTTTTTTTTTTGGAAAATTTTCCTCTCCTCTTCCTCTTCTATTATGTCTTCTCCTTCTTGGGCGGCTGTGGTTGGTGGTCATGTCTGGTGGTTGTGGCTGCTGCTTTGTGGGTCGGTGGTTGTGGGGCGAATGGGTGGGGTTGGTTGCTTGTTGCTTGGGTCAGGACTATTAGTCCCTCCTCTCCATACAGGTTTCGCTAAGAACACCTAAGGAGGTGTTTTTGGTGGGCCCAGTATTAGTTATCCCACTTAAAATTAGAACTGCGTAAAACAAACAAGGGATGAAATCTTAACTAAGTCAATCCAATCCAAGCTTGCACGGTGTAACAAACACCCCGTTATTGTTCTTAAAGCCTATTAGAAACCTAATTGGAACTTGAACTCACTTCGGCCTTTTAACGGCTTGGCATAAATTGGATTGGAATCGTGTCTAAATCAGTATTTCTCTTCTAAAAAATCAAACCCACCAAACATGGCATTTAATCATTTGCACATCTTAATTATTTTGAGGTATATATATAATTTGAGGTATCGAATTGTTTTTAGGTGGAAACAGCCGGGAGCCGTTTGAAAAAATGGGAAGACAAGAAGCTGCCTCCTCCTCTTCTGAAAAGCTGATGTGCTCAAATTTAAACAAGCTTTTCTAGTATGTTGTTGCTCGATCGGGACAACCCAACTTCATATTTTACTGAAATAATTCAGATGATCAAATACATTTGTAATGTGCTAATGAACATATGGGAGTTCGAAATGGTGTGTAAGTCAAAATTATTTTTCATTGAATTTGAACTAGACGTCTTCTGGCAGAACCATGTCCATTTTTTGTGGGTCTGATTTTAAATTAATTAGTTGGTCAGCTCCCTAGTCCATGCTACTAGTAAATGCGCCAATCAGGTCTCGTCAGTGCCCAGCAACGCAGCAATGACAAGTCACAATCAATATAGTATAAATCAATTGAAAATTAAGTATAAATGTTGAGTAGGTATAAAAATACAAATCGGATTTGCGTATGCATGCGCTTAAACGGACGACCCGTGACCTCAATACTTAATGCATGATCGATAAAAGCATATTTCTGCCCTTTATATATTTTTGCAACTTCATATCATATATATTATAGCCTGATACCCAAATAAACTTATTTCCTCCCACATCGTGTCGAAAACGAATTCCTTGTCTTACCGTCAATATTATTCTTTCCAAGCACCCATTTCGTTTTCGTCCAACAAAAAAAGCAACCATTTGCTGGATATACATCAAATTGTGGCAAAGCCTCCACAAACACCATAACCATAGTTTGTTAGTCCAATATGGTCAATGATCAAGACCAACTCCGCCAACCCATCTTAGACTCCGAACCCGACTCAGCAGCAGCCGAAGCCTCTGGCCATGGCGATGGCTTCGAGTCTCCACTTGAGAAGGTGCTATCTGACACCCAGCTGTCCTCCTTCAAGAGACTCCGCCTGGCCACTTGGATTGAACTCAAGCTCCTCTTTCGCCTTGCAGCCCCTGCCGTCTTGGTGTATATCGTTAACTACCTCATGTCACTTTCCACTCGTGTCTTCGCCGGCCACCTCGGCAACCTTGAGCTCGCCGCCGCCTCCCTCGGCAACAACGGCATCCAACTCTTCGCCTACGGCCTCATGGTACACGTCCCACAACCTTAACTCTTGTTATGTTTCACTCTGTCAACTAAGAGTTGACGTGGCACATTGTTATGTTGTCATTCTTATCTTTTGCCGTCTATCTGGCTCTTGTCTCATGCAGTTAGGCATGGGAAGTGCACTGGAGACTCTATGTGGACAAGCCTACGGTGCCGAAAATTATGACATGTTAGGCATATACCTCCAAAGAGCAACCATAGTCCTAACCCTCACTGGCCTTCCACTGCTTCTCATCTTCCTTCTATCCAAACCCATCTTGATCTTATTTGGTGAGACACCAAAGCTGGCTGCAGCAGCAGCCGTTTATGTCTACGGCCTCATCCCACAAATCTTTGCCTACGCCATCAACTTCCCGATGCAAAAGTTTCTTCAAGCCCAGAGAATTGTGGGCCCAAGTGCCTACATATCAGCAGCTACACTTGGAGTGCATTTAGTGCTGAGCTGGGTAGCTGTGTACAAGTTGGGCATGGGGTTGATAGGTGCGTCGTTGGTTCTGAGCTTGTCGTGGTGGATCATAGTTGGGGCCCAGTTTATTTACATCCTAAAGAGCAGTCGGTGCAAGGGGACGTGGACTGGGTTTAGTTTGGAAGCGTTTTCTGGGTTGTGGGATTTTCTGAAGCTATCGGCTGCATCGGCTGTGATGCTGTGCTTGGAGACTTGGTACTTTCAGGTATTAGTGTTGATTGCTGGGTTGCTGGAGAACCCTGAGCTCGCGTTAAATTCTTTGGCCATATGGTAAGAACAAAAATCATCTGATGCCTGCCTAATTAGTTTTCACTGTCTACTGTAACTTCACCTTTATAGTTAGCTAGCTATTGAAATCACAATGATTGGTCTAACCCTAATTAACTAAAAGAGAAAGTAAAGTCTTTCTTTCCTTGGGACTTTTCCTTTTTCCTGATGAACATGCATTACACCTTTTTTTTCTTCATAAAAAATTAAACAAGTTAAAGCTTTCTACAATAAATATGTACAACCCTATTAGACAGAAGGACAGACAAGACAATTAAGTGCGTTGTCATTATCCTGTGTAAAGGACAGCCCCAGGCCCCAATGTAAGTGTAAGACCTCCTTTCCATTATTGCCATCATTCACTCATGCATGCGGAGTTCACCCAATTCCTTATATAAACACGTAATTAACCAAATTAAATGTTCAAGTAGGCATATATACATGTATAAATGTATAAATTTGTGGATTAATAAGTAATTAGTGTTGGTTTCGTGGCCTTATATGCATTCAGCATGGGGATATCTGGATTGCTGCTCATGGTTTCAGTCGGGTTTAATGCAGCTGCAAGGTATAAAAAAAAATTGATCGTATTTGTTGAATAATTAAGTGTAATGTTATGGTTATAAAATTAACATACAGTTAATGATATTTTTGGTAACAGTGTGAGGGTAAGCAACGAGCTAGGTGCTGGGAATCCAAAGTCAGCAGCATTCTCAGTTCTAATGGTAACAATTGTATCACTATTGATTGCTATCGTCGAAGCTGTGGTTGTGCTCTCCTTACGTCACGTCATCAGCTACGCCTTCACTGACGGTGAAACCGTGGCCAATGCTGTCTCCCACCTCACTCCTTACTTGGCAGTCACCCTTATTCTTAACGGGATTCAACCAGTCCTGTCTGGTACGTAATATCTTATATACTCCGCTAGCTAGCTATACCATCAATTTGGTATATTGAATTCGGGATCATATTGGGGTTTGATTAGTTTTATTATCCGATATGATACTTTTGGCAAAACACTAATGAAATTGTTTTTGCGGGATTAAACTAATAATTTAAGCAAGAGAACATAATTATACATCAAAATAGTAGTCTATATATTTCCAACAGGTGAAATTGATCAGCATATATATAATTAATTAAATTGTATTAATTAATGTAGGGGTGGCTGTTGGATGTGGATGGCAAGCATTTGTGGCGTATGTGAATGTTGGATGCTATTACGTGGTTGGGATCCCATTAGGCTGTCTTCTTGGATTTAAGTTCGACCTTGGTGCTGAGGTAACTATATATAACGGAAAGGCTATAATGAGGAGTTTAGAGTAAGGAGCTTATTTGAGGGGTTCAATCGCACCATCAACAAATGTGAGGAAATCAATGGACTTAAACTTTTGAAATGATTTGATGGTGGGATTGAAACCCTCAAATAAGCTTCTTACTCTAAACTCCTCATTGTAGAAGCTCCCACTACATAATACTACTTCTTCCAACTTAGCATATATCGAGTTGGATAAGAAAAGTAGGGTGAAAAAGGAGAGGTGACAAAACTATCTTTTGATTTTGAATGTACAGGGGATCTGGACAGGGATGATAGGAGGAACATTAATGCAGACCATCATCCTACTGTGGGTAACATTTCGTACGGACTGGAATAAAGAGGTAATTAACTTCAATGAATATGCTTTGTGAGAAATACTTGAGCGCATGTTCAGTCAAGGCTAAATTTGGCACCGCAGAACAGATTAGACCAAAGTTTCCCCAATCTTAGTAGTAGCCCTATAAGGCTCAACTGTAAATATATGTGAGAAACCAGTCTTGAACCGTCCACAATGATCCAGGCCCAAATGTTGATATTCGTTTCGTTGGGCTTGAAGCTCAAAAAAAGACCTAGTTGGAACTTGAGCTCACTTCGACCTCGCCGTAGCAAGATGACTCGGCATGGACATGATTGAAGTTGTGTCCAAGCCAGTTCTTCTCACCAGACGTGTCGTTTATTCACACTTGCGTATCTGAATTATTTTCAGGTGGGCACGGCTATAAACCGTTTGGAAAAATGGGATGACAGACAAGAAGCGGCCTCCTCCTCCTCTTCTAAAAAGCTGATGTGCTCAAATTTAGACCAGTAGTTTTTTCTGGTATGCAGCCCAACTTTATATTTCACTGGAGATGATCGATTTCATGTTTGTATTCTCATTGGATCTTTGATTACAATATCAAAAGTTAATAAGCTAGCTACGTTCGTACAAGTATTGTGTTCAGATAGCTGTTGCATCGGGCTCGAGAAGTGATCGTGAGTTAGCTCAAGTTGATTAAATTTGAACACAAACTTATCCACAGATATAAAGTCCGAGACCACATGGCTGAACTGAACATGCTGTCGTCCTAATCAATCACCTTGAAACACCTGTTGATTAATCTGGTGGAGCCGCCGAGGACCTGACGTGAACTGAACCTCTTGCCATATATGATATGCATCATGCATGAGATGAAATATAAAGGAGGGAGGAAATCAATGAGATAAAGGCGTGCCATGCGTAATGAAACGAGCTTGCTACTTGCTGGAGATTAGCATAATTAATATTTATTTATATAATATTATATGTACAAGAAAATGAGACAAAGCGTGCCAAGCATGAATTCAGCCGACGCTTGTGATTAATTATCTTAATTTATTAGTCAGCTTTGACGAACCTAATCAAGGCAACTTAAATTAATTATAACATGGGTTTGTCAAGTCTAAGTAAATAATTAAAGGCGAAACCCAGAACTTTTCCAGACGGGAATTAGGCTAGTTGGATTTATGGGTGGGTCTAGCTGGGCCAGTTATATATGAAATAAATTGTGGAATTACTTGAGGGAGTTGACTTCTTTGCAAAAACTATGAGTATCTTTGAAAATTGAAACAACATCTATAATTTATATCCTATAACTTTCCAACCTACCAGCCAAATCCCCAAAAAAATAAGGTAAAAACACTTCAATACATTGCAGGGCAGCCATGTTATTGGTCAGTAAGTATAGCATGTTAATTAGATCCATATAACTATACTTAAGCCATAAGTTAGGCGTTCTTCTCTGCAAAATCAATTGAAATTATTTCAAGTGATTATGGAGAAGCACATTGGAGGTTCCTCTTCTCATATATAAATAATTTTGGCCCTCATAAAATCACTCCCAAACGAACCCTCATTTGTCTTTAATTATAATTAGTGATTAATTGTGTGCTCATTTGCATGTAATAATTTCCAAGCGTACGAACGAATGTTTGAACCCAAAATATCTTCAAGCCAAAGCCATGCTGAGATTGCTTGTTTATGTGAAAAGAAGCATCAAGCAAGCAAACTATGTAACATCCCATATTATATTTATATGTGAGCAAAAATCAAACACCAAAATTACAACCTGGTATTTCTCAAAACGATAAGAGACACAACACAACCAAAAGTGGTTCAATTAAGTGAACAAAGCTGGAAGACTGGCGCCAATGGCTCCCTCCCCGCGGCCAAACAAAGTCTTGCAAGTTTTCAGTTGACTAAAAACTTGCTTATAAACGCAGACTCTGGCTGCAGATATACTTAGCAGCATGCTCTTCCTCAACTTCTTTAATCTCCTCCCAATCTTCACCTTCAACTTTCGTATTCTGATCCTCAAATTCAACGGCCTTCTTCGCGTTTCTGCTTGCTGCAACACTTTGTAGATCAAGAACTGCGCTCGTCGATGAATGACCTCTTCTAGGTCCTCCTTGTCCATCTTTGAGTAGGCATATGGCTTTCTGATCATAACAGCCATTTCCTTCAAGATATCAAGAGAGAGAGAGAAAGAGAGTTAATATGTTATGGTTATGTGAGCTGAGATGAGATTAATTAAGTGGGATTTATAGAGAGAGCCTTGAAGAGTTGGTAGTGGAGGTGTAGGGTCAGGTCAGAGAGGAGGTCATATTTTTGCTGATGAAGCAGAAGCATGTGCACTAGTAATGTTTGTTTGTTTACACAAATAATGGAGAGAAAAACTGCAGGCACTGAGCTGGCCTTTAATATCATCTCCTTTGTGTGAATTAACTAAAACCAATTCCATTATAAAATTCAGTTTAATTTTCCATGATTAAAAAAGAATGGTTCATTTAATTTGTCATGCAGAGTGCCTCAAGGTATGAACATCAGTAGAAAGCCTAGATCACTACTGAATTATATGTTATAGAATAAAAAGATCTAATCCTTTGGTTTTGGATCAGATGCCAATTGGGATGTGAATGGTTGATTAAGAAAGGGGTAATGTGTACGTCAACCATGTGGTTCAATCAATTGGATGATCAAGAAATTCAAAGCAGTGATTGTGGTATTTAAGTATTAGTTCATGCATTTACTTAATCGATGCATACAACTTATTGAAAATTGCGTAGTTTACACTTCAAACCAAGAGAGTTTTTTACATAGGTACATGAATGTGTAAACATATAGTAATAGCTCGAAATTCATTCAAATTTACTAGACGTTTAACTATTTGAGCTACAAATTTTCGTTGTATTTTAACACGTAGTATTATTATTTGTCGTAATTTGAAAAATATAAAATTGAATTAAGATTGTATTATTAGTCATTAGAGACCAGCTTTGCAAACATAAGCAAGCACACCGCCAGAGTAAAGTAGAGTTTAGGAAGTGAAAGGTGATGCAGGCTGGCCGTCATTGGATGATTGATGAGGTGAGCTCTGAAGTCAAAGGAAGAAGAAGAGGAAACATGAGGCTTTGCCCATGTATAGAACAGACAAAAACCTCCACCGGCCTGAGGGATCTTTGAAAATAAAAACCCATAAATAATTGCCATTAAATTAAATTATAGAAAGAAAAAAAGCTTTAAAGAGTCAATACAGAGTGAAGAGGGGGCCAAAGGCAAAACAAATCAAAACTAAAAAAACTAACGGGATAGCAATTCGGTCAATAATATATTGATACGTGAAAAAGTTATCATACATGTCATTGCATTATTGATCAGAAATAGCAAAAAGTAATATCCTTGTTGCATATTGCACGAGAATTTCTCTCCAAAAGGGGACAAACATGTTGTCCTTCGAGTGGTTTCGCAGAGGCTTTTGAGGTATAAGTCAACCCTCCAACGGCTTGGGCCTGGCAAAAACAAGAGTGACATTGTTGCCATTTTTAAATTCAAGGATGCAACAAGAGAACGATGACGTTTCATCAATTAAATCAGAGTATATTATCAGACCATGCTTGCATTCGGCATCATCATAGAGACATCTATAATTAGTATTATTCATGTAAAATTTATTTGGTTCAGTTTCGTACGTCTCTCATCCCCAAGTAGATATTCAGTTTCCTGCATGAACTAGGCATTCAATTATTTCATATTAAAGAATTTGCGAATGTTTAAATTATCAATTACTCAAAACTTATATTACAAAGGTATTCCTTGCAAGTTAAATTAGTTGGTTAGAGCAATAAGTCTGGCCCTTTGCATTTAAGTTTGAGTTCCCTTTCCTGTAAATAATAGTCCAAACTACTTTAAGAGAGTTAAATTTACAGTAAGGGGAAGTCGAACTTTGATGAAAGGGGGGCGAACTTACTAAAAGAGACTCAAACTTCAGTGCAAAGGGATGACCTAACATTCGTACTTTATTTCAAGGTTAAGCCCAAGTTTTCCAGGGTCAAGGCCTTCCCCTGCCTTAGTGGGCCAGTTAAGATGCCCAACTCCTCAAGGAAGGGCAGACTGTAAGTGGGCCTTGTCCAGGCCCAACGCGTATTGACAAGAAAGAAAATAATACACACCAAGACAAACCTCAGGCGGAAACGCTCGTTTCTGGAAAACTTAAAAAAAAGAACGCGTTATCTGAAACTGTAAGTGCTTTCACTGCCAAAATCTCAGATCGGATAAAGCCCATGGCAACCTCCTCCGACAAGCCCCCGCCAGCTCCTTCACCGACCTCCGTCAAGCCCGAGACGCCGGGATCCGCCACTCCACGTCAAACCCAACCGAGCCCGAGCGCCGACGCTAATGTCATCCTCGTCCCCAGCTACTCCAGCTGGTTCTCGCCGGACCATATCCACCACTGCGAGGTCCGGTTCCTCCCGGAGTTCTTCGACTCTCGCTCTCCGTCCAAAAACCCTAGCCTTTACAAGTACTACCGCAACACCATCGTCAAGCACTCCAGAGCTGTAAACCCTTCTCGGAAGCTCACCTTCACCGAGGCCCGCAAGGCTCTCGTTGGCGACGTCGGCTCCGTTCGGAGGGTTTTTGATTTCCTCGAGGCCTGGGGTTTGATCAATTACACTCCTTCCGCGCTCAACAAGCCCCTTCGGTGGGAGGACAAGGACAGCAAGGCCGCCGCCGCCGCCGCCGCCTCTCATGGCGGCGCTGAATCCCCCTCCGGCGGTCCCAAGGACTCTGCTTCCGCTCCCAACAAGGAGAGCCCCAAGAAGAGGACTTGCAATGGCTGCAAGTCTCTTTGTAGCATTGCCTGCTTCGTTTCTGAAAAGGTCTGTCCTTTTCCAATGTCATTCTTTTGCTACCAAGATATATTGGGAGTTGAATTGATTCATTTAACATTTGTTGTAATTATTGGGAATTGAATTGATTAATTTTGATTTTGCTTGTAAAAAAGACTGACTTGCAATCCATTAGTGTCATATTGCTGCTATGGTTTCTGCAACTGATGTTTTGAATTTAATTTTTGGGAACAGTATGATATGACGCTGTGCGCAAGGTGCTATGTTCGTGGGAACTATCAGATTGGTGTGAGTTCTTCAGATTTCAGGCGGGTTGAGATCAATGAAGAGATGGGGAATGGCTGGGCTGATAAGGATACTCTGCATCTCTTAGAAGGCCTCATGCATTATGGTGATGATTGGAGGAAGGTTGCACAGCATGTTGGTAGAAGTGAGAAGGAATGTGTTGCTCATTTTCTCAAGATTCCTTTCGGTGAGGAATTGAATGGAGATTTGGATTCTGGGAATTTGGATCACAAGCCTAGTAGTGCATTGCAGGACAATGCAGGTGATGCCGAATTTGAAATGGAGGGTAATGGTGATGGTACAACGCCGTCTCTAGGTAAACGAATGCGTCTCACACCTCTTGCAGATGCGAGCAACCCAATTATGGCTCAGACGGCCTTTCTGTCAGCGTTGGCGGGCGTAAAGGTTGCAGAAGCTGCTGCTTGTGCCGCTGTAACTACGCTGTGTGAGGCGGATTATGAGACAAGTAGAATGAGTGCTGGATTTCGGGCTTCGAATGCAAAACAGCATGAAACTGATGCTGCATTGAATGGAGATACCAAGACGGACACCAACCTAGATGCACTGGGGGCAAATTTTGTAGATGCAAATTCACAGCTTGAGAAGGAAGGGCTGGATGTGGGAAGAGCACTTTCTGGGATTACAGGGGTGCAGATGAAAGAGATCCAAGGGAAGATTGATCGTTTTGAGGCGTTGGATTTGCAGATGGAGAAAGAATGGGAACAACTGGAGCAAATGAGAAACATGCTCTTTGTTGACCAGATGACGCTTTTAATTCATCAAAGTTCTGCACCAAACACTGCAGAACGGATGCAAGAGAAGAATGTCATAATAGATTGATTTTCTCATCTAAGCTTTCTTTAGCCAGAACTCATGTATGAATTAATGTTTTCTTACATAGACGAATAATTCAGTGACAAAAACATAGAGGAACTTTGTCTTGCATCTTCCTACAGTGATGCATCTAGAAAAATGTGTGACCAATTTATATATATAAAAAAACAAAAATAAAAACTCAAAAGCATTGTTAAGCACCAGATCAAGTTTAACTCAAGCTTCTTACTATTCTCAACAACAAAAAATTTAAAAAATAAAATATAGAAGAAAAGAGCACACTCCAAAAGAGAGATTACAGAAAATCAAATTGTCATGAACTCACGTCTGTTCTCTCTCTCTCTCTCTCTCTCTCTCTAGACCCTTTTGGTTCAAGCATAGTGTTTGTCAACATGGTTCTTTTGCAGAAAATAGAATCAGTAACAACAAAACACTCACCTCGATCCATTGACCGACTGAAATAGGCGTGAACGCCAAAAAGAATGCCCATAAGGAGTTGTGATAGGTTCAAAGCATAGTGTGCAATCAAAGTCATCACTGCGTTCTGCTTTTCTTTGGGTCCTCCTCCCTGTGAAATTAGCTTGTATTCACCCTAAATTCTGAAAACATTCCTGAAGAAGATTGCTACAGAATACCACACAAAAGATAAAATAATATAACATTTTAGAAATTCACAAACCGAATATCATATAGCATAGCCAACTGGTATTAAAAAATATGTACTTAATATCTATGTTTCGGTAAATAAACATAATTCCTTCCAGCAAACAAATTACTCAATTTCTTCCTGGTTTCCCGACATTTTCTCAGCAACCAGAAAAGAGAAACCACACTCACCGAAATGTAGTCGTCCACGTCACCAGGCACGTACCCGGAGGACGAAGGCTCTGCCTCGGCAGACATTGAGAGAGCCCAATCCAAGCGAATCAACGGCGTCGCAGAAATGGAAGAAAAAAAAATCCAAGCTTGAGTTGAGAGAGGCTCAAGACCGAGTCTTTAAAGCTTGGAAGCGCTTAGAGAAGCGAAATGGCTGACTGCGAGTGCAAGCTTGGTGTTTGTTTTGAATATATTTAAAGAGTATAGCCGGGCGGCTATATTTGAATATTTTAATGGTCTAGCCGCGCGGCTATATTCGAACATTTTAAAAGTATAGCCACTCAGCGTTACTGTTTCGAATTTATTCGCCTATTTAAAGAGTATAGCCACGCGGCGATACTCTTTAAATATACAATATTTTCTTATTATTTTAGGGTTTATGGCTAAAGTTATTTCTTCAATTATTTTATTTATATAAGCAATATTTGGGAATGAGAATTTAAATTCTTTCCAATACCTCATATTATAATGATTTCCAGCTATTAGCCCATTAGGCAAGAATAAAAAATGAATTTATTTATAAGAAATAATACGGGTTAAACCCATAAATACAAAAAACAAAGGATCCACCAACAAAATAATTAGCCAAACAAGGAACTATACTAACCCCATCATTTTGAAGTCCCTCACCTTAAAATCCCATCATTTTGAAATCCCCACTTCAAAATCCCATCATTTCAAAGTCCTTCGTCCTAACACAACTTATTAGAATTACATCTTCCGGCCAAAATGATAAAAAAAACCAGAGGCAATCTTACAATTGCAAACCATTAAGCTTAAAATTTAATTTATAACAAGCATTATTGTCAATCAACAAGTAAAGTTATGTGCACCACAGTGCTTCTATCTCAATACGTTACAGTAGGTACTTTGACAGTAGAGGATACACATTTACAACGAATATCTATGTACATACTTTCCATCTTCGAGCCATTTTCACAACATAGCTATCAGCTAAAACGTCTCTTGCAATCTACTTGAATTTAGTTGTAACCCATTGACAAAAAGATTGAATTTCCTCGACTCAGCTTATTTGCATAAACCATTGCTGTTGTCTAACCCACAGATCCTTCAAGCTTCAAACCAATCAATTGGTTCACCTCAGACCCAAACTCGTCAGGGAGCTCATTGAATACATCCCGGCAAAACCCAGATATCATAGCAGCCATGGCTTTCTCATAGTCAATTCCTCTCTGCTGAAAGTAAAATAGCTGGTCTTCACCAATTTTGGAGGTACTGGCTTCGTGTTCAATACGAGCTGAGGGATTCTTTACCTGTTAAACACATGAGATGAATTCATTAAGGAATTAAAAAAAAAAAAATTCCATGACAGTTTCACATTCTATGGGCACTAACTGGATGAAAACCAGCAACTTTGGAAAGGAATTTAGTAATTGAGATGAAACCAATGCAAAAACAGCCAATTGGCTAATCCTTGAACCAACCAACGAAAGAACTATACCATGTAATGCCATTATCAGCCAAAAAAATGTATTTACTGCAAATTATAGAGGCCAATTATGGCCATATATATTTATATAATTATAGCCTGAATGCAATTATCAGCCAAAGTAAGATTAGGGCCAAATAACTTAAGAATTCTGTAATCGACCTAGAATATATTAGATTTTCACCGGATACGGGAAGTCTTGAATGTACTGGAAATAATTTGAATCTAGTGCAATATGTGCCTAATGCAGTTTTTTTGGTCAATAAAGGCAGTGTTGTATCAGTGTGTCTAATCTTTTCAACTAACACTATTGATTAATCTTGGTAACCATCTTGATAGCATCTTAGACAAGTAAGTGACCTACTTATTGAACACCAGACTCATCATACCTTTCTCCAAAAGCAAACCAACTTTTAAACTTTCTTCTCCAATTGCCAACAACAAACTCATGTGAATTATGGAAACAAATTACATTTGGCACAAGATGGGAGGGCCAGGGCTGAGCAGAAGGGCAGAGTAACACAAAGAAATGCAAGAATGTCATCCCATGATCAATCTAATTAACCATCACACTAAGGCAACCATGTAATAAAAAAAAGAGGCAAGATCAAAGTAAATTACCTGGATATATGGGTAGGTGTTGGCAGCTGCACTGTCTCCAATAAGCATTGAATCACACTGTGAGGAGTTTTTAGCATTCTCTGCCTTTGATTGAACCTGTACAAGGCCCCGATAACAGTTCCTTGAATTCCCAGCTGATATGCCCTTTGAAATAATTCTACTTCTCGTATTTTTGCCTTTGTGTATCATCTTTGTACCTGTGTCTGCCTGCTGATAATTATTAGTCAAAGCTACTGAGTAGAATTCACCCACAGAATCATCACCCTCCAAAATAACACTTGGGTATTTCCAAGTAATGGCAGACCCTGTCTCCACCTGGGTCCAAGATATCTTTGAGCGAGCCCCAGCACAAAGCCCTCGCTTGGTGACAAAATTGTAAATCCCTCCCTTCCCTTGCTCATCCCCGGCATACCAGTTCTGCACTGTGGAGTACTTAATCTCTGCACCCTCACCACAGTACAACTCTACTACTGCAGCATGAAGCTGGTTTGTATCATAAGAAGGTGCAGTACACCCCTCCAAATACTCCACAAAACTCCTATCATCAGCCACTATCAAAGTTCTCTCAAACTGCCCCGTTTCCAATGCATTTATCCGAAAATATGTTGAAATTTGCATCGGGCACTTAGTGTCTTTGGGTATATAACAAAATGATCCATCACTGAACACCGCAGAATTCAAGGCAGCATAATAATTATCCCCAGTGGGCACAACTCTACCTAAATACTTCTTAACTAAATCCGGGTACTCCCTAATCGCCTCCGATATTGAACAAAAGATCACGCCTTTTTCCTCCAATGCCTTCCTATGTGTCGTGGCTATCGAGACACTATCAAGAACTGCGTCGACTGCAACATTAGCCAATCGATTCTGCTCATTCAACGGCACTCCTAATCTATCAAAGTACTTAAGAAGTTCAGGGTCCGCCTCATCAAGGCTATTCAAGGCGGGTTTCTTCTTGGGTGCTGAGTAATAACACATATCTTGAAAATTAATCACAGGATATCGATTATCAGACCATTTGGGCTCTTTCATAGTCAAGAATTTCTCAAAAGCATTCAATCTAAACTCAAGCATCCAATCAGGCTCTTCTTTCAGCGAAGAGATTAAGCGTATGGTCTCCCTAGAAAGCCCTTTTGGAATCGAAAACGAATCTATATCTATATTAAACCCAAATTTCTTGTCGTACTCACGGTTACGAAGAAATTCCTCGATTGAGAGCTTACCTTGTGAGACATCCGGGTCGATCGTTTTCGGGTCGTACCCAACATCTGCTCGGACCTTGAAGACCCTTTTCGGAACAGAGGTTTTCACACCCGAAAGCTTAAAAAAATCGAGCTTTGGATGAAACCTTTTTGGAATCAGCTTCGGTTGCTCTGAAGCAGCTTGAGGACAGAAGCTTGAAATACCGTTAGCTAACAGAGAAGCCATAGTTGTGGCTCAGACTTCAGAGAAAGTTGGAGAAGACGCGACGCGAAGACAAATACGAAATCAATTGAAGAAAGGCTTTATTGCAAAAATTCGTGGCCATAGCTTTTGTAGCTATCTCGTGCGCAACACACGTACTCCCTTTGCCTCTTGGGCTCTTGGATCTTTCGATAGGCACACACACATTGTAAAACATGGGCCTTTAAGAGTCTCTAAGCCCATATCAATCCAGATGGGCTGAAAAACGTTACGGCCCACTAGACTTACGGGTACGTAATTCCCACGTCCAAACACCTGGGAATAGGTTCCAGCGCCAATTCTTGGTTCAAAGAATCCCACGCCCAAACAGAGCCTTGTTCTGGGCTGATAAAAATAAAGAAGCCCAAGAAAGAAATAAAAAACAAATGAAATAAAATAAAGAACAGGAAAACGATTTTCCCACCATTGCCACGGATTTTGGATTTTCTTGATTGATTTGCGCTTCTCGTTTCCTCGCCAGCCACATGTAAGTGCTTCAACCTGTGTTAGCATTGTGGTGATTGTAATTTCTTTGGCGTTGCACTTTTGTTTTGATTTCATCAATGCATCAGTGAAATATTACTATATTTGATCTGGGTAGCTTTAGGGTTTTGATCTGAGGAACCAGGGAGACCCTTTTCTTTGTTTATGTGGGCTGATTCATGATGAGCTGAAATTACATGTTTGTTGGCTTGAGTGAGATGAGTAATGGAGTGGAAAAGGACTGTTTCCATCAGAAACAGTATTCTATTTATTGTATTTCTTTTAAAGATATGAATATTTTTTGGTGCATGTGTGCTTATGCATTTACGTTGTTAAATTCTTTATTGTTCATAGTGTGTCTGTTTTTGGGTTTATTTGCTTCCAAACATTTGTTTAGTTAACTTGGAGCCAGAATGTTTATTTTAATATTTTGGTGTCCAAATTTGTTTAACACAAACTTGGAAAACTATCTCCTTCATTTATGCTTGTTAGTGCTTGTAATATTGAGTCTTCAATTCATTTATTCGCACTTTCATAATCTAATTATTCTGAACTTATTTTGAATAAGAGATGTATTGTTACTACCTCAAGGTTTCTGAAACTTGGGACATTGCAAACATTAGAGTTTAATCGTGTTATGAATGAGAATGCAAAGATACATAAAAGGAGAAACAATTATGTAATGGTGACCATGAAGAAAACATTGAGAGATAAGGAGATTGAAATATCTAATTAACTTATTTCATTTTATTGCTTAAAATCAAACCATGATAGTATCATTAAGTTCAATTATTGTGTATGCTGAGTAGTTTTATAATCTACTGTATTAATTAACATTTATCTCTTTGCAAATAATATATGAATTCAATTCCATATGTGCCACTGAAGGTCCTTTTAGGTTTTTTTTTTCTGCTCATGGAAACTAATTATGGATATCTTGGTGATATGGCGGAAAGTCTTGCTTCATGGGTGTTACATGTGGAAGGGTTCTGGGGAATCGGTGTATCATCTATTATTACATTCTCATTTGGCCTAGGAGTGTTTGGGGTTTTATGTTGTCATTATTTAGAGTTTTAATTGGATTATGTCAGGATATGATCAAAACTTGCTACTAGAATGGTGTCATAGCTTTGTGGGAAAATCTGATAATGCTTTACTATGTGTTATGTGGTACTTGTGTTTTAGGGGGAATGCAAAAGCTTTAGATGCTTTAGAACATTCAATTATGGAATTAAGGGGTCAATTGTTGAGATGGATTTTGATCGGTCAAATTCCTTGGTAGATTTAGTTGCTTCCTTTCTGTTTATAAACTCTTGGATGCAGCTTCTGTACTAGGCTAGTTTTTTATTTTATTTTATTTAATAAATAAATTTAACTTACAAAAAAGGTTATCAAACAATGGTTCCTATATTAGTTTCTTAAATCTCTTAATGCTTCCGTGGCTTTGGGAAATTCAATTGTTAAAACTTCTAATCTGTAGCATTTACGTGTTGGGAGATTATTAGAACCACATAAAGAAAATGGAAGTATATGATTGTGAACTTTTCAATAGCTCCCTCAAAATTAAATATCATCAATGAACTAAAAGATAAAGCTAACATGGTTCTATACATGCATGGAATGATATATTATCTTTTAGTTGGATACTCACATTAATGCAGTAAGTGGAGCTGCCAATGCTTGTGCGTTGAGCCTGAAGTTTGGGGTGTCCAGAAGGAAAATTAGACACTACTCTGATTAATGGAATTCCATCAGTGAATTGCAGGATTTAGGGCTAGGAAGCAACTCTACTTGGGAATTCCTAAGGTTAACATGACAGGGGGTGGGGGTGAGGGGCGCGTCTGTTCTGGACTGTGCCTTTAGGAGGACATTCCTGCTTCTGAGGTTTGAATGCACTGGGCTATGATAACTTCGGAATAGCCAAAATTTGGACTACATTACAGGCCTGACACAATGTTTTTCCGATACTTCCGGCCCAAATTCATAGATGTTTTTTTTTCTCTCTTTTAGGTAAAATTATTAATTATAGCTTTTACACGGGCTCTTCAAATGTGGATCTTTGCCATTTTTACTAGGGTTCTTTATAAATAAGAAGCTTTCATCTCTCTGCGCCGCGGACCCTCTCACTCTCTACTCTACTCTTCACCCCCCCTAAGTAGTGTTGATAATGGCACAAGCGTGAAAGAGTCAAGATGGCTTAATCCTTCATCCTGATCATAAATCTTGGTGAGAATTCTGAGGCCTTGGCTTTTTTTTTTTTTTTTTTTTTTTTTTTTTTTTTTTTTTTTGGATAAAAGATTTACTTTGTACATAAATCAATGGAGATGTAATGATCCAGAGAGATCTAGCTGAGGTCTTTTTCAAAGTAGACTTTCTTAGCATTTTTTCGGTGTGAATTTATATTAAATTTGATTGTTATATTTCTTGGTTATTGCATTAACTTTAAACTCTTTATAGATCTGTCAATCGATTGAGGTTGTATAAGTGGAGATCTGAAGATCCAGAGAGATCTATGTTTGGTCTTTTGCAAATTAGACTAAGCATTTTTTGAGTGTGATTTTAGATCTAAATAAATTAAGTTAATCATATTTGTCTGTTGTTATGAAAATTTAAACTTTTGATAGATCTGTAAGTTGATTGAGGTGAAACAATATTATGGTGTTATAATTGGTAAAGAAAGAATAGGAGCTTCTCTGTGGTTCAGGACCTTATTGTTATGAATGGCACTCATTTCAGTTTCATTTCTTTCCTTTTGTAGTCAATCATATTATAAATTTGTAGAACAATCTTATACTGTAGTCATATTCATATCATACTGTTTTCAGTTACCATTTGTTAAGGTTATGAGATTACCTTTTTCCTTGCAGGGGAGAATTTTAGAACTTGTGCGAAATCTGTTACTTTTGCGTGCTTATGTGCAGCATGAATCAACAGAGTCAAGGAACGAGCTCTTTATCTTCGCCAGACCCCCCTATGAAGCGAAAACGTGGACGCCCACGCAAGGATGAGAATATTGTTCATGTAGAGAGCGCGACTGCAGTGCCTGGAGCTGAAAGTTTGAAGAAAAACAAACAGAGTACAAGTGATGATGTTGAGAGTGAAATGGTAGGTCAGGTAGTCACTGGAGTGATTGAAGGTTCATTTGATGCTGGCTATCTTCTCAATGTCAGGGTAGGAGACACTGACACTCAGCTGAGGGGTGTTGTATTTCTACAAGAGAAAATCGCTCCAATTACTCCAGCAAATGACATTGCTCCTCATATTAAGATGTGCAAAAGAAAAGATATTCCCATACCGCCTCTCAACCTGCAATCTCAGCTTTATGGTTCTGCCCGCCCATCAGAGCAAAGTAATAGGCAACCTGCTGAGGTGAAAAACCAAACACCTACAGTTCCAGACCAAACTCAATCCTCTATCCCTGGCGTACCGGAGTCACTTGAAAGCAAATCTTTCTCTGTTATGATTCCTCCAGTTGTTATTTTGCCGAAGAATGATGTAGGCCTTTCATTGGAAGGAAAAGTCATGCCACAACAAATTTTGGAGCCTGTAACTCATAGCCAATCTGCCCCTGCAATGGGACAGTCAGAGCTTAATAACATTGTTGAACAGAATAAAGTGTTGGAGGAAGTTGAAGCAGCCGAAATAATGGAAGGACCAAATAGTGCAGAGGCCAACAAAGCATCAAAAACCGAATCAGCATCTGAACCAGTTGCTGACATACCAGGCATTGAAGCGGTATCTAAGGATCCTGAAATTCAAACTCAGGCTGTGGATTCTGAAAAGAGTGCATTGGTTCATGATGAAGTAAAGAGCCTTGATCTTGAACTCAATCAAACTCCTGTAGTTGCTGAACCTGCAGCAACTGCTGTCATTCCAGCTGATGAAACCGTAGGTAAGGATCCTCAAATTCAACCTCAGGCTGTGGATTCTGAAAAGAGCGCATTGGTTCGTGATGATGTTAAGAGCCTGAATCTTGAACTCAATCAAATTCCTGTATTTTCTGAATCTGCACCAGTTTCTGTGATACCAGGCATTGAAACCATATTTAAGGATTCTCAAATTCAAGCTGTGGATGTGGGTCCTGAAAAGAATGCATTGGTTCATGATGTGGCAAAGAGCCTGAATATTGAACTCAACCAAACTCCTGTATTTGCTGAACCTGCATGCGTGTCTTCTGATCTAGCCAGTAAACCAGTCAACATTGTGATGGAAGAACAGGCTTACCCTGCGCCAAAGCCCAGCCAGATGTTTGGGGGAGAGACTGTTCCATTTGAATTGAAGCTTGCATCTGAAGGATCTATTCCTCCTGGAATGGTTGAACCTCAAATCTCTAGTTCTTCTGGTGCCATTAGCAATGTGGATTGTGATGTCGAAGATGTCATTCCACCTACACAATCTTAGATCCACGTTGTAGCATCAAACAATGTGGTTGGGTCTGAGTTTTGTTTGTGACAGAAAAAGCAGGAGAGTTAGACAGGATGCATGCTGTATCAAGGCTCTAGGAATAAACAGGTAAAAGTAGTTGCTAATGATTTCAATTCTTAGGAGTATGACAAAGACACAGTTATAGTATCAGACTTTCTTTACTATTGACAGCTAAGGATGGTTATGGTTTTTGTTATCAGTTTATTCATTTCAGCCTGGTTCCAATTTTTACCGTTTGGATGATGTTGTTACTTGTTTAGTTGTTTGATGGTTATCCTCCATTATCTTTGAAGGGCTTTCTTGCAGGCAACTAAGAAGTTTCTGTACTTTTTGGTTTTCCTCTTTTCCAAATCATGTTTTGCTTTGTGCTTTGTTTAAGTATCAATTGCAGGGTGACCTGCGTTCAGGTCGCTTTGTGCATCTGGAAAATGCGTTCCTTTGGGTACTACAGGACAGGTTAGAACTTGGATGCTGATAAATGATAAATTCCGTGACGCAATATGAGCGGAAAATCATATTGCGGCAGGCAGCCCCAACATGTTTTTGGTTAAGCTGAATGTTTGGTTGGATTTTGACTGGGTTCTTTTATTAATACGTTAAAAGAATGGGATATCTTTGAGGCATAACCAAGGAATGAGCTGAAAGTCAAATTTTCTGACTCAATGAAATGTGTCATTCTCAGATGGATCAATCAAAGTTGATATTGAACGGCTTGAGATGACCACCCTTGCTAATGGGAACATGAGTAGAAAGGATGTCTTGAAACACAAGAATCTTTTATTTTATTTTATTTTTTGCATAGAAGAAGCAAATCTTTCAAACTCATCTTTGGTTGGTTACTCTCTCGCCTCTATAACATTAATTATAATCAAGTTATTAGTGTTAATTAATCATTGGTCACATCCATCTTTACCATCTCCTCAAGTAGATGGGTTGTCATCGTATTGTTGAGGTTATTATGTTGCTTCCTGGTCATGCGGTATGTTAAACAACAAAAGCCAAAACATACACAAGAATCACCTCTTTTCATTTGTTAAGCCCAAAACTCTAAGCATTTAGGAGTTCATAATTTGTAAAAAAAATTTTAAAAAAGTTGAAGCTGTCATGAAAATTTGAACAGGGAGACCTGAGAGATTACAGATTGTTTTACATTGACAGAAGACGCTACATCTTTAATCGGGTTTCTTCAAGTTCAAGCAATTATCTGCTGCTTGGCTGAACAATTCACGGACCTCCTTTAATTCTTTCTCTGACATCACAATACGATTGAACTTGTTAGTTATCAGAGTCATAACAAGAAAAAAGACAAATAATCTGGCGCAACCACCATGAAACATAAAAACAAGCTCATGACTATTGTATATTTAGTGAAAGGTAGTAGTTCTCAAGAGCACATGTATGATAAAAATAGCAAGATGGAAAGGAAAGATACACCTGCAGCTTCCAGTTGCCTCTGAAGTTCTTGGCCAACAGCGTCATTTTCAGCCTAAACAATTTCACCAAAAGTTTAAGAAAGAAGGTGTACGAAGTCCAGTCAAATGAAGCAATATGAAGACCTTGGATGGAGAAATGAGTGAACTCCATACCTGCAGTTCTGCAATCCTTTTCAGCTGTGCTTCTTCCCCTCCCTCAGCTAAAGGAAGTGCTGCAACTAATGCATCAACCTGTGGAAGAATCAGCGGCGGTAGTATCTTAGTTGAACAACTCAAGAAGCGGACGAATCGAATTGATAAATGAGATGTTCTTGGCACATCAAATCATATCACATAACGAAAAGAAAGGATTGCACTGACAAGAGAAGGATTATGCCGTTAACAATTTGACCGCGAACAAGCTAAAACTAACAACATTTTGATTAGTTGATCATGATTCATGATAATAGTAGATTATCAAACACAGAAAAATGCTGCACCTGCTTAGCAGCCTCAACCAGAGCTGCACTCATGAGCTTGGCTTGTTCAGCAAAATTCTCTGCATCCTCCGTCGGATTCGCAGGTGGTTCTGGGTAATTTGGTGAAAGTCTAACTGGAGGAGAATCCCTTTGTAGTGTTCCAAAGGTATTGAAGGCAAGAGAAGCAATTGTGTTGACTTGTTCCTGTAGTTGGGAGATTATGTCCATCGAGCAAGCTAGCCCTGCCAAGAAGAATTTCCTCAAAGGTTATACATCTTTAACAACAATGGCAAGAAGCAAGGTTCGTATCATATGAACAATTTTCTTCCACTTCAATTCGGAAATTTAAAAAGAGAGAGAAAGAACAAATCTTTGACAATGCAGGTATTTTCTACAATGTACGGTCGATCAAAAGGCAACGAAATTGAACTAGAGAAAAAAGAAACAAACCAAAACCAGAAAAAAAAGCAAAGTCTAGAAGCAAAGAGAAGAAATAGCAAGACAAAAACATCAAAAGGATATTGGTCAGCGATAAAAGTGAAGCGAATTGAAGCTCCGATGAACAGAGAGAAGACTTTACCTCGCCACTGAAACGTTTTCGTCGGAAGAAGAGATCAGAGCGACGAAGCTGTGTGTGTAACTGAGAGAGAGAGAGAGAGCGCGCACGAAGGTAGTGGTAGATTATAGAAGCCTCTATTCTGGCAATCTGGGCCTATCGTATAACAAGTGACATTAGGTTTTCAAGCCCAATAGGAAACAAGACTTTCAAAAACAATTTCCTTTTTTGTTTTCAAAACGACGGGTAGAGATGAACTCAATTCTCTTTGATAGAGGAAGGCAGAAGTTGTAGCCGCCTTCACTCTATTGTCTCGCTCTCGTCGACATCACCATTCCTGAGCCATGAGAGAGGGATCAATTATGTTGAGAAGAAATACTAGATTGAGGAAATATTTGTACAGAAATAGCTTAGAAGGCAAAGAACGCCTTATCTACGAGAAGATGCGCAAGATTAGAGAAGCTCTGCAAGGTTCCCCTCTATCTTTGTGTTTGCAGTTGAAGTTTTGTTTTTTTCTACTTAATCTGGGGCACCTTTTTGTTTTGTTGCAGAGGGAAAACCGATTCCCACTGAGCTTCGGAATGAAGAGGCGGTGCTTCGTTGAGAAATCGATCTCGAAGATGAGAACACTGCTGGTATGACTGTTCTTTGGTTGTCTAGACCGCCAATGTCCTTATTGTTTTATGAAAATGTGGCAACTTTTTGTTTATGAAAATATGGGAACAAAGATGAGGGTTTTACATAAACTGATCACATGGTACATGGTTTTTGGATGCTGTAGAAACCTTTTATTCTTGATGTACTAAACAGAAAGTAGGAAGGGTTAGTATTCTTCTATAATTTAAAATAAAAACTCGAAATATTCTTAACATCCAACTGCCCTGAAATTTTTAGTTTTACATTTTATCATGTGGTCAATTCTTCATGGTTTTCGTTTCTGAATCCTAGTACCAAGGACACATATCGACGATGAGTATGCAAAGGCAGCAAAAAGAGATCCCAAGATTTTGATAACTACTTCCCGGAATCCGAGTGCTCCGCTAGTACAATTTGCAAAGGTTGGTTTAGCCTGTTTCAATTTCTTATTCATCTAGCTGCACTTTTTGTGTTCACTTTGTTGGGTCATATTATGCAAATTTGATTTTGGTTAGTGACTTTGTGGTTCACATAACATTGTTGTAGGAACTGAGCCTTGTTTTTTCCTAATGCACAACAAATGAACCGTGGTGGCCAGGTTGGTGAACTTTTTTTTCCCAAATTTGTTCGGCTTATTTTTCTTCCCTATTTGTCTTTACATAAATCCTCTGTTTCTTGATGTGCGTTTTCCAAGTTTTGCTTGTTCTTACATTGATATCAAATATACGCCCCGGACTTAGGGGTTTAGTCTGGAAATTAGGACTTAGGTATGTGGGACGTTTTGGTGCTAGGAGTGTTTGTGAGATTGGGCCGTGCTGCTCGGTCTCCTCTTCCTGTGGGCTTCTTGAGAACCCTGATCTGTTGAATCTTTTATATGAATGCAACAGTGAATTATTTCACAGTTCTATTTTTTATATGGACATCTAGTTTTTGAAAATAATTTGTTCACCATTTTAACTATGTTGTAGGGAACCGACTAGCTCTTATGTCTACTGGTGTTTCTCTTCCTAATGTTGGAAGAGATCCCAAGTTTGAATGCCCCCGCCCTCGTTTATAAAAGAAAACTATGTTGTAGGGGGTGTTACACCGGTAACAGAAATTGAGCCTACTATGAAGTTAATCAATTAGGATTAATTGCTATTTGCTTAACATGAACTCATAAATGCAAGACCTGCTAAGAGAAAACTCCACTTACCTTGTAAAAATCAACCTAATCGTTGCACTAGTAATAAAGTGGCTGGACTAGTGTTTCTTCTAACAATATTAATGTACAGGTTGTGTTTCTAAGTCCATAAAAGTATCATAGACCCCAAAGCTCTGTCATTTCAACTTTTCCATAGGCACCAGAAATTAAAAAAGCTCCCCTGGAATTGTTATTTGCAAATAATTTTTTGTGCATGGTGCTGTTTCATTTCTGTTATGTGTCACATCGTCAACCACGTGCTACTCCACATTCCTTCATTGGCACATATTTTCCTTCGATTTTTCAGTTCAGTTTGTTCGGTCTTTTACTGTTCACCATTTATCTGGTGTTGCAATTATGTCTAGATTGACCCCTACATTTGAGAACATGGTGAATATCTTTTTCCAGGCAAATGACTGCTTCAATTTTTTATGGTGTTATTCTATCTGTCTCAGATGTTAGAATTCTTTCTCGATGGCATATCACATTTGAGGATATACCTGCCATAGTTCTGATCCCTTGGTCTGTTTTCCACAGTAGACTATCTAATTGACAATTTTTTTTTTTTTTTTTTTTCCCCAACCCCGCAGGTTACTTCTGAAATTATTGAAACTTGCTGGGCACATGATTTTACAGATGTTGTGTTGGTTCACGAAAATCGTGGCGTACCTGATGGTTTGTTTATAATCCACCTTCCCTTTGGTCCAACGGCGTTTTTTGAACTGCTCTATGTGGTAAGTAGTGTAATGATCTGTGTTAATGTAAAATAAATATTTGATGTTAAAACTGACTTAGGACTGCAGAAAAAGAATCCAGACCACAATTTTCTAGGGTTCTTCAGCAGCAAACATAGGAAAATTGTGGCAGAGATAGAGTTTTTAAAAGTGAAAGAGAAGAATGATGGTCAAAAGATTATAATTTTTTTTCAATATAAAAACATCAGCTTCCTAGTGCAAAGAAATATAATAGGAAGAGTTGATAGTGACAATCGAAGTATGCCAATCATGATGAACATTGAAATTTAAACCCGTTAAATTAATGAGATTTATGAGCTTGATCCTTTTTTGACCTTGTTGCTTTTTTACCGTATCTATGCTTGAACTTAATAGTTTGGGCATTTTGCTGAAAATATTTTACTTCATAGGTTACAAGACATGACATCAAGGACAAGAAAGCTATGGGAACGATGCCGCAGGTTTATCCACATTTGATTCTTGACAATTTCACGACCAAGGTATCTTCGTCTTGATTGTTCTCATTACACGGTATATTTGCGAAGAAAGATAAGACCCTATGGATTAATAGCATTGTTCACAGAATATAATTGTTCTGTGAATAAATGACCAGTACTGTTTTCATGAATTAACTACTGACTGAAATTTTGAGGAGTCTCACCCTTTGAATCGCCATTTTATCCTCTGCTGGTTTATTTTGGTGCTTGTCTGTATTAATAACCTATCCTGATGGCTTATTATTTTGGGTTTGCATAGAACCTTAATCTTATGTATAAATACGTCACTCCTATTTCTGAGTTGGCCTTCTTAGTTACCACCCTAATAACATAATATTATATTATCTTTTCTCTTCCTGATGTATTGATAGTTGGGTGAGAGAATAGCAAAGATTTTGAAGCATCTTTCCTGTGCCAAAGCCAGATACAAAACGCATAATCACTTTTTCCAATTGGTCGGACTATATTTCATTCAGGTGTATTGTCTCATTTGTGCTTTTATTTTCCCTGCTGTGTCTTTAGGTATTGATTTAGTAAGTGAGTTTTCTTATTTGTGATTCTATTCTTCGCTAAATGTGCACGTGTTGCTTTGCTTTTCCGTTAACAAACTGAGAACCTACAGGCATCATACTTATGGGAAGCATAGAGGTCCTAAATCCATCGGTTTGAAATGAAGCTTTTCAAGGTTAATGCTTTTTACCTGTACGGTCAAGGATTTGTGCTTCTTGCATTGATATCACACTTGCCCTCTTTTATTCAATTTAATTTACTGGTTTGTGTATATTTTTCTATTATTAGTCTTTTTGCCTTTGTGTCTGTGCACCTTTTGTATTGTTTCATACTGCACCCAAAATACTTCAATATGTCTGGTTCTAAGGTTACAGCCATTTGCGGATGGTCGGTTTGCCCATTGAAGCATGAACATCTTAGCCTTTCTTCCCTGTGGGCCTACCCTTTCTCCTAAAAAATATTTTGGGAAAGGGTGGGTGGTTATTCCCCAAGACCAAGAGTAGTTATTAGACAAATCAAGTTAAATGTTTAAATTGGTCTGGCCAAAATGGTTTAAGTTGAACCTGAGGTTTCCGTCTATGACTCTAGTACATTGTTTAATTAATATTTCATTGTATTATTTTGCTTACGTTTTTTCCTTCTTTGATGTTGCAGATAAAGATGGGAACACTGGATCAGACTGAAGCCCAGGATGAATGGGTCTCCAAGTGATACATGAACACAGCAAAAGAAACAGAAGTTTATAGGGATTTGAGGTGCTGCGAATTTTTGATCGGTCGCTGTTACTCGCTTTGACAAATTATGATTGTGGGAAGAGATCATAACCTTGTTCATTCATACAAATATTTCAATCATAACTGAATGCCATAACCTAGTATTCAAATTCACAGATGTAACTAGTTGTCTTACAAACGCTGCAACCGTGCAATACATAATACTTGAGAAACATGAGCAGATTTCATAATCCAGTTCATTCATACAAAGTATTTCGTGGAATGCTTCAATGCCTCCTATGTTCAAATTTACAATTTACAAACAAATTCGATGCTTGACAACAAGAAGTTCAGCCTTTCATTGCCTTTCATTACCTTTCAAGCACAGATCAATCATTAAATTTCAAAGTAACAAAGGTGCATCGAAAACGGCCATAAGAGCCAAAATAAGTTAAAACTAGTTTGCCGGTCTGTAAAACTTTACGGGTTGTTAGAATTGAAGGATCACTCCATCAATTTCTCGTAAAATTTATACTAAATAATTGAGAAGGCCCATTGTCAATCTTTTTTGGCAAAGTGCCAACAATACCCTTATTAAGATTACACTAAAATATATATAATATAATAAGGGTAAAGTAGTGATTATCTTAATCTACAAACCCCTTGCTAGGGTTTTGTGGCTTCGGAATGATACACTTGAATTTTAATATATTTAAAAAGTATAGAATTAATATTTAAAGAGTTTAAAGATTATTACCGCACGGCTATACTGTTTAACAAATTAATATTTAATGAGTACAGCCGCGCGGCGATACGTTTTAAATAAATTAATCAAGAGTTTAAAGGGTATAGCCGCGCGGCTATACTGTGTAACAAATTAATATTTAACAAGTACAACCGTTCGGCTATACGTTTTAAATAAATTAATGTTTAAAGGGTACAGCCGGACGGCTATACCTTTTAAATAAATTAATATTTAAAAAGTACAGCCGCGCGGTAATACCTTTTTAATAAATATATTTCAAGAGTATAGCGTGCGGCTATATAGTTTAAATATATCAATACTTAAATAGTATAGCCGCCCGGGCTATACCCCTTCTATTTTTGGGATGGACCTTTATTATTGCCCTATTTCTTAGCCATTTGAGTTAAACAAGGAACCTAAGAAAAACTGGTTTTGACAGCTTGAAAGCTTTCTTTTCAATCTCGTGGCTCTTGTTGAAACCTTACAGATTCATGACTATGGCCTCGACAGACAGCAGGGAACTATAATTCAAAGAAAATTGTTCCAATTTTAAAAGCAGTGGGTCGTTAAAACAGAGCTTGCAAAACTATAAAGAGATATTCCAGAAGGCTTTCCATAATTAACATGCAATCTTGGCAATACAAGATCACATCGCAAAAAGTACCTTCTCATAAAACATAGAAAGATGTTCAGCCTCAAACAATATCACAATATTATTATCGGTCTCTAGTGAACACTGAAAAACGCTCTCAACACTCAGCTATATCCCACTTGCTGCTGCTGCTGCTGTGGTGGCTGTTGGTAATTACTGTACCCAGCAGGATATCCTCCATAGTACATACTAGGGTCTTGAGAAACTTGGGCGTACCCATAACCATCGGGAGTAGGCGCATATCCATAGTAGCCACCGCCATTCCATTGGTTTGGATCTGCCTGAGGCTGAAAAAGCCAACATAGACATATCAGTCTAAGTTCAGGGGGAATCTGCAAATTTCCAAGTTATAAATGTTAAGTTAAAGCAAAGCACCTGCTTGTTTGAAGGACTGCGGCCCCATGAAAGACGGATATTTTGTGCACCCAACTGAGATCCATTTAACACACGCAATGCTTCTTCAGCGCAGCTTCTGATGCATAAATACAAAACAGAATAGTTGGTTTCTGTGATATTCCATCATAAAACATCTCCATAAAGAAGACTATCAGCAGATCTGCCTACCTGTCTTGAAACTGAACAAACCCACATCGCTTGCCCGCTGGTATCTTCACATGTACTAGGTCACCGTACTGGCTGAAGACTTGTCTCAAATGGTCATCAGTAACATTACCATCCAGGTTACCTACAAATATCTGCAGCAGAAATCAATAAAGTCAGAGATACGTTGCTAAGTGATTTCTAAAGGAAAATTCCAAAAAGTACCCACAGTTGTATTGTTCGGATCACTCTCATTCTTTGAACCTTGAGAATTCTGATATGAACCTGCATGTGGAAAAGTTCAACTAACAGCTGAGATACTTTTGGAACAACAGTTTACAACCTTTGATCCTATCAATCTTAAAAATGAACACCAGAGGAGACAAGCTGACAACTGGCTATTCTTTCTCCCAACAAAGAAAAAGAAAAATGAACAAAAAGAATATAAACAAATCAGTTGCCAATATCCTATAGGTACAGACCAAAAATACAGATAGCCACTATCCTAATACAATTCAAGAATGCTCACGGGATGCTCACTATGTGTCTTAGTACTTGCATTGTTGAAAAAATCAAAGAAGACACATTCTCATAACAATTTGAAGACCAAGTCTCAGAATTAATATCATCTATCCACCTTGCACCAATGGTAAGAGGCCCAACAAGCATCATGCACCCTAGAAAACCATATGCATGTGCACCTATATATGCTGAAAAATAATGAGGACAAGGCTTTAAATGCCAACCTGCTAATCCCTAAACAAACACTATCTATGTGGTCTAACCAACATATGGTGTGAAACTGTAATGCACATTAAACCAGGTGAGAGAGGCAAATAGCAAACCCGACTCATTAGTTAAATAAAATCAGACAGAAGAAAAATTATAAAAAGTTGTTCATCTGAATATGAGTTTCCATCAGTATGGATGACCACTGTAACAATGAGATATTACTATAGAAAAACCAGGTCAGAATTTTTTATGCCAAGGCTAATGCCAAAACAAAATAGAGAAGATACCAGGCTTGGCATACAAGCAAAATAACAGTTGGAATTATCGACTGGTGTTTTAACTGTACAAAAGAAAAGATGGAAAAGGATTGTTCAAAGACGGGCAAACCATGGGTATACTCATGGTGGTGCCACATTTCTCCATGTGCTACTGGGTCAGAGGTTTGAAACTTAGCATGTAAAACCTACTTATTTGGCTGTCAAAGTTGTTTACCCAGTTGGACCAACTAGTTCTTTACCAGCTTCCTGAGTAACATTCCTACCTACATGGAGTTATCCAGTTCACTAATTCGGTCCAATGAATCAAGCAACCTAAATTAAGTAGCAGTGCATGGTTATCTCAGTCGAACCGACTTCCATACCAGTCTGGCTTATATTACCATGGTAAAACCTAGTCATATCATGACAAAGACTAAATTATAACGCAAGATTCCCAATGATGGCCAGCCTGCTAGGTGCAGTAAATTCCAATGAGTTGTAAGTTGCAACATGCACTCCTTCCAGAACCCTTTCTCAGGGATTAAAGACTACAAGATTAATCAAAATCAGGAAATATGTGGATCACAAGGGGGAACAATAAAATTTAACTAAATGGCAGAAGGGTACGATACATTAGGAATCAAAGATGTAAATTTTGCGGACACGTTACTAGAAAAAAACAAGCGAACTTCTCTACCAGTAAAGTAGGAACATGCTCGAGTGAAACTAGAACAGTCACAATATGTAACTTATTGAAAGTTGAACCAACTGAACGCGCTGGAAAAAAAAATTAAAATTCGAAAATGTAGCATGACAAATGCCACATCAGAATAAAGGCCAATACATTAAATGGGAAACTGACCTAAGTGAGGCCACGCACTAAAGGGGAAACCATTTCAGCTGAAATCAGTAGCAGGCCCTTAGATGACAGAGCCTCCTGACGCCCTGCTTTGAGACAACAGGAGTTCTTTTAGTTCTCGAGATTTTAATATCATTTACCTTGCCCAAATTTTTTAAAGAAATTATAGGAATTAAATGACTTGGAAAGTACTGCTCATCTTCGAGAGTATAGCTGAAAGGAAGCAAACTTAACCAACTTAAAAGTAATGTTTGGCACACTGGATACCATATCAGAACTGGAATACACTGCCTCACCATTCCATATTCAAGTTAGTAATGTGTATTGGAAAAAACGAATGAAGGAATACCAGTCATAGAGAAAGGAAACCGAATTAAAGTACTTGTTCTCTCCTCGCAAAACACAACACAAGAGAATTTCACAGACAGCTACAACAAAACCACGAATACACGAAACCATCAAGACTATACCTTTTAAATATTGCTGACTACCCCCAGCATTTTTGTTAGCAGCTGGCCCAATTCGCATAGGCCTTGTTGAGCAGAGAACTCCATTCATCTCAGTCATGGCACGCAACTGTTCGGACTCATCTCCAAACTTAACAAACCCATATCCCTTGGTGCGCCCTGTGAGCCTGTCAATGACAACCTTGGCACCTTTGCATGAGGGAAAACGGGCCCGGAATGTCTCTTGAAGCATGTAATCCGTCACATCAGAAGCCAAGTCTCCAACAAATATGGTATAATCAGGGGTATCATCAGAACGCTTCTCCCCTGCAGATGCCCAGTTCAATCTGAAATTCTGGGCACCATTTGGCATAGGGGTACCGTTGTACGACTGAAGTACTCTTTCTGCAGCAGCACGGCTACTGAATTCAATAAATCCATAACCCTCTGATTGTGTAGTTTGCTTATTGCGGATGACTTTCACAGAAACAAGCTGAAAGCACAAACAAGAAAATATTTTATGAATACAAGAACGCATTTTTATACCTATAAGCCATCACAATCTAAATACACAGAAACATACAAAAATAGAAGGCAAACCAATTTTTTTTATAAAGGAATTTCCTTGGGTTGATATAAGGCAAACCACAGATCTAATAAATAATAATCAGAACTTTCAGCATTGAAAACAAAAAGAAATAAAATAAGGCACGAACCTCGCCGGTGTGAACGAGAATATTGTAGAGATAGGTCTCCTCCATCCAGTACTGCAAGTCGCCGATCCAGAGCGTACGGACCTCGTCGGCGGAGGCGGGCTGGGGCTGCTGCTGGACGAGCTGCCCAGGCGGTGGGGCCACCTGGGACTGCGGGGCCCATATCGGGGGTGCCTGGGCCGTCGGCGGGGGAGGCGGCGCCATCATCATGTAGGGCTGCTGTCCGTACTGCTGGCCTATTGCTGACGGAGCCACACCGCCTGCCCCAGGTTGCATCATCGTGTGAATCTAGAGAGAGAAAGAGGAGAGAGAGAAACCCTAATCGCAAGGGCGAGAGAGAACGAGACAATGAGTGAGAGAGAGATTTTGAATGTCGAGACAGTGATTACGTTGGATTAGGGGTGGGTTCTAGGAATGGCCACGTAAGCCGTTCGCGTGGTAGAATTGTAATATATTTGGGCAAGTCGGGGCATGTTGGGCCCAAATTTACACGTTGGGCCCAGTTTTAATCTAAACAAACGGAAACGGTTCTCTCTCTCAGACGTCCCAATATTCATCAGAACCGACAATCGTGAACAGTGTTGACGAAATACGACTATGAAAAGACAAAAGATGTCGTCCGCACTGTTAAAAAAAAATAAAGTCCAACAGTTTTTAGCTTCACTTTTACTTGCTAAGACAAACAGTCGAATGGTTCAATCTTGGGCAATGCTCTGGATCTGACTCTCTCTCTTGAACTCCGTCATTGGGTGGCAGCAGCATCAGACACTTCAAAAAGAGAGAAAAGTCTTCAACTTTACTCAGCCTGCGAAGCTGGTTGGTATGGAGCACTAATCTTTCTGTTCATGAAGTGCTAGAAATTCATATTGATCCCCATTTGTTTAATTCAGCTTTTTATGTAATTTTGTAGCCATTGAATTGAAGTGAATGATCTCGGCTCTCATATTCACGATTTGATGCTTTTTTTTTCTTCTGAAGTTTGGATTTTTTACTTTACAACTGTGAAGCAATCCATATAGTTTCTGGGTTTTTGTCTTAGAAGCAATACAGAGTGAATGAACAATTTTGGTCGAAAATTTTTAGCCTTTGCAGATTAGAGTTATTGGATTTGCTTGGTATATAGTCATTTTGTATTGGGTTGCTGGTGTGATCAAGGAAGTAATTAGATCTTGTACTTGTGGTAAAAATGGATTTGCATTTGAAGAACGTGTTTGATAGATTCCAGGAGCAATTTGGGTCTGGTCCGGGGCTTGGTCCTGGATCCGGGACATGTCTTATGAAGGTAGAAGGCATTTCTCCAAATTTTATTAAGTCAGTGTTTAAAGCTTCGGCAGCTCTATATAGGACTGATCCATGGAAAAGATTGTGCCCAGGGCATCTGTTCGGCATCCGGGTTGGGAAAGATACGGATTGGTCTGGCAAGAAACAGCCTTTCCCATGTGTCCAATTCATTGGAGGGGATGGTGGCGATATTGGCTTTAATATGTTTCGATCTCAAAATGATGCTAAGAGGATGACTGGTTCAAGAGAGACAATTCAGGTGCCCAATGTTGAGCTTTTACGGGTCACATATGAACGCGAGTCATTGATGTTTCCCTCTAATAGGAAAATGATCAAATCTTTGTCATTGGAAGCATCAGTGATTGATCGCTTCCCTGTTATTGATGTTGCCCGCTGCACGTCGTCAGGGACTCTTAGATTTAGGCATCCAACTCCTGAAGAGCTTAGGTTTGTGTATGCATTCATGAAAGCCATAGCTCTGGTGCACCCATTGCTTCAGGAAGACAAAGAAGGTGGTCCAAAGTGGTCAAGGTTAATGTACTTTGAACCATTTATCGAGACGGTTGATGTTCAGTGGCCACAAGAAATGGCCAAAGGTTATGATCTCGTTGCAGTTACAATCTCACACCCACCTGGTCAGGCATATGAAGAAAAGACTAGTTCAACGGCTAGCTCAACCCCAACCAAATATGCAGAACTATCAAGGGAGGAGGCTTTTGTTGATATAAGAGTCTACTCAAATGGCAACTTGCGACAGTGTGCAGCATGTGAGAAAGAAATCCACGGTGAACAGGCTCTCTCGTGTGTACGATGTCAAGCAGTGCTCTACTGCAGTTCTGTCTGCCAGAAGCAGCATCTGAAGGAAACACATAAGAGCATGTGTGGTCTTTACAAGGCTATGATGGAAAGGGAAGAAGAGCTGGCAATGAATATCTTCATGTTCCCCTGTGCTGCTGACCAACCTTGTAAATGGCTTGAATCATTGGGCATCCATCAGAAGGGTATGTGGAGGAGAAAGTGTAGTTGCTATTCTCACTGCCCCTTTGGTCTTCTTCCTGTTAAAGGTGGACTCTGGGATTCTTGGGGAGGGCTTAATGATGAAGAGTTTCCACGTGACTCGTCCTTTCATCATCATGTAAGAGATGGTATGTCAAGTCCAATCCTCCTCTCTGGCTGGTCGGAATACTATAATCTTCGCTCGCTGCCATTGTCAAGCCCCGTTGCCGACATCCTCTCCCACCCATTGACCGTTTATTACATATTGACAACTCTCAACATCAGTTCAAAGAACTTACTAATGAAAGGTAAGGAGGTGGTTGTCCACTACCTAGGTCCAGAGGGAGAGTTGGATTGGATGCCAGCATTTGCAGAGGTTGGTCATTTGCTCAATGGATTGGGCAATGTACAAATTATTATGGTGGGTTCTGAAGTTCCAACAAATTTGTCGGGGACAACTTCAGGAATTGGTAGCAGAGTGAGAGTGAATCTTGTCAGGGGTGTTTATGAGGAGGAAGCCTCCTACCTACCTTCACCTCATGTTATTGTTGCACTAAACTGTGGATTGAGTTGCTATTCAACTTGGGGTGGTGCTCTTAACTCAATTAAGTCCATGGGCGTTCCAGCCTTCTTCACAGATCAATCTGAAATCTCATGTGCAAACGCTAAACAGGTTTTACGAAGTGCTGGACTGCATATCACACATCCTGTGATGCCAAATCCTTTCCGCTCACCGGTGAAACATCACGAGCCTTCTAGCAATCTTCCTTCTTATAGCAATGGTTTTGTGCTTGGGGTAAATACATGAGTTGGGAACCATGAAGTTTGAAGTCTCAACCTGAACTTATTTCTGATCGTTGTACTTAATTCTCTAATGATTTTCTCTTTCTGTGATGGCAAATGGCAATGACTTGCTAGGGATGAATGGGACAGCTAATCACCATCTTTGCCATGAAGATTGTAACTTTAGCATTACTTCATTTACTTGTTTTCTCCCATTGAACTGTGAACTCAGTTCCTGCTAGACTTAAGCTTTGTCTTGGTTCTATATATTTGTTCTCAGCCACTGTCTCAGGCTGCGATGGCATCAATTCCAGTAGAGGCTCGTGATACGTGTTTGATACTGGGGGTTTGTGTAAGTCCTTGTGAATGTATATCCGGCAATATGATATTTTCAGTCGCTGGAATCCCTATTTCCATATAAGTCATCTTCAATTCTATATAGTGGTTAACGTTATAACCCGAATTGGGATTATGACACTCGACCCTCTAGAGGCATGCTACGAACAGTCATCCACAATTGTGGGCAATTTTATTTTAATTTTTTAAAATTATGATGCATGTGAGGCGCCGAAAACATCAATGGTCAAATTTTATCCACGCGACGCGCATAGACAAATTCTTCGTCAACTTTTAGAGCAAGAAAACCTTGATTAGATAAAAATCATACGTGGTCAGATCAAATCTTCCTCAAAAATTTGAGGCCTGCCATTCTGGTAGATATTTTGCCAACCCATTGAAATAAGTACGTACGCAAGCGGCAGATGATAAGCTCTTGTTTCAAAGTTTGAAAAGCCAACTCAACCAACCTACCTTGAGTCCAAGTTTTTCGATCCACTCGGCCTATAAAAGCCAGCCAAACAACCTTTCTTTCCTTCTGTGTTAAGCTACTGCCTGCCTCATCCCAGTCTAGATACTTTATATTTATACCCTGCCCTGCAAGAAAACCATTTCCTCTTGGCTCCTGTAAATTAAAGCAATGGAGCTCCCAGCCCTCCACCCTTACCAATATGTCTTCCCTTCTCATCTCCTTTATCCATATCACTTGGCCCCTGAAAACTACGTCCACTGGACTGAGACCCCAGAGTCTCACATTTTCTCTGCTGACCTCCCTGGTAAGTTTAAAAATCCCTCTTACTTTTTCTTTTATGGGTTTTTATGCAAGCGATAGTCTAAACAACTCTAAATTAATCTAATTTACTAGGAGGCAATTCGAACTTGGGTGTAAGAAATGGGCTCACTGCCCTAATCAACTGGCATGACTCACGTCTGACCTCTTTTAGTCCTTTTTAATTCACCTTTCTTGTTATGTTTCCGTTGGAATGGTTATGAAGCTTTGTTTTTGGTTGTTGTATATGAGCAGGTGTTAGGAAAGAGGAAATAAAAGTAGAAGTAGAGGATTCAATATACCTCATAATTCGAACACAGAGAATTGATGAAGCCACAGAGCCCAGCAGGAACTTTATGAGGAAGTTTCGGATTCCAGGTAGGGTTGATCTCGAACGGATTTCAGCTGGATATGAAGATGGAGTATTGACAGTCACAGTGCCAAGATCTTTAAGGAGGACTTTTTATATTGACCCAGCTGATGTCCCAGAACGGCTTGAAGTTCTTGCAAGGGCTGCTTGATTTCAAACATGGCAATTATTTTTATTATTATTATGTTATAATTAGGTGCTAAGTTCTAGTTGTGGGATATTATTTTTTCCTAAGCGCTGGTGGATTGTGCTGGATTTGAGTTCTCACATTCTTGTACGAACGTTTTAGATCTGTTCTATTGGTTTCTCTCAAATTTCTTGTCATACAAACTGATGAGAGTGATGTTTCATTTCCAATCAAGGAAATATAACCATATATGGGAAATTGAAGAAAGAAGATAAAACTAGTGCCAAAAAATATCTTACGTCACGTCCAAATCAAACCAAACAGATAACTTGCACAGTTGGCCAGATGTACGAAAAGGATTTTGTTCAGTCAAATTTATTGTGGTAGATATTTTCCGAGGTGGATCGGGAATCTGTTGGGAACAAGGTTTAAAATATCAATGGTATCAGAAATATCGGTAATCCAAAAATATGAAAATTTCGATAGAAATATCGGGTTATTATCGATATTGATAAAAATTGAATAAAAACCACGGATATTGTAAGAAAAACTTGAGAATTTTTATTAAAACTTTGGAGGATATTTATTTAGTCAATTATCTATTAGTTTATCACAAAAAATTGGAAGGAAATGCATTACATGATGGGTTTAACTGATTTAAATTGATTATATAATGAGCTGACAAACACTGTGAGTGTAGAAAATATATAGTAATTAAGGAAAGAATATTAAACACACTATAATCATTTATATATATAATGATTTACTACAATATTTTACACTTTATACATTGCATTAATACATGAGTGACTTAGTACCACATAAAGTTCTTACGATGTTCAAATTTTTCACTATCTTCATCATCTTTATGTGTAGAATAAGTGTATTATGAAGAATAGTCATCAAATGATAAATCTCCAAAATAGTTTTGGATGTAATTGTTAACATGCTACCCATATGGATATGAGATTAGTTGACGCTGTCCATAAGGAAAATCATTTGAAGATTGAGTCTCGAATTCTTTCCATAAGCCGCTTGATTCTATCTCAAAAAGAAAGGTCAAAGACTCACATTCTCATGTGAAAATCTAATTATTGCAAGGAAACAAAACAATATAAATATACATATTTTAGCATATTATCACAAAAATATAAGTAACATGGTGGTTAATGCGTTGAAGGAGTGAAATGCTAAGGGTTTGAATCCTCTTTGTGCGTGCGCTTTGCGTCTTTTTTTTCTTTTCATTACATCAATATTTTTGATATTATAGCCATATCATAGCGATATTTTGACAAAATATTGCTGAAGTATAAGCGAAATTATCAACATCGATATTTTCCGATATTATCGATATTTATACGATATGTGTATAAATACATTCCGAAATATCCGTAACTCGAAAAAACGATAATATCCTCAAGATTTCATCGATATTATAGATATTTTATACTATGGTTGGGAATTGAACTCGAGAAGATGATTTGCCGGCGGCAGTCATAGGACCACAAGATGCAATGTCTCATAAGAAACCCATGGGCTGTTTTTTCTTTTTTCAATAAAAGTTAGAGGGAGATTAGCTACTTTCACCACTAACACCTTGACAAATACTCAAATATTGATGGGACTACAAAGTGCAGGGATCAACTAAACTAACCCTCGTTGGCTGAAAACCATGTGCTTTCAACATCACATTGCACCAACTTTTTACAGTGGTAAAAACCAAGGATTCATTTTGAGATACGTCATAAGTTTTTACCCTATGCAATCAAATTGCCCTGCCCTTACCCCTTCTTTTCCCCATTGAACGTGTAAATTCAATGACAAATATGCACATCAGATCCTCACAAAACACAGTTTTTTACACATTGCCCGTGAACTCAAAAACCTAGCCTTCCTGCTGTGGCCAGTTTCAGAATTTCAACAGCCTCCTTTAATCTTCTCTCTGTATATTCTCTACCAACTGTAACTCGGGCGTTCCTGCATAAGATAACACTAAGGTTAACAGATAACACAGATCACATAAAAGAAGAGAGATTCTTTGCTGAAATCCAACCTCTTCTCATTGTTGGCCTTCTTGCTAAGTTCCTCAACAAGACTGTGGAGCCTTTTCAAAAGGGCTGGTGATCTGCGTACAGCTTGAACGCCTTTACGACTGGCGCATATCTTCTTCAGAAGCTCAGAAGCAATGAAATAACCCTCCTCCTTGTTCCTGATATTAAATTAGGTTATAGCCCTTAACCCAAGATGACAAAAAAGGCCCCATACAATCTAACTTCCAAAATAATACGAACCTTAGGAACTCCCCTACAACAGTTTCTACAGACCCAGGACTATCAATGAGCACTTCAACCAGATGTGGATAGCGGGCAAGGTTCCTTAGAGTTGAGAGGACGTGCTTCAGAACCTCCTGATCTGGTATGCTTCGGCTGGCTGACCGAAAAAGCTTCAGCAGAGTTTTAATAGCTCCTGCCTCCACAAGTTTCTCACAACATTTATGAGAATGTTGTGTAGCCTTGTCTGTATATAAGATTCAAAAGTGTATCACGCAAGGATTCGATTTCATGCAGGAGAGATGGAAAGACAAGATGTTGGAAATGGAGTTTTAGCATCATACAATCATTAAACACTTACCCAAAGTAACACAAGTATGAAGAATGCCACTGATACTTTTCATTGTTCGTAGTTCTGAAAGTGCTGCCACAAGTCTGTTAATAATGCGCATGCTATCATCCACATTCGCAGCAGACTTTTGCACTCTCAAGCGCAAATCCAGTAGCTCACCTCCTGTCTCTTTTTTCCTTGCCAAGTAACCTCTCCACCATGACTGTCACTCAAAACAGTTTTTATTTTTATTTTTAAATTTGCCGAATTCCGAAAATCCAATTCAACTAGTTTAACATTTATAACTGCTAAAACATGCTTTTACATTCATGTCAAATCAAAATCATGAGAAATGTACACGGACTATTACATGAAACGAGTATATGTGTGAGAGCGTATCTGGTACCACTTTGGCCACATCAAATGACAATAGAGATCCATAGAATAAAAGAAATTAAGGGAAAAAAAAAACATAAATGGTATGATATGGTAAATTGCAACAAATATAGAATATCTTACTTGTATTACAACAATACATTGCTTCTCTCCAGTAGCTTTTTGCCTATCCAACCATCCTCGAATATGAGATTGAATAATGACTGCAGACTTCGTTCTTAACTTTAGCAACATAGCACCTCTCCACCACCTTTGCAATTTCAACACAGAGCAAAAGACTTTATTTAGTTCAGCACTCTTATAGAAGGCTCCTGTGCTCTTTGAAAGACAACCATTGGAGATGACTGGACGTAGGGAAGAAGTACCTGCAACAAACCAAAACAATAAACATTTCTAAACTATAAGTAAAATTTAACTCACAACTAGAACCATTGGGGAAAATTGTACTAATATACCTAAGAGCCTATTTCGACTAATCTGCCCCTTGACTATCGGTTGAATTTTCATTGCAGCTTGTCTACGACGATGAAATGCCTGACGGCATATGAGGCATCGAACAGCACTTTGGATCTTTACTGCAGCCTCTCTTTGACACAAGAAGTAACTTCTGATCAACCAACCACGGCAGTATCTCTGAATTCATTTAAGGACGCTAATGAGATATGATATTTACAAAACAAAAACAAACACAATCGGCACTTATCCAGATCATAGAAATATCGGGTACTTACTTGGATTGCAACAATGACATGCCTACGTTGATCAGCTCCTCTCCGGGCAATGCATGCACGTACATAAGATTGAATAACGGTGGCTGATGCAGTTGCAATTTTGTATTGCTGATAAGCCATCCAACATATTGACATTCGCAAAGCACTTTGGATTTTTATTATTGCTTGCCTTTGAGTGTGAAACCTTCTCCTCAATAGCCAACTACGAAAATGACTTTGAATTTTGGTTGCAGCAAATTGCTGATAGCGAAGAGAGTGACGGACTGAAAAATTCTTCCAAGCACGCTGGATTTTAACTGCTCCCCATATTTGAAAATCATGCGCACCATTTTCCTGGCACAGATTGGAAGATTTATCTACTAGAGCAACCCCATGAATGTATCTTGATCTTGTAAGCCACCCACGAATATGTCTTTGGACAACAATGGCAGCATTGACTAGATCAGAAGTGCATGCATCACGAGTTAAAATGCTTCCACCTCGATGTCTTTGAGTGATCCAATTCCTTACAGCTCGTTGGATGAGCAAAACTGACCTTTTTAAGTTGAGAAACCCATGTCTGCCAATAATGAACATAGCATATCTCCTCCCTGTTTCTCTTTGTCTCCACCTTTCTGTATGATTAGCCAAATAAATCGTGTTCATGAAAAACTCCATATATAAAGGGATATAAAAGAATCACAGAAAGGAACATACCACATGCTAACTCTTGAACTTGAATAGTGCTAAACTTTATGCGAGCCGGTTTTTGCCTCGCACTTAGCCAAGCACGGAAAACTGTTTGCAAAAAAGCTGCGGCATTCAACATCTTCAAAAACTTGCGACGTTCAATAGCTCCTCTGAAATGTGACTGTATCCTTTTTGCAGCATTTACTGGAAGTATTAGATAAGGATTCCTCCGTCAGAAAATGAATATAGCATACCATACTCACGATATCAGGACCAGAAGTAAAATGATATCATAAACTTATATATAGAAAATAAATTCTCCCCTCCCGAGTAATAGAAAAAATAAGAGACCAAAAAAAAAACACGAATCACAAAACAATTTTACTCTGGCTCAGAAAACTGAATGGAGAGGGAGGAATTAATGGAACATGCATGATCTCCTGAAGTCAAAATAATTAAAATTATGAACACTAAACCATAGTTGACAAATAATAATAGAACAAAATAACTACTAAGAAAATTAGAAGAGAAAAATTAATGCAAATTACCAAAATATAAACAAAAAGATTCCATTTCTCACCAAGAAACTTTTTTTGTTTGGTCACTACCTAGAAACTGGTAAGAATAAGAAATGGAAACATGATGATGACTACTGTAGCATTGAACTACAGAAGATAATACTAATTACCTTTCTGAATATTAATATTGTCTTCGTTTGTGGAAACGTTATGCAAAGCAGGAACAGCTGGTTTGGCAACAGACTTATGGTTCCTTTCAGCCATATCTTGCCACCAGGCCTGAATGGCCTTAAACTTTATTACAGAATCTGTTTGTATATGCAAACATTAGAATACACAAAATTGAAATAAACAATCAATTTTAACAAATGAATAAAGAGTTCTAGTTAAATACATGACTCCAACAAAAATCATTTCCAATTATGTGAAAACCAGAAAACAGAACTCCTTAAAAGAAAACAATGAAATTATCTACTTTAAGTTGTCTAAGACCTCTTTTACTCCATACTGGTAAAAGAATCAGTTCTAGAGACATGATCATATGCTAAAGGACAACTACTAGAAAGCATAGAAAAGAAACCTTCAGCACTGTGGTCATATGTTTCTTCTTGGATATGTGCTGCGTCAGGTCTTACAGAACATTGCATACATGAATATTTTCTCTCTAGACTCTGGCAATCACAACGCAAGAGTTTATGGAAATTTAACTGATCCTGCAAAGGAGATAGTCAATTTTAATCTATGATGACAACATCCACATCAATTTCTTTCCACAACAATACATCAGGCATTACCATATTTTTCTTGACAATCAGTTGAGATGACAGGAACACCAATAGGATCACCACACTCCGGTCATTACATGCACCATTATATTCAAGAATGTCACTTATTTGCAGAACCTGTTGAAATAACTCAAGATGAATGTGTGATAACAAACCATAAGATTAATTATAGAACACCTAAATGCAATTCCAACATTATTTTGTCTTATTCTCGTAGGTATCCAGATCATCCAGAGCTAGGAAAAACAAAAACTAGATAGGAAGTTAATGATTAAACGATAATTAGCAAAGACTAGTACAAACCTCTGGAAAATTTCCCAATAATGTCAACAATTTCTGTGATAATAAAAAGTTGTGCACTGCATCTGAGTAATCAGTCGCTAACATGATTGATTCTTCGTGACTGGATTTATTAGGATCCTGTAATGTAACATAAATTAATGAGAATGAAGTGAAGGAAACTAGATCTCTATATTCACAAAATCTGCAAGGCTGGAACAAATATATAGCACCTTTGACGACCAACCACAACAAAGTTGCTTACGAAAGTAAAAGTCCAGCAGGCACCATATAGCTTTTCCATCCACCAATGAAGAAAAACTGTCGACCTTGCAGTCATAATTTTCACAAATTGCCTGGAAAACCGAACGACAATGATTGTTAAGTGAAAAGCAGTAAAAATTTTGTTTTTAAATTGTGAACAGCTTTCAATACTCCAAAAAAATCTCGAAATAAACATTTAACAAACCCAGGAAGAACAGATTAAGTGATACAGTCCTCATGACAACACAGTAAGAGACCTGACCAAACATCTATAGTTAATTGCCAAAAGAAGGAGGACACAACACTAATACCAAATCCAGTCTCAATTAAGATTAAAAAAAGTAGAATGATCCTCTCTTATCCCATAAAACCCCCCTCCACCCTAAAAAAAAATGGTGAAGGCCGGATTCAATCCCATTCTTGAATGAAACTCAAGGGACTTTACCAACTAAGTTAATGGGCACCTTCAAGTTGTCCACTTATTCAAACAGAAAATAACCTCCAGCCACAAGTGACTGGTGAAGCCCAAGCTATTGATAGAAAAATATAGTTCCACTTTCGGAGTACAAGATGTTGTCTAGACTCTAACGTGAACAGTAGGGGTTAAAAAGAAGAAAGAGCATTCATATCTGATCATGTTCTAGTAAGAAACACACACAGTAATATTCATAATCCATGAGTAGGACTCGGATGAAGCATATGCATCAGTACAGATTATTTGTTTGTTAGAATGCAAAAGAATGCTATTGAAACCCCAAAATAAGAATAAACTAATTAATTTCACAAATGGTGGCAATACCTGAATCCACTTTAAAAGCATTTCCAAGGAAGAGGATTCAAAATTGATCAAGTTATCCTGTGAAAAAGAAGAGAATGGTTCAAAGATAAGTGTGATGGCAACTCTTGAACATGTAAAGATAACAAGGAAAACAAACGTTTAAAATAACACAAAAGGAAATAGAAATAGGACCAACAGATAAACTAAATTAAAAACTCATCCACATTGAGACAGACTACCCCATTTCCATGAATCTTGCAAATTTCCTCAGCTAAGTTTGTTTTCTTGATCAAAAGAGGTAGCTGCAAGTTCAATGAAAAAGTTAAAGGAGATTGTTACTAACAAGTAGATGATGGTAAACTCCTAAACCTGTAATATAATAGTTCTGAAACAATGGGAGAGAGAAAGGAACAGGCCTGAAAATGAACAAACATGTTCCAGAGCAATGAGAGAGTAAGTTCCTTGTCCCCATGAGCGATATCATCTTCCAGAATCATCATTCCATCTTCATCATGTAAAGCAACACCAGCCTGCCTAAGGTATTGCAGGGCAATGCCACAGTTTGCCAAGTGCTTCTTATGCGTATCTGCTGGAACAACCATTTTCTGTTCATCCAATAAAACATTGAAATCAATAAATAATACACAATATCCTGCTAAACAATAGCCGAACCTGCCTATTCATTTAAAATATAAAGAAAGAAAGAAAGAAAATAACAACCGTGAGGATAGATGTGTCATCTTGCAAAAGTTGAATGATCCTACAGAGGCGCACCCCATCTTGAAGATCAACAAATAAATCTGTAACTCGGAAGTCAAATTCAACAAGCGGATCCTGCTCAAGAACAAATTTCATTGGTAAATTAGCCAGTGTATAAATAATTTTTGTTTACGCTAAAATCTGAGTAAGAACAAGTTTCATTGGTAGACCTTCCTGCTCAAGAACAAATTTCATTGGTAAATTAGCCAGTGTAAGAATAATTTTTGTTTACGCTAAACTCTGAGTTGACTTCATGCCTCATTTGTTTAATATATAGAAATGGCATTCACATTCGGGTAAAGGGCCTAATCTTAAATAATATTTCTTTCCCTCGCACCCTGAAAACACACACACAAACCAAATCTCATGTAAATGAGTGTCATACATAAAACGAACCGCCTACCTGCTGATAAGATACTTTGTATCCTAAAATCACCAGATGTGCTAAAATATTACCTTCTCCAAGCATGACATCAGATGAGAGAAAATCTAGTTTGAACCACAAAAATAGAAAAGTCAACCCTACAGTAGATAAAGCACAGTTATAGAAAAATGGACGAGCAACTGAAGAAAGGAGTGAATCGATAATTACCATGGATCACCTGATGACTTGATTTAATATTAGATTCAACCGTAAACAATAAAGGAGAACCCCCATCCACTCCATCAATACCATACTTAAGAGAAAGACTGCTCTGACATTTAGCTCTATCAAGGATAAGAACTAGCAACAGAAATCTCTTCAAAATGACATTTCCCAGAGCTTCATAATAACCGGGTCTGTAAAGACCATCAACCATCTTGTTATAAGCATAATCCTTTGCTAGACTCGCAAGTGCAAAAATTTGCTTCTCAATGATCATTTTCAAAAATCTGATTTCTTCATCAGAATTAGCATCTCTGTCGGACAACAAAGAATCACCACCAAAAACAACGTACAAGCCAATTCGAAGCCAAGTTGGGTTGTAGCTCATGAGGATTCTAGTGGCCTTCTCCTTGAACCCTACATCAGTTACTAAGGGGCAATGAGCCTTCATCTTCAACCTCCCCTCATCAATATTCTGGAAAGAAGACAGACAGTCAACATGGTTCAGTGCTTATAAATATTTACAAGCCCTGTTTGGTCAAATGCTACAATTTTCAGACCAACCAAACGTATTCAAATGAAACCATGCAAAAGAAAATTAGCATGAGATTATAAGAATCCAAACCTTAGCTACTTGAGTCATCGCATCAAAAACCTCTTTGCAATTGCCCATGCTCAAATAAAGTCGCATTCGCTGCGTCAAATCATCAACACTACACACATGTTCCAACGAAGACCGTAAATTCGAATACTTAGAGCTTGAGAATGCCACAGCACTCACGGCCCGCCAAGACGAGTCTCTCTGACGCTTCGGGTCCCGCCACGCCGAGTCGACCCGGACCGCACTGCCGGGCTCGCTATCCCTCTTTCCCTTGGGAAGCGTTCCGCCACGATGATCCTCATCAACGGACAAAGTGCAGCCGCAGGATCTAGGGTTTTGGAAGAGGAAATTGAGCCAGACGGTGAGAGACTTGGCCAAGGACTTGAGCTTTTTCTCTTTTTGAATTTGGACCTTGCGAGACGACTGTGACTGCTCGACCTCGAAGGCCTTGAATTTTCTGGCTGCAGCCTTGGTACGGCCGGAGTTCGACGGAGCGAGAGATGGCCGGCGGCGAAATGACGAAGAAGTACGCGGGGTCTGCTTGGAGGCTGTGAAGAAATGGGGGCCAGGGGAGTGTAAATTGGAGATTCGCGAGGGGCGTTTCGGGGTTTTGAAATTTGAGATGTCTCTGAAGAGAGAGGAAGGGTTTCTATACGGTGACGGTGACGGTGACGGGCATGACGGTGGCTCTTCGCCTTCCATTGCGAGGGCTTTGTCTGAAAATGGTTTTGGATTTGAATTTGAAATGCGAAGAGAAGCGGGGAAGGGTGATGATGACGGTGAAGCGTCGCACATGCCGGGAAGTGAAAGGACTTGAGCCTAACGGGTTTTTATTTTGTTTTTTGAATTCAAAAGCCCAATGGGCCTTGAGCCCAAAAACTTGATAAATATATAGCGCCTACAAGTCCAACAAGAGCGAAACGAGATGGTTGGTTCGTGAGGAGCACGCGCTTTCTGATTGGAAGAGCATTTGTCATTCTTTACAGCCCAGAAAGACACAAGAGCTTAGCTATATACCCGTCTCGTCTCGTCTCGTCTCGTCTCTTCAGCTTTGCGTGGCCCTCTCAGAAGCTCTCTGTGCAAAACTTCCAAACCCTCTGGTTTCAATTCATCTCCTGAGCTCTTGATTTTACCTCCAAGAAAGAAAATTGTTGAGATTTTGGTTCGAGCTGTAATTGAATAATATAATCATGGCTCAAGCAGTGGAGGAATGGTACAAGCAGATGCCTATCATCACCCGCTCCTATCTCACGGCCGCTGTTGTCACCAATATCGGTTGCTCCCTCGATGTATGCCTCTCGCTTTGAAAATTGAAAATCTATCTCGTTCTGTAATTATCCATTTGGTTTTGTGCAAATGGGTTTCTCTGATTTTGTCCGATTTCAATTTGGGTTTTGACTGAACTTTAGGAATTAGTCTCTTCTGCTATTGATTTTTACTTGGGTAGCTGCATGTTGGTTGTTTGGGTAGCTGAATGTTGTTTGTTTCGGAAAAAATTTGAGGAATGATTACCTGGAAATTTGTTACTTTATGTAAGTCTATAATTGTTATTATTACTATTAGTGATTTATTCAATCGAACTTAAATTCTGATATCTGGGTTCAATTAATTAGTGCATGCATTGGTGTTGTTCAAAAGTGTCATAAATTTTGAAACCATCCTTTCTAGATTTCATTTTAGTTTATGCTCTATTGCAATTTTAATGCTCCATTGGATTTAATGGAAGTTCAGAAGGTTAGGCGGTTCTTGTAGGCATTTCTTTCTCCTCTATTACTGATGTCTAATTTTAAAACCTTTTGCAGATAATCTCTCCTCATAATCTATACTTGAACCCTATACTAGTTGTCAAGCAGTATCAATTCTGGCGCCTCGTCACCAATTTCCTGTACTTCCGGAAAATGGGTAATTCCTAGTGTTTATTTATAAAAGATTTCCATTTCATGGGAGCTACATTGTGTCATTTAATTGTTAATGTTTGTGTTTCCTAACATGGTTATATCTTGGCATTGACAGACTTGGACTTTATGTTCCACATGTTCTTTCTTGCTCGGTACTGCAAGCTTCTTGAAGAGAACTCTTTCAGGGGAAGGACTGCTGATTTCTTTTACATGCTCTTATTTGGCGCCACTGTGTTGACTGGGATAGTTCTGATTGGAGGGATGATACCATATTTGTCAGAGTCATTTGCGAAGATTATATTCCTCAGCAACTCTCTAACATTCATGATGGTTCGTTACTTATCTTTGTTGGATTGTGATGGATTTGTTTCCAAAGCTCGGTATGTTATTACTGTTTTTTTAAACATTGTCATGAATTCCTATTTTCCAGGTCTATGTGTGGAGCAAGCAAAATCCTTTCATCCATATGAGTTTCTTGGGCCTCTTCACTTTCACAGCAGCATACCTACCGTGGGTCAGTTAAATGTCTGCTTGATTTATATTGTTAATCCGTTACCTCTTCGGAATTATTAGTATTTTGGCCTCCTGTTTTTAACAAACTATTTGGCTTTTGATTTTAATCTTAGACAAGTCCTCTTGCAAATAATTCTTGACTCCTCGATTATGTTGTAATGTCTGTTTCATTTTTCATCCAGGTTCTTCTAACGTTCTCCGTCATTGTCGGGGCTAGCGCTTGGGTGGATCTTTTGGTGCGTTATCTTTTCTATAAGAATTTGCACAAATATTAAGATAAAATTTTTGCATCTCACCTTAGAGTTACAAAATTAGGTTGTGTTAATTCATGCACAAATGGCTTATGATTCTGCCTCACCAGTTATACAACAATACTTTAAGGTTTTTCATGTACTAATAGTTTTTTACATGTTTGGTTTTGAATCAGGGAATGATTGCTGGTCATGCCTATTACTTTCTGGTAGATGTTTACCCGCAAATGACAGATCGCCGGCCCTTGAGAACCCCTTCTTTTATCAAGGCACTATTCGCAGATGATCCTGTTGTGGTGGCACGACCAGAAAATGTCAGATTTGCACCTCCACCTGTTGAGGAACTTCACCAAGATATTTAGACCTTCAGGAAAGCCAGGTTGATGGGGGCTTAGCTTTCAGGATATTGATCTGGCATTTAGGCAAGGCTTTGGCATGTAGAATGGCTTTTTGGCTCTGTAATATATAGACATCTACACAGATTACTAATTATTTATTTGTGAATTTTTTATAACGCAAAGCTCATGTGCAATCAAAGTTTATTTTTCTCTGTAGTCATGATGATCTAGTTACTTTAGTTATTTTGATATTTAACGTTCACCTCAGGTGCACAATTACTTTGATCAAAGTTTATGCACAATTTCCACTTGAGAAAATGTATCACAATGTTCTCCATTAGCGACCATGTCTTGTTTTACTTATCTATAAGATGCACCGATGCCAATTACAAGTTCCTCAAGTGGGGAAATGTATCTTAGTCTCCTCTCTTCCTTACCACATGAGAATTAGTTGTGGAAGAATATCAAACAAAGCGCCATCAGATTTCTCAAATAGCATCAGTCATTATCTTGTGCTTTCACAGTTTTTTTTAATTTTTAAATCAGACGATATTCTAAACTACTATAATGTACAGTACAGGAAGGGAGATCGAACTTAGGTGCAGAGACAATATTCTAAACTACTCTAATGTACAGTACAGAAAGGGAGATCGAACTGAGGTGCAAGAGAGCAGGTATGTTTTCACTTATTTGGGAAAAATACAACATAACAAAAGGAAAACTGTAGTAGTCGTGATATCTATGAAAAATAAGGAAAAGGAAAAGCAAGCCACAGCAAGCCTCGAGTATTGTTGTATTGGCGACATGGTCAAGCCGTCAATGGACGGAAGAGTACCTTAATCACACTCGTATCGATTGATTATCAAGCACTGGGCATTAAAAAAAATGTACTTTATATTATATCACATCAATTGTCTACTGAGGGCAAGGAGAAGCATTATTTCTGCTTCAACAAACCATGATGTGAAACTCTAAAAACAAACAGAAACAACACCTACAACAATAAAATTACATGAACATTTCCTTTTGTCACATTCTGATCAAATAAACCGCTAACTGTCAAAATAACCATGGAATTAATTTAACTATTTTCCCTTGGCTAGCTCCGGTGAGCCGTGTAATATACATACATCTAAAAAAATGCCGGCATCATGAGCCACACCAGAATACTGCATCTGGTCTGTTTTTCTGGCTTTCCTATTGTCGCTCAATTTCATTAGCACCAAACTCCCAATCCGTAAAGAATTTTACTAGGGGGGGCAAAATTAACACAAAGAATAGATAGACCAGGCTAACGGATAGGATGATACTGAGCTGATACTCTCTTCGGGGGCAATTTGCGCAAGATGTAAAGGACTAGCGCTGAAGGCAGGATCTCAACCAGCTGCAGAGGACAGATATTTTAAGTTTTGAAGGGGAAAAAGTAAAAGAGTTTGAAGAATAGGACATGAAATAGCTGTACAAATAAACAAGCTTCATACACTACCATGTAATAGATCACATTCAAAATTGGATGATCCAAAACATCAAGTGATGCATCTGTATCAAAAGCAGATAGGACAACCTGCATTTTGAATCGAGTTAATGAAACTCCCAGAAAATTCAATATATGCTGATAAAAGCAACACCTTATAAAGCAAATCAAGAAAGCAGTACAGTCATGGCTATCATTTTTTACCAGTGGAACAAAGAAATATGAAGTCTTTAAGTTAATAATTGTTGGGTCAAAGTTCAAAAGTTGATACTAGTTTGAATCAGAAATGTTAATGCAACCCTAGTAGCCTCAGATGAGTCCTATAGCGTAAAAGCTAACAAAGAAATGTTATAGCTCTCGTGGTTTGCATTTGATTTCTATTCTACTTGATGAAAACACCAAAGCTGTACTTCCTATTTGGGATCTTGCAACTACCAAGACTTCGTTTTGTTTGGCTACAATGTAGATATTTCCTGGGTAAAAGCTCACAGTGTAATCAAATATTACGAAGATATTCCCCCAGGGATTAACCCATCCACGGGTGTTCTGTGTGAGTGTGTTGGAGTATTCTTTTCGTCTGCAATGTACATCTTATTTTGTGGAGTAAGAAGCACAAGACAGGCACAAAGAGAACTCTTTGTAGACTGGAATGTTAACTATTCTTCTATAAGAATACAAGAGAAGGTTTCTTTGAATTTATTACCGCATAGAATGGTTTGAAGCTTACCACAAAACATCTTACAAGAAAGCAGGTGAAACATATGGCTGTAACAGATCCAACCTGCAATGACAACCAATTGTTAGTCAATAGCACTAGTTAACAGAATGATTTTTTTGCCGTAGTTTCTCTCACTAGTTTAACCTTGAACCTTGATCTACATAATAATCACAATGCTTAAAGGAAGATTTAAAAAAAAACAAAAAAGTTGGTTGCAAGCAATTATGATGGTAACATATTTAAAGATAGTAAAAAACCCTCCCAATTTCTGTGCATTGTATGTGTGTTTTAACTGACTAAGGATTAATCCACTGCCCTCTGCATGCACATATCTAAACGATATCCTAAGAATAGACTTTGCTTTCATTCAGAATAAATCTAGCCAAGAAGATTATGTGCCATAAATCTAGCAATCAGGCGTTCTAATCTGATAGACGAAAAATATAGGCAAGGCACAAACCTCGTGAAGTTTCTTCCTTCTCCCTTTAGATTCAATGGGGAAGCGTCTCAGCATGAAAAATAACCTGAACACATTGTTTATAATAATGCACCCATTACAAATGCAAATCCACAGGCACCCAAACAGAGACAACCAGGAGTAAGCTAACAGAATGAGCACAGCTCCATATGCTTAAATACGATGCAGAACACTCACCTTCCTCCGTATATCAAAAATCCTAGTGCGGCCACAAATGACACAGCTGAGACAAAAAAGAACAAAATAATGAGTATTCTCATTAAACAAGAGAAGCAATGACGAGTATGCATAAGGCTATGAGATGACAAAACAATCATTCTCAATAATGGGAGCCCTGTGAAACCTATTGCATGACTTGAAACAGGCCTTACCTGCAATGAATATCTTTCCAATGAACTCCACAACACTGTTGTCGTCTATCCAGAGGTATATCCAGATGCAAACCTGAAGAGAAACACACATATATCATAAGGCAAATTAAAATTTCTGAAGAGCCCCTTAAGGGACTTATTCCTGTTTATGCTAAGAACTCTAAAGCACACTCTGTCCAGCTAAGTTGACATGTGCCCTAGTGACAAGGATTTGAATCATCAACAAGCCTGTCCCATGCCTGGTTGCTAAAAAAAACTACAGTTGTATATTAAATAGGCAAAGAAAGATGTCTTTTCTCTTCTATGTAACCTAGCCACAAAATGGGTAGGAAATTCAACCTAGGAGAGCAAAACCTAATATTTCGACAGTTGTAAAACTCTTTTCCCCAACCTTCTTGAGAAAGAACATGCAGGATGAAGCAAATTATTACAAGGTTAAAAGCAACAGGAGATCAAGGAGATTGGCAAAACGAGAATGATTGGAAGGTGAGTGGGCTGCTTATGTAAGTAGCACACATAAACAAAAAAAAAAAAAAAAAAAAAAAAAAACAAACAGACAGCCAGATGTTATGATAACAGCAAGGGATATAGAGAAACCACATGATGAAGCATGCCAAGTAAACAAAAATGGAGCACACCTGTATAAAATACATTGCAGCATTGACTGAAATATAAACAACCCTGAGCTTATCTGTTGGTAAACTTCTTGCCTGTTCATTGATAGTGAGAAATGAAGTCAGAAGTCTTCATTGATCAAAAGAAACAACCACATTTAAAAGTTGCACACCTCAGTTTAATTGAAGTCTGGCTAACACTAACACTAATACCATGCAAAGAATTAGGAAAACATGCTGTTACCTGGTGATATATCTCTGCCCAGAAGAGAACAAGAAGTGTGTACGTAGAGAAGAACAGCAGTCCAGGAAGATCCAACAAGACCAATACTAGTACCTGGTTCAAGATGCAGCTGCCCGATTTTAGTATACAACCCCAAGGTTCATTGCTTTCTTTTTATGTTCTTGTCTTTCCAATAAACCAAATAGAGCCTTAATGTCCCTCAGAACCCCCAAAAGTAAAATGGACAGTTAACAAGATGTAAAAAAATTCCGGACATTTTATGATCATATGTTTCAAAAGTGAATAGAAGTGTCATGTAGGATAACAGGGGTAGGTTTAAGATTTGAACTAAGTGAAGCTTTACAAAACTAACCTTCGGGTGCAAAGCAAACACTTGATGGTGAAATCCGAAAACAATTGCTCGTACTGCAAGAGCAACACCAAACAATGACGACAAAAGAATTTCAAACTGAGAATTAAAGGACAGAACAACAGGAGAGACTCTGAATGGAAATAACGCACTGAGTATCACCTCCATTAACAATGAAGTTCATAAGATGAAAAACCTTCTGCGTGGTCCAACCATATTCGGGCACTCTCAATTCAATCCTTATTAGTTGAAACTGTGCATCACGAACACAAGCAATCAATTTAGGATACTCATAATAAACACTGTTCATAATTTTCTTGATAAACAAGTAGCACTTAGTAACCTGTGAACTAAATCCAGCTAGTTTTGTATATCAACAGCGACAGTTGTTGGCACTTAATTTTATCTCAAATTTGAACTATGGATATAAAACTACATCTAACCATGCTAATGTTTGATGTAATTTCGGGGTGATTGTATAAATTCCAGTTTATTGAAGATTCCGATCTCGAAATTCATACAAAATTAGCTACTGATTAACCAAATAAGAAGCTAAACTAACAAGCACACGAATATCTGTAGTTCGTTGGAGAGAGATGGAAAGAGAAAGACCAGACCAGAGCGACGGAGGAGACAAGGGCGTAGGCAGCGCAGAGAGCGTAGAAGATGCCGTCCTGCCATTGGGTGTTCTCGTTGATCTCGTCCCACCAATTGGAGAGGAAAGAGGCGAGCTCAATGGGCGCGGAGGTGAATGTGAATGGCATTCTCGTCATATTGGGCGGGAGCTCCTCCGAGGCCGAGAAGCTCAGCGAAGGTCAAAATGTTGAGAAGCGGAGAAAGGAGGAGAGAAACTCTCTGCCTAACTCGTCAAAGCAAAAGCACACAGCTCACACAGAGAGACTGAGAGAGGAAGATGGAGGGGGGGTCTACCAGAACTACCCCTACCAGACGGTCCAAGAGAGATCGAGATAGGGTGGGCTTTTCGGGGATTTGGAGGCCTTTTGTTTACACACACCACAGACCATGCTTTGGTCGCTCTCACCTAAGCTTCTACGCTCACGTCTTCCAGCCTCTATAATTCAATTCAATTCATTTTCTTCTTTTCTCTTACAGTCGCAAGTGGTGGTGGTTGTAAACTTGTACTCGTCTTACTTTAATAAACTAGAACTGCTCTTATCCTCTCTCTCCCTCTGTCTCTCTCCGCTTTGTTTTTTTTTTTTTTTTTTTTTTTTTTTTTTTTTTATATTTTCTTATTATTTTATGCCGATCGATTGGCCAATCAGGGACGTTGAAAAATGAAACAGCCCCTTTTTTTCCTAAATTATGGGAAACGAGTCTTATTTACGATTTTACAAACATATGTGTCAGTTTCCACTCAAGTTCAAATTCTCAGTTTCATAAATTTGATTAATTTAAGGTGATTTTAAAACAGATTTTAAACTCGAGCTTTGATTTTTGAATTTTCAGGAAAATTTACCTCCACCATCAATCCGAAAGAGGAGACAGCATATACTTCTAGTTCCAAACAGTTAACCTTTTTTATAATTTTTAACCTGTCGCAAATTACCATTTCCCATTTTTTTAACAAAACAAAGAAGTATACAAAAAAAGCCGCCCATGTGAAGACGTTATCGAAAATGATAACAGAAATAAAACATTCATGTGAATCATGAATTTTCTGTGTAACCAAAATTGTAACTTTTAAATACATAATTTTATGTCTTATGTCTTATAGTTTAAGTGGTTAAGAACGGTTAATCTTACACTTTATGTTTTATGTTCGAATTTCCCAGTTTTCAACATCACTTGTATAAAAATTAAATAAATAATTAAAAAAATATTGAATTTGAAACTAAAATTATATAGATGTGCATTCTAAAATGAATGTGTGTGTGTGTTTTTTTTCTTTAACATGGAGTTTTGGCGGCAAATAAATTTAACCAGGGCGCCTAAATTTGTGAATTAGTTGGTTTGAATTTAAAATTTTGAAAACGCCTTCACCAAAAACCTTGAAGGTTTTTACAACGTAGTTAGACTGATAATCACGTGATGCAGGTGAGGAGATGCGATAGAAGATTCGCTGATGAGGTTGGGTCCTTATCTACCGTCCCATACACCTTTAATTGGTCAGCTAATAATTCTATTTTCACATGAAGGTGACGAGAAGTTTCTTGCCAGAATTACGTGGCATGGACGGTTTGGCGGTGTTGGGTTGCGCCAACTCTATTATTCAATTTCATCAAGTACAACACCACTAATTCTCCATGCAAGCCAGGACTGTATACACCAATATGGGAGTACATGTGAAGAAAATGTTGGCCCTGCTCTATTTTTCTGATGTAAGGTGATGATTTCTGTTGGTTGGTGGCATTGCGGTATCTATGTGCAGATTGAATTGGTGTTCAAGCTTCTTTTTCTTTCTTCTCTTTTCTTCTTGTTTTTCTTTGAGTTGTTCAGGCGCGAGTCTTTTAAGATCATGCATTTGTTCATATCTCTCAGGCTTGGGTTTTGGATAGTATTGGTTGTTTCAGTACTATCTTTTATACTCTTATGGTGCTTATTATTTTTTAATAAAGCATATTTTCCAACAACAAAAATATACAATCGACAGTCTAAATAAATTGCAATGGGAGGGGATTTCCCAATACACACATACACACACACACACACACACACTACTAAAGTGTTATTTTTTTTTGGGGGGGGGGGGGGGGGGGGGGGGTCCCTTTTCCACTTAGCTAGACCCTATTGGCATAATCCCTTAATTAATAGCAAGAACATTGTTTTTTTGGGGGGGGCACCATACCACCATAGCTTGTTATTTTAAAACTTAAGTTGTAACCGCAAGTGGTTTGTGGATTAAGTAGTTAAGATCGGTAATTCCTGTAATTTATGTCGCTAACTTTGTTATGTAAAGAAAAAAGAAAAGAAAATGAGTAGATACTAAAATAGAGAAAAAAACAAAGAAAGAAAATGTAAAATGAGGTTGGAAGAATATGTGCCTTTCTTTTGTATGAATTAATTGGGTACATGCGCAGACATATGCAAAAATTTAAAGTTTCCCATTGCCTTTCACGACTTTGACTATATTTTAAAGCAGCCCTTTGAATTGTAGTTTAAACTTGGAATTAATTGAAGTAGATAGATGATAAATGGTAGAGTTGCATATCAATCATGCCAGCATTACGTGTTAGACCTTGAACATGGTGGCTACTAAGTGTTAGTAATGCGTTTTGATTTAATTATTGTGTCGTTTCCCCACATGTACATACATGTGGTGGGGTGTGGACGTCGTTTTCTTGCAATCCGTTATCAATCGATCAGTGGAAAATATAAAATTATTGATTTCCGAAAAAGGACATGTCGACATAATGCTATTTACCAATACTGATTTGGCATCAGTCAGTCATGTGCCAACGAAATGGTCATTTTAAAAATAATAACAAAAAATGGTCTATTTGCTCATCAAATATTGCAAATCAATATAAAACCCCCAAAAAAGAAAAAAGAAAAAAAAAAGAAAAAAAAAGCTTGAAGGTATTAAACTCTTATATGAAAATTAGAGACCGGGCGCATGCAAGCCCATGTGACTATGCGATTGACTTCATTCGTTAATCTAAGTGCCCCTAACTAAAAAAAAAAAAAAAAAAAAAAAAAAAAAAATAAAATTAAATAGTAGATTAGATAGATTTAGATAGATTATTATGACAAAAGACACACACACAATCCCTTCTTAAGAATCGGGAAAAAAAAAAACACCCTTTGATAAATTCTATAAGATATCATCAACAACCAACAGGGGATCCGTGGCGCAATGGTAGCGCGTCTGACTCCAGATCAGAAGGTTGCGTGTTCGATTCACGTCGGGTTCAATACCCTTACCTCCAATTTATTTTTAATTTTTAATTTTTAATTTTTCCAACTTCACAACGAGCTCACCAATCTCACACTTTTCTTACCCACAGCAGATCATCCCCGAAATCATTTCCTCAAGTCTCACTCACTCTCCTCCTCTCAACCCCTCCCAATCCCTCTGTAAAACCCTAGCCACCTGCCAGCCCCCATCTCTCTCTCTCTCTCTCTCTCTCAGAGCCATGTCTCTGTTATCTCGCCTCCGCCATGCTACGCTCGCCCACCACACTCGCCACCTCTCCACCGCCGCCTCAGTCTCCACCAAGGACAAGACCAGAGCTGCCCTCTCTCTCCTCAAGGCCGAGAAAGACCCCACCAAAATCCTCGAAATCTGCAAAACCGCGTCCCTAACCCCCGAGTCTCACCTTGACCGCGTCACCTTTTCCGTCGCCATCAACAAGCTCAGAGACGATAACCACTACGACTTGATCCGCCAATTCCTCGACGATCTGTTCGTCTCCCGCCCCGACCTCAAAACGCAGCGTTTCGCTTCCCACGCTATCGTCCTCTACGGCCAGGCCGATATGCTCGACGACGCTGTTCGCACTTTCGAACAGTGCGACGGAATGGGTATCCCTCGGAACGTGAAAACGCTCAACGCTCTGTTGCTTGCTTGCATTTTTGCCAAGAATTACAAGGAGGTAAACAGGGTTTTTCTAGAGTTCCCAAAAGTTTATGGGATTGAGCCCAATTTGGATACTTACAATTATGTGATCAAGGCGTTTTCGGAGTCTGGTTCGACGAGCTCGGCCTATTCGGTGTTGGCCGAGATGGAGAGGAAGAATGTGAAGCCGGATGCGAATACTTTTGGGCATTTTCTTACAGGGTTTTATACTGAGATGAAGTTTGAAGATGTTGGGAAGGTGACGAATTTGATGGAGAAGCATGGGTTTCAACCTGGGCTTAGTACATATAACATTAGGATCAAGAGTTTGTGCAAGTTGAGGAGGTCTGCGGAAGCCAAGGCATTGTTAGATGGAATGTTGTCTAGGGGTATGAAGGCAAATGCAGTCACTTACTGCCATTTGATTCATGGGTTTTGCAGGGAAAGCAATTTGGATGAAGCAAAGAAGCTGTTTAAGAATATGGTGAACAGGGGCTTCCAGCCTGATTCTAACTGCTATCATACTCTTGTTCACTTTCTATGCAAAGGTGGGGAGTTTGAGAGTGCTTTGCAGTTTGCTAAAGAGAGTATTGAGAAGAATTGGGTTCCGAATTTCGCAACGATGAAGTCCCTTGTGGAAGGGCTTGTGAGCATTTCCAAGGTATCAGAGGCTCGGGAGCTTGTTGGGCAAATGAAGGAGAGATTCACAGTAAATCAAGATCAGTGGAATGAAATTGAAGCAGGCTTGCCACAGTAACTACGCGAAAGATGGTTTATTGATATGCTTTCGTTAATTAGATTAGACCAGGAAGGTTGAAGTGAAATGAGGGCAACATTTGTATGAAATGGGCTTTTTCTTTCTTTCTCAGAACATAAAACCTCTGTTTGAATGTTTTTGGTTTAGGAAATTTTGTTGATGCCCTATTTACATTTGCATCTGGATTCTGGATAAATAAATTTAGATTTCTGTGTAGTGCCGGTTGGCTTTTATGTAGATGCTTGAATGTCTTGGAAGATAGACAAAAAGGAAAAAAAGAAGCATTTTTTCTACGAAGAATGTTGGAACCATCATACATTTGAATGACCATAGTTCTAGAAATTTGTATCAACAATTCAATTACTGAAGTTGCTTTGGTCACTTTATATCGAATAATTCTGTGCAGCTGACATCTTAACATCTTAACAACTTAGCATAAGGCTTTGATCAGAACCAGATTATGATGAGTGGCGGATGGAACAAAAGTGCTTAGCAGCTGCCTATACACATGCATTCCATCGTCGCCTGAAATGAATTCTGCTGAGACTTTTACAACGTAACTAAAAACCTATGTTCTCATAAAACAAAGTTAAGAAATTCCAAGTAAATCCTTTGCTGTAACAGTTGGTGAAAAAAAAAAAAACTTTTTGTTTGGTTAGTATGATGCCTATGACAATTTACATCTACTTGGGACTTCAGTCAGCTTGGTGAAGTAAAGCTCAAGAATCCTCTCAGCTCATCCTGTCTTTGCTAAGTCCCTCTGAGGAATGGGATGCAGCGAAGACTCATGTTGAGATTGAAAGAGTCCATGCCACACCCAAAAAGGCAAGTTAGCTAATGGCATTCCAATAAGCTTCAAATATCATAGTTTGGGGCTTCTTCATATGATTAGCTTACTCAGAACAAAAGTTTTGTGATTCGCCTCGCCGGCAAATCTTTTAGCAATTCAACCCTCAGTTCACTTTTTAGCCCTCTTGTTCTGCCTAAGCTCATCCTCGTTCAAGGCAGCCACTGCCACCTAAAAACAGTCATGAATACTGTAATTATATATTCACCCATACTGAACTTAGTCAATTAAGAAATATTCAGAAAGAGTGAATGCCAGTGAAAACAAAATTACATACCATTAGCTCTTGAACAACAGCAATAGCATGACCCAATTCAGCATTAGCACTAGTGATTAATTTGTTGTGAATTTTTCTTAGAATGTAGACATTCTTTGCCCGTTCTTTCTCTTTACGGTACATCAATCTCAATTCCCTTAAAGATGCTAATTGATTAACATCTTGTTCTTCAAGTGAATGTCTGCAATTTGCCCAACTGAAACTGAAAGACAAATGGTTTGTCTCCACTGAGGCTTCAATATATATAATAGAAAAATCATTTATCCCATTCTTTGCAAGCTTCTCGAACAGCACAGGGACCAAGTTCTCTTCAAGCCACATCCTTATTTTCTCCCCACCATTCTGTTAAAGTAAAAGAAATAATCTAAAGTTGTACACCCCAAGCTCAATTACAATCAGAAAGAAAGCTTATTGTCTGGTGCAATGAACATGTGTTCGATCAATGTTGCGCAAAATTTGTAAAAGAGCTGTTTGATAATTATATTTATTAAAAAGCAGGAGAAACTCAAACATTCTATACATTTGAAAATGTTCATAAGATGCATGTTCATGGCACATATGAAAATGTGGACACCTATACATCAGAATAAACATTTCTGAAAGTAAGATGGATCAATAAAAGAAAAGAGTAAGAGTCTACACAAAATGTGCACTACTGACAAGATTCAATATCCAATAAGATGCAATAAGATATGCATCTGCATGAGTATAACTCATATAAATGTTTTATTGTAATTATCGTGAAAATCATTATTTGTTCCTAATTTCACAAAGAAGCAGCTTTAGTCAGTGCAGTGTTAGGAGTAACGAAAAATCTAAATTTACAGTGAAGTGGAGAGAGTAGTGTGGAATGGTAGACATGAGGTCTTGCAGCATGCACAGTGGTGATCTGTCTATAGAAATGCTAAATAGACTATGGCTCCTTTCTCCTCTCCACAATGCATCTGAAGCTTGTTTATTTAGTTTTGCTAGCTGTTTGTTTGTTTTTCTAATAGAGTTATTGTTTCTCTTCCTTTTAATAGTTCCAATAAGAAAGATCATCGAATATGAAAGACATACAATTCTATCTCCAAGCCAAGTTGACCTCTGCACGATAATATCTAATGCAGCTTCAGATGGGTATATGATGAGGCCCTTCTGTGTCATGCAGCTGGCAATGTCCCTTAGCTGGAGCCTAGCAACCGCCTTCAACTGCTGAAAGGACAGAGACCTAAATGCAATCACATCATCCACATTTTCAAGAAATTGAGGTCTGAAATGCTGTTTTGTCTGCGAAAGAGAAGATGTGAAGGTCATTTGGGTGATATGATAAAAGTTTCCCTTTAAAAATTCAATATACATCGACCTTCCAACAACTTACCTCCCTCAGAAGAGAAAGATAACAGTAATTGTGTTTTGTTTCCCATGCATCATCATATAACCCTTCTTTGACAGGGAACTTTTGAACTTCGTCTGCACATTTGCAATGCCATGGCCAGAATTTATCACATCCAACATTTGTTGTCATGATTACCAATGTTTTAGTGAAGTCAACAGTGTTCCCCTGACCATCTAATAGATAACCAGAACCTATAATCTCAGCCAGAATGTCAATAACAGACACATGAGCTTTGTCAACATTGTCAAACAAAATGACACCTAGAGGCCTCTTCTTAACAGCCTCTGAGAGCTCCCCCTTCATGCCTGGCTCCATGTGACTACAGGAGCAAAAGTCCAGAAATAATGCACAAATAAGCTCAGGAAAAATTTCAACCTGAAAAAAATATAAGAATACTCCAGTCAATTAACAAATTACCTTGAGAGGACACCAATTAGGCGCGAGAGAGAATTTGGACCTGTGTGTTTTGCCAGATCGAACTCTGTTATCATGTCTTTGTCTCCAAAAAGTAGTTCTGCCAAAGCTTTGGCAATTTCTGTCCTCCCATGACCGGAGCCACACATGAAGAGGAAGGATCCAATAGGGCGTCGCTGAGGCCTCTGCCTTGACAGAGCAGCAGTAACTGCATGTAGGACGTGTTCCTGTCCAATTACCCTCTTAGCAATTCTTTGTTCAAGGTTCTGAAGCAGTGGTGGTTCAGAAAGCAACCAAGGTGGTGGAGCATCAATCAAGGGGCTCACTGCCTACATGAATGTTAACGTAAAAACTATTGAGACCATGGAAATGCACCACTTTTGAATTTCTAATAGGTAATAAAAAGCCAGTCACCCAGAGTGTCATGCAGTATAGTCAGTAAAGGAAGAAAAATTCTAGCATAGGAATAAGTAAAAGATATATCCACCTTCGCAATAACATGTGAGCTAACGGTTAGCTCATGCCTAAAATCTTTTCGAGTTGTATATAAAAGCTCAGTCACATGGTCATCAATCCATTGCAACATCCCAGAGAAATTGTTCACCTTCTTTAATCTTGCCTCATTTATACAGAACACCAACCTTTCGTGCATCCTTTCCAACAAAAGAGCCTCTCGAGCTCTGATGTCATATCTCTGCCGTGAAGTTTGTAACTGCATCCACTTCATCTCCAACTGGTTCCATGTACCCTTCAATTCTTCATGTTCCCTTGTCACCTGAATAACACCAACCCCACATTACATATTTCTCTGAAAAGCAGTGCAACTGAAAAGACCAGAAAAAGACCAATGTTGCCCATTACTAATAAGAGTAGCTTACACGATCACTCCATTTTTGGATGGATGGATCTCTCTCTTTCTTGATTTCATTTAACTCAACAAGTGTTCGACGCAACAGGTACTCAAACACATCAAGATCATCCTCTTCTTGTCTAGAGTACTCAAATTTATCCCTCATTTTTACACAAGCTTCCTTTAAAAGCTCAACCACCTTAATTTGAAAAATTTCCTTCTGGGTGTCACCAACTCCTCTACTATCAAACTGAAAAACTGAAAATAAAAAAAAGAGAAACCGGGACAAATTAATTAACGAAACGTTAAATAATATGGCATTGCCAAACTAATGATTTTGAAAGGAATAGTGGTACCAATTGACTAACCATCAGGGTATTGCATGATGATGCGACAAGCAAGAAACACGGCATCTGCTTCAATTTCGACACCATAAGCCAGCTCTAACTTCTCCTGATCTTCAAATTGGAGTTTCTTAATACACTCTCCCATCCATTCCTCTGTATCCATCTTTGTCAAACCTTACAAGTTCAAGATAATTTTCATGTCAGAAAAAAAAATGTAGGGGACAAGCCAACAAAAGAAACACGCCCAATTTAATTTAATTTAATTAAAAAAAAGATAAATACTGCACACGTTTCCTATTAGAAATAGAACTCTTCCCGAAGCTAGCAGAGCAAGAAAAATGGGAAAAGAGCTAGTCTTTAAATTGAACTAGACTTCTATGAAGTGCTCTGAGACTATCGCGATTCATTTATATTTATTAAATTATCTAGCTTTTGGACTTGTGAAAACAAACCCAAACCCGACATTATCCTCAACAACATAAGACTTGAAGTTCCTACCTTTTCTCGGCAACGAAATGGAATTTCGGCCTAAACCGACAGAAATGATGCGCACGGACGTTGAATTTGGGTTTTCTCCTTCGACGGGAAAGGCATATGAACGAGAAAGACGAGAGGGACAAAGAAAAGAGAAAGCCCTAATTCTCACATACAACGTTAAAATCTTAAAACCCTAACCTGTTTTGGTAGTATCGGGGGGAGAGAGAGAGAGAGGAGTCCGCGAGATCGCTTAAAGCCCTTTGCTTTGCTTACTAGTTTGTATAGAGAGCGCAAAGGAGGGAGAGTGAGGTTTTTAACTGCCAAATGCCAACCGACCTCACCCGGTCGTCCGAACCGGCTGGACGATCCCCACCAAGTCGTCGTTTCGTTCTTGGGTCTTAAAGCTTACTATTCTGTGGGGTGCACCGCACATGTGAGATCTCCAAGTAGGCCCAAAAAAGGTTCCACGAACTATTGGAAGCATTTGCCAAACATTATATCTTGTATTAAAAATTTTTTAAAAAAAGGAGAAAAAACATTTTGGTCATTGGGATTAAAGCTTGAATTTAAATTTGTCACCAAACATTCAATTTTCCCAATTTCGTACACTTCACGTTAGCAAATCAAGTCAAATATGTTACTTCTGCTAATTAACTTAAAACCCACGTGTCCAGTACGTGCAGAGGCATTATTGAAACAAATTTTTTAATAAACAAAATATTAAGAGATGAGAGTTTGACATTGGAAAATAGGAAATGTGAGTTCGACATCGGAAAGAGGAATTCGAACATAAGACCCCAAGCACAAATAACTTCTCTTAAGAGCCGCTTCTTTGCTTCATAACATTTTTCTCTTTTATAAAAATTATTCTTGCTATGACCATACTTTGTGTCGAGAAGAGATACACATACACACGAAGCATGTTCTTTAATCTCATTTGCACGCATTGAGAGTCTTAAGATCAGAAGAGAAATCAATTAATAATTCAAGTAACTGGTGTACGCGAGCTGAAAGAAGTTTTCAAAAACCTATACAAGCTTGGACATCCAACAACTCTTGTCCGACATCAGCAGCATCTGTTACAATTTCCTTTTCAAAATTTCTCTAATTCTATACAGGTCAGCAATCTATCATTTCTACTGTTCACAACTTCGCTGAGTTGACATCCGTTGTCATTTCCTTCCACATAATCTTCGCTCGTAGCTCACGAGAACTGCAAGAGTGATTTGTTCGTCAAAATTCTTCTTAAAGTACATAGCTTATGTTGCATTTGAAATCCATGACGGTTGCAGACTGAAAAATTCACCGTGTTATTTGAATTAGGATTTCCGAGCAGTCAATGCAGACCTCCTCAAGTGTTGTGCTCCGTATGCTGCTGTAGAAGCCACTGTTGTTGATGCCACTAACCAACTGCAGCAATTTGAAATGAACAATAGTCTGTCTGAGCATATATAATATCAAAAAAGACGAATTACAGAGCTAAGGTTCTGCGCCAAATCACCTCAAGTATGTAATGTATATTTGAGTATCTTGGGTTCCAAACTCTGGTTGAAGCAGAGCTGCCGCAACTAAAATCAACTGGAAGACCGTGTTAAGCTGCCAAGATCCACAGTATTGGTTACAAAATTGCGGATGTCATCAAACAGCAATCACAACACATGCAGTGATTTTATCCCAATAGAGCCTTGAGCACCGTACGAATGTAAAAGAACAAAACTTACCTTACTAACAAAGAGCGGTTCAACCTTCTTGGGACGGGTTCCACCAATGTTGAAAAAGTCGGACCAACTTTTCCACTGACAAAATTCAACAATGTCAAATCCAGATTTTGGCTACATGAGCAAGCAAGTTATTTTGACTTATAAGACACAGAGAAAGGTCTCACCTTCCACTCCAAGTTACTAGCTCTTTGATATACTGCACCACCAACAAGGCCAACATCGCGAAACACAATGAGTCCAACAAGTCCAGCTTCAGAACACAAAAATCAAATGAAAAATTAGTTTCCCAACCACACAATCTTTTAAATCATCTAATTAAAGCAAACCAATTAAGACGTCAGAAACCAAAGGAGATAAAACCAGAAGGTAAACAACAAGAGGAAAATAAGCAAACATTAGCAAAGCATCTACTTATTTTGGTAGGTTCAGAATGCAACTGTGAAACACAAATCTCATTATGAAGCTCCCCAAAATTACATTGGAATACAAATTCCACAAGTACAATGATAACAAACAACATGTGCGGGTGAATATAGCCCCTAACTAGACTCTAGAGTATCCCTTCTTTGGGCATTTCTTTCATCCTGCTTCTTTACAGTTTTGGATAGTCTAAAATTTCAGCACAGTGTGTGCATGAATATGCAGGTGTGGCATCTGTGTTCATATCCAAGGCTATAAGGGGATGGGGTTATGTGTGTCTGAGGGAGGAGAGGTATAAAAATAGATGTATGTAACCATTAGCAACAGCCTAATTAATTATCAATGTGATAAATAAAAGATGCATATGCAGTCTGGCATCACCTTCCAAGTCTCATAGAAAAAATAAGGGGACTACTTGGTACTTACGGTGAAGAAGATCCTTATGCACCATGGCCAAAGCAACGCATCCAATAAGAACCTGTATCATAATTAAATGGAAAACTATCACATTTACTAGGTAATGGAAAACTATAATTAAACGCCAAATAAATAGTTCACGTAGGAATCAAAGTGTTACCTCTACCTTCTGAGAAAAATAAAGGTACAAAAAAAGCTTATACCTTGTCAGCAAGGGGATCCAGGTAGGAGCCAACAACAGAATTGATCTTCATCCTCCTAGCCATGTATCCATCCAACTACACAATGCAAGGACAAATGAAAATCTCATTGCAGAAGAATAACATTCATCATTAAAGGTTAAACTGATGTCTATGTGAAATAAAGGCTTAGTAATAACTACCCAATCAGTTGCCCCAGAGATAGCCAACCCCACCATTGCAGAAGAATACCATTCATTTGCAATCATCCTGTATATCAGTTACAAATTCAATTCCCAAACTTGAACAAGAAAAAATTAATTTTCTTCTCACAAAATAAATTTAAAGCAGTTGCACTATTTTAATAACAAAATGTGTACCATCCAAGCAAAGGACCCGAAACCATCCGACTTATGGAGATCAAATTGGGCAAATTGACGAAATCATCACTGGCCTCTTTCAACCCGACACCACGATCCAATACGGTCGGAGCAGGCGAGAGTGACCCGACCTCAAATGGGAGCGGGAAGCTCGGTCTCCTCCGCAGGAGATTCAAGCATAAGGAAGCTTCGATCTTTCTGAGAACGACGCCGTTCCCACGAAGGTAGAGCGGAGTGGCGGACTGCGAGAGCTTCCATGGAGGGCAAGAGAGGAAGAGCGGTCCGTGAAAAGGAATGATCCAATTGGAGAGTGGAGAGAGAAAGGTCCTAGAAATCTGAGACGGCAAGCGAAAGAGAGGGTGAGAGAGAGGGTAAGAGAGAGTAGGATACTGAAGAGGCGCCGAGATGTATGGGGCTGTGGCCGTGAGGAAGGTTCTCGATCTTTTAGGGTTTTCAATTAGGGCTTTCAGCGACCTGAAGACCGCCATTACTGAGACATTTTTAGAAGAAAAGAACAGCCAAGACTTAGCAGTAAATTTGGGTTCTGCGGGGGCTCAGCGGTCTGTATGACACGTCACACGTGCATGGCTCTCTCTTGTCTTTACACTTGGAATTTCCCCAATTCTTTTATTTATTATTTCAATTTTTCATGGGCTAGGGCTACTTGTAATCATGGATCCATAGAACTGAAGTTCCATAAGAGTTTGGGTTGTAATATGAGCTACAAACCCATTGCGATAAATTATTTATAATTTTCACATCGGAAACTGAATTGAAATTTTTTGGTGATAAGCAAAATTAGAAAACAAATTTTAACATACAAAAGTTAAAAATTATGAGACGAGTGTGATGGCGTGGTATGATTAATCTTATTCGAATTTTCTTGAAAGAATAGAAGTTAACTTGGTTTAAGCTTAACAAAAGCGTGTCGTGGGGAGCGCGTTCTGTTGTAGCCGACAGCTCAACTCAGTGGTTTAATTTTGTCAAAAAAACCGAAGTAGAACTAATATTAACGTTGCTATATAAAACTTGTTGTAACATGCCAACGCATACGTAGTAACAACTCGTTACTGGTTTTTAACAATGTTGGTTTCAAGTCCAAGATTGTCTTGATATGTTTGTTGCCATTTCCAGGGACTATTTGGCAGAGTTTGCAGAAAAAGTAATGTTTCTGCCGCCGGAGGTAGAGGCGCCAGGGAGGAGAGAAAGGATGAGCTGCTTCTCTTGTTGCAAGCGGGTGGATGAGCCTGAAGAATCTGTAAGGAATACCAGAACAGGGAGGACATATTCTAATTCTAGTGGCGGGAGGAGATTGACCGCCCTTATTGCAACTTTCTCTATTAAGTCAGGTAGGATGGTGGAAAGAAAAGCTATTCATTCATTTTGTTTCAGTCTTGATTAATGCAATGCAGAGGTTTGGTGGGATTTGATCTGTTCAAGTCTGTGTTTACAAATATCTTTTTGTTTAAAGTTTGGTTTGCTAATTATGAATTAAGGTTGGATGATCATATATTTGCTTTGAAACACATAAATACAAGTTGCAAAGAAATTTATATATAGGAAAAATGATCTGATAAAGAGACCAGGCTTCCTTGGTGAACTTTTTGTGGACATCTCTTATGTGGCAGGCATGTGATGAATATGCAGGTAGCAGCCAATGTAGGAATTTGCACAAAGAGATACTCAAGACTGGACATGCAAAAAAAGCCGCTCAGCTCTTTACATATCAGGAATTAGCTGCTGCAACTGATAACTTCAATCCTGATTCTCTGGTGGGAGAAGGTGGATTTGGGAAGGTGTACAAAGGATACATAAACAGCATCAAACAAGTATCTCTCTCTCTCTCTCTCTCTCTCTCTCATGTACCGATAGAAGGTCCTGCAATTTATATTTTTTATTTGTTCCTTTCAGGTTGTGGCCGTGAAGCAACTGGACAGGAAAGGATTGCAAGGGGGTAGAGAGTTCTGTTCTGAAGTTATCATGTTGAGTTTGGTTCAACACCCAAACCTCGTCAATCTGATTGGCTACTGTGCAGAAGGAGACCAGAAAATTTTAGTGTATGAATTCATGGCCAATGGTTCTTTGGAGAATCACTTTCTAGGTATGCAAAAAAACTCATTTGGACCCAAAAGTTTCATATAGTGATGAGCTACTTTTGTGAAACCAAACTGAATGTACATTTTCTTTTTGTTTAGATCTATCTCCAAATAGAGAGCCTCTTGATTGGTATACCAGGATGAAAATAGCTGAAGGAGCAGCTAGAGGACTTGAGTACCTGCATGAGACTGCCAATCCACCGGTGATTTATCGTGACTTCAAAGCATCTAATATACTGTTAGATGACAAATTCAGTCCTAAGCTCTCTGATTTTGGACTTGCTAAGTTAGGTCCAACCGGAGACAAGGACCATGTGTCTACAAGGGTGATGGGAACTTATGGCTATTGTGCACCAGAGTATGCTTCAACAGGACAGCTGACAACCATGTCTGATGTATACAGCTTCGGCGTTGTATTTCTGGAGTTAATCACGGGAAGGAGAGCTATTGATGATAGAAGGCCAGTTAGAGAACAGAACCTAGTCAGTTGGGTATGTTAACACTCATGAATTAGCAAAGCCAATGTTAAAAGGACAGAAGAATCATATATATAAGACTACATGTTCTTTGCAACATTAATTAATACTGATCCTCTTTGTTCATCATGCAGGCAAAGCCAATGTTAATGGACAGAATAAAATATGCATCAATGGCTGACCCGTTGCTTGGAGGGAAATTTCCGGTAAAGGGTCTGAATCAAGCTGTTGCAATTGCAGCAATGTGTCTCAATGAGGAAGCTGACTGCCGACCTTCGATGGGTGATGTTGTAACTGCCCTCGAGCATCTATCCTTGCCAATATATGATGAACTGGATGCCAAGGGTGCATCAGGAAACAATGGTGGGCATGTTGAATCAGTAAAAAGAAAAAGTTTTAAAGGAGACCGAGAGCTATAGCAATTTGCCTCAAGGTGCAAGCTGAAGAAGGTGCATTTCAGATTCAAGATGATCTTATTTCCATTACTAACTATGGGGATCTTTTATTTGTATTTTCCTGTACCTATTATAATTAGCTTGTTCAATTGATAAAGCTGAATCTGTAGTTTGTTTTGTAGATATAATCCATTCCCTGTACCCAAAATGGTTGACAAAAGAAAAGAAAAAAAATCAAATTCTAAGAGAGATCATGTATAAGTTTTGCACTAGTGGACTGAAATCAAAAGCCTTTTGTCCACTTTAAATTCTATTACTTCGTAAGTTCGCTGCTCTTCTAGAATCTAGATCAATCCACAAACCACATAATCCAACTCCTATTTTATCAGACTAAGAACAACTCCTATAACAGAGTACTTAGGAAACAAGATGCAGTTTCTGGTTGCCTTCCCCGCTATATCCAGTTGCTCTCTCTGGCAGCATGTCCATCCCAATTCCCATGACAAAGGAAAAAAATAAATAAAAAGGGAAAATAAAAGTATTAAGAGAGAGACTATGGCAAGAGAGAGTCTTTGAGTTTCATTGAATGTATGTTGTGAACTGGCAAAATGGTATATAAAGCTCAAAAAACATTGTCAGCACCTCTTTGAGAAGATGATCTAACTTAAATGCTCAAGTTGTTCATGTCATCCTTGAGGATCCTGTAATTAAACCCAGGAATGCCATTTAGCCGATTGGTTTCTGCAACTTTTGTAGCAGAGCATATGCTTGATAAGAGCCTTCTGCTGCTTCTCCTCTTCTTCCTTTTCCAGGTCATTATCAAGAACCAGAAGCTAGGCTTGCTAGAATGAGTGCAACTGCTGGAAGTCATGTCAACTATTTGTCCCTGAGGCTTCCTCGAGCTTGAGCTTCCACCCGGCCGGTCGAGCTCAAGCTTGCTGAAATACTCGATCTCCTTCCTGACAAGCGAACCTACAGTGCCTCGCGTGCCTATTGCAATTGGAGCTGGTGCAGCCATTGTATTTGTTTCAGGGAACTTGGTGTCTGTTGTGCTGCTGGCTTTATACTGCATATTTTTTTAAAGGTGTAAAGTGATGCAAGAAGCTTCAGGGTGAAGAAAGTGGTGGTCTTTTTCGTTTCATGAGACCCGAGGGAAAGTTTGCTTCAAATTTGGATAATCTTTTCTTTGATTTTTATAAAACTCTTTTAATGCAGTGCTTTTGGTAAAGTGGACAGCATGAGAATTTCCATAATTGGTGTTTCGGTTAGGACATGGGTCATCATATTATCCCGGTGGTTGCAATAAAAGCATGCATAATCTCCGGATTAATTTTTTACCCTTTCGATTCACTTGAAACTGTAGGGTTCAGTTCACTATCATGGTATGGTAGTAGGGTCAAAACAAGTATCTGACAAGTTAAAAGAATGCTTTTGTGTGTCATTTCTTAAAAGATTCTAGAGAGAATAAAAGGAAGAGAGATGAAGTTTTGACTCTCTTGTTTGTTGCTTGAGTGGTATTTAAGTCTCAGGTGGGTATATATCTTTATTTGCTTTCATTTGCTTTTTTCTATTGTTAATTATTCTGCTGCTGGCTGCTGGCTGCATGAGAGAAGTTGAATGATGCATGCAAGTTGGAACTGGTAAATGCAGATAACTTTTTTATATAAAATATGCGTGGCTTCAAGCAATTGATTAAACTCACAAAGGGCAGTGAGGTGACAAAAATCATTTGTTGCAGTTGGTAAGTTGGTAATGGAATAGGATAGGAGGGCCCTGTGAAATTCTTAAAAATTGAATGGTCATTGGTCCAATTGTGTTCTTATTCTGAAGCTAAAGTTGATCCATTGAATTGAATTTTGAAGTGTATTGTCAAAGGTTGAACCAACACCATACCCATCAATAGAACAGAATGAGAGCTTTCATATTAAATGGTGCTCAAATGACACTTGACTTGGCCAACATTATCAAATTTTTTTGTTTCTTTTTGCTTTCATTGGGTTTTTGTTTTTCTTTTCCAGGCACCCTCCTCCCTCCTCAACTAACAACACCAAGGTTGAGTTGATAAAACAATAAATGGACGTTTCAACAAAACCAAACTCTTATGCCAATGTCTTTAGCATCTACCCTACCCTAACAATTAATCAGCAAAATGCTTTACCACTTAGGAAGCAGTAAGTAAATATGGTCAACTACGTACATCGGCACGGCACATACTAAGGAAACACAAAAGTTGTTAAGAGTAGAAATGAAAGTTTGGCAAAAGCAATTATCAGAAAGGGAAATGAGAACATTTGAGACCATATATACGTATATATGAATATATTATAGATGCAGAAACACCACACACGTTCAACAAACAACATTTCATTTTTCTTCTCTGTTTGTAAGCCTCAAAATTGGAAGTTCCCTCTTATTTCTTAACATTCACCAGCTCCTCTATGTTCTTATTCTCTCTTTTCTATTTTTCCTATGCTTTTTGTTTTCATTTTTCATTTTCCTGTATGAGATATAGTTAGCAATCTAGTTTATACCCGGAAGATGGCAGGAATACCTCAACTTCCGATGTGAGGCAAGTGCATGTCGTAGAGAAACATCCACACTCGCACCCTCTCGAAACAGTGAATCATACAATTGACAAACAAATTGTGACACTTCTTCCTCATCATCATCCCAAAAACCCGTAGAGGGGTCCCCGTTTTCACTATCTTCCCAATCACTCACCGGACTACTAGGCTCAGCCTCCTCATCTTCAATGTCATCTTCAGCCTCTTCCTCACCAATCTCAAACTTTCCATTTTCAAACGCACTGAACTCTGCAGATCCATGGAGTGTTGTCAGCTGTGATTCTGGGGGCTGACCTGAAGAGCATATAACAGCTTTGGCACCACAGTCTAAAAAAGACTTAACCAAGGTTGGCGTAGGCCCATATGTCCCTGTGCAAATAATGATCCTGTCTCTCCAAGCTCCAACCTATAGTTATTTAAAGGCATAAAACATCAATTCTATTAGTCAGGTCATGCAATGCATATTTTACATAACAAAGAGAAAATGCTTCACATAAATAGGGATGGAAGTGTACCATCCAACGAACATCATCAGGTGATAAATGGATAGAAGGTACAGTTCTACGAAACAAATATGCTCCAATTTCTTGGCCATCTTCCATAACCTTAAAGAATGCCATCATACAACAGAACCAGAGTTAATAGTTATAAGTAACTTCCAATAAGTAGCAAAAACTATGGTTTTAATGCTAAAGGGAGCATACTTGGGTTTGGCGTCCCATATAACGGTGAACAATGCCTCCAATTTGGAAGTATGGTCTACAAGCAACCAAATCAGAAACAGTTGAAATATTGGAGAGAGATGATGCAGCCTTCCTGCAGCGGTTTCGCATCACCGATATCAAACTCGATTTAACACTCTGCAGAAACTTATCTGCAAGCTCTCCAGGTTCAGCAACCACAAATACATCATTCTGCCAACTACAAAAATAAATAGCCGTTAAATGCTAACATCAACTGAAATAACATCAACTTGTAATTATAACAAATCAACCAGCAGCATGTTGACCTTAATATCGAGCCAAGTGAGTCATTCTGAAGGGCCAAATGTACAATGCCCACTTGGGGCGAATTCTGCAACTTCTCATGCAATGACTGGACAGGTAAAGAAAGCTGTCTAGGTCCTGCAGGAGACTCGGGTGGTGACGCGGCTCCCTTTCCAGATTGACCATCTAAGCTTAAAGGTGGGACCATATCAATTCGGCCAGCCCTCTGTGGGCCAAAATCAGGACTGTAGAAAAGTGGACTTGATGGGATGCTTGCAGGAAACAAAGGTGAAGCAAATGGTGTTGGGAACGTTGTTGCCGGCACCGTTTTCACAAATCCTGATATCCCTTGCATTAGGGATAATCGTATTCCATTACGGGCACAAAATGACTCAAGTGCATGAGCATGGTTAAAAGCTCGACCAGAATTGGGGCTATGTGAAGCTTCAACAAGTAGTACATTACGCCTCCAACCTAGAGATGGGCCTTTTTCATCTACTAGATCAAAGTACAAATTGAACTTAGGTTCTTGTAAAATGTGTAAAAACCTAAAATGCATAGAGATAAATTGAAGAAAAATGTCAGTATCAATACCCTCATTTGATGCCTTTGACTTGGGGAAATGTTGAGATCTCAAATTCTCGGACCACTTCTCATCATGTTGGAATGGCATAAGTAGTCTCTCACAGGCATCCTTAAATGCATGAGAGTTTTTCTGAATATATTCCTCAACTGCAGCTTCCAATTTCAGCCAGATCGCTGGATCAGTCTCATCCAATTCCATATCACACCGTTCATCAACTGTAGGGGAAAACATAGAAGTGCTGATTCAGAATTAGTTCTTTCACTAAAAATCCACCTTAGAGAAAAAGTTAACAGATGGAAACAAAAGTAGTTAAGGTTGCTTTTCTGCGCGAGGGTCAAGATTTCTGACATTTCATGCTCATCTAGACATATTACTTCAGAATCAACACATACCTGGATTAAACCGAAAATATTGCATTCCAGGGAGCATGGGTAGCAATGTACTTAAAGCCTCCTCCACCCGTTCCACAGAGCATGCACTTTCTATCAATACTTGCCCAGTATCCAGATAACGCCAACCACCTTTTCGCACCTACACTAGCAGATTTCGTATGAATCTATAAAGCAGAGTAATCACTCTTAAATGCCGTCCAATCTATTCTGGAACGTTTTGCAACTACAATGTTATTAACTTGTTTTTCAGTTAGCCCATCAAAATTAGTAGCTCTGGATTTCCTGGGATTAGTAGACAATAAGACCAGAATTTCACAACTGACTCTTCAACAACAAAGGTTACGGTTTACCTTTGTTGGAACAGAACCACAGCCAATGGAAACCAGGCAGTCAATTCTTGTGTCAGGCCATAAAAGTTGTGCTTCTCTAATGGAAAAAATTGTAGGATTGTTTGCCACTATTGCACCATCTTGCCACCGGTTTACATCTATAGAAATGGTAGGATATAAACATTAGAGGATATTAAAACCAAGAAAGAGGTAATATCCACATGCTCACCTTAATCACTATGATCCTAATGACAAGAATATTTCCACAAGTGCATGAGAGATTACCATCGGAGAAATCATCAAGATAATATGGAGCTGCAGACGATGCTCTTATAGCTTGCCATACTTGATGTTTACAACTGCCAATAAAAGCACTGCGCCTATAGCCAAGTTCAGCACCCACAGTAGGTGATCCTTGCACAGTGATTCCTGAACTCTCTGAAACTGCAAGAGGCACTTCTAGTGTTCCCGCCGGGTACTACAAATTGAGTACAACATACCAGGTAAAAATTTCAACGGTGAAGTGATGATGTTTGCACAAAGGAACTACTAGTCTCAAACCTGATAGTTCCGGAATAAGAAAGGCTGAGCTGGCATCACGCTCACCAAAGTTGATACAACAAAAACTTTGGGAATATTTTTTACTGCGGACTCTATTAATAGATCTCCATCCTCATCTGCACACATTTCCTTCAACAACCTCTCAAAGTGATCTGCACTATGCTGCAAGACAATATGTTAAAGATATCCTTTCAGAACTCAAAGGATGTGGTCAACAGCAACATATAAAGAAATTATTACTTTAATGTGTAGGCTTGTATCAACTATATGCTTTGCTTCACTAAGATTCCACTCTTTTTACAATATATGAGGTGAACAACAGACGAGACCGACAATAATGATTGTAGTAAAATGAAAAAAGAAGAGTCATAAAATTAGAAACTTTCTCAATCAGATACATGCAGGAAAGAGAAGAGGTTGTAGGGAAGAAACCTATACACACTTGCCTACAACAAAAAGTGCAATATAAGGAAAAATAAAGGCATGGCATATAATGGAGTTTAATAAATAAAAACAAAGATAAAGCATTAGAAACATACTTTAGATCCATGTACAACAACTCTAAAACTCTGCGAAGAACTTTTATAGAGCTGATCTAACTTCTCTCTCCAAGTTGCAGCTTCATTGTCCTTTGGTGCAGGTTCAGCAAATACAAGTTTTCCTGTGAATCATGATATACGAACTGATAAATAATTGATCAACGAGCAAAGCTTTATGCAGGCTCATTCCTAATACAGCATACTCACCAAGATTTTTGTATATTTCTTCACACTGATCTAATGACATAAGCTTAATACCAAGGGCAACAGCAAGCATGCCACCCGTTGATGTGCCGCATATGAGGTCAAATAACTCATGTATCTGCTTTCCAGTCCCCTTCTCAATTGCCTTAAGAATTTGCACAGTTGCCAGACCTTTCATGCCACCACCATCCATTGAGAGTATGCGAAGTCCTTGCTTTGGCACCTGTCTGCCCCTTATGGCACGTCGTAGATTTCCATTCTCCCCTACAAAAGGCATGACATGAACCAAGCCTATCAAGCTAAGAATCTCAAACCAAATAAACAAATAAAATTTAAGAGACAAACCAAGAATTGCCAAAGCACGAGCTGCAGCTTTATGCACACGTGGATCAGGTGCAGCCATCAACCGCATGAGAAGTTCACACAAGCTTTCAGAAGTAACCAAAAGACGGCGATTCTCCAAACAGAAGGCCAAGTTTCCTACTGCTAACAGAGCTAACCTTTGCACCTAATGAAAGATAAACCTCAAATTAATTGACAATACTATAAAAGAAAAGTATGAAAACAATTGTGTTTTTGAAAAAAGTAGGGAACTTGCCTCTGGGGTTTTGTGGGCACATAATACTTTTAAGGACTTCAATACATCCTTGGTCAGCATCTTCTGAGCTACGGCATCAGATGCAAAAGCCAGCTTCACCACAACTTGTAATACAGAAATGACTTCCCCTTGGGGAACAGATTTCAATACCGTTTCAATGGGTTGCATGATGTCAGATTTCATCAACTGCATGGCAACTGAAACATCTGCAGCAAGAGATGAAAGAGCAGAACATGCCTGTTCAACCTGCCAGAAGTTGGAATTCTTAAACCATATGTAGCAGAAGAGTAAATAAGCAAGTAAAATATTTGTCAGGACAGCTAATTGACATACCACATGATGGTTATCACTGCTTATCATACTTATAAGCTGCCGCACTGCATTCTCATCCTTACCAACAACTACACGGTTTCCTTCGTCTTGCATTATCTTTGCTAGTGCAGATGCTAGTAAAGGGTGATGACAAGAAGAAAAACGGAATATGAGAGAGAAAAAGGCACTCAGCTTATGCCTAGATGCACCAAAATAAGAACTGTTTTCCATCTGCAAGTACCACCAATTTTTTTTCAACAATGTATAATGTGAAATTAGAAGTTCTAAAGCCTTAAAACTTCTATACATATTGCATTAATCACTACCTCTATCTGCACATTCACTGATCTCAAATTGTCATCAGCCACAATCCTGATATTTGCAAGAGACAAATGATGAAGTTTGTGGAGCGGCAAGATTTCAGGAAGAAATTCCAGAGGATTCCCAAATAGCCTAAGAACCCGTAGCTCAGCCATAGCCCTGTCATAAAACTGGAGGGAACCATTAGACCCAAAAGAGATCATAGACTTCACAAGCATGGCTGTAATTACGAGTGGAAGAAATGTATAGATGAATTGAATAAGTTGAAGTGCTGACGAAATGACCTGAAATCAAGCAGAGGCCGAACAAGCTTGTTGTGTTCCAATGACAGTTCCACCAATCCAACACACTGTCTCAGTTCTACTGCTTACAAGTGCAACAAGAATCAAACAAATGAGTATATCAACAAGCTAACCTACAAAACCTAAGCTTAGTTATGTAGCTCCATCTAAACTCTAATGCTGTATAGATTTAAAAATTGATTTCAAACTTACCAGGTACTGAAACCAGCATGTTGTAGTCTACCCTGAGCACTTTTAAGGTTTTTAACTCACCAAGCTCCGAAGGCAAAAGAGACAACTTATTGTTATCAAGGTATAGCTTCTCAAGAAGAGGCAGACGAGTTAGCTCTACCGGCAATACCTGTAAGTAGTATGCAAGCCATAGAGATAGAAACTCAGAACTCATCTCAACACTCCTTAAACTCAATCAATCACTAAATAGAAAATATCTTTCCCTAATAATTTTTAACTCAACGAACAAAACAAAGAACACAAGTGTATCTTTACAGTACCAAATAGCTATTAATCTAAACATACACTTGAAAGAACAGTGGATCTTGCTATTATTAGAAAAACTAGTAACAGAAAGTTTGGAACTTAGGATAAATACAAGTTTGGCTCGAAAATTGAAAATACTAAACCAAACAGGTAAATTCAAGACCAATAACTTATCGTCATTTTTTCCACGAGCCACACAGCATTCGATCATGGTCGAAGAGATCGATTACTTATTTATACAAACAGTCGAAAATATAATAAATACAGGAAATGAGCAAACAAATCTAAAGAAAGACTCACCGACAACCCACAACCACCGAGATTGACGACGGTGACGCACTGCCAATGTACACCGCAAGCCGCCACACCGTCGGAAACTGCAGGCATTGACGATGTGAAATTGGATCGCAACAAACGAGTCAAGACCCCAGTGCCATCGCTTTGCTGGCCCGACCCGGCGGCCTTGGTCATGGTCACGGCTCTCAACGGCTCTCTGCGCCTCACCACCCTCATATCCACACCCACATTCGCCTCCTCGGCTTCTTCAGATTCCTCGGTCCTCAATTCGACCACCACCGTGTCCTGCGGCATCGGCAAAGCCACCATTAGCTGGGACTGGAGCCTGAGCGCCACCTGCTCCTCATCGTCTCCGGCCGACCAATCCAAGTCGATTCGAAACCCTAATTCTTGATCCTGCGAAACAATTGAAGACGAGGACGATGACGACGTACGGTTGAAGTTCTCCGGCGGACCCTCGGTGCCGTATGTGAGCGTGAGATGGAAGATCTCCGAGGGCCGCTTCCAGCCCAATCCCCAAGACATTGTGATTTGATCCCAATTAGGGTTCAAATCCAACGACGATCTGATCGGGCGGCGGGGAGTTCAGCTCGAGTGGCATTTGGTTTCACGGCGTGGCCGTGACCGTGTTTGTGTGTGCATGAAAGAAGAGATCTAGTGAAGTTGGAAATGGGGATGGGAGCTGGGGTTTGGATGAGAAATGGGGGTTGAAGGTTAGGGTTTTTGGAGGAATAAAATTGGGATTAATGGCGGGAGAGGAGGGAGACGAGTCTGTATGTCAATCGTTATGTCGCGAGCTTTGGAGTTTTACACACAGACAGACAGACGTGTGAAACGGAAACGAACTGAAGGAATATATAATAGGGATACTATTCTGATTCAGGTTATTTACTTGAAAGTCCGGATACGGCGTCGTTTATAACTTATGCATACAGTAAAGATACGAGTCTTTATGAGTTTTGCGATCAAAAAGCTGTGTTCCAAAAAATTGGCCTAGGCGGGTCGGGTTTTTTTTTCCTGACTTTGAATAAAGAGATCCTCTGCTTTATGCTCAACTTTTTCCCCATGTTTAATTCCAACAAAAAAAATAAAATTTATGGTACTTTATAATTTATATATCCTTTTATTTTGCAAGACTTTAGTATAAATTTATAATTTATAATACAAAATAATTATAAAAAAAGAAAAACAGAAATGCTGCATAGGCGCTAGGCCCCGCCTGCCACCCGCCTACTGCCTAACGATTTTTCGAACATTGCCAAAAAGGAAAAAGTTGGAAGGAAGGAGAAAACGATAATTGAGTTATTGGGAATACATGCTAAGGACGTGTAGCTCATGTGATCAAGACTAGTTATTATTTATACACGTCCCATGTTCCAATTCCCCTATCTCAATATCATTTGTATAAAACAGTGCACGGGAGATCTACTTTTAGCAAAGACTAAGAAGTGCCTAGTGTCTTCCATGAATCAAAATGCTGCATTCTTGAGGGAGATACCGACATTTAGCAATTAGCTGATATGATGATGAAATTCCAATCATGAAGCAAAAACCAAGTCACACTATAATGGAAAAAGCACCACAAAATTCATTACCCTCATTTTCTTTTCAATTCATTTCCCTTTCAAACCTAGAGCCAAGCATTGAATAACACCTGACAAGCTCAGAAATTTTGGAATAGCCAAGCTGCATATTGTTCTAATGACCCATATCAGAAGCACCATTTTCAAACATGAGAAATAAATTCTTATATGAAACATCTGTGATAAAGTTTGCTCTATTATTCAATCAAGATTGTGATATCCTTAAAAAGAAAATCATTATTTTAAAAATTTTCAATAACTGAAATTGGAGGCCTGGTCTACCAGCTACTTCTGACTTCCCTAGGACATTCTAATAACTTTATTATACTCTAATTATCATATACGGACTTCCAGGGCTGGAAGGCTGAATACTTGATACGATCGAGCTAAGAAATCTGCAAAGTTGAATGCCAGTGTATCAGCTAGTGCCCGGCCACAATTGAGAAATGATTTTTGCTGCAGAAAATGAGTAGCTCTAGTGCTTGCAAAAAACTGTACTATGAGCAGTTACGCATGCCCCTTAATGCAATTGAAATCATTGATCAAGCTTCTTTTCAGCAGAATTAAAGATCTCCTTCAATTCTCTCTTCACTTCATCATCTGCAAATATATATTCAATTGCATTTTGTGCTAGCTGAAATAGTTCCCTCCTTCCAAGACCTAAGAAGTCAAGAAAGTAAACAAGCAGTGAGTGTTAGCTATAATTTACATTACATGCTCCAATGAAATCAGACCTACCAAACGCAGAAGCAGCAAGGTTGTACTCCTTTGAAAGACTGGTAGAAAACACCCCAGAATCATCGGTGCAGATTACTAAAGGATGTTTTGAATTATACAGATCAGCTGCATAATCAAATAAAAGTTGTTACAAGGGACTTCAAAGCTTGTCTGTAGTAAAGAAAAACATGGGTTCCAACCACCACAAAATTATAGTAAATGCTTGTTTAGGAGAGGAAATTTAACAAATTTTAAAATTATTACTGAGAATAGATAATTAAGTCATAATAGAAGCAAAAGACCGAACCAAAATGATGAACTTCAATTGAATGAACTGAATTAGTCCTGATGTTGGATGTCAAACAAATCTCAACCTGGAAAATGCAAATACAAACCAATTTGAAGATGCAGAAAAGTTAGCTAGTCAAACTTCATAAAACTATACAACTAACAACTTCATAAAAACAATGTGTAAGTTACGACAGCAAACTTAAAACAAAGGCATTAAAGATGAGAGGTTTCATTGTACATGAGCAAACTAAAAGATGTTCGTCCCTGGTTTCTTCTCATAATGTGTCTAAGCAGAGATGGAACTGGCCAGAAACTCTATACCCTATTTGGAAATAATAGCTCAGCATTTGATGTCTAAAGCTCGTTTACTTATCATCCACAAGGATATTTTAAGATTGAACTGGCATCTATCCTATGGCAATCAAAAAAGCTATTATCTAGAATTGTGTTATAATAAGTTATAATGATTGGTTGCACAATTATCTCACCGGGATATTCAAAGATTTCAACCTTTTCCATTCCTCTTCTTCGAAGCAACATGCATGACCAATCCTCTGCGGTAGTAAATCAAGCATTGCCCGTATCTCCTTTGGATTAGGAACCTATAAGCGCTTAAAGAAATAAATTAATCAGGGTGATTATATGGCACAAGCTGCAGGCATTAGAAGAACAAACGCACCTCTCCACAATGAAGGGTTATATAAAGACCCTGCTCTCTAGCAAATTTTAATGCTGGAAAAAATGTCATCCTGCCACAGATACAATATACGCATATACAGGGTTATATTATAACTATACATATAAAATGCAACACTCTTCTTCAACAAACTCTCAATGGTGATTAAGTACCATTCTCCCACAATTGGATTTCCAGAAAGGTCAATACCAACTACCCCTAAATCTCTCATTTGCAGTGCAAGCTTCACCTACAGTACATGAGAAAAACAGTCAAATGCATTGTCCATTGAGAAAAAAACATGTGCTCAAATATTTCTTCAGAATACAGTTTCATGACATACAGTTTCCATTGCAGCCTCTGTGGTTTCCCTGCGGTCAATGCTCAAAAGAAGCCTAACATAAATCTCTTTTCTTGTACTTCCGTTACATGTATCATTTATAAGTGAAGAACTCTTTACATTGCTGACATCAGCATTGTGAGGCCTAAAAGCAACATCAACTGTATTGACAGCCTTTATACCCTCCAATACTGCTTCCAAGTAAGAGCGTTTGCTCATTCCTATGGAGTCATTTTTCTGCATAGATTTAAACACATCATTATCATATCAATCAAGTATATAATATAGGTCATTTTAGTAGGAATAATTCATACACTTGGCTTGTTTTAGTAAGACACCTTAGGAGTTGTTCTTAGCTCCAGATACACAACATTCTCAGAAGCAAAATCTTCAATAACCTGTTTGTGAGAAAATCTAGTATCAAGTATCAACATTGAAATGTTGGAAGTAAAGACTAAATAAATTGGAAAGTTATCATACTTCTTTGGTAATTCTTGTGATAATTTTGTGGTCAGTAGTAAGAATGTGGATCAGGTCAAACAACCTGAACACTTCGGCTAAAGAACGTTCATCTGAGTCCAAGAATAGATAGAGTTCCAATGTTAAGATTCAAGAAAACATTGAAATTGCATTGCCAAAAAACATGTGTTAGCACAAATGAACTGAAAAAAATGAGGTAGAAAATCAGTTCAATCTTTAATTGATATGCAATGGGAACATTTGAGTTGACGATTTTGACATCCCAGGCATAAAAATGGAAAATTTAAGATGAATGGAAAAGATAAATTCCCTTGCTTGATTTTCTTTCCTACGTTTTCTCAGCAACCAAACAGAACTATAAGCAATTAAAAGAAATGGGCGTACTTTTCAGTATAACGTGCTCCACATCTGAGAAAACTATGACACCCTTCTCACCCAAAACTCTGGCAAGTTCTCTGCAGCCAAAACAAAACACCAAAGATAAATTATGCTTCCTAAAAACACAGCAAAGCTTAAAGCAGCAGATAACCCACTACAAGAAAGACAGAGAGAGAGAGAGGAGCAAACAGTAAAGTGGAGTCTCTGACAGATCCATTGAGGTGAGCGTGAAGTTCCACCTTTGGCATTGACACCCAGCCCTCCATCTCCATGCTTTTCTTACACTTACTTAACTCTGTTTTTTGTTCTTATCTTACTTTTAGCTGCTGCGTGTGGCTACTACGGCTAAATTAGCTCCTCTCCTCCACTCTCCTCTACCATGAAGGGTCAAGTCAATGACATAATACTCAATGAGTAGGAGAGAGGACGAAAAGAGTAACGCAGACAGAACCAAAAAGAGAGAAAAATGAAAACAAAAAGAGTAACAGAGACAGCACGAAAAGAGCCCAAAGCGACTTCAATGGCTTTGACCCATTGAATTTTGACCCGTTTGCTTTCTTGTAACAGAGGCCCAATCAGTCGTGGGTCGAACTTGGGTCATGTTTCACGGACCTGGCCCTTTGCAATGTTAAAACCCGACTCGTACCCGATTTTCTGAAATCAAAATCTCAGTTAAACCTCGCCTCAAAATCACCTCAAGCACAGCGGTAGCTGTACTTTCAGCTTCAGGCTTGGAGGGAAGATCGGGTCTGTGAGCTTTGCGTCAATGTTGGCCAATGGTTGCCGGAGTTTCAGTGCGCCAGTGGCACTTGTGCGCACGTTAGCACTCACCCATGTTGCTCTCAGTGAACACGCCAACAACTACAAGCATGTTAAGGTGGCTTGTTTTTCTCGGAGTTCAAAGAAACGAACTACGTTTGCATGCAAATCCTTGAAACAAGACGTTACCCAACCAACTGCCGTTTCTTCTGTAAATGGGTACCTTCAAATTTTCCAACTTTAATGCCTGAGATTTTGGCTTAATTTTTTATTTTTATATTCTTTTGCTGAAAGTGAGCATTTTACTAAACTGGTCGAAATTTGGTGCACTTTGATTGGAAATGAAGATGCTGGAATCCAACGTTTTTAATATTTACTGCTTATATGTTGTTGGGTATCTGCAATTTCGGCATATGGATTGGTTAAAACTTGAAAGTAGATGCTTTAACTAAAACTGAGTGAAACTACATTTCATGAAGTTCGAAGTTATTTATTTTCCTCATTCTTTATGGCTTGAGAATCTCAAAGCATCCTTTTTATTCCCCAATGAAAGCATATCTTATTTCTGCCCTTTTTCGTCCTAACCAATGAGAAACTGTACATTCTTTATGTAGTTACCTTTTTAGTGCCTACTCTTTTGGTTTGCTGACTTTGATAGCATATCTTCTTTCAGCCACCCTGAATATACTCGCTTGCTTCCATGCCCCTCACACAATGGACCACCAAGAGTTGAGCACTTGGTTGTTTCAGAAGGGGGGCCTGTTCTAGAATATATCTGTAAAACTCTGGATCTTCCTCCTCAGTGAGTGCTGTTCTTTTGTATTCTCATTGTTTTCAGTTGATGTATGATATGATTTCTGTCATTCTCAAGTTCGAGTGATAAATAGAAAAAATTTCATTCTTTGAAGGTTTGTTGCAGATCTCATCCATTTTGGAGCTGTGTATTATGCCCTTGTATGTCCAAAGCCTCCTCCAACCGCAACCCCAGAGCAAATGAGGGTATTTAAAGAAGTTACAGCACCATCAGTACTAAAGAATAGAGCTTCGATCAAAGGAAAAACTGTAAGAGAAGCGCAGAAAACTTTCCGGATAACACAGGCAGACGAATTTGTTGAAGCTGGAACATACTTACGTGTGCATGTACACCCAAAACGTTTTCCTAGGTAGAACACAATATTTGACAGGTCTATCATCATTTTTACATGTGAAATTCTTGTTCACATCAGGATTTTGATCAGGTGCTATGAAATTGACTGGAAATCAAGAATTATCGCTGTATCTGAAGAATTTGTGGTTTTGGACAAACCTGCTGGTACAACTGTACGTATCATTACAAAATCATGTGTTTTGTCATATTTTTTTATGGCATTATCAAATATTTTTCTTTTGAATAGTTAATTAGTTGCTTACTACTATGATTTTATGGCAAATTTTTTTCAGGTAGGAGGAACTACAGACAACATTGAAGAAAGTTGTGCAACCTTTGCCACTCGTGCCTTGGGACTTACAACCCCCCTGAATACTACACATCAGATTGATAATTGTACAGAAGGATGGTATGGTATATTATATTAGTTCTTGTCCTGGTTTTTGTTGAGACATAGAGGTTGTGGTATAAATACTATAGTACTAACTCACTTGCAGTGTTGTCTTAGCTAGAACCAAGGAGTATTGCTCAGTTTTTCATGGAAAAATCAGAGTAAGTTTTGCAATACCATACATTGGCATATATTAGATTGAACTAGGAGGGGGAGGCCAGCTGCTATATAACTATGAATCTGAGTGGTTCCTTATTGCTGCAGTCCAACCCCGAGCTCCATCTTCTTAGGTCATTAAGTTTATTTCTCTTTTCTTATACCTAGGAGAAAAAAGTGAAGAAGCTTTACCTTGCTCTTGCTGCTGCTCCTGTGCCAACTGGAATAATTACTCACTACATGCGTCCAATTAATGTGGCTCCTAGACTCATTTCAGAAGGTAATAATCTATTTCTAGCACTGCATTGAAATTAGTTTGGAGTTTGAGTAGTTTCATTTTGAATGCGTCAAGTACTTAAAGTCATTACCTTCTCACCACATTGTTTTGCAAATTATATTTCCTTTCCTCATTTCCTTCTTGGAGCTGAAATGATGACTTCAGTATGTGCTACTTGTATGTAAAATTAGGAAACCATTACTTTCCACAGGCATTTCGTGAGATGATTCACCTAGACAGGCTGTTGTTAAAAACAAGCTTTAGGATTATATTTCATTTTCTTTTATATAGATGTTGTTTAAAAGCTAATTTAAGTACTCATTAATTGCATTGAAACTACACAGAGTATAAAGCTTTCTTTTACTTACTGTAACATTGTGGCTACAACTTCAAAGATATTTTCTTCACAAACTCAATTGATGAAAGATACTTTATGAATGTAACCTGAAAAAGAAAATAAAAATTATACACTATGAGACTTCTATGCTTGATAGGAAACTCCTCCTTCTGGATGATGCTCAAAAAGTTGTGGTATGCAGATTTCATTGAAAGGTGGAGTTTGTGTCAACTTGAGGTCATGGAATGCAAGGAGGTTCCCTGGCCAAATGCTGTCGTTGAAGAGAAATATTGTGTTGAAGACTGTAGGTGGCCTTCAAAAGATTATGCATATGAATGTAAAATCAACCTTTTGACTGGGCGGACTCATCAGGTAAGGAGCAAAACATTGTACTAATATATGAATTTAATTAGTATCATTTTCTTTTCCCACTCTATTTGGAGCAAGATGGTGACCACTCCCTCAATTTGTTTATCTGAGATCTCTGAGATACTGTCTTCTTAATAGTGGCTTCTGATTGGCCCAAAAAAAGGAAATAAGTTGTGCCTCCTGGATGAAACTCCTTTTGATTTTAAAGAGAGGTCCAGCTGCCTCAAGAGTATATAATACTTCAAAAGGCAGAAATTTCAGTAGTTTCAAGATGATATATCAATTAACCGTTCAGAAAACTGTGATTTTTAGGTTCTTTGGCACAAGGGACATATTGCTCGACTCTGTGATGGTTATTGCTTTCTGTTTCATTTAGTTTTGTCATTGACTACTCAAGAATTAAAGATTAAACTTTGGAAATAACTACATTTACGATGCAGGTTCGAGCGCAACTGGCGGCCTGTGGTGCACCTATAGTGGGTGATTCCATGTACATGCCAGCTGCAGTTGCAGAGATGGAAAGTCCTGGACTGAACCCGTTTGGCCAATATAAGAAGCATTGTACTACTGAAAATGATAAAGAAACAGCCGTAGCAGAGTGGATTGCACGGCATGGAAAGGAACCTAATGTTGCTATTGGTCTTCAAGCATGTCAGATATCATGGGATGATGGGAACCACACTTTTGAGGCTAGAGCTCCTTGGTGGAGGTGTCAATAAATTTAGAAAAGGGGGATGCCAATCAATTGCATGGTATGGTCTTTTCCGTTTGCTAGAGTTAGGGTGCTTGTCTGTCTCATATGTTTGATTTCTAAAATTACAAGATAGATTGTACCCGTAATGTGTAAACTATATGATTGGGAAGTAATGGCTTTATTGATTGATTAAAAAGATACCTGCTCTTGAGTGCTCACTACATTGATTTTCTTGATCATGCTGTGGCTCTTAAAATTTGCACCGTATGATTAGAAATAATTTTTTTGTACCAAGCCGCTGAGAGTCTTTGAGTTCTCTTGAGAGTGGCATAATCAACATGGTGAAGTCCAAACCGAACAGTATATCCACTAGTCCACTCGAAATTGTCAAGCAATGACCACACGAAGTACCCTCTTACATCTGCTCCTTTCCTGATCATATTATCAAAAATTCAATTAGTTTTCCACCACATTTGAACTGTTTGCAAAACACCACAATGTCACTACCATATATAGAGAAAATTATTGTATCCAAGGAGTGTGTGCAGTGATCACGTAATCGATTATTATGAGAGGAACATTGCATGCACTCATTTGGTGACAATGATAGCTGAGTGTAACTTAAAGTTCAAGAACTAAATGCAAGACGTCCCATTTGCCTTGGGCAGTTGAGGGCATACCTCATTGCTTCTGCTAGTGCATGCAAATAGGACCTCATGTACTCCACTCTCTTGGCATCATTGAGTAATTCTTCATTGGTGGAATTCGAAATCTCAGTCTCACCAAACCCTACAAGACCCAGTCCAATGATATAAGAATCTTTTTCCGGATCCAATATTTGACTGGCTGTATTTTGGGGAGGGTAGGGGTCAGTTTTAATCAAATATATGACTTTACACCTTACCATTTTCTGTGATGAAGATTGGTGTATTATTGTATCTGTCTTTTACGTAGGTTACAATGTTGTCCATTCCTTGAGGGTACACATACAGCCAGTCAACGGAAGTCTACATCAACAAAAAGCTTAGGTAACCGAAAATTGCACAAGAAATTAAGTGGTGTTGTGGTGATGATAATAAGATGAGAGATTACATACTGGTTCTCCAAGGAAGACTCCATCTTTTTCTGCGGTTTGCAAAGTGAAACCCTCGGTCCTTGAAGCTCCTGGTCCTGGTTCACATGCAGAAAAGATACAGTCTTTTACGTAAAAGCTGGTATAGTGGTTGATGCCAATGAAGTCTAATCTGTTCTTCCTCAGCATCTCCACATCAGATTCTGAAAATATAGGCAGATCAGCTCCCAGAATCTCATGCATTTCTGCAGGATATCTCCCATGCACAATTGGGTCTAAGAGCCTGCATTGAACATTTTCGTTGTTGTGTGACCATGCTTTAGTATGGATGTATAGGTAGAGAAATATTACATGAGAAACTTCTTATTACCAGTTCATATAGAAAGATTGAGCCCTCTCTGCTGCTAACTTGTCTTCTAAGGAGTTGCTGATGGGTTCAAACCACACAGCATTCATGACCATTCCAATGCTACCTCCTTGTTTTTTCTGAGTGTAAAAGGCATGCATTAGAACAAAGCCGAACCGATTTTACTCACGAATTAATCTTGAACCTACAAGTTTGATGAAGACAGGACATTATTGAAAACCTGGTATTTGGTTCGGTATATATTCACAGCAGCTGCATGGGATAGAATGATGTTATGAGCTGCAATGAAAGGCTCCTTCTCTGAATTCCCACTAGTACAATTCCCAAATGGGCTAGAGCAACGAGATGGGGGGTAAATCCCTGACCTATAGCCATGAATAACTGCAACATTGGGCTCATTGAAAGTCACCCAGTCCTTAACTCTGTCTCCAAAGAATTTGAAACATATATTTGCATAATGTTTGAAATCCTCCCTGCAAAATCAAATTGAATTGCATCCCTTTATAGTTACTGCTTATTAGTGACTTGTTAAGACAGATGGGGGAATCTTGCTACATACTGCACTTTGGGACTTAGCCAAGCTCCATATATGTCTTCAAGTTCTTGAGGAATGTCGTAATGAGTCAATGTCACGAACGGCTGGATCCCTAGAACAGGACATGGAGATTATTGAGGAAGGAATTAAATATCTGTCATCTTTGTTCAAGAACTAATGCAGAAACAATGAATTGGATGAACACATAAACATGGAACCAAAGAAGACCTCTGTGCAGAAGAGTGTCGATGAACTTGTTATAGTGATCAATGCCGGCTCTATTCACTTCTCCAAATCGTCCTTCTGGTTCAAAGTTGTAATACAAGTGACTTAGAGATGAGAACATAGGATGCTATTAATCAAAGTTGACACTTTCTGAAGGAATGAAATAACTTACTGGGTAGAACTCTTGCCCATGATATAGAAAACCGGTAAGTATTGACTCCAATGTAACTCATGAGATCTAAATCTTCCTGTTTTTTTCATAGGAATGGCAAAGCAGGACAGGATTATCAGCATATCTAATTTAGATTAGCCATAAAAGTCACACACATTATTGTTTTATCTAGAGCCATGAAAAGTTTCAGTGTCCACACCAATTGTTCAGCTGCTCTAACCATTCAGACTTGGACACGTACACTTCGAATGGTAATGATCTTACTAGCTCAAATCAGTTGATAAACTATCCACCAGAAATTCCCAAAACTCTATACAAATGGAATACAAGCGACAAGAGGTACAGGACAATGAGTCAACTGGGTGGGGTTGATGATCTCATTATTTCTTTATTTCTGATAATCTATCGTTCCATCATCAGATTCTGAGGGGCGGTCCAGGCTTACAATCAACTGTCTATATCCAAAACTTGGAAGGATTCAACATATTAACCAACCACCAGCAATTTAGCCATTCCCTCATTTTAATACCATTCATGTATATAGACAAGGAGATTTGGCATGTCTCTTTATGGAACCACATCCATTAGTAGCAAATGGAGTGAAGTAAAACGTAAAAATACACAACACAAGATGGATTCTGTTTCTGTATGTAAAAAAATGAATACTGCAATTGTCTCGGATAAGGTATTGTGCTTGAGCTGGGTTAAAGTCCAGCCCCTACAATTAATTTCAAGTTGAACAAAACAGTAAGAAAGATATCAAAGGATTTTAAAGCTATTCTTCTTAATTTTTTTAAGTAGCTTCTGGACTGAATGGATTAATGGAATATTAATAATATGTCTGCATTTGACGTAAAACTGAAAATAATAGACCTGCAATATTGCCATCACCATTGAGAAGAAGTAGATGCAAATAAAGTTTATTCAAGAGCCTAGCTAACCAGATAAAGATGGTACTGATCAACAGCAATATCTCCATTAGTTCCATCTGAGATATGACCTGTGAGTGTGACAAGCCAAAATAACTCTACCATTGGATTTGAAAGACAATGGGGGCTTGGGAGTGAGGGAAAGTAAAGCATCAAATTCGAAGGAGTAAAACAGAAGCATTAATCTAACCAGGCTTATGAGTAAAAACATCCCAGTTGTTGAGGCCTTTACCATCATTCAGAAAAGCTCCCTCAAACTGAGAAAAATAATGAAGAAGAAATGAAACTTTATAACTAAAACCAACTGATTCTGTGTGTGTGTAAAGAAGAGTAGGCAAGATACCTGGTAAGAAGAGGATGCAGTTCCAAAGAGGAAGTTGCTTGGGAAAGGGAATGATGAAGCTGAGCTTCCTCTCGAAGATATGTGGTTACAAGACACTATGAGAATTGAAAAGCACATCTCAACCACAAGGACAGCATGAAATGCTGAAATTTTTTCCATAACAATGCTTGAAAGTATGAAGGTAGAAATAGTTTTTCGTTTTTTGTGATAAAATGCAACTTATGAAGTTTCACAGAGAAAGAGGTCTATTTAATAACAAGCATTGCCATTTTGATCCAACATCTGTGGCAGACGTGGAATGGAACCAACTAATTGATACTGTTCGATTTGCTAAACAGAAGCATCAGCAATGGTCGGATGGTATATATATATATATATATATATATATATATATATGCTAACAATGGTCTTTGGAAAGCAAGCAATTGAAATGAAGACAAAAGGAAGAGATGTAACATTAGCGAGCGAGAATAAACTCAAAATAATCATAATCACGTTGACAAAACCATTAAAAAAGTATAGAAAAGAGATGGCATCATGGGAACATTTGGATGAAGCAGGAGCAATTAAAACATGCATGCACCACAAAAGTCACATCAAAGAGATCTCTCCATCATCCTGCTGTGTTAGCCCATTCCTCTTCTTTATCTGTCAGTTTATCTCTTCACTTGTAATATAGTTTCAGATTCTATCTTGATCTGTATTTGCTATACAAAAAACTAACGACAGATAAAGTTGATCTGTATATTTTAAAGGGTATAGCCGCGGTTATACTCGACAAATAGAATATTTTAACCGTATCGCCGGGCGGCTATATATACTCCATACATAGAATATTTTAGAAGTAGAGCCGCCCCTGTTTTAACAGTTTAGCCGTGCGGCTATACACCATACATAGAATATTATAAAAGTATAGCCGCCCGGCTATACGCCATACGCAGAATATTTTGAAGTACAGCCGCCGGCTATACTCGATAAATAAATAGTGTATTGTAACAGTATAGACGCACCATAAATAGTGTATTTTAAACGTATAACCGTGCGGCTATACTCAATTCAAAAGGGCCAGTTCATACATCAATTCAAACATTGTTCTTATTTACTACAAAATCTACAATACAATTTTTCCAACCGGTGAACAGAAGGAAACCTACAATACAATTGGCTAATTAAACCATATCCCGAGGAACAGAGCATGATTTTTTTAACCAAGTCCATGGCTATGATCTTGATGATCAGATACCCTGTGTTTTGATTGTTATACACTTTAGTATTGTCTCTCTTCATCATTCTATATGACTGGGAAGATATACACTATATGACTGGGAAGATGGCTTTATTTTTTGACAGACACGGTATTATAAACCACTCTAATGTACGAGGAGGAGGATCGAATTCTGGTGTAAGGCGGCGCACACGCTACTCTAATGGCTTTATTGATTGATTAAAAGGATAGCTGCTGTTGAGTGCTCTCTACATTGATTTTCTTGATCATGCTGTGGCAATTAAAAATTGCACTGTATGATTCGAAATAAATTGTTTGTACCAATCCGCTGAGAGTCTTTTAGTTCTTTTGAGAGTGGCATAATCAACATGGTGAAGTCCAAACTGAACAGTATATCCACTGGTCCACTCGAAATTGTCAAGCAACGACCACACGAAGTACCCTCTTACATCTGCTCCTTTCCTGATATATTATCAAAAATTCAAAAGTTTCCACCACATTTGAACTGTGCGCAAAACACCACAATGTTATTACCATAAAATTATTGGATCCAATAAGTGTATGCGGTGATGACATGATTGATTATTAAGAGAGGAACGTTGCGTCCACTCTTTGGTGACAATGATAGCTGAGTGTAACTTAAAGTCCAAGAACTAAATGCAAGAGGTCCCATATGCCTTGGGCAGATGAGGTGGGGCATACCTCATTGCTTCTGCTAGTGCATGTAAGTAGGACCTCATGTACTTCACTCTCTTGACATCATTCAGTAATTCTTCATTGGTGGAATTCGAATTATCAGTCTTACCAAACCCTACAAGACGCACTCCAATTATATAAGAATTTTCTGGATCCAATAATTGGGGTTTTGGGGTCATTTTTTTAATCAAAGATCTGAGTTTGCGGCTTACCATTTTCTGTGATGAAGATTGGTGTATTATTGTATCTGTCTTTTACGTACGTTACCATCTTGTCCATTCCTTGAGGGTAGACATACAGCCAGTCAACCGAAGTCTACATCAACAAAATGTTTGGGTAAATTGCAGAAATTAAGTGTTGTGGTGATGATGACAAGATGAGAAATTACATACTGGTTCTCCAAGGAAGACTCCATCTTTTTCTGCGGTTCGCAAAGCGAAACCCTCCGTCCTTGAAGCACCTGGTCCCGGTTCACATTCAGAAAAGATACAGTCTTTTATGTAAAAGCTGGTATAGTGGTTGATGCCAATGAAATCTAATCTGTTCTTCCTCAGCATCTCCACATCAGATTCTGAAAATATAGGCAAATCAGCTCCTAGAATCTCCTGCATTTCTGCAGGATATTTCCCATGTACAATTGGGTCTAAGAACCTGCATGAACATATTCGTAGTTGTGTGACCATCCTTCAGTATGGATGTATAGCCAGAGAAATATGAGAAAATTCTTACCAGTTCATATAGAAAGATTGAGCCCTCTCAGCTGCTAACTTGTCTTCTAAGGAGTTGCTGATGGGTTCATACCATACAGCATTCATGATCATTCCAATGCTACCTCCTTGTTTTTTCTGAGTGTAAAAGACATGCATTAGAACAAAGCCGAATCAAGTCTACTTACGAATCAATCTTAAACCTACAAATTTGATGAAGACAGGACATTGTTGAAAACCTGGTATTGGGTTCGGTATATATTCACAGCAGCTGCATGGGATAGAATGATGTTATGAGCTGCAATGAAAGGCTCCTTCTCTGAATTCCCACTAGTACAATTCCCAAATGGGCTAGAGCAACGAGATGGTGGGTAAACCCCTGACCTATAGCCACGAATAACTACAACATTGGGCTCATTGAAAGTCACCCAGTACTTAACTCTGTCTCCATAGAATTCGAAACATGTATTTGCATAATATTTGAAATCCTCCCTGCAAAACCAAATTAAATTGCATCCCATAGTTCTTGCTTATTAGTAACTTGTTAAGACAGATGGGGAATTCTTGTTAAGACAGATGGGGAATTTTGCTACATACTGCACTTTGGGGCTTAGCCAAGCTCCGTATCTGTCTTCAAGTTCCTGAGGAATGTCGTAATGAGACAATGTCACGAATGGCTGGATCCCTAGAACAGGACATGGATATTGTTGAGGAGGTACTTAATTATTTGTCATATTTGTTCAAGAACTAGAAGTTATGTGATCAATCAAACTGTGATGATTTTTGACCAAGTAATACAGCAAAAATGAATTGGATGATCACATCAACAATGGTAACAAAGAAGACCTCTGCTCAGAAGAGCGTCGATGAACTTGTTATAGTGGTCAATGCCGGCTCTATTCACTTTTCCAAATCTTCCTTCTGGTTCAAAGTTACAATAAAAGTGACTTAGATATGAGAACATTGGATGCTATTAATCAAAGTGGACACTATCTGAAGGAATGAAAAAACTTACTGGGTAGAACTCTTGCCCATGATATAGAAAACCGGTAAGAATGGACTCCAATGTAACTCATGAGATCTAAATCTTCCTGATTTTTCATAGGAACGGCAAAGCAGGACAGGATTATCAGCACATCTAATCCAGATTAACAATAAAAGTCAACACACATTATTGTTTTATCTAGAGCCATGAAAAGTTTCAATTTCCACACCAATTGTTCTACCGCTCTAATTCCGACTTGGACACATACATATCGAACGGTAATGATCTTACTAGCTCATATCAGTTGATAAACTATCCACCAGAAATTCCCATGAATAATTGGAGGACAATGACAACTGGGGTGGGGTTTATAATCTCATTAGTTTTTCTTTTTTTGGTCTGAGCAAAATTTATTGTTTCATCCTAAGATTCTGAGGGGTGGTCCAGGCTCAATCAGCTGTCTATATCCACAATTTGGAAGGATTTAGAGCATCCACAATCATGCTTTCTATTTTTCAGTTAAATTTTAACTAAAAACATATAAAAGTTATTTTAGGAGCTCCTTATAAAATTTAAACTCCAATCATGCTCTCTAATTTTAGGAGTCATAAATGCTATAACTCTTTTTTTAATTGGTTCATCTCTATTAAAAAAAAAATAATAATAATTAACATTAATTAAAGATTTGAAATACTCATTAAATAAAGCAGCATTAAATTATAAGGAACCACTAGAAGTCCTTTCTCTCTCCTCAGATTTAGAAGCTCCTAGAGGTCTCCCTATTTTAGGAGGTGGATAGGGAGTATGGTTGTAGTTGTATTTTTCCAAATCCTCTCTAAAATTTGTCTAAGGAAGTGGTTTAGGGAGGCCATTGTGAATGTTCTTAACATATTAACTGCTAGTATTTAGTCATTCCCACATTTAATACCATTCATGTATATAGACAAGGAAATTTGGCATCTCTTTATGGACCAGCTCCTTGGTAAACCCTTAGTTGCCTAGTGAAGAAAAAGGGAAAATACACATGATAGACTTTGTTTCTGTATGTAAAAGAACGAAAACTGCAGTTGTTTAAAGAATCTAGGGTGCAAATCCAACTCAGATAAAGTCTTGTGCTTGAGCTGGGTTAAAGAAGGATATTAGAGAATTCCAGCCCCACAATTTCCAAGTTTAACAAAACAGTAATAAGGATAAGCAATTCTTCTTATTAATGACAACTGTAAAAAGAAAAGAAAAAAGTAAAAAAGGTTTATTCAAGAGCCTAGCTCACCAGATAAAGATGGTACTGATCAACAGCAATATCTCCATTAGTTCCATCTGAGATATGACCTGTGAGTGTGACAAGCCAAAATAACTCTCCCATTGGATTTGAAAGACAATGGGGCCTTGGGAGTGAGGGAAAGTAAAGCATCAAATTGAAAGGAGTAAAACACAGGCATTAATGTTAATCTAACCAGGCTTATGAGTAAAAACATCCCAGTTGTTGAGGCCTTTACCATCAGTCAGAAAAGCTCCCTCAAACTGAGAAAAAGAAAGGAGAAGAAACGAAAATATATAACTAAAACAAACTGATTCTCTGTGTGTGTGTGTGTGTGTGTGTGTGTGTGTGTGTGTGTGTGAGCGCGCTTGCCCACGTGTATATATATATATAAGAAGAGAAGGCAAGATACCTGGTAAGAAGAGGATGCAGTTCCAAAGAGGAAGTTGCTTGGGAAAGGGGATGATGAAGCTGAGCTTCCTTTAAAAGATATGTGATTATGAGATTCTATGAGAATTGAAAAGCACATCTCAACCACAAGGACAGCATGAAGTGCTGACAAATTCTCCATAACAATGCTTAAAAGGATGAAGTATGAATGAACTAGTTTAGTCTTTTTTCTTCTCTGTTTTTGATCAAACTGAAACTTACGAAGTTCACAGAGAAAGAAGCCTATTTAATAATAAGCATTAACCTTTTGATGCAACATCTGTGTCAGGCATGGGACCAACTAACTGACAAGCCCCCATTATTGGTCGATTTGCTAGCAGTAATCAGAAGCATCAGCAAACAGTCTTTGGAAAACAAGGAATTGAAATGAAGACCAGAGGAAGAGACGTGACATTTTAGCCAGCGAGAAAAAACTCAAAATCATAATCACGTTGACAAAACCTGAAGTATAGAAAAAGGATGCGTGTCCAATTGTACGCAGGAAATTCGAAACATGTACAGTACCACAAAGTCACGTTACTTTGATGGATCACCATTCTCCAACTTCTGGCCACCGAACCAATCATATGACTCGAAATGGTTAAATATCTAGGAAACTGTTTTACTCTCAAAATCATTAGGACATGGTGAACATTGACACTTAAATTCTATGTAACAAAACAGTGGATGGGCTGATAGCATTTGGAGTTGGGGCTGTTTTTCGAATCAAAATATCTTTCTTTGTTTCCACTTTTTGCTGGTTAAGAATACTTGTGCTATGTTCTTTTGTTTGTGTTTTGTTCGTTTAATGTTAAATTATTTTAAATTAATCTAATATGTAGGAAGGGAGAATTTGAACGTAAATACAAAGAAATGTATTCGTGCCTTAACTAATCGGCCTAACTCATCTCAAGTTTGTTTAATGAAGTTTAAAGTTGATCTTTGTCTACCCAAAAAAGAAGTTGAGTTTGTGCTAATGTACTCTGTCAGGACTTGGGCCTGATATACAAGTCCAATATGACACAGACCACTGTGGCAGTTTTAACGGGCCAAGTTCATTCATCGATTTGGGGCTTACTGTACTAAAAGAACTTGGGTCGTTTTAGAATTGAAATTGGAATTCCAAGTATTATTCTGCCGCAAAAAGGTCAAAGGCCTCAACAAACGTTGTTCTTATTTACTACAAAATCTACAATACAATTTCTCTCAACCGGTGAACAGAAGGAAACCTACTATCTAATTAAACCATATCCCGGGGAACAGAGCATGATTTTTTAAACCAAGTCCATGGGTCCATGACTATGATCTTGATGACCCAAAAACAATGAAGTTCAATTGAACATACTCAAATACCCTATGGTTAGATTGTTAAAACACTTCAGTATCTCTTGTCTCTCTTCATCATCCATGTTTCAAGCAACTTGGCATCTTTACATTCCTCAATGCTTGCCCTGCACCCAAAGTTAATAGGAAATTGTCAGCCAAACGGAGCCATAACTACATTGAAAGTCCCAACATTCAAAAGGGTAGTCAAGCACGCCATAAGAACTTTGAAGATGGTAATTTTACTAGGTGGTTTAAATTAAACATCAAACTTTATAATCATCCATATTAAATGAAAGTGTCACTGTTGTTCACTTGTATGTCTCTGTATAACTTGGGGTGGTCTGCACATGCCATTGTGATCTAACCATGGCCAAAAAAAAAAAAAAAAAAAAAAAAAAAAAAAAAAAAAAAACTAGGGAAAAGATGCCCCCTTTTTGTTTAGTGGCCCTTGACGAATTAGAAGGCCACCTTCTGGTGTTTATTTTGTCACCATATAGACAAGTGGCTTGTCACCGTTTGGACAAGTGGCACGAAGTATGCAGAATAAAAACAATGCACAAACTTTGTCCCAAACTTTGGGGACCTATTGGGCCTGCGTGCCCTTGTGGTTTTTGCTTGTAGTTTTCCTCTTTTTGCATAAATAAAAATAAAAATGCAGCTTATGAAGTGATGCTACATGGTTATGCACTTTGATCATCCATGAGGTGGCAATTGAGGTGACTTCCAGTTGAGCAATTGTTATGCACTTTGATACCAATTATTAGGGGCTTATGTGACCAGATATCATCTCCAACTTAACTACTCAATGCGTATGGATGAGGAACACAAAGTGTCCCAATCTTAATATTTCCCATATTTCATGGTTTTAAATCCAATGTGAAACTAATTATGTTATCTGCGATTCCTACAAAAACACTTATATAAGAAGGTGACGACCATACCTGTGAGTAGAGGAAGGTGCCAAGGATTGCAACGGCTGCTCCAAGTGCATTGACGGGTTGAACAGGTGTGTGGAAGATAATGATGGAGGAGACTATGACGGATATCCGCTTCATTGTGTTCCCGATGCTGAATGTTAAGGGAGATATCTGATCTAATGACATGTACGAAACCTGATTATACAAGTGATAGAAGATACTCTGGGCTGCCACCCACCTGTTAAGATATGGATGTACAGATTTCATAAGTAAAACGGTTTAGGAGGAAGGGAGTGAATGCTTTAAACAAGCACTAAATAATCTTTTCAAGGCTTTAGGATCAAAATTAGCAGATGTTCTATACAATTTACTGCAGCAACTAAATGGACAAAAACAATCACCTGATTCACTTAGCCAGGTTGGGTAGATTTGTCTCACTAAACCTTAAAGAAAGAAATTCTGAAACCCAATTGTGCAGATGATACCATCTTATTTTCAACTCTTCCACAGGTAGAAATTATATGCTTTTCTGATAGAATATTTTGAGAAACTGAAGTCCAACTTCATTGTCTAGAATTATACTCCTCTATATCTATAACCATGCAAGATATCTCTTTTACATTCAACTCTATAGTTAATTGCTGAAAATGATCAAACATATCGAAGCTACCAAATCAGCAATTATAAGTCCAATACCATGGACAAACAATGGAACAGAAAAGGCAGCAATTTTACAGACTGTTGCAGGTAATTGAAAATTACCAGACAAAATTGGGACCAATTTGTGCAAGAGCTGTGTTCCATCCAGCGGCCCACACCTTGGGGCCCTCCACGGCAATGGCAAATGGTATTAGGATCAGTAGAGACAACATAGACAGACAAGCATAGTAGTTCATACCACTGACAGACTTCCCCTTCATCCCTTTCTTCGAAAATATGTTTCTGAACACGAATGCCAGGTTCGATATCATAGCCCCCATGAACCCTGATGCAGCATAATTTAGTACTCGGAACAATTAACACCCACCAAAACTCTAAAACCATAACCACTAACAACCTTCAAAATTGTAGAATCAAAATGTGGAATTTAAAAAGTTTTCTAACCAATCATGTTGAAATTGAGCTCGGTTATGGCAGCAAGCGCACATCCTCCAATAATTGGAAAAAGAGAGAGGTAAACCGACAGAGGAAAGGATTCACCTAACAAGAACCGTGAAACCAATACACTGAAGGCAGGCTCACTGCTCTTGATGATGTGGGTAAACGAAACCGCAACCTTTGCCATACTCACAGTCGCTGCTACATGCCCAATTGTATGTGCCACCGCAACCTGCACACACATAACCAACCAATGTAAATAAGAAATCAGAATTCCAAAACCCAAGTGCCATGTTTGGCTGCAAAGGAAAAACCATAAAAAGAAACAGTCTTTGAGGAAACAGAGCAAACTGTAAGGATCTGAAAAAGCACCATAATTTTGCTTACCGGAAACAGAGTCTTCCAGAAATCTAAATCAGTTTTTGGGGCCTCAGCGATCCTGGTGGCCCAAGAAATGAGCATCATGAGCGACCCAGTTGCGAGTGAGAGAGTGGAGGTGAGCCATGGATAAGGAAACACATTCAAAACCTTCTTGTTGTAGATATTGAACACCACATTCAAAGCCCACCAGGTAGCAAAGTATATACCAATCTTGAACCTCTGAGAGGCCGCCTGCTGGTCCGGCAATTCAATGTTGATCTTCAAAGGTCTTGACTTGTCTGCCTCATAGGCCTTGCACTCTGTAACTCGCTGGGTTTTGCTCACCAATGCGAAACTCTCGGTGGAAGAAATGTAAAGGGGTTTGAATGAAGAAGAGAGTGAGTGGTTCACACTCTGTTGGACATTCTGAAAACTAGGTAGTGAAAAAGACTGAGCCTTTATCGAACACCTCTGGTTCAAACACTCTGAGGACGTGAAAGTCGAGGTTCTGAGCTTTACTGAAGAGATCTGCATGTTGGGTTTATGTTGAACCAAACCAGAATGGAGAGTTTTATTAATAGAGTTTGAGGTTCAGATTCAAAAAGAAAAAAAGTTTCTCGGGATTGCTCGGTGGATTATAAAACTAATGAACGATTGTTTTATAAGTTTTTGAGGGAAAAGGGGTTGGTGGGCTTGGAGAGAAGGTAGGGTGAGAAAACCGAAGAGAAAGAGAGGGAAAATGTGGGTGATGAAGGAAAGCTTTGAAACGGTCTTTCCTGGGTATAAGAGAGAGGCAGGGGAAGAGGGTTTATATATGAGTTGGGGGAATGAGGAGGTGTGGGGAATTTTGACCATTCAGTACGCGAGTTTTTGGGTTGTTTCACACCGGTGTTTGGGTGGTGACAAACTACAAGTAAGATCTTTTTCTTAATTACTAAAAAAATCCTTTAATTAAATGAAGAAACTAAAAAAATTAATTTTTTTTTAGTATATGGTATAGTCAGGGACGAAGATTTCTCACACACACGACTATTATATCATGGGGATTCGAACATTAGACCATTAGTCTGCCAATCAATGCCCTTCCTTGCTAACTAGACCCGTTAGCAAGAAACTAAGATTTAGAATAAAGGCATAAGGTTTCATGATTTTAGGAGCCAACAGAAATAAGTTTGTGTTAGTGTTTACTTCTGATTAGTGGATTGTTTTTCTGTATTTGAAACAGAATTCTGAGAAATTTCCTCCAAAGTCTGAGCCTCTGACTAAAAATTTAGAATATGCTCTTCAACTATTCTTTCATCACTTTTTTTTTTTCTTCCATTAAACTTCATAGATTCCTTTTCATCACATATTTTTTTATTCCATTAAACTTGATAAAAGCTTGTATTGATTGATTCAGGGTTGTCGGCAAGGAAATATACTTCACTTTGATCTTTCCCTCCTCCTTTGTTTCCCACAAAAATCTCAGCCATCATTATTTGGAAATGCAGATCTCACTCATAAAATTTCAATAACTAGTAAAAACAAAACTGCCCCTGTTTTTTTAATTCACCAACTTCCATTCAAGCCACCTACCTAAACACACCTGTTCTCCAGCTGCTGCCAATTCTAGACCGCAAACTCACGCCACGTTCCAACTCTGCATATGTAAACGACGAACACTCTGAGTTGAATGATTGACAATAAGAAACAAAGTCTGATTGAGAACGACAGACCTGGGGCCTTGTTATTTCAGTGCATGATGACGATGCTGATTTCCGATGTTTCTTTTGCAACATATTTTAATTTTGGACGATCGAAATTTGTTTCAATTGAAAGGTATTTATTGACGGCTGATAAAAGATGTTACTAAGTTGGCCTAGCTGGGTCTGTCTGGCTGATAATAACAGAGGTTTTGTTTGCATTAAGGAATGGGGTCTTTATCTGACCCTGGACCGAAGCTGTAATTTGTACGAGTTTTTGGTCGTGGCTTAAACAAGTGGTAGGGGGCCTTCTTGCTTTGAGGTCGTTTTTATGTTTGGCGGGATACATACATGGTACACTGCTTTACTGCACGTGACTTTAATCTGCACGTGACTTTAGTGCAGGTGCTTGCTGAAGGTTCATGGCATCTAACATTCACAAGATTGTGTAATTGGCTGCCCTAGCCATAACATGATGTTACATACTTTGGATTATAAAAGGTTTATAAATTAGTTAGTTATGAATTAGTCAGGCAAGCAAAGGCAATCAGATGGCCAGAAAGTAACCCATGACCATTGGTTATGATCTGAAGACTTGCTATTGACTGTTTTGCCAAAATGTGCATGTGCCAAGTGTTTCTGCAAATAGTTTAGCAACCAAATAACACAGAAGGTCATTGCAAGTCAGCAGGTTTAAAAAGACGCTAAAGTCTAGAGTATAATTTAAAACTTGGGCTCAAACAAGAACAACTTCACAGCTTTCTGGTCCTTTGGCAAGATTTGATAACTGTTTGGCAATTTCCGTTTTCTTCTCTGGTCCCCCTTGAAATTCCGTGGTGCAAGCTAGAAGCATATTCTCTAAGACCATTGCATTCTTTAGCAAAATCTCCAATGCATTAAGCTCATTCTCATCTCCAGAAAAATCACCGACTTCAACCATTTTAAGATGTGACAAGAAACATGGAGGCAGTGGCTCCAACACCCCATCATCTTCTACACGATCCGAGGACAGGCCAATCCCCTAAACCATCGAAACTTAGCTGTTTTAATAACATTGCACAAAAACACCATACAAGAGAAAACCTTACTAGTTCTTATGAAGTTACCTCAACGAATACCAAAGTTTCAAGACAAGAACAGTACTGGAGCATCGTCAACAGTGCTTTATTATCAATATATACTGAGTCTTCCAGTACCAAAGTGGTCAGATCGTTGAACAAGGGCATCTGGGCAACAAGTTCTGGTGCATTACCTAGAATCACCTAAGAGCAGGATGAAGTCGATCATCAAGACTGAGTGATTTTAGGCAAGCTACTCATGGCACAAACTGCTAATGCAATATATGCAATTTGTAAACAGATATTGATACATCAAATTAACAAGTGTAATCAATAAAAGAGAAGAAATCATACCTCAAAGGCATTAGAATCAGAGAAAACTAATTCCTTCACACTAGAGAGCCCTCTAAGGAGCTTATACAAGCGGTAAGCAGTGGGTCTCAATTTCTTAGTAAAATTATAAGAAAGATGAATCTCAGCTTCATTAGGTGAGGACGAGTCATAAAAGCAGTATTCATTTAGGAGCTCGCCCCTGTAATAAAAATATGTCAGACTAACTCCAAATATCATAATCTGACAACCATCTGAACCTTTGGAAAGTTGCGGATCTAATTCAGTTATAGTCAATCTCAAAAGCTGGGGAGCACAAATACTCACAAACTTGAGATTCATCCATTTGCATTCTTCTATAGATAATTCCTCAAGGACTGGACACCCAGAAAACAGCTGCTGCGTTGAGTCATCAGAAAACACAATGGACCTAAGAGACAAGGTCCTTAGACTTGAGAAACAAACAGTAGAAGGAGCCTTGAAAAGGAAAGGAATATCTAGTTCTGCGGCCACCAGTGTTGTAGAAGTAAATAAGGAATGAGGCAAGTAAAATGGTTCTTTGAGGCTATGCAGGTAGAGATAAAGCTTTTTAACATTGCGCCTTACTGTGGCATCAATCCATGCATTAACACGACATGCATCATCTAGCACTGGAAACGTAAGATCGAACGTCTCTATATCAGCAGGACCACGAAGAAGAAGTGCTCTTTCCACAATATTCACCAGGGAAGACCTCGTAGCAAACAGCCCTTTATAAAAGTTAAGATTGGGAATTGATGTCCATAAGTATTCCCATCTTTTAGACAGTATGCTTGTTCTGATTGCATCTTTTGTTTCAAGCAGGGAGATAATTTTTTGAATGACCACATCAGGCAAATTACTTAAACTCTTGCTGCTTCCTTCCACCTCTTCTCCTCCATCCAATTTCTGCCTTTTGGGGTTTAGAATTAAAGAGCTTGCATCCATAGTTCAGATAGTTTCCCTATTATACCAAATGATCTGTCAGTTCAGAAATAACTTCAAACCTTCTTAATTAACAGTGAGGTGCGAACATTCAATTAAAAAGGTGGAATGCAGCAAAGGACCTATATCTTTCATGATTTTATTACACTTTAACAATGATTTACAGAAATACCGCCGTCCAAAAGTTATTTCTCAAAATATGGACAATTACTAGAGCACAACAATTCCAAGTAATACCAGTCCCCTCCTTTTGGAATTTATCCACAGTTCTATTTACTTCTTGTTCTCTTCTGTTAAGTACAGTAAAATATTTCTTTTCAAAAAATTTAACCTGTGCTTCCAATTAAGTCATTCCAGATCAATTTTAGCCTTTGGAACAGACAAAAGTAGACACACTTCAACCATAAACAAAAGCTGAATGAAAAAAAGGACTATCCATAAAAATAAACTACAGAGATGGGCATGAATCCCTGAATTCACCAGCAACTATATCAAATTGTTCATATATTATACACCTATACCCAATTCTATTTTCCCCACAGCTTTCTCAGCAACCAAACAGAAGGTAAAGATTGGAAACGAAGAATACCTCTAAATCCAGTCCGAAAATGAAGCAATTCGGCGCAATATCAAAACCTGGGGTTCCAAAAACCAACAATAACAGATTCAGTTCGATAAACCTTCACAAATGTAGAGATTAAAAAAGGCAAAGATATTACATAATTACAAAAAGGAAAACCATTTTGTGCAGTATAGCCAATCGGCTATACTTATAAAATATTCGAATATATTTAAATCGTATAGACGTGCGGCTATAAATTTAGAATATTCTATATTAAAATAGTACAGCCGCGCGGCTATACTATTTAAATATTAATATATTTTAACAGTATAACCGCACGGCTATACGCTTTTAATATTAATATATTCGGCTATGCTCATAAAATATTCGAAGATATTTAAATAGTATAGCCGTGCGGCTATACACTTAGAATATTCGTATATATTAAAATTGTATAGCCGCGCGGCGTTACTATTTAAATATTAATATATTAAGCGAGTATAGCCGTGCGGCGATACTATTTAAATATTAATATATTCGGATACTCTTATAAAATATTCTAATATATTTAAAGAGTATAGCCGCGCGGCTAGACGATTTAAATATTAATATGAAATGCACGACACACCACATCACATTAGACTCTGAGAGAGAGAAATTCTGCAGACTTTCTAGTACAAACTTCCACACACGACTTGATCTTTTCCTCAGTTATATTCCATTTGGATGCAAAAACATTCATCAAGAACAAAGAAGAGGCAAAATATTCTTGTGAGAAACAAACCCAAAACCTACTTGAAAGGGGAAAAAAAAGGGCCAGTGAGCCATTGACCATATTGATTCAGTATCAGAAATCAGAAATGCATGACTTGAAAGGAAGAAACTAACCCAAAAAAGGGTCAAACTCCTGTTGGCTGTCGTATCGTATAACTCCTTCTCCTACTCGGAGTGGGTTTGCAGAAATCCTTGTGATGTTTGGGGTTTTGGTGTTCGACGATATTATATTTGGCTTCTTAAACATGGAAAACGACATGTCGGGGTATTTACTTTATCTGAAAAAAGTCACTTTTAGAGTCCATGTAATTTACCCAATTTTCAACTTCAGTCCATGTAATTTTAATTTTGACAATTTAAAATATTTAGTTTGATTTTATCACATAAAAACACCTAAATTTTCATTTAATTTCATCCAAAATTCTGTCCAAAATATCTCTCTTCAACACATTTTTGCTTCATTATGAAATTAAATGGAAATTTAAACGCGTCCTTCAATTATAATATATATCAAATTACATTTCATATTGCAGAAATTGAAATCACATAGACGAAAGTAGAAATCCAAGGAATGTCAGGGGCGAAAAATGACTTTGTCCCTAAAATAATAGGGAAGTAGACGACGGTAAACGGCTTGTCGTTCCTTGGAGGAGAAGTAGAATAAAGAAAGAAATTTAAAAGAGGGAACGAGGAGGACAACACGACTCGTAGCAGAGCAGTTGCTTCCAGAATCAAAATCACACCGTATTCTTGTATTTCTATGGTGGTGGGAGCAAACCCTAATGCAATCCTCACCCTCCCGTGGTGGGAGAAGACCCAGACTTCAATAACCCTAATTTCCCTAACTCAAAGCACTTACCATTATTCTTTCCCAAACTTCCATGGCCTCGGAAAAGCTCTTACTTTCCCGAGAAAACCCTAGAACCCTCGCTTTCCCGCACGACCGCTTAATCGCCGCCTCCAGTGCAGCCACGGGTACGAAGGCCATGCCCAACAATGAGTTAGCTCAGAAGCCTCAACCTCCGACTCCGATAGTCGACCGCTTCAGGGCTCTGTTGAAGCAACGAGACGATGACCTAAGGGTTTCGCCCGAGGACGACGTGTCGCCGCCCAGCACCGAGGAAATTGTGCAGCTTTACGAAATGGTCTTGGCGGAGCTCATCTTCAATTCCAAACCCATCATTACCGATCTCACCATCATCGCCGGCGAGCAGAGAGACCACGGAAAGGGCATCGCCGACGCCATCTGCGCCCGGATTCTCGAGGTCTGTTTCGGTACCCGCGGGTTGCTTCTACCTCTTTTTGATTATTGGGCGGAGCTTTGCTGGGGGTTCTCCGTTTCTCTGCACCCTGGATTTAACTCGTGTAATTGTTTGAGTTCTAGGCATTGTAAAAAATATCAATCTTTACTCTAAAGTTCTAATTGCTACGACGCGTCTCAGCTTCATCTTTTTCTTTTAGAAATTTAAATTTTAGATGCTCGATGTCACTCAATTGGGAATAACAACTTCAAAAGTTGTAATATTTTCCTTCTTTCTTTCTCTCTCGCTCCTTGTTTTTTTTTCCGTTTATGTATGAGTATTATGAACAGAATGACCCCTAAAAAAAAGTTTGTTACGCCTGGGTTACAAAGAAGCTTGGTTTTGCTGAACAAACAAGAAGTGAAATTTCCCAGTGTTTGTAGCTATGATTGAACCAACAACCTTAATACTACACACGCATGGTGATAAAAACTAGGACCAGCACTAATTTTGTGATAATATTATTAAGATTCCATCATAGTTTCTCTCTTTAATTGAAGATTCAACTCCAGTTGAATTGGAATATGTGTCAAGCCTGCAGCAAAAGAAGTCGCAGTGCTGTTTATATGTTACTCAGTTTGAAGTTTGCGTTAATTGTTTAATACTTGTCTATTGCAGGTCCCAGTTGAGCACAAACTGCCTTCTCTATATCTATTAGATAGTATTGTGAAGAATATTGGCCGGGATTATGCCAAGTACTTCTCTTCCCGCCTACCTGAGGTGATCTAATCTGACCGCAGAATGTGATATATATGTTTTTTCCCCAATTTTCCAATTATATGTTCAAAGATTTCTTTGAGAATCACACAACTCTAGTTTCACTTGAGTTTATATTTGCATAGGTATTTTGCGAGGCATACAGGCAAGTAAACCCTAACCAGTATCCTGCCATGCGCCATCTCTTTGGCACTTGGTCAGCAGTCTTTCCACCTTCAGTCCTTCGCAGGATTGAAGAGCAGCTGCAGTTTTCTCCACAAGTAAACCAACAATCATCAGGATCAACTCCTCTGAGGGCTTCTGAATCTCCTCGACCGACTCATGGCATCCATGTCAATCCAAAGTATTTACGTCAATTGGATAGCTCAAATGTAGATAGTGTAAGCTCTCCATGTAATCTCTCTGTTTTTCTCTTCTGAAAATGTGCTGCAGCCTGCACTTTTTTGATAATTGATTTGGCTTTACCACCAGTGATCTTAGTAAAGTATTTCTTATCATTTTGCAGAGTATTTAAATAAGCGAAAGTAGGACAATTGGCTGATAAGTATATATATACTTATTTTGAATTTTTAACTATTTTGGAAAGTTTAGGTTTAAAAATAAAATAAAAAAATTCTTTTTGTCTTTTCCCATAAGGATTGGGTTTGCTTTTCCTAGTTGATTTAGGACTTCCTTTATGTTTTGTTAATTAGGATTTCCAATTACTGATGGGATTTGGATTTGATGCCAATATAAAGACGGCTTAGAATTGTATTTTAAGCTTTTCATATTATCAATCAAAATTTGTGACTTTTCTAAACATAGAAAATTCCAATTCATGTGTATTGCTTTCTGTAACCAAATTCATGTACATAAACATTATACAACTGTCACATTTCATATATATAATTTGTTATGAATCTTGCAGAACTCAGCATTTAATAGTAACTTAAACTTAAAAATTTATAAGCTCAGAAACCTGCCATTATGTATGACAAGTATGATCCTGATAATGCAATGGTTTTATCCTTGCAGGTTGGATCCCAAAGATTGAACTCAACTGGAAGTGTGAGTCATTCACCTTTTTCCCTGGGATCCAATCGGTTGCACCCATCTTCAACTACTAGGCTTGCAAGATCATCATCACCTTCAGATATTGGGCTTGATAGATCTCTACCATCGGCAGTTGATGAATTTGCAGCAGAGAATTCCCCTAAAAGGTTTGGTGAAAGGGAATCTCCGTCTAATTCTGTGTTTGATTATAGACTTGGTGGAGCAATTGGTAGAGACGAGGAGCCGAATGAATTGCGGGGAAAACGCTATCTTGATGGTAGTCAGAAACGATTTGACACTTCTGTTACATATAATAACCTCAGTAATGGACTAGAACATCAGAGACCAAGAGCTTTGATTGATGCATACGGGAAAGACAGTGGAGATAGAAGTTTAAATGATAAACCTCTGGTTGGGCGGCTGGGCCTGAATGGTCTAGACCATAAGGCAACTCAAATGTCGTGGCAGAATACCGAAGAGGAAGAGTTTGATTGGGAAGATATGAGCCCAACTTTAGCAGACCAGAGTAGGAGTAATGATTACTTGCCTTCAACTGCACCACCTTCTAGAAGCTACAGGGCAAGGCCCAGCCTTGGAACACTGAATGTGAGCCCCTTGGAGTCAGATAGTAGGAGTACTTGGTCTACTCAGGCACATCTACCTTTAGCCGAACAGTCCTCTGTTATAACTGAAGATCCAGCCCCCCTGCTTGGTGTATGTTCCCTCTACAATTCTATTGAGCATTTTTGTTTAGTTAGAATTAACATGATATTGATGTTTGCAAGTGTGTTTTTTCACTTAGTTATTTGCATTGCAATTTTTAAAAATGGCTTCCCTGATATTTACAGATTATTCAGTACTATTATCCTGCTATTTTTATTCTTACATTTCGTGTATTTATTTATTAGTATGTTATGGCCTTATTTATTTATTGAATTTTTTTGGACTAGTCAGAGTTTCCTGATTCTGTGGTACCTTTAATTGAGGTCCTGGTTAAATTTATTTCTTTCTTCTTATGTGCATCTGTGACTGCTTTGAAGTTTAAACCATGAATATTTACTTCTTTCTAAATCCCTATCCTTTACTCAACGGAACATTTTTGGTTTTCATTCCTAAAGTAGCCCAAACTGATCCCAATATGCACATTTTTTGTTGACTTTTCTCAGTAAAACATAGTAAAGACTTATGTATTTCTTCACTGCTGCCCTCTATTATGGACTTCAGTTCTTGAATTTCATTTGTGCTCATCTGTGAAAATTTAATATTGTTCCTGCAGTTCAGTCGTGGATCAACAAGTACGGTATCTCGATTCCAATCTGAGACAAATCATAGTCTGGGTTCTCGCTACCCTCAAGAAGCTTGGAATATTCCTTTCCATCTCTCTCAGTCTTCGCAGAATCTCCTTAATGCCAGAGGAAGGGGTAGGAATTTCCAGATGCCCTTTGTGGCAAGTGGTGTATCTTCAGGTGGTGAGAAAATGTCTGCCTTTGTTGACAAGCTTCCAGATGTTGATGCACGACTTCATGGGCCCATAGCTGTTGCATCAAGAATGGGTTCTTCTAGTGTTGACACTGGTAATGCTGACTCTCGACCCATTATACCAGTGTCAATGGGTTCAAGGCCTCCAGTAAACGTACATAATTCTCACCCTCCTCCTGGCCACTCAATTTTTGCATTGCAGAACCAGAGGAGTCAGTATGGTTCAATAAATTATAGCAACACTGTAAAAAATCAAGCTCCATATAATTCTTTATATGTGCCTGAGCAGCAGTTGGATGGTTATGAAAATAAGTTGTTGAGGTCGACAAAGTTAACTCAATTGACCAGTCAGAATGCCAGGCCGATGCCTGTTAATCAGCGAAACCAGGTGCAGGCCAGTCCTTCACAGCCACAATTTCTTCCACCCCAGGAGGCACGAGAGAATTTTATTTCATCTGCAGAAACTCCTGGGCCACCTTATTTGGGGTTACCATCCTTAAATCACGGATACACTTTGCAAGGGCATGGTGGTGCTGTTAGCACAGTTATGGCAAATCCTGTACCTCGTATCCCCTATGTCCCAAACAGCGCTTTGCATTTACGAGGAGAAGCCTTGCCACCTCTACCACCAGGTCCGCCTCCCCCTTCCTCACAAGGCATACTTTCCATTCAAAACCCTGGTCCAGTTGTCTCTAGCAACCAGCCCGGGAGTGCATATTCTGGTTTGTTTAGTTCTCTCATGGCTCAAGGTTTGATCTCATTGACAAATCAAAGCACTGTCCAGGTATTTGAATGATATCCCTCTGTATTGTCTAATTTTGAATATTTGATTTTACAATGCATTATTTGGGTCGTATCTCAACCAAGTTATTTAATGTTTAGGATTCTGTAGGAATTGAGTTTAATGCCGACCTTCTCAAGGTGCGTCATGAATCTGTAATAAAGGCCCTATATAGTGATCTCCCAAGACAATGCACAACCTGTGGCCTTAGGTTCAAGTGCCAAGAAGAGCACAGTAGTCATATGGATTGGCATGTAACAAAGAACCGTATGTCTAAAAACCGTAAGCAGAAGCCCTCTCGCAAATGGTTTGTAAATACGAGCATGTGGCTCAGTGGTGCAGAGGCGTTGGGTACTGATGCAGTTCCTGGATTTATGCCTGCTGAGACCATTGTGGAAAAGAAGAGTGATGAAGAAATGGCTGTTCCTGCTGATGAGGATCAAAATTCATGTGCGTTATGTGGAGAACCTTTTGATGATTTTTATAGTGACGAGACAGAGGAATGGATGTATAAAGGTGCTGTGTACTTGAATGCACCTGATGGATCAACAGGAGGCATGGATAGGTCACAGTTAGGTCCTATAGTGCATGCTAAATGCAGATCGGAGTCAAGCGTGGTATCCTCTGGAGGTTTGGGACAAGATGAAGTGGTATGTCTCCATATTTCATTTTAATTTGTGTTTATATCTTTTTTCCAGAAAATCTTATCTGAGAACAATAAATACCCTTATTATGTTTTAAATTTTTTTCATCAATGATTCGATAGACATTTTCTTACTTGGAAGATCATAATCTTCATTATTCATTTGTATTATTCCTATGCCCGAGTTTGAATATTATGGTGTGCATGTGAATGCTACTATAGATGTTAGTAATTACTGAGGTTGAAAATGTTTAAGGTTTACTAGTAGTCTATCCTGATAAAAATGGGAACTGTGGGTATGTTATCCTGATAGTAGCAGTATCCAGTTTGTGGAAGCTGTGCTGTAAAATTATGTATTTATTTTGAATTTTCTTTTTCTTCTGAATTGCAGGGAATTATTGAAGAGGGTAGTCAAAGAAAACGATTGCGGAGTTAGCATAGTTAGGTCGTCTTCCATGTTCACTGTAGCCTTATATGAGTTTCTTCTTCTTATCTCAACTTGTTTACATTATTGTTGGGGCATGCACCACATTGGCTTCAAGCCAGCTTGTACATGTATAGTGGAATTTGTACCATGCACATTATCTCTACTGCAAAGGTCACAATTTCTCTTGCCATATTGTTATCTGGCATTTCATCTTTGCTGTCAAAACAACCCAGATGAGGCTCTTAAAAACGAAATTTATTGTCTTTATCAGACTTTTAGACTATCTTCTACTAAATATGATGAGGGGTTGGTGATGTTTTTCCTTTGTAGGAGAGAACTGTTGGATGAATTCAGTTAAATGAGGGACTTTTCTGCAATCCATATTTTGTGTCTTGCTTATACATTCTGCAGGGGAGTGCGCAGTGGTAGTTCTTGTAAGCAAAGTCATTCAAAGGCTCCATAGCTTGCTCTTATCAAGACATCATCATCATGCATGGAATTGAAGCTAAAGCTGAATCATATGTGAAGGATGCTGATGTGATTTGTTAAATTCCTTTTCGTTTCTTTTATTATTTTATTTTCATTTGATTTTTAGTGACTCGACAGTGTAATAACTATTCTCGATAGCAGAGTTGTGATGAAGTTCCTGAGATTTCCAAATGCTACTGTTCGGAGTTCCTGAGATTTCCAAATGCTACTATTCGGAAAGCTGCCCTCCATGATAAACTGTACTCTGGATTCTGATCAAGTTTAATGAATTTCCTTTCATATCATTCTACTTGTTTTGTCTTCATTTGCTACGTAGTGCATGAAATGTATTTGTGTCGTGTGCCATTTGCTAATGGTCAATCGACTAGGCCTTGGTATGACTGAGCTTCAGTTTCGTTTTCTCAAAATTCCTAGTAAAATAAATAAATAAATAAATAAAAATCCATATCAGAATTTTGTTAAGCTGGATACTGTGATATGAAGCGTAATTAAACTGACAAAAAAATAAAGTAAAATAGTGAAGGTTGCACTTTACCATAAAGCCTGTGTAAAGCATAATTAAAAGAGATTGAATATAGGGTGAGGATCATGGGACACACTATTGGTGTGTAAAAAAAAATGAGTACCGCTATTTTCACTCACTGTCATATTTTCCCATTCACCTTATCTTCTCACTCACCATATAAATTTTAAAAAACACAATCCTATTTTTCCATCCACCAATATTCCTAAAATACCCTTTTAATTATTACCTCATTTCCTCTCTCTTTTATTCTCTTTGCTCATGTATTCTTTCTGTCTGATGCCCACACATCTCTCTCTCATTTTTGCTATATCTTATTTTCCACGAAATTTGAAAATTGAAAACAAACAATAGTAAGTAATACAACAGTAAAACGATAAAAGAAGCAACTTCACATCACGAAATTTGATGACAATGGCTGGTCAGTAGGCAAAAGATGACCAGCCCTTGAAACCAAAACCTGGCTCACGCTCCCCAATTTCTAAACATACCCAGCAACCTCTTTACCCACCACCCAAACTTTCTGGCCCGCTGACAGAAACTTGTTCATGCCCAGGTTTTCATATTTTTAATTTGTTTAAGAAAAAAAAATCGAAGTCCAAGAAATACTCATCTCCCAATACTTTAAGTAATCGTAAAGGTCTTAGAAATTCTGTTCAAATAAGATTTCCTTACCTTTTCGCCAAAATCATTCTCTTCAACATCCATTTTATTGTTGTTTTCTTCTTCATAAACAATTTGATTGAATGAATAGAAAAGAGAAGAAAATTATTTAAGAATTGAGTTCTGAGCACTGAAAAGTCATAAGAGGAATCATGAGAGTCATAGCTTTCTTGTGTTTTTTCTCTTTCTATCAAGCGATAGGGTTACATGAGAGCAGAAGTCTGCGTTTTTTTTTTCATCTTTCTTTTAAGTCATTTTACAATGAGGTTAAATTTGTCTTTAAAAGTTTAAAGATAAAGTGGGTGGAAATAGTAGCACTCAAAAAAATATGCCCCCTGATTTGAGAAAAAAAAACTTTCATGCAACGAGGATAATACTCTTTGCTATTCTGATTAATAAGACAATGACACGTGGGATAATTTTCCACTTATCATTATGTTATTGGCCGAGAATAGCAAAACAGTGTTACTCCCGTTACCAGGGGCGGATCTATTAAGGCGCAAGGAGGTGCAGCTGCACCTCCCTTCGCCGGAAAAATCATTGTAGGTGCTTCAAATTGCCCCTTTGCTCAACTGGTGTACAGATTACCTTATTTCCATTTTCAACAAGTAAATGTCTTTGTCTTTTTACTTTTATTTATTTTTATATTACTCCATTTACTTAAGTTTACAATGTAAATAAGGAAATACCCCCCATTTGGATTCAAATAAAAATACTAGAAAATCAAATTCCCACCAAATAAAAATATGAAAATTCGGTTTTAGTGCAAAATACGATTTAGGCTAAAAATGATGGCTCATTAAGTCAATATATACTTCATACTAAAATCCCATAAAATCAAGTTTTCTTATTTGATGTATAAGGAATAAAAGCCGCCAAAAATTATCTTGAGAAAATGATTATTCCGAAAAACCATTTTCATACTTAGTCAATATTGCACCTCCGCTAAAAAATTTCTGGATCCGCCAGTGCCCGTTACAATAAAGTTTTTTTTCCTGATTCGGACCCATCCTATATATATACCATAAACTTTAAAATATCCTTCGTAATCAATAAATTTATTATAATTAATGTCGTTTTCTTATTATTTAATAAAATCAATGCACTTCCCAAGGCTGATGATGCTTTGAAACCGTGAACAAAATCCTGTTTAATTTAGTGGTTCAAGTCAAGACCTCTTTCTCATGACCAATAGTTCCTCTACTGTTGGGTTTGGTCATTGAAATCGGACATTCATGCAGAACCAAAACCAGATAATTAAATTTAAATATAAAAAACAATAGAACAAGTCACTCTAGCAAGCTCTCACTCACGGAAGAAATAAAAGAATCAAAGCAAACCTAACCAGCACGACTTCTCCCATGAACTCAATAAAAGCACAACTAACTCACCATCCATCTGTTTCTGTTCTGTGCCTGCCTTACCCTAAATTATTTTATATATATATACATAGAAAGAAGGCAAGGAGAAAGATAAGGAGAAGAAGAAGAAGAAATTGAAGGAAACGCGATTTAGTGTCTGCACATCAACAGTTAATTCTCTGCCAATATGGTACGTAGCTAATTGGCTGTCTTCCTATATTCATTCATCCACATCTGCTGGTCCTTTCGTACGTCCTTTTATTATAATTCACACTAATTAATTATTTAATAAAAGCCATACACATTCTTTAGTTTCTGGGAATGAATTTCATTGCCAAATAAAGAGACCCTGCTCTTCACAACCACCGTGTTTAATTACCTTGTCTCAAGCATCGCAAGTTATTACTTGTTTTCTTTTTCTGTGTCTCAATCAGAAATATTTAATTTTGTTTGGTGTGGCTCAGACTCAATGCAATATGTTTGTAATCTGTGCAGTTGCTAGTTTAAGGCCATCATGTTCATGTGGGACATTCTTGTTCTTACAATTTTATGTGATTCATTAACATCAAATATTACACATATGCAATTTATTTTGATCAAACTTATTGATGATCATGCAACTAAATATTCATTATTTTTTTCTATGGAGAATCACTTCTCTATATTTATTAATCACTTTAAGTGGTTTTATGGAGAAGCAACTCTCATGTGTTTGTCCCCATAAGTGATTCTAGCATATCTAAATTCACTCTCAAACAATCTAAATATTAAAAATAATGACACATGTAATAATATTATTAGTGCTACCGTGGTAAGGATGAGAAAGTCCGGCAAACAAAAGCAATTACATATGGTTAAATCAAAAAAATAATCAGACAAAAAACAAGAAAATCGAAAGAAAAAGAAAAATGTTAATAAATAATAAACACCTAGGTTAAGTGAGAATGGTGCCCTAGGTATATGTTTTATTAGCTAGCTATAGCTGATTTTCTTTGGAAGAAAAATATTTTCATAACTTGCGGTACGTAGGCCTGCATCAGTTTGTTTAGCACATTGGTGATTCAAAGAACTTTGAGAGATGGAAAATCCCAAAAAGTCTAAAAATCTCAAAGTATTGTTGAGTACATACGTATAAATACATGCATGCATACATACATACATATATACATAAAATTATATATGATATGAACGAGCAAAGAAATATTGAATGCTTAAGGGGACAAAGGAGGAGACAGAGACAGATGAAAGCAGATAAATTGAATATGAAGCTGGCAGTGCAGCAAAATGAAGTTAATTTCTTCAGCTGGTAATATGAGGCTGGGGGGCTTTATTCCCTCTCAGAGTCCCTGAGCGATGATGATGCCTAGCAATTAACACCACCTCTACATTTTAAAGGGGATGCGCTGGGCGCCGCCCGCCGCCGCGGGGGGGGGGGGGGGGGGGGGGGGGGGGGGGGGGGGGGAGGGAGACCTTGGTGGGTGTGCTGTCTTTCTTGGAATCCCCCCTTTAAATGAAATTTAAAATTTTTTCTGCTTGAATGAATCTCAACAACCATTAGGTTGGGTTTAAAACTATAAATTTATTTGGCCTCATAAAAATCGAGTTCGTACGTGATTTCGGTGAACTTTTACAGTCATTAGGTTAAAAACCATAAATTGTAATAATATTGGAGTTCATCTCTGAAACTTCCAATTGCAGTCATTTCTGCGAATATATAGAGTGAGTGAGAAGAGATGATGCCGTGATTTTATTACTCGAAATATTTCAACACAAACAAGCAATTTATATATGGCATAAAAAAGGCAAGCTATAACCGATGTTGCTGTCACTTCCTAAAACGTACGCGGTTGCATTAGTAAAATATTGCTGTATATATATATATATATATATATATATATATATTGTTAATCAATAAAATCAGCAAGTACACAGCCTTTTCAGCATCTGGACGTTTTCTTGCAAAAACACTTACTTATAATGAGAATATCACTATTTTGCTATTTTCAACCAATAACACACTAACATGTAAAAAAGTTCTCTTATATGTCATTGCGTTATTGGCCGATGATAGAAAAAAGTGATATCCCGTTGCATGAGAGCTTCTCTCATTGACTTGGAGAACTCAGCTTTATTTATTTATTTATTATTTTTTTCACATACAACGAAGGCTGAACTTGCTTGTCTTATACCCAAGGAACTTGAACTAAAACTCATGGGCATTTACGGATAATTTATTTGTCTAGGTAACTTAAGAGGCTGGTTAAGATATTATGAGTGTTCAAGAATCAAATTGATCTTTCATTCATTCATATCCAAAGTAATTGAAGTTGGCAACGATGATCATGATACGATGTCGTGCCCCAAATAAAATCTTAGCAAGAAGATTACATGCTCATTTTTCCTTAATCCAGCATCCATGATTTCTGGATATGATAATTAATTACCACATAAACAAATAACCCTAACAACTCTGGAAGTTACAAAACATGTGAAATTGAAACCATTGTTAATGTGATTTCAAAAATCCAACTAAACATTACCTCTTTTAAACACATACATGACAAGGAAAGTAAGACGCTTAAACAGTTATAAACTTACAACCCTACTACAAAGAACCCTAATCTCCTAACCCTACCCCCCTAATCCTAGGGCAAAACAGTAAATTTAAGGTGAACAGAGTTATTCTGAACTTTATAAACTAACAATTAACAAGGGGATGAGAGTTTACTTTCCTCTTTGTTTAGGGAAAGTCAATACCCGAACCCACTACCCTTGTGAGGTGGTGATTTGCGTTTTTTTGGCTTCTGCCTCACCAAAACACCACGACACAAGGATATTACAAAGGTGCGTTCTTGACTTCTTCCCCTTTTGTAACGTTCAATTTCTGAGTAAACCCACCACACCATTCTTTCCTTTCCTCTTCTACCTCTTTCCCACTGCAAAGACAAAGAAATTTAAATGTAATTAGTCAAGTGAAATTCCTTAAAAACCCAAAATTAACTAATAAATAAGTGAGCTCACCATCTATAAGGGCTATCTAGCTAATTTTCATGCGTTCTGTTCACATGTGACCGCAGCCCTAATCCGCTCAACCGTGCACTTAATTAGATTGTTAACAGTGGCCACAGATCCCAGAGAGAGTTTGGCAGTAGGAACTGAATCTACCAAGATCTGAAATGCGACGGTGAGTAGGGACCCACCAGACCCAACATCAAGAATTCCTCCTCCTCCTCCTCCTCCTGCGGGCCCAGTAGGCCCGTCTGGTAGGATGGCAAAACCAGATGGCAGAAGTGCAACATAATCTGGATCTCCACCACTCAACACAACATTCATGGCCACAATATCAACTGGAGCATAAATCACGTATGACCCTGTTGAATCTGTGCAGCTCTCCTGAAGTATCAGCATATTGCTTTGGCTTGAATTTGCACTCTGCAACACGAAATTAATTAGCTTGGTCACTATTGTTTTTAATTAAATACTAAGGTTAGGAGGATATTTATACTATCACACGTATATTTATCATGTCATACTGTGAATTTGAACCGCACAATCATTCAATAATTAACGTGACCAATAGTTTAAATTCACACTCTCGATGCATATATGTTCTAGGAGACTTACATTAACCCTCAGTAGGGAGACACTGTTGCCTGGATCACGACCATTAGCTATATGTGCCATCTCTTGCACTAGGCCACCGTTTGAAAGTATATCCCACTGAAGATTGTATGACACAAATTAAATGAATATGTATGTTTAATCGGAAATGCCCTAATATTTGAGATGCATATCATGTTTAATTGATATCTATACCTCAGTACGAGAGTTCTCATCTCGCAGGAAATCAAAAACTCTCTTGGGAGGGACTGGAATCCAGAAGGAAGTTGCAGCACTAAGCACAATCCCAGGAGGCCTGCCAGGATCATCCATACTTTTTCTGGTCATGACCCTCACATCATCTGAACCTGTTGCTGATAATGTTGTCCATGCATGGGCAGTAGAAGCACCCACACCAGTGCAGAAGCTCATCACCATTCTTTGTGCCAGCTTCAGCATACTTTTCCTCCCTTCTGGACTAGTTATCACTGTATATATATAATTTTATAAGAACTGGAAACCCATGAAGTTGATATAAAGGAAAATATATACCATTAGTTAACAAAGGGAAGTAAATTATTAAGATTAATGTGTGTGTACCACAGAGATCTCCAGCAGGAATGTTACTGGCCATTGAACTCGCAAGACGTTCGCATTGCCTATCAAGTGTAGCCACCCAACGCTTTGCCCCAAAAGCAAGACCAGAGTTAACTAGAGGCCTGTATATGTTGTGAACAGACCTATCATCCACTTCAACATGTTCCACCCATATAACCTACACAATCATACAAAGAAAACCATGAGAAAAAAAAAACACATGAACTATATAACTTAATCAGAAGAGTAGGAAACATTGTGCACCTTGGAGTAACCATTTGGCAATTCTTGGATTAAGCAACCGGATGGCCTTCTTCGACTCCTTGAAATTGGACTTGGGCGTAGGTTGTCCAAGGAAACATCAACCACTGCCCAAGTTCCATCAACATGCTGCTTGCAGTACCTTACAAAGTAATTCTCACGGGTCGGAACCAGTGGCGAGGGCACTTGGAACTCAGCTGTCATCTATACATTATAGAAAGAAAATGTAGCCTTTTAGCATACATAATATATATGACTTTTTCTTTGAGGATGTTTTACAAGTTAATTGTTTGAGTCATTGCAAATTCAGATTAATTAGTGTGTACTAACCACTTGTAAGGCTCCATTGTAGTTCCCAGCTACTCCAGTTGATAGGATATCGAGGGTCATTGCTCTTGAAACAATACCACAAAAGACAGTAGACCATTGGTTCTGAAACGCATCATGGATCATGAAAAATTTAGAGATATATAGTCAAATTCCAATTAAATTAGAAGTTCAGTTAATGTTCAATTATATATGTTACTTACCACATCCATGAGAATCTCAACAAGGTTAACGTGATTCATGATGACCAGCGCTGATTCTCTTGAAGCTTCAGACTTCAAACCCAATGGTGTGGGGCCAATTCCCCTAGGAAACGTCCTCAAGTATTCATCTTCATTCAAAATTTCATGATTATGAGATGAGTTATGGTCACCAGGAACCCATAAAGGCTCTCCAGCCTGAGCCATTCTAATGAGTTCTTCCATGGCTGCCACGGCAAGCTCAACAATCATCGGCTTATCTGCGTCGGTGGGTACTGAAACTGACCTGAGAAGATCACTTGATGATCCATACATCTCTCCCACAAAACCTGATTGAGCCCCGAAACTGCCAACCCCGAGATCAAGGGAGCGGGAAGGCACATGAGGTGGAATGTGAGAAGAAAATGAGCTTGACAAAGGCTTGCCAACATATTTGGCAGCAATTGAAGATATCCTATCAATCTGTATAGGTCAGGCAATAAACCAAAGTCATTTATAGTGAAAAAGGATTATAAAAAAAAAATTGAAAATGGAATCAATTAATTGTGTTTTGATCATCACCTCTTCACGCAAACGAGCATTTTCGATCCTCAAATGCTGCTCATCGAATGACATCTCACCAAGAGCAGCTGGTCCTCCACAGTTGGGGCATGTGGCATTGCCGAGGGCTTCCTTGTACCTGTTGTTCTCTGCGCGAAGCTTGTCGTTCTCTGATTTCAAAATTGAATTCTCATGGCGTTCATGTTGAGCCTAAGAATAAATATTATAGTTAATGTCAAAACATATACACAAAAGTAAACCAAGTTATTGGAGAGAGCTTAATGTGTATAGATATTGCATAAAATTAAAGTCCTTAGTAAATATTACAAAGTCAAATAAAGTCTCAAAGATAATAAAGGATAATTCCTCGTCTGTGGAACATTAGTTTGGAACTAAATGACTTTAAGGAAACGCATATTGAATTGTTTTTTTTTCTACATACATATCAGTGTGTCTGTAATTTTCTACCTTCATTTGGGTGCGCTTGTTTTGGAACCAAAATTTGACTTGCAAAGGCTCTAACCCTAGTTCACGGCTCAGCTCCTTCCTTTGCTTGTCGTCTGGGTGAGGACACTCCTTGAAGAATCTGATAATTTTGATCGACAAAAATTGTGTTCACGATGAAGTTGATGATCTCAAAAACCCTAAAAGCAAGATTGAAAAAACAACACAACACAACAAAACGCTTACGCTTCCATCTCTTGGATTTGGCGCTGGGTGTGGCGATGGTAACGTTTTCGTTTGGGGCGTGGACCGGTGTTGTTAGGATCTTGCTCATCGCCGGAGGGAGCATCCGTAGTCGTTTCGGTGCCGGATTTGGTCTCGAAATCATCGTCCAGCAGTCTGCTCTTTCCTAGTACTTCAGTACTTTCCGAGGTTTTGTGGGTGCTGCTGGTCGTCATATGATCTAGGATATGGTGGTGATTCTCGAACATGCTTGGCTGATACATTTTTCTCTCCTCGTCGAATCCCTAAAATTTAGGAATATTGTTCTAGATATATACTTATCTCTCTTGTCTTAATTTCAATCTGCCAACACAAAGAATTTATCATTAAAAAAATAAAAGGCACCGCACACTGAGAAACATGTTAAAGAACTCAGACCAACACTGAGAGAGGTTTTTTTGGAATTAAGACTCTTACACTAGTTAAAAATATATATAAGAAACAGTGAAGAAAAAGAAAAACATTTACAAAAAATAAGAAAATATAAATAAACCATCTTACTTCGACCCAATCCATAGAAAGAAAAAACTTAGAGGAAGAGAAAATTAATTTGTAAGAAATACCGAAGCTAAAAATCTGAGAGCTACAGCATAATAAATGGTAGGTAAGTTTATAGGGCAAGTGATCTGTATTTCCATTCTGGAAGTAGAAATAAATTTCTGTACAGGATAAAGCTGTAAACCATGTATCTACATACATACAAGTCTTCCCCCCAGCCCCCACCTCTCTCTCTCTCTCTCTCTCTCTCTCTCTGAAGATTTACCGTTTCGACCTAAAAGGATTTTGCTTCAAATGCATCCCATAAAAACCTATATATGCTAATATATTTATGATCCCTATATAGAATGAAGGCTTGGGATGACAAAATACACGCATATATACTCGTGAATGTACATGTATCTAGAAAAATAAAAATTCCCAAAATCTCAAAAGTTATATTATACAAACCCCACACCGCCTAAAAGAATACTGACCTGAGATGCGATGATATTAGCTGGGAAGGTTACAACTTTCTTCCCCTAAATGAAAGTTTCATGCACTTATCCCTTGCCGGAAGCATTTTTCTGGCTGCCATATACATATCTCACTCTCGAAGAAACCCTAGACTAGACTACACACCATTCATCTCTCTCTCTCTCTCTCTCCTCTCTCTCTCTCCTCTCTCTCTCTCTCTCTCTCTTCTCTTTGACTCTGAGGAGGTAAGAGGTAGTTGCTGGGTATGGTGTTATTGGGGGTTGACTCTTTGTGCGGGGTTGTTGGGTTTTTGAACTTTTAATAGATTGTCTGGCAGTGTCTGAGCAAAGCTAAATAGGATTAGTTCAAGTAACAAGCGGACAGAAAGGACTAGAACTACGGTTTTGGGCCTTCAGAAAGTCATTAGCCTTTTTGTTCTTACGTGCTAAATGACTGGGATAATACTTAATGAGTTTTCAAACACGCTAAACAAGGATTATAACGCCCACTAAACTCGATCTCGGTTTTCCCAACCCCACTCCTCTCTCTCTCTCTCTCTCTCTCTCTCTCTCTCTCTCTGTGCTGAAAATAACGGAAGTTTTTTTTTCTTCTAGAAATTAAAAACGGGGACTTAGGAAAGAATATGACAAAATCCGTTCGACTAAAGCATATATATTACTTAGGAAAAAAAAATGGTGACTTAATGGAAGCTTAAGGGTCAAAGCGGCTGACCCTCTGAGCTAGCTAGGCTACGGGGAAGAAAGATCTCCGTTCCCGTTGTGATTGTTGTGAGGTTTCGGGAGCAGATTGAAGATTTCTGTTGAGTTTGTAAAGGGGTTTAAGAATATGAATGCGGTGATGAAGAAGAGAGAGAGAGAAAGAGAAAGAAACGGACGAGAAAAAAGAGGAGATAGAATCCAAATAGCGAAAGAGAGAGAGAGAGAGAGAGAGAGAGAGAGAGACTTTAGGGAAGGGGAGAAGAAAGAGGAACAGGTGGAGAGGATGTGACAGCGAAGGAGTTAATGCAGAGCGTATTGAGAGGGTGCGATAGCATTTATGGAGGGAAGGAGAGGTGTAAATGCGAAGCATGCATGAGAGAGAGAGAGAGAGAGAGAGAGATATCGTCAGGGTTTGGCACCTCATCATCCTCATGTTTTAAATTTCGTATAGGGAGTATGGTGAAATGAATTACGTCTTCTTAACTGCCCTAACTTAAGTTTCAACGTTCACTCCCTCAGCCATTCCCTCTGTATTGTAATTTTTGTTTCTTCTTTTCTTTTAGATGAACAGCTTCCTATGTTGGATATATACTCAACTAATGCGATTCTAATCAATAATCATGTTGATATCGAGTTCGGCTCATCTGAGTTTGATGGCTTCGTAAAAGAAATAAAATTTATTCGGATTGTTAAGAAACAAGTCAAATTTGAACTTTGGTATGCACAATTTGTAAACAAGTCGAGTTTGAAAGAGATAACAAGCTTTTCATTGAAGTATTGATTTCCAAGAACATTTTTGTGATTAAAAACAAGGTTATAATTTTTAGTTAAATTAATTTCCAATAACATGTCTACAATATGCATATGAGTTTGTATTTGCCTAAGAAAGCAAGCAATACGTAGATTACAAATGATTCATTGTACATAGTCATTTTCATTTCTTATCTCACTGAAAATTGAAATCTTACCATTTCAAATACATTGCATTCATAAACCAAGTCAGGTTTATTATGATATTCTTCTAACCAAATGGACCCTAAATAAATTTATAGAATATAATATTGAGTGCTGCTAAACGAACTCTAAAATTATCTGAGTACATCCTACAACCAAACTATTTATTGAATTACTAATTTATCCTAATATAAAATAACCAAAAAGAATATATTGATGTGAAATAAATATAATTTTAATAAGTACACCCTACTTACCATATTCTGCTTAATCAAATGTCAGCAATCATTATCAATTGAAGAATAAACTTGGTTGTCTCGTCCCAAAAAAAAACATGGATGGACTCACCGTTTACTCCTTTGTTCAACACAAAGAGAAGAAAACAATATTTGGCGTCATAAAATAAAACAAAATTGGGATGATTCATACAAAAATTGCATATAGAATCTTTGTATGGACATTGAAACATTTTCTTTGTTTTTATTTTTCCCCCTACTATGAAGTTGCCCTATTAAATCCACTCGCACAACAACTTAAGAAATTAAAGATTTTGATGCAAACTCAAAATCTAAAAAGAGAGCACGAATTCATGTAAAAAGACAAACATGGTTTAAGATTGGTATTAGAGTGTTGTGTGATAGAGTGTATTAGGGTGTACCATGGGTATTTTTGATAGTTAAATAGGGTGTACTTAGTGAATTTTATGATTTGATTAAAATATTAGGATGTACTTAGATCATAGGGTGTACTCAATTAATTTTAGGATTCATTTAGCAGTACCTTGTTAAATTTAATTGATGTGAAATGTACTCTTTTATATTATTTGTTTCTTAAATTGTTTCAGCTTATCTATCTATTTTCATTTTTCAAAGTGCAATGCATAAGAGTAAATTTCACAATCTCTCAATAAATGGTAAAGAGTAATGCTACACTTACCACATTTTTAACCCACATTTTTATACCACATGATGTGATATTATATGTCACATCAATTAAATCAATGAAGTGTATTTTAATTAAGACAATTAGAAAAACAAATACTAGAATAAATCATAAAAGAAAAGAAAATATTAAATAATTTTAATTGATGTGGTTGTCCACGTCAACTTCCACATAAGATGGTATAGGAATGTGGTATACAAATGTGGTAAGAGTAGCATTATTCAATGGTAAATTGACTTGAATTGAAGAAAATCAAATGGCTCTAAGTTTATTTTTTGTTGTTGATAAGAACAAATTCCTCAAATTAGATATGTCAAATCATCACACTTGTATTTACATGACAACATCAATTGTTGAGTATGTCTAGCTTCCAAGATATCAAATATTAATATTGGTAATGTACTGATGTGAAACACAGACACACATATACATACACACTCACACTCACACACACACATATATATATACACACACAGTTAACTTTGGTTGAGGAATTTTTCAAATAAGCTTATATGAAGGACACCCTTGTAGAGCCCACCACACATTGTATTTCATTAATCAAAACAATTTATTTTGTAGATATTTATTCGAAGATCATCTTTGCAAAAAAAATCCCTTGAATCCGTTATCATTTAACCACTCAATTAAATTATTAAAATTTTAGTACTTTCTTGAAGCACTGTGTTCATTGATTTTGTATGACACAATTGGATGTTTAAATGGTTTCCAATTTGTCTAATTTTTTATTTTTATTTTTGTAAGGATTTTTAAATGAAGACCTACAAAAAAATAGATGGTTTGGATCATTGGTGAAAAAAATAAAAATTATAAGGTACCCTAAAGAACGTCCTTCAAATAAAATTATTAGAGTGATATATATATATATATATATATATATATAGTCTCATTCTATTGAGGGATCACTCAAATAATTTTATTTGAGGGATCCCTCAACCGAAGCTCCCTATATATATATACAATGGCGGATCTAGAAATTTTTCAGGGAAGGGGCAATAAATAAAAGACTAAAAATACAAAAATAATTAAATAATTAAACAACCAAATACCTTTAGAATCTAACGAAGATTAATCTAAATAAAAAAATCTAAAAAAATTAATTTCAATTAATCTAATTGAAATGCATATCAAATTATCAATTAAACAAATAAATCGGAATTGATCATCTATTCATGTGCTATTGTATTAATCATACAAAATACAAAGAGAGCCAAATCAGTAATAATAATATATATATATTTTGTGGTCATAAATTGTGATTTCATTGAATGACTTTAGTAGTGGCAAGGTTCCAAACATTAAAATAGATGCTAAGTGCAGTGATTCTATTGGATGAATGAAAATGGTAGAGATTATATGGAATTAAATTATAAGGCAGAGTTTTGGGAATTTTACAAACCAAATGGTGGTGTCTTTATTGTATGAAACCAGACTACACGAAACACATCGTTTCATTAAAAAAAACCAACGCATCTCAATCCGACGTCGTTCACTTAAAACCTAGAGGAAAACAAAAGTTGAGTCAGGGTTGGGTCTTCTTCTTTAAGAGGAATAAGCCATTGACGGCGCCTCATAGAGCTTACATACCATAGCTGCTGTGGGCATTAGCAGAGGGGCATTTTCAGGCACCTCCAAAGCTTTTTCCTGCAAAGGGAGGTGCGGCTGCACCTCCTTGCGCCTCTGTAGATCCGCCAGTGTATATATATATACACACTCCTATTGAGAGATCTCTAAAATATTAATGTATTATTGTTGTTGAATCGTTGATGTGAATTATTCCAGATCAAAGGAATAATGTCCTGTCTAACCCTCTCTGGCCCATTGTTTAATTTGTTCTTAATTGAATATATCCTTCAGATTTTCTGGTTTGGTAGGATGAAGGAAAAGTTGGAGGGAAGGGGATTCTTCATGGTTGATCAGTTAATTGAAAAGGATAATTAAAAAGGAAATACAAATTAATAGTCTAAATGAGTTGTCTTAGTGGGAGATTTTTTAATAAGTATTTTATTTTAAGGATTGGTTACATATTTCTAATTTTGGCCGTTGGATTGTATTCATTAAATGTGTTGATAGTCTCTTAGATGCAATCAAACAACCGAGATTAGAAGTATGTAACCAATCCTTAACTTAAATACTTATTGAAGAATGCCCGTGAACTTCTAGACTTACAAAATTTTCTATTATTATTTTGATTGTGTTAGGTGGGGTTGGGTTATCAATCAAAATTCGAACAAGAATAATATTTACTTTTGCAAGGCTAGCTATCTGTGGCAGACAATAGCAAGAATTTACATTCCTTGTTTTTAAATGTTCACCCACCATATTATTATAAATTCAAATTTGCATTTATTACATTTTTCAGTTTTAGTGAAAATTAATATGGTGGGTCACAAATTTTAATTCTGCTTGATGTTGTTTTAAAGATCATGTCACTGATCAACTAGGGCCTTAGCCAACATTAATGGGAATCCTTGTCTTGTTTGATTTGCTTGGTGGAACAACAAATCTTCATCATCATAGGCCTACAGCTAGCTTTTATGTAAGGAACATTGCAATGTGGATGCGTCGAGAGCAATCACAAGGAATAAATATTTTCCAATATCATGTAACTTTCAATGAATTAGTTTTGCATTAATATATCATACATACATTATAAAACTGCTCGACCTTCTTCAATGTGGCATCGTTCTTAGCTGGGGAGAATCACCAATTGGGAGTTGAAAAGATAAGTGCTTAGAATAAATTTACACCAATACTTATATTAAGGGGTTCATCTAATAAATAATATTGAAAGCAATACAACAACTTCCTTTATTTCCATGGCAACAATTAGTTGGTAAATTCCACAACACTAATTTTTATAAATCAAGTTCAAGACCCAAAAAAAAAATACAAACAAACAAATGAATCATTAGTATGTAGTACACAAACTACATATTTATCATCATTTATAATCTCCATAAATATATATTATCCTATACCTAGAATACTACATAAGTTGATTGTAAATTTATTCATCATAATGTGTGGTTCAAATTAACAGTTTGTCAACGAACTTTATTTCTTCAATTCTACCCTGGATTTACAAACGGAGTCAGCGCTCTGGGTTTTGATCGTGATAGAGATGTTGCATTCGCTATAACTAGTTGCCTTCATCTTAAAGACCTTCAACAAGCTCACCTTGCCATGCAGGGTGGTTTCTGAAGTAAAATTCAATACCCCAACCAAAATCACATCACCCATAAAATGGGTATCAGTAACCAATTTGTCAGCTAAAATACTCACAGAAGAGGTGATGTTATGAGTCGCACGAGCTGGAATTGTGTCTTCTTCGATCGGAGCTTCAGCGACGACATTCCCACGATAACTGATATGAGCTGTGCTGTTTTCATACTTAAAGCCTCCATAGTTCGGATTTTTCACTGTGATCAATATTCCAATTGATACATTCAACCTTACCACTGGAGTAACTACCAATTCAAAGCTTTCTAGGGTCACCGGCTTGGTGAAGATTGAAGGTTCTTTGGGTTTAAAGATTGTAACGAACAGAACGACTAGAACAACTAAGATGACAATGAGGAGAATGCCAGTGACAGCAGCAAAGATTTTTAAACCTTTGCGAGAGCCTGCCATGGTGAAGGAGTTTAGATTAATGTCTAGTTTGATTTGGATGGACGAAATTAAGACATGTGTTTATGTTTGCTACAAATCTTTGTTTCACATGGTAACGCTGTTGTTAAGTTATATGCCGGCGGTCGTGATTAAAACAAGAAAAAAAGGCATTATTGTTTTTTGTTTGAGTTGTATGTTTTTTATTGATGGAGACAACAATGGAGGAGTTTGTTACAATGAGTTTGGAAGACGGTTGTTGCCATCACTTTCGTTATTGTTTATGTGAATACTATAGATACAATCGAGGGTCTTTTTGTTTTGTTTAAATAATGTGGAAAATAGTTTGGGCCATAAGCCATAACATATAACAAGAATTGGGCTGGGCTAGGTTGAGCTTTGGAGAGTAGGCCCATGCCCAAGTCACCCTTCTTTTTTCCTTTTTCTTTATTTAGTCTGAAGTCTCCCACAATATTATAATGTTTCCCAAGTTTTGGACTCGATACGAAATCAATTAGTGAAAGAAGTGGGTCACATTAAGTTTCTACACAAAACGGGAGTTGTAGGAAATTGCATAGTTTCTTTGACCCTTTTTCTTTCTTTCTTTTATCTTCTTGGCAAATTTAGACAAAGATCTTGGTAAATACTTCTACTACTGTTGCTACTACTACAAAATTAGATAGAAATTATATCATACAAGGAAGTACTCTAGATTTCTGCAGCTAACTTAATTTGTGTCCTAGGGCATAAATGAAGAACAATATGTTTTAGCCTAAGATTAATTAATTACATAACAAAACTCAGAAGTGAAAGGAAAATTGCAACTACAAAATTTACATGAAGACAGTTTCCGTGTGATAGTGGAAGTTGAGTAGGAAGAGAACATTCTTCTCCATTGAAAAACACCCTTGTAGGAAACCCATCTCCTTTAGCTACTTCTATGTCTGGTGTATGCTTCTTTTTAAATGAAATCACAGATTGTTGCTTTCCAGGTACCTTGGGATCTTTTTCCGGCTTCGTTCCATTTTTCTGAGCCACCAAAAAATTCAAGCCCTTCAAGCCTTGGAGGAAGATGATGTTGTCCAGCTTGGGAATTTTGGTCCCATTGAAAGAGTACGCCTTTTCATAACCAGCGGTAGCTTTCTTGAGCTGCACGGCAGTAAACCAATCTTCAAAGTTGGTTTTGTCCCAATTGAATAATGTGATTCTAGCTGTCCAGCCATCCTTGTAATCTGATAAGAGATGCCAATTTACACTAACTGAACAATGGTCACCACAAGGCAGTGGCTTGGGCACATGATGGTGCTTTATGCTTGCCCAAGCTATGGCCTTCTTTGTCCTATTTTCAAAGGGAACAAGAAGTGTTTCTGGAGGGAGAAGAAGGGCAGGGGCTTTTGGGTTGCATTTTTTTGTGTCACTGCAACCACAGGCACATGTGTTGCAGGGGATCACAGACTCATTGTAATAAGCAGAGAATGAAACACAACACTTTGGCTTCCTGGTTTTGGCCCTTGTTATGTTGCAAACTATTTGCCAGCTTGCAATGGCTAAGCTTGTAGCCTGAAGACCACTTGGGTCTGGAAATTGAGCAGGATCTACCCTTATAGGTTGCCCACATTTGTATTCTGGATTGAGCACCCCATCCACTTTAAATCTTTCGGGTGGATACAGAGCGGTTCGATTCAAATCAGGAGGTAATTTGAACACCTGCATTTGGAAAGCAGATTTGGTCTTGCTTTGGTCCATTATAGGAGGCAAAATGCTACCATTTCTGCAGCAGTTGGGTATCTTCCCAACTTGAGTATCGTTTGCTTTCTCTCTGGGTAGGTCTCCGATGACTGGTTTCTTTTCACAGTTCAAGACCTTGGAAAAATCCATCTGTTGATAGTATTTTCCAGCATCACCATATATACAATTCAAATAATCAATCGTACGTGGATAAGCGCCTTTCATGTTGTATATGAATTCCCCTCTCATCCATTCCCAGGACAAGTTCCAATGGTCCAAACGTCCCAAAGGGCTGCAGTTCTCCATTGTCACCTGAGCAAGGTAATTATTTTCGTAGGCTTGAATAACATCATATGCTATTGTGAGATCGCCCTTCTGCCGAGGCAAGAACTTGGTTTTTGTTACATTGGCCTTAAACTTTGGGTTCCTAACACAACATACATACATAGACCCCTCTGTATAGCCATGACCAAATTAAGAAAGAACAGAAAACCAAAAACCAAATATTAGAATGGTAAACATATATGTTCATGTAAGAATCAACGTGACGAATGATTCAGATTGACAGTATGACAAGAGAACATTTCTCAATGAATTAGCACTTACTGCGATTGGTCGGTGAGGGGCACTTGTATCCATCGTTAACAAGCCGTATTGTTTTAGGCATGGGGACCCCAGATGGCTTGACACCAAACATGGTTCCACTGAATTGAATTTTGGCTTGAATTTGGGTGTAATCTCCTGCAGTGCTAATTGAGGTTTTCAAATCTGTCTGTCCTGATCCAGAGAGGTAAGTCCCATTCCCAACATCAGCCGGGAAATCATCACCGTTCATCAAAACTGCACCAGTTGCACCAACTAGAATCTCCTTGTGTTGAAACCCAACATAAATCTTCCAGGCCTTGAGCTCGTATGTGCCTGTGTTGACTATGTGTGCGGTGGATTTGAAGGCCCACGCCTGCTTCTCCGCATTCTTGAGGAAAGGGTAGATTTTGCGCCGAGATTCGAAGTCATAGCTCATGTAAATCCCATCACAATCTTGTTGTGCTGGGGTTGGTGCAGCTGGTTGTTGATCTCCTCCATCGCCATTATCTTGAGCTCTGGTTAACGAAAATGCAAAACCAAACAAGGCAAACATGAGTGTAATTACAACCCACCAAGCCCTTTTCATGTCTTTTGTTCACAATTACAGGGAAGATGTTACAGGGTGGTATGTTTTTTAATATGAAAATGTGACATGGGTTGATTTCTAATTAGCTAACTAACTCTCTCTGATTAATGGAGGATATTTGATTTGATAGATGAAACTTGGTTGGATTGCTAAGTTTTTGTTTGAAATTGTGGAGTGAATGGTGAACAGAGCAAAGGGAGCAATTGAGAAATGGGTGCCAAAAGATAAAACTCAAAAAAGTTGAGAGAGTGATAAACTTGTGGAGGATAAGTCGGACGAAACCTCATCCCCTGACCTCACCGCTGTATTAGGCAAGGTAACGGTTAACGGTCATTTGAATTTTGCAACTCTCGAAATAATTGAATGACACTAATATCCCCAGGGAATTTGTTTTTTTTGGGAAGAATACAGTGTTTTCCCGCCAACATCTCATTGTCTTTATTTTGTATTTTTATATAAAAAATTATCTAAATTACCCTAAATTAATCTAACTCTAGAAAGGAATGACTCGAACTTGAGTGTAAAGGGGTGGACTCACTACCCGGCTAACCCACATATGCCACATCTCAATGTTTGTTACACAAAAAATTTGTAGCTTTTTATTATTTTGTTTATATTTATTTTGGTCAAGAAACAAGATACATAAAGCCGAAAAAGGTGAAGGCCCAAAGGGTAGCTAAAACCCAAATTGCCAAAGGAAGAGAGGCCGAAGGCAAGACAACAAACAGTGAACAAAAAAACCCATCAAGTTTTTAGCTAAGAGCATCATGTCTGCCCACTAAATTGGTCGAGTTCAAAACCCTATATCCTAAACCCTATGTCTTCCCACTAACCAGGAAATTGAATCCTTTTCCTTGATGGTTTGGTGTGAAACCGATTAAAATTAAATTGGATTGGATTGAATCGATCAACTTAGGCGGACTAGATTGGATTTTGCACACCGCTAGAAAAGGGTAATTAGTGAGCAAGAATTATTGACAACTACTCCCAAAACACATGATCAGTTCGCTGGTAATTTGTTTTCCCTTTTTTAATCCAATAGTTTTCGGATCATGAGAAAAAAGGCCCAATTTGCTTGCTGGTGTACAAAAAAGCTTTCCTTTCCCTTCACATTGCTTTATTTTTATTTTTATAATAATAGTCACAATTTGCTGGTATAACATTTTTTATATAAAAAAAAAAAAAAAAAAAAAAAAAAAAAACGTTAGTTAGAAAATGAACATGAAAAAATCTTGTTAAAGTTCAAAAATCTGAATAAAACAAACCAATCCAAACCAGCACCACCACTAAATTCTTAACCTCACTGCATGTTTTATTACATTCATGATTCATGTCAAATCAAAAACTTGGTGTCTTCCTAAATTGGCTGTCACCCTTTGCACAATGATCATCCACTTTTCAAATTCACATAAGTTCCAGAGTTTCTCCGACCACTTAATTTCCATCATGCTTTTCTAAAAATTTACATAAGCCATGTCCAAATATTTGGATCTCAACTCCTTCTTGGCCTTGTGGACATTGCAGAGCAAGCACAAAATATGGGCACCCAGAATCCTTTTCTATGCACATTGACAGTTTATCTTTAACTTTGATTGACCAAATTTCATAATCTTGCATTCCACTCTTTCTATATTAGCAGGTTTTGTGTTGCCTCCATTTGGGTGTATGCAGTCGCCTTTGACTTTGTTGCTCTTGAGGATCTTGATGCTGAGGGAGACGAAGACTTGACCTTTTTCCGCTTTGGTTTCTTGGGCACATTAGGAAGTTCACTACGAGGAAGGTCTCTGAACATGTCCGAGGACGGTTGGTGTCCCATCGAATGCTCAAAATCTGTCACAAAAGATTACAGAAACAAAAGCAAAAGAGAGGTTAAAGTGTCTTCTTCAATCATGGAAAGTGCCACAATCTAAAATAAATTGGTGAAAGCAACACACCACAGCAAGATTTGACCACTTCAACCACACCACAATACCACGGGAAATGATAGGCACACACAAACCTAACAATCCTAAAACCTCTGTAAGATGAAATTATTGCTCGATTTAAGAGAATTGATATAATAATCCCAATGATAATGTTCAAGCAACCTTCAAAATGCCTTGACCATCATCGAAAGTAGCTAAAACAATCACACCAGACCAAAGATCAAAATATTGACAGAGAAGTAGTATTTTATCAACCAAATTAAAGTAATGGTACAAATCTAAAACTTAGCAAAGCCCTGTGGACCACCAAGAACAAGCTAGAAGGCCAAGGCCCACGAGCTATCATATTTCTTCTAGGTAGGAAAGTGTGTTGCCTCGTGACAGAAGAGCCAAAACCTTGCAGTTGGGGCAAAGAATCTTGAGAACTTTTGCACACCTCATAAATTTATACCAATAAACTAAAACAGACATTAATCACAGATCTCCTAAACCTATTGACCCCGTGAAAAGACCCTGCTCAAACTTGTCTGGTTAGAACGATACTGTTGCACAACTGCACATGATACAAGGCATAGTTTAATGGAACAAATTGACAAGCAAATCTAGCCTTAAAATCATTCATATGACACTCAGGTCCCAGCTATCAGTTCTGCATTATTTTGCCTAGTACGCACGCATGTTCTGGCCTAAGCATGCATAAATTAATTCATACATACATACATACATGAAAATCTGCATTATAGTGATGATCAAAGGCTCAAAGCATACCTTGAGAGGACCAAGGAGAATAAGCCATAGGATTAGAGGAACCCATCCGAGCACCAGCGTTACTACCAAGCGAGCTGGTTGAGAAATCTGGTCCATTTTTAAATTCGTTCATCTGCATAATTACTCATAATTAGCCCCTCATAATTAACAAACAATTAAGTAAATCAGCACATGTTTTGGTTGGTAGGTTTGAATAATCAAACATGGGAGCCACGAATAGACAAATTAGTAACAAGAGGGATAGAAGAACATTATTTTGCAGGTTAGCCTAGCTAGCTATACGCACCCAAGTGGGAGCGCTATCAGATGGGCCTTCCCAGCCAATGTGTGCTACATGTTTCACATCTGTTGGGTACCCAATTTCCATTTCACGCTCTTTCACAACTGCAGCGAAAAAAAAACCCATTTTACAGCTTAGCCATCAAATCATCAAAATCCATATTGATTTGATATACAAGGTAAATAAACAAGAGATATTGATACATCAGACAGAGAAAGTGAGAGATAATTACCAAACATTTGAGAGAAGTATTTGAAAATCTTGGTTGCCATGGTGGTAGAAACTACAAACCCAATGAAACAGCCTCTTTGGAGAGTGCAAACAACAGGGAAGCAAACACCAAAGCTAAAGATTGGGAGATATGGATCCTTTTGCCTGCCAGAAAGTCAATATGTACTTAGACGGAATTTTTTCTTAAAATATTTCCAAAGGAGAAAAAAGGGCAAGAGCAGTATGAAATAAGGCTCTCATTGCATGTGATTTGGGAACTTTTCTTTTTCCCTGTGAATGAAGATTGGTATCTGACTATGGATTTTGTAACATATTAATACATTTATAGAAGATATACGATTCTAAGAGTTCCACAAAGTAAAAAGCAGTTACAAGCCCTATTGTTATTGATTATATAAGAAATCGTTTCACCAAAGAAACAATGAAAAGGAGCACACCTTCAGAGGATGATTATGAAGGTACGAAGAGGTAGCCAAGTTTCATGCTTCATTTTTGCACAGCAACTCTTGATGGATTGCAGAACATGTAAAGCTCTTTATGGAATGAAGAGCTCTTGGTGTAATAACAAAAACCCAGAAACCACAGATTGAAACAAATTAAACAACCAAAAACAATGATAGGAGAAATTTAAAAGGGCCAAAAAAGAAGAAAAAAACTGGAAAGAATGGTGTAATGGGATTTATCTACAAATGTGGGCAGGCAGAGAAAAGAGAGTCAGAGAGACACAGAGAAAGAGAAGAGACGGCTCAAGAGGAAAGAAGGAAAGGTGGACGAAAAATGAAAACAGCAAAAAAAACGAAAGGTGAGAGAAGGGTGTGAAAGACGGGACAAATTAAGATGGAGAGAGTGGAAGACAATACAAAAGAAATTGGGTGGTGCTGGTTTTACTTAGTTTCTTTCAGAGGCTCTCTGAAAAATGCAAGAGGCCAGAGCCCTCCACACAATAATGCAAGAAAGAAATACTTAAATTGCGGGCTAAATATCCGATACACACAGAAAGAGAAGCTGTGTTTGTTTGTGCAGTGTGTTTGACTAGACTGACTTTCAAGCCTCACTGTTTAGGCCCATAAAGTATCGCTAAGTGGAAAATGATATTGACTTGCAAATCAAATGTCTCAGGTTCAAACTCTCACGACATCATAATTGTGTATGTGAAATTCTCTCATTTATAGTTTAGACTATCGATTGTACATATACAAAAGCGCTTATGTTCAGATTTTAGTATTAATTAAGCCAATTGGTAGATTAAGAGTGAAAGGGGCAACTCTATTTTTTAATGACAAAATGGCCCTGTGACTCTGTGAGTTGAGGCCTGCTTTCATGAGGAGCCTCCAGGATATTTTAGTATTTTGGCCAATACCCTAAGCAAACTTGGTAAGAGAGTATCATTTTGTTTATTTATATCTAGTAAAAAAAACCATTAATTAAAAAACAGAAATAGAATTTGAAGACAGCAACAGGTTAACCCATTTCCCCAATTGAATTGAATCCTTCTCTATGCAGACATTATTTAATTCAAATTTGCAATCCGGCTCTCATTAATTTTTCAGCCAGCTGGTATGAGCTCTTCCCTTTCTATCAAAGCTAGCTAAAATGAATACAGATTACGTATGACATATGTATGGTTATAACAAGCAACAGTGACCTTTTCTTCAGCCTCACATGCCAACTGTTGGACATGGATGATTTCTTATTGATGAAAAAGGCTTCAGCATTTGACATATGGTTAGAAGGACTAGTTTTCATGTATTAGTTTATTTGTCAACTACTTTTTGTAGCGTATCATCTTGCAATCACGCTGCTCTGGCTTAGCTGTTCTCAGACATGACATGTAAAGAGCTTTTGTTCATTGTTGGAAGCACGTTTTGTTGCTTCTTTCTAGGTCTGCAAATTATGCAGCAAAATCTTATTTCCTTGTTTGCCTCATATGGGAATGTGCTGCTCACCTAGAGACCACTTTTGGGGTGGGAATTTGCAATGAAGATCCTAACATTATCCTCCAGATGCTTTGTATATTCAAAACATGGATTGCATACAACATTTCTTTAAAAACATTTTCTGATTGGTTGACAACTAATTATAAAATGATTAAAGTCAATACTGATTGGTTGACACCTCAATAAATTAAAACAGAGCAGAAACAGAGACAAGCCCACAGCAATAAGTTTATTGAAACAGAACATAAACAGAGAGAAGAGGCCCAAGTCATGTTATAATGGCCCCAAATGATCACAGCCCTTCTGTATAAGCAACCCCTGTAGACTTTAACCATGACCCTCCTTGGATGAGCTGAGCAACAGTGAAAGTTTGGGCCTCCTTTGGGCTTGTGATGACATGGTAACCAGCCCATTTGACCCTCTTGCTGGTCCCAGCACCAGCTCCACTATTTGCGTATTCTCCATAGTACAATGTCTTCAATGCAAAATCCCCACTCCAAATAGACCACCCAGTTGGGTCAATGTGGTCACCAATCTTCGACTGCATCACAACAGTCCTAGAATACTCCTTCCATGGCCGACCTAAGTAGGTTCGGATCGTCCCTTTCACAGGCTCCAAGTCCGAGCTTGCGACTATGTCGCATTTTTGAATAGAAGTTCCAGTGTTTTGGTTCGGGTCTATGCGTCCTTGGGCAGTGACCATGTTATTTTGTCCAGTCATGGGCTTTCTGGCCACAAGTTGGCAGTTTTGAAACACAACAGCTGCGTTTCCAAATATGAAGTCCACTGTGCCTGTTATGTAGGAATCTCTGTAGAATTGCCTGTTGGAATGGGTATAGAGAGTGTCTTGGTAAGCGTCGATACGACACCGGTTTATCACTGACTGGTCTGCCCCAACACGCAGTGCAACAGCTTGGTGCTTTACTGCCCCAGCCGTGTTTTGGAACCACATGTCCTGGGCTATAAACCCATCACCAACGGCAGCTGCATTGGCACAACAAATTCAATGGAAACCCACAAATTATTTTTGATGCTAGAATATAAAATAAATATAATTAAGATCGTCTTTTTTAGTACAAGCGAAAATTTAGACTACTTTAAATTAAGCTTGTTAATTACCTAGAGTTGCAGATTTGAAAGTGGTTGATCCATCAACAACATTGAGGCTGCCAGTGATGACAGTGTTATCCATGCCATCTCCAACAATCATCAAATTCTTCTTGTTCTTTCCAACTTCAACATTTTCCTTATAGGTGCCTTTTTTCACATAAATAATGTACCTGGTTTTGCTATTGTTTGGGGCAGCTGCCACTGCTTCCTTCACAGTCTTGTAGTTTCCACTCCCGTCCTTTGCCACCACAATATTGGCCTTAACTTCCTTTGCCAAATTATAATCCTGCAAAAGCCTTCTGTCCCTGCTTGTGACCCAACTTGGAAACTCCCCATTCAGTGGCTCATGGATCTCTGCTTTCAGTTTCGATGGGTTCAAAATTGCAACCATGATGGCTAGGGAGGCTCTTGACCTTGAGATCAAGTAATTGAGCCTTGGCTCCATAATGGTCCTGGCTGGTCCTTGTAGACCATCCAAGCATGTGACATGGTTAGTGAGTATGCTACTAAGCCAAGCATGAGCATCTTCAAGAGAATTCTGCTGAGTAAAATTTTGGAGAGCTATTATAGAGTGCATAACTCTGTCTATGGACACATCCATTAGCTCCACACAATCAGCAATAGCTGCTTGATCTTTGGGATTGTTAATCCTAGAAGAAGCATCTTTGGCAATCTCAAGGGCTTTTTCTATGTGTGGTGTGGATTTTTCTAGGAGGGCTTGTAGCAGATCAACATCACTCACTGGCTTGGTTTTGTCCCCTGCTACTTCAGTGACCATGGCTAAGCATGATTTCTGATCATGGGCATGGTCACATACGTGGGTTGGTGGAGGATAAGAAGATGATGAGGTTATTTTGGTCATCACTTGGATGCCAACAAGTGTAGTGGAGCTAAGAATAGCAGCTAAGCATAGAATTAGATAGAGGGGTTTGCAGTGAGAAGTAGAAGTTTTGGGAGATTCAAGGAGGGGCTGTTGGATTGCCATATTCTAGTAGCTAAGTAAAGATCTCTCTCTTGCTGCTTGCTTTAGTTTCTCTTGTCCTATGGTTCTTAAATAGACCACAACTTGTACTAGAATAATAAATTAAGCAATGATGATAATGTATTTTAAAGTCAAGAAGCTGCATCATGATTCTGATAAACCTCATATTTATTAATTACCTAATAGTCATTAGCATCTTAATTTCAATTTTTGTACGTTTAACATCATTAACCTAGCATGCGCTGTTAGGTCAAAAGACCGTGGCTTACATTAAACGTGTATGAACAATGATACTTTGTAGGACTCACAATACTCAATGGATGAGTTAAAATTGTGCACCACCTGTGACTAATTGTAGCAAAATCATTCCATCGAATGTGAAATTGACTCCAATTTAGAAGTGTACAGTGACTGACGGCTAGATTGAAGAGGTAGTAGTGAAACTCTTTTTTGTTTTACAAGTTGACTGTGTTTGGATAAGGGTTTGGGTTGGAAAGCATGGTCATGAATCATGATTCATGGGTGTTGTTTTTAGGTCATAATTATGGTGAGGATATCTTTACCTTTGAGACTTTAGAGGACATTCTAACAGTCTTTTCTCATGGGTGTTGATGAAAAGACGAAAGTGATGCTCATCATTTGTAGAAAAAGCAACAAACCAAACCAGTGCGCATTCTTTTTTCAAAGAAACAATGAAACAGTGGGATCGCATTCTTTAATCTTCAACACTAGTGGGAGGGGAGTCCCCACAAGTCATTCAATAGTGAGGGGCACTTAGGCGGGGCCTTCAAAACGCATATGATTAGACAATGACACAAGTTGTTCTCACCCTTAAACAAAGAAAACAAAACCATTATCCTCACCCAAAGATTGGCCCAAATTTCATTTCTTGGGCCGTTACATTTATGGTTAAAACGGGGCCCAAAAACCAAAACCAAACTGAATATAAATCAAATGGAGCCTAGCAACTTGGGTTTATTTCCGTCCGTACGCCCGTTAGGTGCATAGATAAATGCTCTGAACTACTACGAGTCTCTTGTTTTTGGTATTTTTCTTCTTGGGTTTGTGGTTTAATAATTAAGGTCATTGGATTTAAATTTAATTCAATAGTTATGTTAAAAAGCTGGTAAAGAAACTGAAAAACCATATGACGATTATACATTAAGGCATGGAAAATTAACAAGAGAGAAGCATATTTATTATTCCGTCAAGAGTCAAAGAGTCACAAGTACAACAATATTTAAGCAAATATTTGGGAAGCCCGCCCAGAGCTTGAGTAATAATTTAGAAATTAACCATAATTGAGACGAAATATGTCATTCTGCAAAAAGAAGCTTCCTTGTGGCGTGGGAATCAAGTGGAACATCTGCAACACGACAAGAGCATCTCAAAGTGATCAATCTCCCTTTCTTATTTTTCTTTCCATGTAATTGCAAACAAACTAAATAATGTGAATGTTTCCATTAAATAATTACCTGGCTGAATCTTAGGTGGTGTTCTTCCCCTGGTAATTGGAGGCTGCCACTGACAATGACCACAATGCCACCAGTTGGGGATGATGGCTGTGAATCAACGGTGCTGATCAAATGTTTGCATTGATCAAACGGCAACTGGTTAAGCTTTGAAGTTATATCATCCACCCCAAATATCTTCTGTCCCTCAAAGCTCAACATAGAGGTTGGTTGGTAGAGAGAAGAGAGGGAAGCTCTTTCGGTGTCGAAAAGATGGTAATAATGATCCACAAATGCCCTCCCCACCATTTCAGCTTGTTCTTCCATTTCTGCTTTCCTCTGTTTGATCTCTCTCTCTCTCTCTCTCTCTCTCTCTCTGTTTCTCCTCACATTCCAATTCTGGCTACGAATATAAGGAAGCTGGGTTTGCCAAAAGGTGCCTAACATGTGCACTAACACATAAAAGAAAGAGATGACACAAGATTTGTTTGCTTAATTAGCACTAGATGGGCCATCATGCCCCTGAGCATTTTAGCCTCCAGAAAGGGATGCTCATAAAAAATTGAGGGATACAAGGGTAATTAGGCAATCCAAAATGGGGGAATCAAAGACTGCTGCAATTTTACGGTTTGTGGGTTCTTTTTTGTAGTGCCGAAAGTAGATGGAATATATACTTTCCTCGGCGACCACCCTTTCCAACAGGGGTAAGCTTTACCATCTCTGGATTCTAATTCAAGAAATATAGCCCAAGAACGTATTTTCCAATAAATTACAACTACACCGATTATGGATCTGCCTGCATCATTCAACTTTAAGTCGCATAGAATTATTATGTTACATTTCCTTTTACAAGGCACGTCACATGGGAAGTTGGGAGTGCAATATTTGATGTCACATGGTCAATACACACACTACAGAAACAAATATGCATGGATATTTTGACTCACCAATGCACACATTCAACCCAGCATCCTCGGCGGGCCAGTGTCAAGGTTAAAGATGCACAAAAGGTTGCAGAGGTTTCGAATGTGCGTGATTCAATCCACAAGCCTGTGAAATTGATTGAGGGACTAATATGACCAGATTATGAATGTTGGCATATTACAGAGAACATTTTGCCTTCTGCCTGCACCACAACATGCTTGGCTAAACAGAGTGCAGGTTCGGTTTCATGAATGAGAAACTTTACTAGACAATACCCGGGTAAGCAGGGGTCCTTCAACTTAACCTACGGAACCTAGTCAGAAGCCACTGGGCATCCCTTCCTGGCTTCAGATTCTAACCACTCAAGCCAAGAGCTTCTCTCTTCACATTGTCTTTCATACAAGTGCTGAAAGCATCTCTTCACTAGTGCCCTTGGCATTTAACAAACCTGTCCTTCAGCTTGAGTAAAGATTTTATCCTACCATAAACTCTATACTGGCAATTACCACAGATTGCAATACGAATACCAGTATTTCCATTTGCTATCGTTAATCTTGATGGCTAGTCATAGTCAGCCAGTGGATAGGGGTATTCATGCACATCAAAATGTGAATACCCACCATATACTGAACACTAAGTTTAATAATCAACCAGTATGAGTAAACAGACGATTGACAAAATGAATACATAACGTCTTCATCCATGAACCAAAATGTCACTTCACATGTAGACCAAGTCGCAGAAAGACTAAGGCATCAGCTACTTGCAAACCCTGTATATATTCTTAAGCACAAAATCATCTGATGCTCACAGGTAAAGACTAACAACTGAGAAATATGACAATAAGGATATATTGTCATCGAGCACAGCCAGTAACACAATTCATCAAGTTTTTGCATACATTGTCCAACAACATAAATTGTTCTCTTTATGACATATGATGGCACTGATTGTTTCCCACAAATCCTCAAGCAAAACTGACTTTTCAAACATCTTGGCAAACACAGGTCATGCGGTTGACATTTCAGTACATAGTTACATACAAAAACTTATGCACCAAAATAAAATTGCATACAACTAGTTAAGTTATAACCAGGGGTAGAAAGATCTGGATGACAGTGTTCATAAGGAGAGGAGATTGCAGCTTGCAATGGTCTCCAGAAGTAGCAACAAGCATACTTGTAACTCGTCTAACACAGAAAGAAGTTATTGACTAAAATACTTGCTTTAACAAGGAAGGCATACAGCTTGGTTGCAATGAGGAGCTTAATATAACATAAATAACTTGGTGTGCCCACGAAAGCTCCAAACCAGATATAACCAACATCATAAACACAAAGCATGTAATCATAATAGAAATTTTCTAACACATAGTTCTCAATTTTCAAACATAATATAAGCCAACTGTCAAAAAGTACACATCTTTCTCAGGATAAATTCATTATCAAAGTTTTCACTAACACAGATCTATCACCTTTATAGAAGCTCAAGTGGTGAGTTGGCATCCTCATCCTCACCAAGCTCAGTTCCAACTCGAAGGCCAAAAAGCATGCACTCCATAACCGGTCTTCCAATTATCCAAGTAGACCACCTTCTTCACCGCCCAAAACGAAACAAGGAGCGCGATAATCATAACAATACGCTGCACCTTGACATTGCGGACGGTAACAAGCACGCGGGTGAGGAATGCCAACAACAACCCAACAATGGTGTACAAGAACCCAACTGTGAAGCCTTCTGTTCCAAGCTGCATTCCGGAGCCCTGGTAGAAAAATATGAGCTTTGAAGGGTCATTTCTATCAACCAAGAACATGGGCATTTTTCTAATGATGTTATGCATAGCGCCCGAGACGCTAAAGAAGTAAATGAAGACAGCCCCAGATAACCAAATTCTTGGGTCGTGAAGCAAAGTCTTGCCACTGATGATCTTCCTCCCAATAAAGGGTAACCAAATCAACCACGCGATGGTAGCGAACATAACTTGCTTCTTGGATAGCATCGGAGGGCGCTGAATCGGACCCACGACGAGTTTGGTCTTGGACTCGATGAACTCGGACATTGACTCAGCCAATCTCGAGAAATCGCCCTGGTCCATTTGCTGGGATTCTTTGAGGCTGTGGTTGGGTCCGATGAGGCGAATGTGAGGCAACGAGTTGACTCCGAATTGGGCAAAGCTGTGCTGCGAGTCTTGAAACTCGATGTCGCAGAAGAACAACTTGGCGTGAGAAGAAGACGATGGGTCTTCATTGTTCTCGATGAAAGACGAAGCGACGAGAGCGAACTCGCTGCGGAGCTCCTTGAGATGGAGCTCATGCTTGTCGTGGAGCTTTGCGGCGTCGAAGAAGATGAGAACCCAGTAGGGCCTTGGGGTTTTGACGGAGGTCAGAAATCGAGAGAGTGAGTGGTCGTCGAGGCGGATCACGCCAGATTTGGATCGGGCTTGGAGGGAAAGGAGTTCGGCGACCTGGTCCGAGTTGGATTCGGATAACCCAATGAATGTGGTGAGAAAGAGGAGGGTGGTGATGAGGAAGACAAGGGGCAGTTTCGGAATTGGGCCCATTTTCACTTGTTACAGAGAGCAAAGGGTTTTGCTTTGTGGGAAGAGGAAGAAGAAGCCTCAAGGGCAAAGAGTTGATTTTGAGTCTTGAGTGTTGACCTTTTCGTGTGGAGGACGAGAAGCCTATTGGACGTTAAAATGTACGACATGTCGTTTTGTCCAATTGTATTTGTACATCTTTTGTTCAGTTGGCTCGAGCCACATTGATAGAACGAATTGGAAATTGCCACAGAGATTGAAAGATTCTCTTTTTAATGTCCAAAATTGGGAATACAAAAACAAAACTCACTTTGCTTCATCACCCTCATTTCTAGTTTCTAAGTTTGATAAGGTTACTTGGAACCCAGATATCAAACGCTTATAAGTTGCTGCATCAGGTTTCAGCCTCATCTTCAACATTTCATCATGAATTTTCATTGCCTTTCTCAACTCCTTCACACCACAGAGCCCACGGATCATGATTGTGAAGCTCGCACTGCTCATCAAGTTGTGTCTTCTCATGTAATCAAACACTCTCATTGCTTCTTCAATCCTCCTTGCTGCAAACAGCCCACTGAGAAGTACATTGTAGGTTGTTACATCCAAGCTGCCATTCAATTTTTCCATCTTATTATGCAATGCAATAGCTGAATCAATCTGTCTTCCAGAGCAGTATCGCCCCACTAATGGGGAACAGCAAATCAAATCCGGTAGCAGCCCCTTGTCTAGAACAACATTCAACAGATACTCTGCTTCTCTCCATCTGCCCCTACGACACAGAAATGATATAAAACTGGACAGCTCCGATGCAGAAGGACTACACCCTCTACTTATAACATCCATTAACAACTCAAACCCTTCCTCAGACCGCTCTTCCTTGCAAAGAACATCTGCAAATGCATGATAACTACTGCCATCCACTACAATACCCCTTTCAGAAATCAGACGATAAACCGAAATTGCTTCTTTTGTTCTCACTTCATTAGTCAATGCCTTCAACATGAGCCCATAGGTACCATCTTGGAGTCCAATTTTTTCATCACATGCTTTCTTAAAGAACATTTCCGCAGCATGTGTTTTGCCCAAGTCACAAAGCTTCTCAACTACTGAATCATACTCAGATAAAGGGCAATTGGGAAGCAATTTCTTCTCTACCATAACACTTGTTACCCTTTCAACCACTTCCACATTCCCAAGTTTACATGCTCCATCAAGAATAGAGCTATAAGTACTAAAATCAGGATCCACTTTTCTATCACACATCTCGTTTAAGTGGGAAAATGCAGCATCAAAGTTGCCACTTTTGCTATAACCATCAACAAGAAGATTATACACCATAGAATTATAAATGTTCAAATCCAAAAGTCTAAGAATTCTTTCAAATTTCCCATCTTTACAAAGAATTTGAGCAACCAGTGACCATGTAAATCGATCTGGTAAAACCCCATTCCGGATCATAAGGCCATAGAAACACCACGCTAATCTAATCTCATTTTCTCGTTGTATAGCATTAAGCAGAGCATTGCAGGCAACAACTGAAGGAACACAACCAAGAACATTCATTTTCCTAAATACTTCTAAGCCTTCCCTAAACAAACCCTTTCTTGAATAGCATCCAAGAACAAAACTTAACGTAGTGGATTGAGAATCTGTACCTTTACATGCTAGAGTAATGCACTGTACAAGCTCTGATACAGGATGAGTTTGAATTAGAGAATCCAAGATGGGTTTCACGGGTCGAACAAGGCCCGACCCAAGTGAGACTCGGATGATTTGGCAGTTGGATTTGAGGTCCGGTTCAAACCTCAAATTTACTTTGGCCCAATTGAAGAACTCCAAAGAGACTTGTGGGTTGTTCTGGGTTTTATGGAGGATTTGGAGAAAGAGAGAAGGCGACAGTTTGGGGAAGAGACTGAGGTTTCGGAGGAGTGGTACCCAGTTGCGTCTTTGTAAGAGAGCGTAGGAGATTTGGGAAGCTAGCTGAGCTTGTTTGATATTGGTTCTCCAACACAGAGATGAAGCTGTTGAATACGCTCTGCGAAATTGGTGAGCTTTGTGAAGAAGCATTTGGTGCTGAAGTGGTTTTCCTCTGTTTCAACATTTTCCGGCAAAGAGGTGTGAATTTGAGATTGTTTAAAATTGGTTTTTGCCCGAGGGTAGACAAACGAGTCGAGTTTTGGGCTTCTGGTTCTAACAGCAGGAGACTGTTGGGTTGGGTTGGCTTCAGCGGAAAGGTAAAACCATAAAATAAAAATGCAAAAGGGGGACCCGGCATGTCTCAAAAATCTTATAGCCGTGCGGGTATACTATTTATAATTAAAAATATATAAAAAGGATGGCCCGAAAGTGCTAGCCACGTGTCAAACTAGTATAGCCGGGCAGCTATACTCTTATTCTTTTTTAAAATCGTCGTATAGCTGCGCGGCTATACTATATAATTACAAATAAAAAATTAGCGGCGATACTCTTTTTTTTTATTTAAAAAAACCGTAGTACAGCCGATTGGCTATACTATTTAAAATTAAAAAAATTAAAAAGACCCTCTGGCTCCTACCCACGTATCAAAAATTGTATAGCCACGTGGCGGTACTCATGTTTAAAAAAACCTTTGTATTGCCGCCAGGCTATACTATTTATAATTTAAAAAATAAAAAAAGGGGGCCCGCTTGTTTAAAAAAGGGCTGTAGTATAGCCGCCTGGCTATACTATTTATAATTTTAAAAAAATAAGAAAAAGGACGGTCCGCCTAGCAGCCGACACGTTTCAAAACTAATATCGCCGTTTGGCTATACTCTTTTTTTAAAAAACCATAGTATAGCCGCACGGCGGTACTATTTTTTGCCAAGTTTCTTTGCAGACTTCCCAGTTTCCCTTTAACCTGTAGAACCATTGGCTGGCTCCTGTTTTTGTTGCTCATATTTGCTTCTTGGGGCCTTTTGTAATAAATACATGTGTTCCTGGGGTTGCTTTTGCAGACTTGTTAGTTCTTTTTGGTTCTCACCAATTTTTGGTTACCAGAAAAAAAAAGCCAAACTTTTGTCTCCAATGTCAATGTAAAAGTCAGATATTCAAAAATACCCAGTAAAAGAGAAAGGAGTGTTCTGGGGAAATGGAGAAAAGTGATGTTGCTGCTGACCCCACATGCATATTCCTACGTCGACTGGTCCATAGGAGACCCAGTAAGACACCGGAAAAAAGGTATTTCCTATTTTTCTACCATTCGAATTTAGCAGATCAATCCAAAAATAAGATGGCATTGCTTTGCTGATAAACAAATGAAAAGCTTGACTTATTGCTAGCCCTTGATATCACCATCAATCCATTAATAATCTCCTCAATTATTCAATTGGTGGGTTCCTCATGACCACATGATCTGGCTGCATCTCAGTTGCCTGGCATATGGATGCAGCTCAATGTTTCAAGTTTTTACTCAAAAATCTAATGTTAATTATTATAAAACTTCTTGCTTGGCTGCCCACAGGACTCATGAGAGAGAGATGGGTACATTGTTTTATTCCTGGTTTATTGTTGTTTTTAATTTTCCATGTCTTTTTCTAGGATATCTTCCTTCTTTATTGGTTATGGTGTTTAGCATGTTGGTCATGTTTTATTACCAAGAAAAAGCAACCATTGTTTTGGGGGAAAGAAACTAGACTGGAGAAATCTCAGGCTTTACAGGGTAACTTTTTCTTTGTTTGATTGACCAAAGCAAGTTTAAGTTAACTTTAACCTTGTTTAATCCTTTATGCGCACTCTTAATTACAGACACAATACTAAATAATTTGCTGCATTTCTCGACAACCAAATCCAGTTGTCTAGATCCAAGAACTTCCGATTATTGTAAGACCAATCACAATCTATCACGTTCCCACAGGCAACACATGGACCCCACCCCACCTCATCTCTGTTTTCTGCCAATTGCCAGAGACCATTGGAGGGCAGCCTGGCTTCTTCAGTCCTAATTCTGAGCTTCTTATTTTAGTCATTTTCATCTAGACATATTCCCCAATGACCCTGTCCTTAAAATTTATAAGTCATAAGCAGGACTGTGCTGTGCAGAAGTGATATAAATAATAACCAAATAAATTAACCAGACAAGGAAATATGACTTGGTTCCAGTCTTAGCCTTTCCCAAGTCATTTTCATATTCTGATCATTTAATGCACACCTCCTCCTCCTCCTGGAGATCCAGCTGAAACAAGCTCCCATCCATTCTCACTTTCTTCAGATTCTCTGCCTCCAAAAGTCTTCCACCCAAAATGGAAAGAATGGCATCTCTGATGCCTATTCTTCTTTACATTGCAGTACTCATTGCTGCTTGCTCTTCTTCTTCATCTGAAGCGGCTGCCCCAGCCACTTCTTTCGAAGACAATTTCGACATAATGTGGTCTGAGAACCATTTTAAAACCTCTGCAGATGGGGAGATCTGGTATCTTTCCCTGGACAAAGAAACAGGTAAACATGAACAAGATTTATCAGCAACAAAGATTGATTTCTGTTCAATACTTATGTGTGAATCTTACTTGAGAATTTGCATCAGTTTCAGTACTACTTGAAACTTTGCTAGCAATCACATAACTTTCTTTTCTTGGTTTCTTTGTAATTGAATAGGTTGCGGGTTTCAGACAAAACAGAAGTACAGATTTGGATGGTTCAGCATGAAGCTCAAGTTGGTTGGAGGTGACTCTGCTGGTGTAGTGACAGCTTATTATGTAAGTCTTTAAGCTTTCATGAAAGCCAATCACAATCCCATGTCTGTCTTTGTAGTTTCTTTTTTGTACTAAATTACATGTCTAAGATTGAAATCGTACTTGTTGCAGATGTGCACAGAAAATGGAGCAGGGCCAGAGAGGGATGAGTTAGATTTTGAGTTCTTGGGAAATAGGAGCGGGCAACCTTATCTCATTCAGACAAATGTTTACAAGAATGGAACTGGAGGCCGTGAGATGAGGCACATGCTTTGGTTCGACCCCACCGAGGACTTTCATACCTATTCAATTCTTTGGAACAATCATCAGATTGTGTAAGTTTAGTATATATCTTCCTTTTGGCTCTTGGTGTATGACCTGAGTTACCAAGTCTCTCTTTTATATCTATCTTCCTTTTATTTTATATCTGCTGACACATACTGATTGATCCCTCATGCTAAAGAGATGTCATTTGCCACATTGTCACATGCTTCTGGTTCCATGAGACAGCAAAGTACGGCATACGGACGAATCGTTAGATCAGCAAAACAATTGGTGATCTAACGGATAACCGTATGTCATACTTAGTTGTACAACATAATTTCCCAAATTCTATTTATGTAACACCATTGCTCTTAGCATGAACAATACTGAAAACTTACCAATCTTGCACTTGATTTTTGTTGCATACAGGTTTTTTGTGGACAAAGTTCCCATAAGGGTGTTCAAGAACAATGGGGAAGCAAACAACTTCTTCCCCAATGAGAAGCCAATGTACTTGTTCTCCAGCATATGGAATGCAGATGAGTGGGCAACCAGAGGTGGGCTTGAGAAGACAGACTGGAAGAAAGCCCCATTTGTGTCCTCTTACAGAGACTTCAATGTTGATGGGTGCCAATGGGAAGACCCTTACCCTGCATGCGTCTCCACCACAACAAAGAATTGGTGGGACCAATATGATGCTTGGCACCTCTCTGATGCTCAGAAAATGGACTATGCTTGGATACAGAGAAATCTCGTTATTTATGATTATTGCAAGGATTCTGAACGCTACCCAACTTTGCCAGTGGAGTGCCCATTGAGTCCATGGGAATGAATATAGTAATGTAAAGTTTTGTAATCTCAATTTGGGAACACACCAAGATGTGTTTTTGTAGGTCATCATTGTCTTTGGCTGTTGGGTTTTTATTAAATTTATTAAATCAATTTTGTTCAATAAAAGGTTTAATTTAATGATTCATTCCTTTCCTAAACACTATATAACGAATTCCGAACCTTTATATTTAGAAATTTTGCATATATTCAAATTTCACAATATCTAAAACATTTAAGTAATCTAACCGTTAAACACATGAGCAAACTTCGAAAAAATATTTACAATTTATCCTCTTTCACTCTTTATGAAACCCTCTCTCATTCGTTGACCCAAAAAAAAACCCCCCTCTCATTCTTTAATTCAAAACAAAAATCCTCAATTTTTTTAGTTGGAAAAACAAAATAATAATCCACTAATAAGTTAATAACAACGTTACCATATGTCAATATAAGAATATTTCCTATTAAAAGAAGCGATAACATATTAAAGTCACACAATAACATATTAAAGTCACACACTACACGAATGTTAATACTCAAACCATGAGATTTCCTATTAGCTTTTGAATAGTCATAAGCTTTTAAACGTCGGGATCAGCGAAAGTTTCTATTAGATGAGCCAGCTCAAATCCAACGGTGGATATCGGCTGATTCAAATCCAACGGTTTGAATGACTTTTTTAGTCGGTGGATGGATGGTATTAGTCAATTAATAAATTCACGAGGTGTCAAATAAAACACCAATACGGTACGTTGAAACGCGAGACCAACGAACAGAAGACTCCCAATCCAAACCCAAACCCAAACCCAAGGGTACAATTAGGGTTTTTCTTTTCCAGAGTGAAATCGCAATTCATAGAACAAGAACAAAGAATGGTGTGCGAGAAGTGTAAGTTTCTTTGAATTCATTATCAACTTTCTGCAAATTCTTTTCTTTTCTTAAAAATAGGCGAAAATAGAGATTGGACGCATTTTCTGAGCTCTGATTGATACTTTTTGCCTAAAAGAATTCGTATTGATAATATTTTTGATAATTTTCTGAATTTCTTTAAGTGAATTTGTTAAATACATAGGTGAGAAGAAGCTTTCGAAGGTGATTGTGCCAGACAAGTGGAAGGAAGGTGCCAGTAACACCACCGAGGGCGGTGGCCGTAAAATCAACGAGAACAAGCTCCTCTCCAAGAAGAAAAGGTCCGCTTTTTTTAAATTTTATATAAATATATTTTTTGTATATGTGTATTCAGTGAGGTTTTTACTTGATTTTAGCATTTGAAGTAGAATTTTTGTTTGATTTCAGCATACCTTTTTTTATCAAATTTCTATGTTGGCTTTTGCTTGTGTTACTTCTTGGCATACGGTCATGAATTTTTTATTTATTTACTAAATTATAAGAGTAGACTGCGATCAAACTTTAGATTAGATAATATAGAGAAGGGAATTAGACTTGAAGAAATTTTCTATTTACTTACCTGATAAAGAATAAACAGAGGTTTTTCGTCGTATATTTGGAAATTGAGGTGTTGCAATAGAGGAGTTGTGTGGGTTATTGCAGAGACCAGAGATACAGAATATATGTACAGCTTCCAAATCATATAGTTGCAATGAGTTGTTATGTCAGTTGATGATTCATGTGTACAATAGCATTGCCATTTATTGAGTTGTTTGTGTGATGTATCACATGTGATCGCATCTCGCACGTAAGTTGTTAACTTCAATCTCATTTGTTTTGCTTGTAGGTGGACTCCTTATGGAACTACCAAGTGCATGATTTGCAAGCAGCAAGTGCACCAGGATGGAAAATACTGTCACACCTGTGCTTACTCCAAAGGTATTATTTCTAATTGTTGATCTAGCTGGTTTGTTACCTTTGGTTATTGCTGGAAAGTCTAATGTATGTGATGTTATGCAGGAGTTTGCGCGATGTGCGGTAAGCAAGTACTCGACACCAAGTTCTACAAGCAAAGCAATGTATAATGCAAGTCAGATGTTGTTGGTTGGCATTGTCTATTTGGTGTGCTGACTCATAGCTAAACTGTTGATTCATATATTTGGTCCCTCATCCCTGGACCCCTGGTCATCAAGCCAGAGCATACCATATTTGTAATTCAGGCTGTGAATGTTAACCTTTTAGTTATAACATGTACTTTGTTTAGTTTTATTCTTTGATCATTGATATTTACTCAAAGAAGCTAAGCTAAATGATTACCTCTGAGCTTTTGAATGCAAGTTATTTATTCTGAACATGCTTTTTCTTTCAGTTTTTGGATACTGAGATTTTCTTGGACATTGATTGATTTGCTGGAATCTGAATCTTATGCTATGGTTCATAGCCTGTGGCCCCTGATCCTGGCCTGAAGGCTATGGTTTGTGGTTCGCGAGTCACATTTAGTCACCGACATAGGGCGAGTCACGGGTGGTCATTGACAGAGGATTATTATCCCAAAGCTGTCCTTGTTTTGGTTAACAAATGGCAATATCAAACAATTTTAGATTAGCCTTATACAGTTTGCAAACATTCTAAAACATTCGTTTTCGGTTACGATTCTCATGGGTTAAATGGGTCTTAACTCAATGAAGATTTCTTTTGAACGTAAATAAAATAAAGAACCAAGACAAGAATGGAATATGTCGAAGAATATTATTAGATTGGCAACTCTTGGAACATTACTTTGTCCATTGATCTTATGTTCAATATTACAAATTGGTCCGGTTCCAACCGCAAATTCTGCAATGCAAGCTTGGGAGAGTTGAGATAGAGTCACACAACAGATTGACCTAATTGTTTATTGACTTGTCGAGTTTGTAGAGGACCAGTACTTCTCAATTTCTTCTGCTGTTCTTCCGGGAATCCTCCCAGCAATCAAAGCCCACCTATTCATAATGAGAAAAAGAGAAGGAAAAAGAAAAAAACTAACCTTGAGATATGCAAGCTCTTTGTTTTGTGCTCAGAAAGAAAATTACAATGCTAAAGAAGAAAAAGAAGAACCAACCTCTCTCCCACTAGATTGTACATTCTTATAATAAGTGCTTCCTCGTCCTCGGAGAATTGAAGCTCAGGTTCTTGTCTGCTTTTCTCTGAGATAAACAACTCAAAATCAACCACAGGAGTTCATGAAAGCCTTTCGTTTTCTCTTTCAAAACGAACTTGCAATAAACATCTGAAAAGCAGAGTCACAAAACCCTATTTGGCGGGCTACAAACAAAAGGAGAAACACAGATGGTAGGGAACAAATCGAAGGGAAAACAGTTTAAATCAAAACCCTTTCGTTAAAGAAAACACAGTAGAGAACATAAATGCCTATCCCAAACAGTTGAGACAAATAGGTACCTGTAGCTTGAGAGTCCGAGAAAGAGTCATCGGAAGAAGAGTGTTCGGAGTCGGCCATTTGGCATAGAATTCTGGGGAGGAAGTCAACAGGGTGCTGCTACTTTGAGGCAATGGAGCCGCTTAAGTAGTGATTTGCAATGCTAAGATATTTGGAAAGACAGGCTTGAGAGTTGAGACCAATAGTAGATAGATGGTGAATGGTTCTCAAGAAGCAAAGAATGGTAGTTGAAGGTAGGCATCTGTAGATGAATAGGAAATCCGAAGAATATTACGAGTCAAATTCATGACAGATAAATCCATATCTTCTCACTTTATTTTATCGGATGTCAATTCACCACATTATTTGCATGGTTCGAAATTAGCCTACCCTTGAATATTAAGTTGTCGGATTTGTATTAACAATTGGATGATCACTGTCAGTACAGACCAGCAGGATTGGATCAGATTCAGAACGAAATCGGATCAAAATTGAATCCATTGACATACTAAGTTGAATGGAAGTTGTGACCGCAGAACTATAAAAGTATCTTAACCCGAATCCCTGACGTACGGTACGGAGAGAATAGTGACAAGAAAAAACCAACACGGAACATGAGAGGGAGGGTCCGGCAAAGCTTTCTTTGAAGTTGAACCAACGAAAGAGAGCCTTTCATTCCGATCTAGTTTCCAGAAAACATGTGGTTTCTGTTTGGAGCTTAGCAGGGCCGTCATTGTCTGACAAACAAAAAGGAACACGACGCAACAGAGACTAAAATCGAATGACATTGACAACTTAATAGCTTGGTCCATTGCATTACTAGAATTCAGATTAGAAGAGAGTGATAAGTAAGTAGCAAACAAACGGATTGAGGCTTCCTTGAAGCATAGATTAGTTGTAATTTGATGGATCCTGGAACAAAATGCAGAGATAAAAACAAAAAGACGCTTTATCTTGGATACACAGATGCAGCAGATAGCCAAAGCACTGTGTTCATAATCCAAGCTGATACCAAGTAATCAATGTGTTGTGGAGAAGTACAACGACATATTTATTTTCAAGTAATCAATGTGTTGTTGAAGAACAAAAAAACCACACAATTCGTCCAAATCGGATATGGATAATAGACATAGACGAGAGTTCCCAAGTGTAGAGAACCCACCCATTTTGTTTTCTGAGCTGTCTAAGAATCGTTTGGATCAAATACTCAAGATCCAATATGTGTATCTGTCATCCTGCTTCTATCGACTGTTATCTTACATGAATGGCAACCAAGAAAAGACTTGTTGATCTCATAGGAAGTCAAATATATTATGAGGTGATATTGCAAACTACTATCAAATGATATGAGAACGGTGTTGACACACAGAACATACCCAAAAACATTACGAGTCTGCAAGTCGAGTTCATGCCTAAACCAAACCTTAGAAATTTGAAGTCCCCAAGTGGCTTATTGCGTAAAACTATTTAATCTATTGGATTGGACTTTTTCAAAAGATAACGGAAGGAAAACTACCAAATAATTATCTCAATAGAAAAATGCACGAGAATACTACTATCAACAGAAGAGGAAGAGTGTATTGCCAGGCTAATCATAGCTACCAAACATAGCTACTTTTAGTAATCCTGCAGTAATATTTCAATCTTCTGATCCCTTCACCATTCCTGTTTGCCTTGGGTGCGTAGATAACCACATCAAAGCAGAAAGCAATCTAAGCAATTTTGAAGGCAACGTTACACATCGATTTCGGTGGAGAAGAAAGAAGGGTCAGGGGCATTGCAGAGATGAGGAAACATTTTATCCAAATATTAGATGGATCATCAGCAACATCATCATTCGGATCAAATTCGTCGGGAAGTTCCCATCAGGCAACAACGGTTCTGCCTGACCCTACTTAAGCAGCAGGCATATTATGTCAGTGAAGACTTGGTGTGAAGCCTTCGAGCTTACATTAGAAGAGCAAAAGGCACGAAACACTCAGACGCAACATTTCTGAAACAAATAACTCCCATAGTACGCATACAAACAAATAATTCAACCACTGCAAACGATAAACAGGAAACAATATGCTACCCAAGTAGCCTTACCATCTGCAAATAGATCTTGCAAACAACAGATTTAACTCGGACAAACCACCACCACAGAGATCAAATTATTACGCAAGAACAAATTTATTTATTAAACAAAGAGTACCAGGAAACCAAACTAGATAAATGCCTCCCCAAGAGGCAGAAACAGTACCATGAAACTTGAAACTTAAAAAAAAAATACTTAAAGACATTGTTTTAAGGGAACCACAGAAACATTCATTAAAAGCAGGGTGACACCAGAGACTTCCACTTCCTAGAAACCACCACGGAGACGGAGGACAAGGTGAAGGGTAGACTCCTTCTGGATGTTATAGTCGGCCAGAGTCCTTCCATCCTCCAACTGCTTACCAGCAAAGATCAACCTCTGCTGGTCTGGGGGAATACCTTCCTTATCCTGGATCTTGGCCTTGACATTGTCGATTGTGTCCGAGCTCTCCACCTCCAAAGTGATGGTCTTCCCAGTCAAGGTCTTCACAAAGATCTGCATACCACCCCTCAGACGCAGCACAAGGTGAAGGGTAGACTCCTTCTGAATATTGTAGTCAGCCAAAGTACGGCCGTCCTCCAGCTGCTTCCCTGCAAAGATCAACCTCTGCTGGTCTGGTGGGATCCCCTCCTTGTCCTGGATCTTCGCCTTCACATTGTCAATGGTGTCCGAGCTCTCGACCTCCAAAGTGATGGTCTTTCCGGTCAGGGTCTTCACGAAGATCTGCATACCTCCACGGAGACGAAGCACCAAATGGAGAGTGGACTCCTTCTGGATGTTGTAGTCAGCAAGGGTACGGCCATCCTCGAGCTGCTTCCCTGCAAAGATCAACCTTTGCTGGTCTGGTGGGATACCCTCCTTGTCCTGGATCTTCGCCTTGACATTGTCAATGGTGTCCGAGCTCTCGACCTCTAGGGTGATGGTCTTTCCCGTCAGGGTCTTGACAAAAATCTGCATACCACCACGGAGACGAAGCACCAAATGGAGAGTGGACTCCTTCTGGATGTTGTAGTCAGCCAGGGTACGGCCATCCTCGAGCTGCTTTCCGGCGAAGATCAGCCTCTGCTGGTCCGGTGGGATGCCCTCCTTATCTTGAATCTTAGCCTTGACGTTGTCAATGGTGTCGGAGCTCTCGACCTCCAGGGTGATGGTCTTGCCGGTGAGGGTCTTGACGAAGATCTGCATACCACCACGCAGACGGAGCACCAAGTGGAGGGTTGACTCCTTCTGGATGTTGTAATCTGCGAGGGTACGGCCATCCTCCAGCTGCTTGCCGGCGAAGATCAGCCTCTGCTGGTCCGGGGGGATACCTTCCTTGTCTTGAATTTTGGCCTTGACGTTGTCAATGGTGTCGGAGCTTTCGACCTCAAGGGTGATGGTCTTGCCGGTGAGGGTCTTGACGAAGATCTGCATGCCACCACGCAGACGGAGCACCAGGTGGAGGGTTGACTCCTTCTGGATGTTGTAGTCAGCGAGGGTACGGCCGTCCTCGAGCTGCTTTCCAGCGAAGATGAGACGCTGCTGGTCTGGAGGGATGCCCTCCTTGTCCTGGATCTTAGCCTTGACATTGTCGATGGTGTCAGATGACTCCACCTCAAGGGTGATGGTCTTACCGGTAAGGGTTTTCACGAAGATTTGCATCTACAGGAACCAAAATCACATAAGAATTGGCTTCACAGTTTAAAGATCAAAACTTTTAATTTCGGTAAACAACTTGCAAATCTGCAAATAGATGACGAAAAAACGCCCTAATTTGGAAATGAATAAATCATAAATTAAAGCACAATCGAATAAAACACAAATCAACGGCACAATTTTTGTTCCAAAATCAAAAGACTACCAGGAAAAAAGTAGAAACTTCAACATCATAAGTAAAATTGACACATGGGTTTGAAGTTCGATATATCAAAAATCTTAAAAATCCCTAATTCGCTAAATCAATAGATCTAATCGCAAAGACTTCAAGATCCGTGAGACAGGATACAGAAAAACCCCTAATTTGTGAAACAGAAACATCGATCGTAGATTCAGGGCAAAATTATCATACCAAATTCCGATTTCCATTCCCAAATAGTCAAAAACTATAACTAAACATGCAAAACTATCAAAGGTATAAGGATCCAATCGATCGATCATAAATCTCAAAGATCAAACAAATGAAACACAAACTAAGCATTTCGATCTAAAATTTTAAAACAAATTAAACAGGGAAAGGAGAGAGAGACGATACCTTGACAGGCTGAAAAAGAGGCTTCGAGATAATTGAAGGGAATTTCTTTGAATGTTGAGAAACGAAACAATTTCAATTGTGAAGAAAAGAGGAGGCGGAGGCCTTTATTTATAGCAAAAGAGAAGGAGACTTCGTCACGGATACGGACTAGGCGTGAGGAGGAGGTCCACTGATTTGGCGACACGTATAGGAAAAGATGTGCCGCTGGCGCGGTTTAGACGGCAAAGTTTGGTATCTAGTCTCCTTTTGTGGGCTAATTTTGAGGTCGATGATGACCTCAAATGACTCTATCATTGGCTTGTATTGGTGCGTCACGGGACCCTCACGGCGTTATCTTCCACATTAATTATTATTACTTTTTTAGCCCTATGTTTTTCCGATTATTACGACGACTAATCCGCAATCATTCGGTAGGAGTATTTGTTTTTCTGTTTGCTTTCTCATCACGTAAATTTTCTTTTTCATTATCTCACCAATTCAATTTTAAAATTTATTTTGTGGGAATATGTACAAAAGCTGTTTACCAAAACAAATGGCGGCAATAACATACATTGTATAGAAACACTAAACATGATTATCAAAGTTATATTTTATTTGCTTAATTAATTAAAAATATATTAAACAACATTACCCATTTTAAAGTCATGCCAAAAGAAATATATTTTTATATTTCAAGTGGGGTGGGTGGCTCTTCGTTCTATGAAAGTGGGTAAATTATTGTCTCTTTTTTTGTTATGGCTTATTTATTGTTTCATTCCTTGTAACTCAAGATTGCTCTCACTTAACCCCTTGGAATGAAAATTTCCTCACTTTACCTCCTAAATTAAAAGATAGAAGAGAGAAGAGGGGGAGGGGGGTGTGGTGCAATGAGGGTTGGGTTGGGGGGAGAGAGAGAGAGGTCAGTTTAACGGGAAAATGAGACGGCGTTGAGAGGATGAGGTAACATTTGAGACGGAATGGAAGAATGAGGGATCAAGTGAGGAAATCTGAGTTCTAGGTGGTTCAGTGAGAGCGAATTCGAATTATACGGGTGAAACAATAAATAAGTGTTTTAATAATATTTGCCTTTTATTTTTTAGGAGCAAAGCCCTTTGGATTTTTTGGGCCTATACAACCCTTTATAAGTGGGCTTTTGTTCCTACGGTCCTACGGAGTTGGTATCGTTTTACGATTTATTATCTATATTGGTCCTACGGAAAGGGAACAACAAATAAGTTTTTTATTTTTGTTTTTGTTAGGGGTAATGAAATTTACAACAAAATACGAGTCTCCACACCCTAGAATGTTTAGTTAAACGCTGAATTTTCATTATTTCCAATTAAATTTGGATATATAAATACTTCAAAATCGAACTGAAAAAAAGGTCGCACATGAGGTGACACTATAGTGAAAAAGTGGGTCAAACTCTCATCCTCCTCTAAGTGCACTCGAATTCGATTCACATAGGAGATAATTTTGAGGCAACCCAATATAGTACTCCCCATCCCTAGCGAATTACCCACACAAAAAAAAACTAAAAAAACTAAAAAAGATCAAGTTGTACAAAGCATTTTTTGTTGAAAGTACTTTTATTTTAAGTATGTTCAAGTTTTTATTAAAAATCCAAATGCACCAAGAAAGCATGCACTTCCAAGTTTTTTTGTAAAGTTAGAGACGCTTTTGATTATCTCAATGCAGTAAAATGGAAAAATAAATATTAAGCAATGGGATTAGGAAACTCATACTTAAGATTAATTTGACACATAATCACAACTTATTCCCCATGCATAAAAATCATGGTACCTATCGAAATTGCACAGAAAAGATTAAGAGACAAGTTAAGGAAACATGTTCTAACTAGCAATCTAGGATCCACCGGTAACGCTCCCATTGAAAATCTCTATAGTATCACCCTGCCCAACTTGATGCCACCGAAACGACCTGTCGTCCTCCATCACATTCTGCTTATAGATGAAGAAATAGCTCTCTTGTGGCAAATGAAAGTGTAGCCTTTGGTGCAACTTCTGAAGCTCCTTTCTTAGCTCCCCTACATTATCTGATGGGTTCATTTCCACCGGAATTTTCTTCGTCCCGCACTTGGGCAACACCATCAGCTTTAACTTATTCCTCGACACCGCCACACCCCCACCCCCGGGACCACCCATTGCCACCGGTGAAGCCACCGCTGCCACTGCCGTTGGGGACGGTCTCAAGCTCACCTCGATCTCCGCATTGTCTGAAAGCTCACAATCACGTAAGGAACGATGATCTTGCAACTCATTGCCAAGTGAATGGAGCACCAAACGACCAACTGGGACAGCTTGATCCATCGCTTGAATTTTTTCTTTTAGTTTTGTAACGGTGTCGTTTATGTCCATTTCAACAGGGACATGCATTTTGGATGTGGGGATCTTCACGTTGAGCTGGATTTTCTTGGAGGGCGACGAGTCTTCCACCTTGACATTGTTGTTGTTGTTGGTGGTGGTGGATTTTTCGGATTCGGAGGCAACGATGAGTTGAACGTGAGAGTTGTTGAGGATCTCACAGTAGGCAACGTCTTTGTCGTCTTCAAGGACCTGGCCATTGAAGACTAGGGTTTGGTGGGGAACAGAAATCCCTTGGTATTTCTGGACCTTTTCTTTGATCTCCAGGACTGTGTCAAAGTAACCCACTTCAATGGTGAAGGATCTTCCTCTTTGGGGCTCAAAAATCACATCCATTTTCAATTTTTTTTCTTCTGTTTGTGTGTGTATATATGTATATATGTGTGCACGTAAAAGGGTGGCATAAATGAGTTGTAACTGTATCCGATTTGCATGTTGTTTTTAAAACTTAAAGGGATTCAAATTCTGGATTAATTAGAAAGAATCAAAGAACGTTATCCATTTATTATGCAATCTCGGATTTTCAGGTTTTAATATTTCAATGCTGTTGTTATCTACTTCCCCCCTCCTCCCTGCTCAAATCATTTCAAATTAAATTGTATCAAAATAATTATTTCGGTTTAAATGCACTTAAAATATTATGAAAGACGGTCCTGCAAAAAATTAGAGTAAAAAACTTCGAAATTGAAAAATAAAAAATATATATATATATATTGTGTACACGTGATTTTGAAGATTTATTCAGTCAAAGAAATTAATTACCTGTGGTTCCTTATTCCTCTTCTTTTCAACTTTTGATTACATTGATTTGAGGCAGATCATCGGAATATACAGGTCGATATAAGTTTGATGAGTAGATTAAGAACGTGTTTGGTATTTTCATTTTTATTTTTTTAAAACCGCGTCGTTGAAGCCTAAACCTGTTTCTGCAATTTTGCAAATTTGCAATTTTGTCAGCTATGAGCCTTAGAAAGGAAGAAGGGGAACACAAAAGCTCAATATGCTTGAAATTAAAATTAAACAGAATGAGCTGACGAAAAATAAATAAGTACATGGTAGTCAAATAAACACAAAACTTCATGACTCTTGAGTAGCATAGAGCTGAACGTGTCGCGGCCAAACTTGACCATAAACATCTTTCTTGTTATACCGCCGGTCCCAAGACCAAGGCACATCTGCTAAGGAGATGAGATGAAAAGACATAAGATGAATGAAATATGTGAATGGAAGGGTAATATAAATGTAAGAAACAGCAAGTTGACTGACCTTCAGTGGTGTATGGTTGGGGAGGGAGTTCATAAGGCACAGGCAATTTGATTACTTCAGATGATGAATCTGAATTCCTGTTTCCATGCCAATTCAGAGTCACAAGTGTTGTTCTCGATGCTTCCGAAGATTCTGGCCGTCCGCGTTTATCCTGAAACTCGAAGGAATTAATGTCTTTCTACTTTATTTTTGTTCCATTTTCTTCCCTTATGTTAATCTCTCAAGTGTGATACTAATAAAGTATTTAAGTAGCGTGTGTAAAACGGTTAGCATGTAGCTGTTACCTCTGACGGAACCCCATTACTGGTACAAGAAAATCCAGAACTGCATGTTTTAAACGGCAGAAACAGCACTCCAAGCTGTAATGAGCCACGCAAGGTGAATTAAACATACAGCACCAAAGCTTTGGTAGGAGCAGAGTATAGCCACAAGACAAATAATTTGTAGAGAATGGGCAATATATATAAAGACATATTCAATTGAAATATATCGTTTGATGTATTGACATCCTCTAGGTCCTCGTATGATTTAGGACCTGCAGTAACTTGTATTTGAAAAGCTTGACAAATTTCCCAACTCGGATGAACATCTCGAGTAAACCTCACAACAATGTATCTTCAACTGAGAAACTAACCTCATAAGAACGGATCATCAACTGTGAATTATTCTTCTGGAGAGCTCCCCAGGCAGCCTTGCTAAGATTTGCTGAAGTTAGCAAGAACCAACTGTTGGGACAATGTAGAAATTCACAGTTACTGCTCAAAATTGACTATGAAGGGTATGCTACTAAACATTCTAAAAACATAAACCCAGAAAAACACAATCAATAGGGTCGGAGATGAACTCTTACGCAAGTTTTTGACCATTGTAACGAGTGTATGTCTTTATATGTGGCATTGCACGACTGAAATGAAAAGGCAGAACTGTTAATATCAATTTATAGGATAACGGAAAAAAATGAAAATAAAAGACAATATTTGTGCGGGTCTTTCTGCACAACAATTAATCAGTTTCTTTAGTCAGATTTTCTAGAAATTTTCCACCTAAGCATTTCAGGGTCAAATATTTCACTAGAGAGAGAGAGAGAGCGAGACCAGCGGCCAGTATGGCGTGCCATCCATCTTGCCCAGTACTTTCTCAAGAAGTCTTTCTCCACATTCTTTTGTGGACTTGGAACCGCATTTCCAGCCGCATAACCCTGGCAAAGAGTGTAACCCACAAAAAAGCAGCATTCGCTTATAAGGTGCACAAATGAAAGCAAGATGCAGAATATATAATCTAAGTTACAACGCACATTCAAAGATTACGTGATAGACAGATGACTCTTTTGCCAGTTAATTGCTGAATTACCCCTATATAGTATTTCATTTAAATATGTCCAACATTCCAACTGTTTTGAAGAAATTGTATATCCCTAACCCAACTACATGAGGTCTATTGAGATTTATCCAGGTAAGGTCTTTTGGATTTCTTGCCCATGGTAAAAACCTAGAAACTTTGTGGAAGATGACCATATAATAGTAAAGCAAGGTCTATTGGAAAAGGTTCACAACAATGACCTACTTGATAGTACCTCTAGAGAGCATCTGACATCTTCTACTGTAGGCCATATTACAAGTGGCTCCCCAGGACCGAGGGGAGTTCTATCGTCTGATAAACCTGACGACATTGAAGACGCAAGCTCAGCCATCCACTTCTCATCCAAAGATCCTAGGGAGGAGAACTGCAAAAAAGCAAAGATCCAACATAATTAGAAAGCTAGCTCAAAATTAGATTTGCTATACTACTATTTATTTTTACATTCCACAAAGCAAAGCACTCGACAGCATAAAGTTTACCGCATTAGTCATTATTCCATTCTATATATCATGCAAGTAAAGAGACCAATAGATGAAAATCAATCGAAAATGCTAAGTCACGAATCCCAAAAAATTGGACAGAAATCAAATGCAATGTATCTATACTGATAGGTACAGAATCTTGGAGTAAACACATTGCTAAATTTTTGCACCTAATCAAAGAAAAGCACTCAGCATTGACATCGTACATTATATGAGTCAACCGCTTGTGTCCCCGTACCTGATAAGCAAGAGGAGATTTCCGAAACTCTTTATCAAAAGTGCACTCCTGGAGAATAGTGCGTAGCTTCATATGTCCCCACTTTTTCATGTTCGTACTCGTATGATATCCAGGGACAGATGCAATTAACCTCACCTGAAAATTATACACGTGGACGAAGATACTAACTTTGACATTATACAATCCCCAACAAAACAAAACCAATATATATATAAAGTTCAAGGAATAGAAAACACACTGCTGCATTGCTGTAATCAAACTTCTTGAAAAATGACGGATTGATTTTGAAGCTTCCCAAGTTAGGAAAATTGACAGAAAACTCGGGCCACTGTTGACAGTCAACCAACAAGATGAAGATTATTACGTTAAATTTGAATTAGCATCTTTAAAAATCAAAACATCTCGAAACTAGCGATATAAGGTAACAAAAAGGCAAGAAAACCAAAACAATAAATAAAATCAACCAATGATCCACATAAGTTGTTATATTAATACCTTAAGTGCACTGAGATAATCAATTAAGTCATTTTCAAATCCGCATCCTTTGCTTGGATTATTTTGATCTTTCCATGGAAAATCTTGCATCCACAAACCTTGGCTTTTGTTGTTCCAGTCAACAAATATTAAGTTTGCTGTGTGTACAATAATTCTCACTCCTCGAGGATACACAAGAAGCATGGCCTTGGAATGGTGCGTCCCAAATGAAATGGGCAATGGTGGTTTGTGTAGAATCCAATTTGCAGGCTTCTTTCTCTAAAATTAGGGGTAACAACTTAAGGTCCAGGTTCCGGAAGAAAGCATAACATAGACAGAGATTAGGCATAAATAGAGCTAATTCAGACCTTCATATAATCCAGTGTACCATCACCCTCACCATGAATAACCAAGACATGCGGGACTTTTGCAATTTTTGGGCATGCTGAAGTGGGGAGGGAAAGAAAAATAAAAACAATCAGAAGCAATCAGGGAAGAACAGAAAGGATGCAACCATGAAATAGCTTATGCATGACACAAAAGTAATATGCCATCAACCAGATTCAGAATATGCACAAAACAGAAAATATTTCTACAGGAAACACAATCAAGATGACAAGAACAACATACCAGGTATCAACCAATCGATGTCTACCATGTAATTTGAAAGGATAGCCACGACAATATCCCCCTACAACAACAAAAATAAAAAATCGAAGTAAATTAAATTCCCATCCAAAACCAAATATTCATAAAGTCAATCAATTTCTTCCAGAACGTTTGCATGCTGAATATGAACCTCAGGCGTGCACTATTCATGCAAAACATGAGCTAAAGCTTAAATATACTTCCACAAACAAATTGCCGCATCAAGCACACTGCATATGGAACCAACAAGTTGTTCCTTACAACAGGGTACAATGGTTACCTGAATCACGTCCCCTATAGAAACACAAGAGGTATTTGCCCATTGGGGAAGTCCTTGCACATTCAAAAGCCGAAAGGTCTGTGGTATTTTATCATTAGGAACACGAAAATGCTGTATGGCCTCCACTTGACCGCCATCTCTCTCAGACTGAAAATTCCCACGATTCTCAGCCCCCAAGCTGCTTCCTTCCACTTCAGCCTTCAAAGTCCAAAGTCGATAAAGAAAGCATTTTGTTAGCCTCTCAAAATCACATTTTCCATAATCATCAACAGCAGTTTAATCAATCAAACTATTTAAAATCAAAAGAGGGACACCTTAAAACTTGTATTGGAACCTTTCTCTTGGAGCACTAGCTGACGTGACCGTTTTCGGCTCAACTCCTCAACTTCAGCACCCTTTCCTCTATCGTTTGAACCCCTCTTATGGTTATGGACACCATGCGCATCTACATTTTCGTTACCAGACAGTGTATTATACTTGAAAAGATAATGCCCCGGAATTAGTTCTATAACATCACCATGGTGTATAGTCGCATTGTCTTTCGGAAACAATTTCTTCCTAGTATTCTCCGATTTAACAACAATGGGATTGGTTCCCTCCTATAATTGCAATATTAACGTTAGCAATCTATCTACTTCGGTTAAACAGTGGACTGGTTTGGAGGTTTAAATTTCGGAATTACCACGGCCAAAACGGCGGAAGCATCAGGAGAGGCAGTGAGAGTGAGGTGCTTGCGGCTAAGTCTTTTGTCGGAGAGGGAAGCTGTGGTGTGGCGGCCGATGTAATTTGGACCTTGGTTGAGGGGTATGTTGGGGATTGAAGTGTCTTCCTCTAGCTTGTCGTTGAGAGGAACCAAATATCCTATCTGCAAAGAGCAAAAATAAACATCTGCATCAGTAAAAATAAAATGATAGGTGGGAATTAGAAAGGGGTAAAAGGGTAAGGGAGGGACCAGAAGGCGAGGCATTGGTGCATGAGAGTGGCGAGAGATATGTGGAGGAGCGAAGAGGAGATGGGTAGATTTTACCGTTCAAGTCTTGAAGACAATGGAAGTGGAAAGCTGAAGAACAGTCAGAAAAGCTTGAAGCTTGAGAGAGATCATTTGGACTCGGTGGGGAAGAAGAACTGAGAGAGAGAAGCACGAATGTTGGCAAATTTGGAGGCAGCTCTCGGAAAATTGTGTACTGTTTCTGTTTAGAAATTCGTCACATGAGACTGATGACTTGTTGTTGGGCTCTTTGTTCAAAAGCCCAACTTCATTTCGGGCCCTCTTTGTCAGGTCTCATAGGACCAAATACATTTTGACCCAGCTTAATTATAGTCTAGCCGCATGGCTATACTATTATTAAAAATCGTATAGCCGCACGGCTATACTATTTTTACACGGGGTCACCCATTCACAAGGCGCTAGGCGGGTCCCATTTTTAATTTGTTTAAAATTATAAATCGTATAGCCGCACGGCGGCAGCTCTACTTTTTTTTACACGCGGGCTTCTATTCGTAAGGCGCTAGTCGAGTCCCCCTTTTTTATTTTTATAAAAATTATAAATAGTAGAGCCAGTCGGCTATACTAGGGATTTTTTTTATAAAGAAAGTATCGCCGTTAAACTATACTATTTTGGACACATGGGCGCTAATCGCTAGGCGCTTGGCGGTAGTTTTTTTTTTTTTTTTTTTTTTTTTTTTTTTTTTATTTTTATATAGCCGCACGGCAATACTATGTTGTTAAAAATTAGTATAGCCGAGCGGCTATACTACGGCCTTTAAAAAAAAATCCCGGCTATACTATTTTTGACACGTAATCACTAGCGGATCCTCCTTTTTTAATTTTTTAATTATAGATTAGTATAGCCGCTGGCTATACTACGGTTTTTTGTTTTATTTTTATTTTTAAATAGTATACTCGAGCGGCTACACCCAATGTCAAGTTGAATATCCGCCAAGTAGGGGAATTGCATGCTTTCATTTTATTATTATTATTATTTTCAAACTTATGTGTCTTCCAAGCTAATCGGAATTTCTACACAAAGAACGTTTGTTGTAACACCAACTATTACACAAATAATTAATCCATATACAATCAATGAGCATCAAATGGGAATTAAAAAGTCGTGAGTTCAACGGCGATTTTACCTCAAAGTCGCATATACGTACGTAGTAGTGTTTGTTATATAAATTATCCATATAATGAATCCCAACAAAAGAATCCATATCAACTTCGCCTTATAACTTTCCTCTGTAAAGGTTACAGAATACAATTTGCTAATATAGCGATTTGCAACTAGAGTCCTAATACCCTGCCTTCCATCCACCACTCAGCTATTTCAACAAAAATATTGGTTAACTCTTCCATGTATTGGTCTAATTTACCAAAAAGTGTCTTGTCGGTATTTCGAGAACATGAGGTAGCATGGGCAACAAAATTTGCTACCTTCTACGCTTGGATTCTTTTCGCATCTCAGCAAGGTAGTTCTCCAAGTTCGATTTTTCCCATAAACGTTTATGAATAAGATCTTCCTTTCTTGAGTCGTCTGAAAAACAAACCAATAAACAATAGGGAACAATAAGTATGAAGAACCTTTAGGGTGTGTGTGACAGTGTAGGAGAGCATGCAAAGTCTGGAACTCGCAACTCAAAACCATAATTACTTTATCAATTAAGATCTGAGGTTGCAGCATCTTGTATGGAAGGTTTTGTGTAGGTTCATGGTGAATGGTTAAAGCTTAAAACAAATAAAGTATGAAATAGTTGGTGCTCAGACATCCATCCCCTTTCACCACGATGTGATCTAATGGGATCGAATGTCAATGACCCTCTTTCTCTGTTAAATCCATATATCAAGCCCCATTAACCTTGACCAAATTCATAATGCCAATATAAGGAGAAAAAACACTAAAATTTAAACTTATATACCAAGATTTCTCCATGCATCAAGAGGCGCATTAAGGGATCTCTGTGTCAGGTAGGAGGCATCATCCCATGAATATGGCGCTTGTTTCACCTTGTATCTCCAGAACCAACAGCCACACCATAATAATAGCTGGATCAACAAGAAAAAGATTTAACATTACAGTAATAGTTAACGTAAAATCATCAACTCCATACATTACTAAGTAGACAAGAAAAAGAGTGGGATATATCAAGCATAAAGTACACCCATGGCCATTATTGGTTAGTACTGCTTATTTTAAACTTCAGCATACCTTGCCAATAGTGTAGGGTAGGAGTATGAAGCGGACAACAAGAAGATCCCACATGGAGGGCTGTTCAGCTCCTTTAATCTGCAACTCGAGTTCGTTACCGAGATCTTCCCCCACTTTCCTATGAAAACAACATCCGCCTTTCTTAACGACAAATTCAGAATCATAGAATGCAATTCCATGTACAATTGATTAATCCTCATGGATACATTATCAATTTTTTACAACCATGCATTTCATTATTTCTCTTTGAAAATGACTAAGAATTCATACTTGTTCATCTGCTTGTTACTCTTCTTCTTATTTGTAGTCCCCCCACTACGCTCAAGTTCCAAAGCCCGTAGTCTATTTTTGTAAGCAGGAGTCTTCTTGACCATGTCCACAGCCTACATAGACATGAAACATCAAAAGTGTCACGAATGATATGCATTAGCAGTCCTGTAAGAATCCACTAGAGTATACATGAGTCCTTATCATACTAAAAACATTTGCCATTGCAATAGCTATAGTACACTCCACGAATACAACAAGGTAGACAATAAAATCTAGATTTGGGAGTGATGTCGGCAGTCAGGACATGTGTACCAAAGGCATGTTGTGCAACTTGTTTAAGCCATAGAGTGACATCTGCATTTCAAACATTACTGCTTTGATACTCTTATAAATGTAATGTACACATTATATTGATCTGCCACAGTACCTGATTATACCTTGTCCACTGATTTAGATACTGAAATGCTGAAAGAATCAAAAGAAGGCCAACCAGGACAGCACGAGGATCCTAGAATGCGGATACACAAACAGTTTTAGAAACAAATATATGAAATTGGAGCTTAACCTATCAACTCGCAGAATTGTTTCTGAACCAGACAGAATATTAAGTTATGATTTGAACAATGAAAACTCTCTCACCGTCTTGTGACCGTAATATGCTTGATAGTAGCGGGCTGTATTGTAAAATACCTAACAAGCAAAATACACGGCAACCTTATTATCTATCACAAATATCTAAGCTCAAAGAATATGGAATCTTAACAACTGGAAGCTCACATTACCCATATAAATTGAAAAATACAGCATAATACTTACAAGAATTTTCTTCTTTCATGCAATCTCAATTCTTAAGTCTACGAAAATCGATAGAAAGGTTTCCAATTCACTTTTTAGCCTTTAATTCAATGTTCACTCAGTAGTTTATATATTTTACCTCCTCCGGATGTGCAATGGCGTAATCGTACTGCTCCCGAGTGGCCTCGTCCTTCAGAATCTACAATTTAGCAATTAAACTCCATCATCACTAGCACATGACAGCAAATGAAAGTCTAAAATAGCAATTGCATTCGAATCAATTTCCAAATTTGGCATCATTTCCTACAAAATTACATGATCCCAAGTACCTCATAAGCATTGGCAACTTTAACAAACAGCTTTTTCGATTCCGGATCCGGATTTTTATCCGGGTGACTGAGAATAAAACACCAACATGTCAAAGAAATAATAAAAATCTTGATTTAATAATTCCAGAGTAATTTACAAAGTGAAAAAGGGTGCAGACTCACTGTTTCAAGGAGAGCTTGTAATAAGCTTTCTTGATCTCCGAAGAATTCGCGCTCTGCGTAACCCTAGAGAAGCAGGTGAAAATGTTAAGTAAATATGCGATCAAGAGAGGGGTAATTTGGGAAGCAGTGGGAAAATTATGAGGGAGAGGAGCGGAGCTGACCCTAGGAGATCGTAGCAGTCATCCTCGTCGCAGTAGATGGCCGTCGACGTAGTGATGAGATGGCACAGCATTAGAGCTGAAACAACCGCGAACCACCGAATCGCTGCCGGTGGCGCCATGCTGTACCAACGGAGCTCTAGATTTCTCTGAAATCGTTTCCCGAGAATTGGAGGGTACTCTGCGTTAAGTGTTTTGAGGAAACCAACCAAAAACAAACAAACAAAAAAATATACGAAGGTGGTCAACAGATCTGCATTTCAAAAACTATTAGCCGTCGGATTTGCATAAACTCATCTTTGTATAGATGAGTAAACGACGTGTCGCTGTGTGAGAGTTGGCTCGGTTTGACCGCGACTTTGCTTTTCTTTTTGGAGAGTATTTTCCTTTTTGTTTTTGGCAATAGTGACGTTCAAAATTTCAAATACAATACTTCATGTTGTTGTTCTTTTTTTTTTTTTTTTTTTTTTTTTTTTCTTTTTCCAAGTTAGAAAGGGAAAGGGGGGAAATTCACATATACGAGTATCATAGGAGCTTGAACTCTCAGGACCATTTGGGAGTACACCAAAAACTTGGCCCAATTCAATTAACACTACATTGATATATACCATTAAATTGCAGCTACATGTTAAGAAAAATAAGAAAAAAAACTATTTCTTAAACTTTCCTACCCGAGGTTCTATGTTTAGTTCCCTTTCTCTTAATATCACTTGTATATATTCCTTTTAGAAGATGGAATACCATTTCTAAAGTTCACTTGGAGTTGGAGCGAGTTAAGGCTTTTACAACATGCTTGTGTTTCTTCTTAAGATTTCGTTAATCAACCTCAATCAACAATAATCAATCCTTCATATACTATTATAGCTTAGGGTTTAGCCATGCTTGAGGTTGATGTCATTGGATAAAAAACAATAAAATGATGATAAACAAAACTTGTTGTATACTTAAAACAAACACCCTTGATTAAAACCAGAATAAAAACTATAAACCCCTAATTACACTGTAGTCAATCAAAATTGACTTATTAACGAGCTTAATTCCCATGCCTAATATAAGATTAAGCTTAATTTCCATTGCCCCCACCCCAAATATATTTAGATAACCCTAATGATGTACTAGCAAAACTCATCTGTGCAGTACTAATGGCTTACCTAATTATTAATTATACAACAAACCTAGGAAGACCTATTTTGGAACCCAGCATTTTAACATCCTCTTGGACTTGCCGCCTATACTCCCCGAAGCTGAATTTTCTATACACCGAAGGCTCACGGCAGCTTTGTATCACAGTCTCATACGAAGGGCATAGGAAATATGCTGTCGAGAATCGTTCCACTGCCAAATTCGTGACAACTCGATGTTGAACACTCTTGTACACATTGTTGCTCCATGCCTAGACCAAAATAAAATAAAATAATAAAAAATGAATAATATTGAGAGAAATGACACAAGTGGGATAAGAAATGAAATCTTGATATATGTTTGTGTTATGTTGTCAAACCGAAAATATAAGTAATTAAATTGAAAGTGGACCTGAAATAAATCTCCGATGTTGATGATTAGGGCCGCAGGATTAGGTTTAACCGCGATCCATCTCCCATCCTTGACCAACTGCAGTCCTCCAACCTGGTCTTGATGCAAAATTGTAAGGAAGTCGCTATCAGTGTGTGGCATCAACCCATACACCTCAGAAGGGATGGGACATGGTGGATATCGGTTCAATCGGAGATAGCACGTGCTGGGCAAACAATTTGCTTGGAAAAATGTCGACTTGTGACCCAATTTCTCAGCTAAAATTTCAGCCAAGTTCAGTGCCAGACTTGAAACTGTTGTAGCAAACTGTTCCATTGTCGAGCTGGACACCCAAAATCACAAGTGCCCACGTGGCATAAATGAGTATGATGATGGTGAAAACGAAAAAACAATGAGAGGCAGAGAGAGGGAGAGAGGCCATGCATGCATTACGTACAGGGATTTGATATCACAAATCAACAACACAAGGAGTGAGTTCAATAATTGGCACTTTTCTGCAACACAAGGAAAGGTATGGTAGCTAATTGGGACAGCAAGGCTATGTAGCTATCTGTAATTTTGTCCCATGACAGCAAGGAAGCAATTCTAGCAGAGTGTCCCTGATGGTTCCTACAATCTAGAATAAATGAGATGATGCATTGCACACTCTAGGACGTTTCACTGCAAATTGCAAGTACTGAGATCACAAGATCTCTGCAACTCATTTTGTGGTTCCTAAAGCAGAAGCTGACGCTTAGCTACCGAGCAGTCTGTTTCATCAACTTTTCCAATTTCCATGGACAACCGGTAACTAAATGTGAAAAAAACCAACACCACAACATAAATTACCGATGCCAAAATATTGACATACGCAACCGCTTAAGAGTGGCAGTATTACAGTATCACACAATAATTTCTCTTCGAGATACAGATAGCTGTATAGTATCCAATTGTTTATTGGGTCGTTGGTTCCTATGGTTTTAGTGGATTCCTATTTTCCTACGGTAGTTTTGAGGTTGTAACAAGTAAAAAGCACGCATTACAGTAATTAACATATAATTATCTGAATTAGTAAGTAATAATTATATATACCTGAGATTATAATCGAGACCAGCTGCTGATGAGGTGGAAATGTCTTTGAGTGGAATGTGAAACGCTTCAGACCAAGCCAATTGTCTTAGGCATGTGGCTGAAGGCGTTCCCCAACGGTAACTACCGGCAGAGAAATTCAAGTGCTTGTCCTCCTGACTCTTCTTATCAAACGACTGCTTGAACACCTTCTCTTGCTCAATCTTCATCTTCTGAAGCAGCCGACCAGAAACCCCATGGTTCACAACCTGAAAGAAACCCCACTCTTGAGAAGCCCTAGCTATCTCTGACTTGCACTCTTCCCTTTCCCTTTCTCCGAGCTCCAACCTCCGCAGATCGATCAGCGGCAGGTCGCATTCCTTGACGATGACAAGCTGCAGCATGTCCTCATGGTCCTTGTTGTTGCTGTTGCTGTTGATTCTATTGGCGGTGGCCTTGTCCGCGGTTTTGTCGAAAAGGGTCTTGTAGGCCTTGTGAAATGGTGGGTCCGAGTCCATGATGCTAATTAGAAATTGAAAGGCATGGACAAAGTGAGAGAGAGAGAGAGAGAGAGAGAGAAAAAAAAAAAGAATTGAAAGGGAATGTTATGAGAGCCGGGAAGAGATTAAAAAGAGAAAGATGGACAGCAATTAACAAGTGGAGGGTTTTTGGAGATGGAGACAATGAGAAAAGAGATTGAGACAACGCCGCGTTCTATTGTTTCTTATGTTCCCTTCGTCGTCGATGAAAACGTTATGGCGTTTCCTTTTCTAAGTTTTGGAGTCTACACTGGAATTCTATGTCCGTGTCTTTTTGCTATAGGCACCAGACATGGAAGTTATCTATTTCATTTTAATAAACTTGGTCCTTCTCAATTGTCTTCTCTCTCGGACCCCTCTTTAGATTAGAGAAATTAAAATAGTTATCAAACGAGCTCTAAAATTACCATGTGTTTCAACTTTATCGACTATGAGCTATGGACAATCATATCAGCAATATATCGACAATAATATTACTGACTAATATCGGCATTTTAAAAACAGACAAAAAAATTGTAGTTAATAAAACTTTTAATCACTATTTTCCATTAATTAAGCATGTCCCTTGATAATAATATGATGATAATCTGAAGAATTTCAGCTTACCTTATTAAAGGCTGTAGCCACAGGGAGCTGTCACGTGGATTTTCCTCAGACCTAGGATTTTCAATCTTCTCATCAGAAACGATCTTAAAAGAAAATTGAACGCAAATATACCTTCCGAATAGAAGAAAACAAGATTGTGGTCGTACTAATGCGTCGACCACCGACTATACCAAATTCCTTGGGCCCATATATTTAAGCGAGGCATAAATAATTTGCACAAGATAATACTTGTTATCCCTCACTCACTACAGGGATATGCCCATATCTGGTTCTAATTAAGCAATACAAAACAGTAGAAATCTTGGAAAATAACACGGGATGAGAGCTCATTTAAGCACCATCAAAATAAAAAAATTTGAGTTTACAAACCCCATTCTGCACCTGTTCTGGAACCTTCAATAACATCTCAAGACGCTATTAATAATATTCCTCCTTTTATCATAAGCAATGCGCCACCTCTAGCTAGCTACCGGATTCAGTGATATATATGAAATTGCCTGCATAAAAAGAAAATCAAACTTCCAAGTCATAACGTTGTAGCTCGAGATTCAAGAGTCAAAAAGCCCTTTTTCTTTTTCTTTTTAAATCTCGGAATGACAAAGTTTAAAAATAGCAACACTATGCTTAGACCATAATCACGTGATCTGATCTGTGACCAAGTCCCCTTGGCTGTGGCTAACATTAATACAGGCCAAAGGTATATCAGTGGCCTGAAGAGGTTTTCTAATAGCGTGCTAAAAGATAAAATGGAGGTGACTTGCATGGCAATATTAGTGCGGGGAGATGTTGACACCCCACTTGTTTGATAGATTATATATCACATAAAGACTATGACAAACATGTTGAATACAGTGGTTAATTGGGATGGGAAGAAACCAAAAGCAAGAGTACAAGGACAGTGAAAGATCCAAGCAAGAAAGATAAGCTCAAACTTGTTAGAAAGAAAGATAAAACACATAAATATCATTAAAACAAAATCTATGTGATGCTCTTCTTACATGTATGTAGGATGGAGGCGAACGAATTGATGCAGACGTTGGCTTTGAGAGAAAGAGAGAGGCAAGAGCTAGTGGTTGGTCCTATATATATATATATATATATATATTAAACTTAAATATTAATTAGTTGGGAAGAGATGGCTTTTACAAGGAGGAAATCCCATCAATCGTCCTCACTACTTTTGTATAGGCTGCTAAGAGGATTGAGAATTTATGCCTAAGAGAAGAACACGCGGCTCATAGTGGCATCAGATAAAATATGTTGGACGTCGGCCCTCCTTTTTTTCATGCATGTCACAACCTGGATTCTCAACCACACCAAATAAATCTAAATGCATGATCGTCAACTAGCTACTTGTTCTCTTGGTTGTTCATAAGTTATGATAATAATTATTCTATTACGGCATTTAAAAACTCTAAGAATTATTCTTTAATAATTAGTTAAGGTCCTTAAACGAGGATTCTTAACCGTTAGATCACAATTTCTCGACTAATTGTTGAGAAGATCACATGTCACGATCGGGAACTTAATAATCTAATTCAATTAAGGCGCATCTCAACTTACCCCGTTGTTTACTTATCTAATTAATCTGTCATCCGTACTGATATTTGCTAAGAAAGTGTATTAACAATATGCATATAGCACAAAGGATTCTAGTTCCTAAGTCCATACCTTTTAACAATATGCATATAGCGCATAAGATAAAACATACTTATCTGAAGGTTTTTGTGTGAGTATACATGACAAGAGAGAATAATGCAACCTCAATTGAATGTTGAGAAGCTAGGATTCAATTCAGATGTAACTAGATTAGAATTGTATATATCAAAATTAGCCTCTGTTTTTGTCAAATTATTGAAAAGATGCATAGAATTTATCTTGTCAATCAAATTGAGGATAAACACATTTTTCTAATAAAATTGAGAATCGAATCGACAAGATTCTATGCATCTTTTCAACAAATTGACAAAAATTAGATAAATTTTCATACATGAGGCCAAATATATTGAAACCATGATGGAAAACTACTTACTTATTTTAGAGAACCAAGAACCGGTCTTGACTTGAGCTTCGAAATTGCTAGATATGATCACCAAAAATCAATTCTCTATATACGTCCTACATTGTTCCACGTTTGACCTGTAATTCCAAAGCAACACCTCCTAAACTGTCAATACACACATATGGAAATCTATGGTCTTTTCAAAAGCTCGTGCATAATTTAGCACACAAATCTCAAAAGGAAAAAGAGTGAGTTGTGTGATTTTGTGAAGGTCGATCACTTATAATAAGGAAGAGTGCAAAAAGCTAAGAATGGTGAAGTGGTAGCCATGGTGCTCAATGCATTTATATACCTAATATGAGGTGATTTCGTGAAATCATATAATGCGTTTCAATCAACGGTTTAGAGTTGTCTACACAATTGTGGTTGATATAACTTATAATTAGTCAATGAAAGTGACGCTTGCGTGACGAAACAAATCTTAAAGTTGCTTTATTACATATATTCCATTTCTAAAGTTAAATTAAAATTATATTTTATTTAATATACGGAACATAGTACTATATAAGCACATGGAGATTTTGGAGTATTATAAAGATATTTTCCATTTATGGCGCCTTGGTAAAGTGAAGGAAAACCTATTTATAGCGCCGACATGATTTAAAGGGAAATGTAGACGAAAGGGACATGGAAGGAGAGACTTGGAGGCAGGACAACCAGTAATCAATTGAGAGAGAGAGAGAGAGAGAGAGAGACAGACAGACAGAGACAGAGAGAGTCGATGGATGGATGGATGGATGAATTTACACCAATTGGATAGTTTCGCTCAAACTTTAAATTTAATATATTATAAGAAAAATATCTAACTCTCTTCTCTCAAAAAGAAAATGCATGATTAAAAAAGAAAAAGAAAAAAGGGATGGAAGTGTAACAAACAAGACAGGCAGAATCAACTGGACCCAACCGTTCAACTGTATTTAACCTCTGATGATCATGTCGGCAGAAACGTGGCAGAATCTAGAGTCACAAGCTCGATTTCACCATTATTTAACGTCGACATATATACAAATTAGAATGCAGGCAGGCAGAGCAAGGCCGTGCATGTGCAGTGCCTAATTACATATATGAATCGAAAAGGATACAGAAGACATATGCATGCCCAGTTTCTCCTCTCTCTCTCTCTCTCTCTCTCATAAATACATACGAATTTCCGAAAAAGAAATGCCCTTTCGGCTCCTCCAACCGATCCAACAGTGCAAGGACGGTGGATGATGCTGCACTAAATATCAGATCAGTAGTGTTTAGGTTTGCTTTGCAACTGTGCATGATATCATTTGTACGTAGACAGTGGGATCAACATCAAAGTGAGTGAGCGAGAGGTGGGATGTGGGGGGGGGGGAAACGTCATGTCGTTTTTGGAGGCATTTTACTATCTAAGATTCGCTTCATTTCTTTCAATCATTACGACTTTTTGAGGCACGCCCAACCCTAGGGTCTCAGATTTTGATATGTGATGTTGACTTTCCGCCACGTGGCATCATCATGTGTAGAGAGAGACCGGGACCCATCCTCAATTGCCCCCCATTATTATAATGTCATGTTTGTTTGCCATTGCTCGCCCTACTGCATTATTGGACTCTTCCTGCCTCCTTCTGCATGTTGCAGCGCTTCTTCACTGCTCCTCGTCAAGTTTCCTCTGCACTCTCTCTTTCTGAGTGACCCTTGGCTTATCATTGGGACAGACATATTAATGATGATTTGTTTGTGGAAATACAACCTCTCCTTTTAATTACCCAATCAATGAAAGATAAGAGGCGCATCAGCTCATGGACTTCAAAACTTTCCATCCAATCCAATATCTATCAACTTGTTTATACCATATCTGACCGGCCACTAGTTTCCTGACACGTAAAACATAAGACTCACAAAAGAGGCCCACGAAACTCAATTCAGATATTGAGGCCCATAAACAACCATCAACAGTAAGTTAATCTTTGATAACCTAACCTACTGATCCGGCTCAAGAAGGTACTTGCCACACCAATTGAGTAAAGACAGGTGGCAGCCTCTCAGACGATGCTCACAATCCCACATCAAAATAATAACTCAAGATCCAGCACTTTGGTCCTCTATAAACAGGGCTTAAGTCCCAATAAACAATGTAGCAATGATTTTGGCAAATTAGATCTTACTTCGTCCAATTCATTACTCATTTCGTTCTTAAGCCAACTCAAGCATCGGAGAGCCTTCGGTCAGTACATAAGATCTTACCGTTGCTCTTTGTCTTGCAAATTATACTACATTTGTCGAAGGGCCTACGAGACCGAAGGCATCACACTTCTAAGTTGGGTCCAATAATGATTATTAATTTTTGGGCATCAACACAACTCACTAACTATTATAGCTTTCCAATTATAAAATCATCAACTTTAATAAAAATAGGTATATCGCATGAGATATGTGAGTTAGACTAATTAATTAAGGTAACATGTCCTACTCATTCATTTGAGTTAGATCCACTCCCTCGAACATTAAAATAGTTTCGAATATCGCATTGTTAGAAGTTAAAAAATCTATGTTAACCAAAGTAGCTGACTGCTAAAGGAGACCCAATCACTACATAATTTATTTTATAGTCCATACAGGATACCGGGCCTCAAGCACCACGTCAGCAGCATATTATACCCCCAGTCGGCCCAACGGCCCGCACACCCAAACAAAAATAAAAATCCAAAATGGAGAACGAATTAAATAATAAAATTAAAATAAAATAATGATTGCTTCTTCCACCTTGAGCGTTCCGAATCTCGGTCTCGCACCCAGAACCAGTTATGCAAATCACCAACCAATACTCAAAACTCCAAACGCCTCCGCTTCCTCCTACGAGCCGCAGGCTCGAAAACCCAAGGGTAGCTCTCAACTGACTCGATGGTCCAGGGCGCGGGCCATACGCTCGGGTCGGAAATTGGACCGCGCGGGCCAGCGGACCCAGTTGCTGGAATCGAATTCTCCGGTGCAGCCGAGAGAGCGCGTCTCGCTAGACGTCAAGGATGATACTTCAACAGGAAGCGACAGCGAGTATGACGTGGAGATGACGGCGGGGAAGTCGATATACATGGTTTCTGACGGAACTGGGTGGACGGTCGAGCACTCCGTGAACGCGGCGTTGGGCCAGTTCGAGCATTGCTTGGTCGATCGGGGCTGCGCTGTCAATACCCATTTGTTTTCTGGGGTAAAGTTCAATGCTTTTTGGTTTTTAATGTTTGCTATTGCCTTGTACTGAATCTAATGCAAAATTGTCATGTGAAATTGGTCAGATTGATGAAGTAGAGCGGTTAATGGAGATTGTAAAGCAAGCAGCCAAAGAAGGTGCCATGCTTGTGTACACATTAGCTGACCCATCAATGGCTGAGTCTGCTAGGCATGCCTGTAAGCATTGGGGCATACCAACCACAGATATGTTGGGTCCAATTACAGAGGCCATAGCAACCCATCTAGGCGTGTCACCCTCTGGCCTTCCTCGTGGGGCTCCTGGCAGGAGCTTTCCTCTTACAGATGACTACTTTCGTAGGATTGAAGCCATTGAATTCACTATCAAGCAAGATGATGGGGCATTGCCCCAGAACTTGCACAAGGCTGACATTATACTTGCTGGGGTCTCTCGTACTGGGAAGACCCCGCTGTCGATTTATCTAGCGCAGAAAGGTTACAAAGTGGCAAATGTGCCTATTGTGATGGGGGTTCCATTGCCAAAGGCCCTTTTTGAGGTTGACCCAGAAAAGGTTTTTGGTCTCACTATCAATCCTCTAGTGTTGCAAACAATTAGAAGGGCAAGAGCTAAGACTCTGGGATTTAGTGAAGGAATGAAGAGTAACTATTCCGAGATGGATCATGTGAGACAGGAGCTGGAATTTGCTCGAAGGATTCTTGCACAGAATCCTGTCTGGCCAGTAATTGGTGAGAATATTGCACTTTTCACATCTGTGCTCATATCAGTTTGGTTTTAGTATGATCTTGTTGGCCTGTTTCTTTTAAGCTTCAATTTGGTTGAGTTAATCATCCTGCTCATATTTGGTTGATTGCAGAGGTAACAGGCAAAGCAATTGAAGAAACTGCTGCTGTTGTACTGAGGCTTTATCATGACCGGAAGCACAAGTGCTCAATGCCAAGAATATCAAAACGTTATTAATGATAGAGGAGAGTTGATGCTAAATGGTAGAGAGAGCTATCTCATATTAAACCAAGGAAGTGCTTTCTTTTGTTTGAATCAAGCATGCACATGTGCGTCTGAAGCAAATGCTACAAGTCGTTTCAGAGTGTACATGTTTGTTTGTCACCGTTTGCATTGTATCCTGATGAATTTGCAGTAAATAAATAAATATTTCCCATTGTGGCTTTCATCACCTTTGGAGGTTAGAGCCAGATGCCACTCTATTTGTTTATTTTTTTGGGGGGTTTGGGTTCAACCATGATTACATTCACATGATAATGTAATATCTGAGGAAGACTGTTTTGTTTTGTATTTGGGCTGGATGTTTGGACCATGATTGAGTACATTAGAATGTAATGTTTTTTATTTGTGGGCTTGTGCATCCAATTTCTAACGTTAGATCTCTTAGCAAACCACTGGATTCCCAATGGGCCATTGTTTTATTTGTATGTCCTTTTCAATGGAATGCCTTTTTGGGTTGGTTTGTTTTGTTATCATATTTGATTCTTCATCTTAAATTCTAGATTAACCTCTAAATATGTCATTTCTATGACAAATAATTTTGTAGTTTAATATATCCTTGACTTACTGGAATGAGAGGCAGAGGGGGAGAGGCGCAATAAAAGCTGTAACTGCTACCATTCCTAGATGGCCTAAGCAAACCAAACTCTTTAAAGAGGAGGATGGGAGGATGGGAAATTACCTATTACGGTACCTAGGGGCAGATGAGGGCGGGTAAAGAAATAGACTTTCAGGGGGGCAGGGCAGATCAACAAATGAACAACTATAATAAAAGACGTATTGCGAACTTCACACTTCAATTTCAAAGGTGCGTGTGGAAATAAGACTTATTGCCAACTTCAAAAATCCAAGGCTTGATTCTGTGGAATTTGGGATGGATGACCCTTCCTGTTGTTCTCATGACATGACTTGTTTTTGGCTTATTGATGTGGTTTTCATGTCAATGTTAGGGAAAGAGCCTTCCACAACAACCCAATGCACTCCTGGTCCTGGACTGCGAAACACTTCAAGTGCGCATGCGTGAACCACTAAGCTATTATTATTATTATTATTATTACTATTGCTTGCAATCTAATCTCACATGGAAGCCACGTACAACAAACGAAAAGGGGCGGTTGAAGTTGGATTGCCAAAAGAGCAAGCAAAATAAAAGGCAAAGGGGAATGAACGGAAAAGGATGAGGAGGAGGCCAAAAAAGTGACTTTCTTATCATCCACTAAAGCTGTGTAGAGAAACAATATTTTACAAAAGAACACATCATGTGTTTTGATCTCACCCATCTACATTAAAAAAAGAAAAGGAAGGAAGATTCCTTCTCCTTGTCACAATGCAGTACGACGTTGTCATCACTACTAAAATTCTGCAAAAAGAAGTTTGGTTTCTGTATGAAGACAAGAGTGGTGGGAGGTTGTTAGCTTTTTCCATCCTTGGAACTAAATCATCATCTTTCTGTTGTGTAATCTTGTCCCAAATCTCTCATTAGAAAGAAGCCGCTTTTTCGAGTAGCTACTTTCCCATGTCTTCCATCTTAAATTCTACTACAAAGTACACACATTATGTCACTGCTGCCAATCTAGACTTTCATCTGCATTGTACTTGGCAATTGAAAGGGTGAAGTATATCAACAAGATTGTTCCAATGCTTGACCTGTCACCACAAAAACATACTTGCGTCATTGAGCCGAAGAGGGGAAGCTTCCGTTGTAAGTTGTAAGTATAGACTATTTAGAGAGAGATTAGAAAACTTACATGGTGGCAAAGAAGAAAAGAACCCTCTTGGGGTCGATGGCCCAAGATGAAGAGCGCCGGAAACTATTTCTCCGAACAACACATCTGCCATCAGTGGTGGTGCCAATGTTGGCTGCTGTGACGGTGATTTGATGATGGACTTGCGGGTTGCTCGAATGATCTATGGTCCCCATAGCCAGTGGGGACTTAGGCGTGCTAGATCCTACAGGAGCAGCTGCAACTCAATAATTCCATACCAAATTGTGCACACATAATATGTTAGCTAACTAGACTTTCACCACAAAATTTCCCATAATGCTGGTTCATAACTGCCTACGGCCCCAAACAAGGAATTAAAACAAAAGGGAAAAGATATACAGTAATATGTACTTTTACCAAACATCAAACTGCACCATCTAGTTGACCCAGCACTGCTTGTATCTCACTGTCATAACTGCAATTTGTGATAAGAGTGGGTTCTACTTTGAATTATGGCTGTGGGTTCATGTTTATCCCAACTAATTTCCAACTAACAAGTTTGAATTTTTTTAAACAAATCAGTCAGAAAACTTAACCACCCTTCAAGAAGATGCTCAAGGGCACTCACATACATCAGCACATCAGATACAGTAAAAATATTATTAATATAAATAAATAAGAATATTTGAATGATAAGGCAGGCCAGGTGTATGGGAGTCACCCACCTCAATGTGAGGCTGGTACAGGTTGGTGATAACAATTATATATTACAACAAATGTGGCACACACTAAGGTATGGTCAAAATTTCCATTTTGTTCTTATTGGTTTTATAAGTGTCTCGCATTTTGTTTCCAGAGTCTCATAGATTGCAGGACCATCAAGCCCAGATGGGCAATTGAGCAATCACTCTCACACACAAAAATTATCAATCTTTTACCAAGCTTGTGATAGTTTATTACCTATAGAAAAAAATTAAACAATTCATGGTTATAGGTGAAGGAAATTAAACTATTATTACCTAAGGGTGAAGATGCTCCCCCAGCCAAAACATCTCTATCAGTTGAAATGGCGTTGTAATTTATCTTCTTCTCCACATCACGCTGAGACCATTTCCGAGAAAGATTTCTCTGCATCTTTATCATCATCATAAAGAAATTATCAACAATTACTCACCACCATCATTTTCCATTGACCTTTTCTTTTGGGGGGCTTTAAAAAGAAAAATACAAAGAAGTGTAAAAGCAGAGTTGCAATGAAAATTTAAAAGAGACCAAACTTGCAATGATGATGCTTGCTTGAGAAAGACATTCGATTACAATGGCCGCAAAGTTTAATGGAGGGGGTATTATTACAAGGTTATCTCAGACATATTGGTTTTCCATTTCAAGAAAACCATGATTAACTGAGAGATTAGCCATTAAAAATTGTCACTTTTATGATGTTAATGGAATGTAGGAAATAAAAAAGAAATAAAAGAAATGCAGAAGGCGCAAACTCTTATGAAAATAAAGAAATTAAAAGAATCCCATTAGATAAATGAGGAAGAACGTACCGAGACTCTAGAATTTGGAGTAATATCTTTATCGGTGGCATGGGAGAAGCTTTCCATATCAATGACAAAGCTGTCAGACTTATCTGCTGTGTAATGAAAGCCGTTTATATGATCGGAAACTGAGATTTTCTGGGTACCCATTTTTTCTTCTAATCCATAAATCTCTTCAGTGGCAGCCGAATCCTGAACAAAATCAAGAACCCAATACAGAAACAGAGGCTCTGTAATTCAAAATTGTTCTGGAAATTTGAAAACATATGCCGAACAGTTACGAAGGACTCAGAGAGCCCAATGGAACAGTTACAAGAATTGAATGGAGCAATTTACAAGAAAGAAACGGAAATGAAAAATAAAGACAGCCCAGAGAGCTAGTGCTTACCAACTTTGGATTTTCCGCCATTTTCTGTCACTTTTATAGGAGAAGAAAGCAGCCCGAATGAGAAAGAAGCAACGCAACAGAGAAATGGAGAGAAGAAAAGGTCGTATCCAAAGCGTTATAAAATTGCGTACCGAATGGGACAATCACCAGCAACCACCTGATTGTCATATAAGAAAATGAAAAAACAACAAAGAAACACCCAAATAAGTCAAAACTCGAAGATTTAACACCAATAAAGAAAATACCATATGAAACAAAGCCCGTGAATTGTAAGGAAGAAACTAACTTGGTAGATAAAGACTGACTTTTGTTTATTGGGTTTTCTTCCTCCAACTGCCCCACCAATTGGTTCAAAGAAAATAATGTCTCAGCACAGAGCAGACGACGTAAACTCCCAGAAGATAAAAAATGACAGTCTTTTCTTCTTTCTTCAACAAACAAGACCTTGATGAGGAGGCGGCCTGAAGGGCTTCACAATAATACAATTCTGTTGCCAAAAGCGGAAGAGAGAGAAGAATTTTGGGTGAGAGGGAGTGGGAATGTGATCATGTGGGACTGTTCTTAAGAAACTGGCTGGTGCTTTTATTTTATACGATCATCAGCCTGAGTTGGTGTCTGATTATAATTTATAATTGTAGCAGGAGGATACGTTTTGAGTATGCAGAATAAAATTTCATTTTCTTGACCAATTTGGATTTACAGGGTGGTGGGGGAGATCACAAGGGGGCCAGTCCATGGTAAATCCCCTACACCCACCCCCAAATTAATAGAACAAACATCCTGTCATGTTCCGCTAATTCTGGTTGTGTGGATTGCTTAATCATTAATTAAACAGGACAAAATGGTTTTAATTTCTAGTCCCTTGTAAAGCTATCCATCTTTGATTTCAAATTTCGATGGATATTTGCTAAATTATATCAATCTGATTGTCCCTCTCAGCTCAATTAGTTATACACGACAAGGATTGATGATCCGTATAGTAAAGGTCACATGGATTATCCCACATTAAAATCTAAACTTTGGAAAATTCTAAAAGCCATAACTAAAAATATAATGATGAGTGACTTTCAATGTTATAACACAGGTGGAGGTCTAGCCATCTTTTTTCAAAGGGTCGACATTCCTAAACTACCTCGTGGGGATTTATTTTTTTTATTTTTTATCAAAGAATGAACATTTCATTGAAACATCACTGTCATAATACAATTGAATAAAAAAATGGGATTTCGGTGATAGAAGTGTGGCATGGTTAAAACATTGCTTTCAAAAAGCCCCAAACGGAGGAATGTATAGTAAAATCTACAATTTAAATTTTGAAACTTACTAGGAGGCGAGGAAATTAATAATTCTTGATAATTCAATATGTGGACAGCTTTTAATTGTCTTCCCAAACTATGAGTTGATTAGCATATAAATTTATTTCAAAATTTACGACAATTGAACACATATAATTATCATTTATAGAATAAAAATTGTTGCGTAACAATTTGTAACGTGATTGTGTATATAAAGACCATAGATAAGATCAACATTCTTCTTTCCAAATCGACACAAAAAGAAAAAGAAGAAGAAAAAGAAAAAAAGAAAGGAAAAAGTTGTCAATTTACATGTGATGACGTGAAGGAGACTTTTTTGGCACTGAATCAAAGGGAAGAAAACAAAACTATGGCTCTATAGTTTTTGTTTTTATTATTTTCTTTCTTGTTTAATTTTGTTTATACCATTGATATTAAGGAAGTAAATTTGAATATTAAATTTTAGAATAAGAATAACTACTGTTAACCACTTGTATATACGAGGCGGCACAAGCCGCCAAGACCAACCCCCCAAGTAAATGTAAATGTAAATGTAAATGTAATACACAAAAGCCTCATGCCTTTTGCTTTTGGTTAGGAAAGAGCACATGAGGATCGACATGCAGGCAACCTTCCCTAATTAACAAATGCAAATTAAACATGAAAGTGCATATGATGAGGCAAGCATGGTGCGGCGCCATGTCAGGGAGGCTTAAAGCAGCAGTATTATCTATTTCTTTAATAGAAATATAAAGCAAAACAGTTTTTAACAACTTAATTATGTTCTTTTAAAATTGAGAAAAATGCTTGTTAGCCTTTTTATTTTTATGGTAAGAAAAAAGTCAAAAAAGACGCATATGTGTGAGCCCCAAATTGTTGTCTTGTTTCTTTTATGTTCTTTGGCTTCTGCTTTCGTTTCCTTTCAGTTATTATGAGTAGAAAAGGAAATCATCACCAATTTGAATTTCGTTTGTGCAAAACCGGTAATGATCACAACATACATTCTATTCTGTTCTATGTCATCTTAGATGAATTCTCAGCAAAATTTGACCCCATATGTTCCCATTGCTTTCAAGTTTTGTATACCAACTTGTAGCAGTTGAGATGACAACGTAAGATTTCAGTATTTTGTGATGCTGGCAGCCTCAGATAAAACAAAAACGGCTTCAAAATTATGTACCAAAATTTGACATGCAGAGCTCTGCAAATTTGAAGCAAATATCTGTGGTGCCTATAAAGCTACCACTGTGGCTGAAATAAACCAGCTGTATGCATCCTCGTGCAGCTTTCACATTTTGTCATTTGAGATTAAATTCGCTTTGATTCTTTTTTGACAACTTGTAACACTTGAGAAGGACGACCTTGTGTTTTTCAGTTCCACAAACTGCAGGCAATGTCAGATAAAACAAACACAGGATAAATCCCCCTTTTTCTACTTTGACATTTTGGGCAGCTGAACTTGATCCCTTGCAAAAAAGACGACATGGTGGTCACTATCTAAATATAGAAACGTGACCATGAGAGTAAAACTACTACTTGATATTTTTCATTCACTCTCCTTTATTTATTCTTTAGTTTGGTCCCTATATCTCTCTAGCTAGCATAGCAACTATCATTGACGGCTGTGATTTGCACCAGAACAATCTGGTTTTGATTCACTCCGACTCATTAGAAGAATCGAAGCAACGCGAAGCAGAGACCGAAAAAGGATGAGGCTCTCAAACGTTTATAGCCAGAAGTGCAGAATCAAGGTCTAGCCTTAGGCATGCTATCCTTATCTCATTGTAAGCCATGGTGATGGTTTTTCAAAAATGATGCACACAAAAAATTAAAAATCTGCACTGTATTGAATTAAGGTATAAAGTTGCTTGTCATTACTCATTACCCAAATTAAGAGAATGAGGAGGGCAGATATTGGCTTCATTCTTATGTTACTAGCAATCAGGTCCCCATCAATTTAAATCTGTGGGAGTTCTTATTTCTCACCAAATGGTCCATTTTGCAGAATGTGAAAACCGGCACTGAACTGAAATCTACAGTATAATTGACAAAGAAAGAAAGAAAGAAAGAAAAAGAATCATGCCTTCCATTCGATGTTTAATCATGCATGCCTTCATTCATAGGATCAGAAGTGTTGTCCAATAAATATTTTTAAGTCCAGAATCGTTCTCTCTGGATTATCTTCCTAATTAATTTGGTTCTGAATCATAATGTACCAGTGTCCAAATATTGTTTATGCAGGCACATATATCCAGGCCAACTATCTAATTATATGTTATCCTCAATGGTTGGTGGTGGAAATCCACCACCTGTCTATTGCTTGGTGATCTTAGCCAATCACAAATACACACATGGGGTTTTCCATTTTCTTTCCCAATTCATTTCTTTGTGCCCTTTGGAATCTCCTCATAATGTGAATGAATGAATCATATCAAATCTGCTTTGCTTGGTGGATGGTAGAGAAAAGAAAACTTGTGTAATAAAAAATGGTCCTTGGTTGGATAATATTGGATTGCTAGGGTACTTCCATAAGCAAAAGGTTAAAATTTACATGATGTGGTGGGGTACAAACAATATCAGCAATCAATCAAAGTAATCGATAATTACATGACCAAAAGCATATTTCTTTTTCCTTGCTATTTACACTCCTATAGTTTTAGTGAAAAAATAATTACTTCATGTTAAGGAAAGAGGAAAATTTTAGCTGATCTCTCCCTCTATGAGTTCCAAAGAACAACTCCGTAGAGATGAGAGGAGGAAGAAAAGTTAAGTATGCTGATGCGATATGTACATTTTAGGGAAGATGGGAAGATGGTGGTGGGGACTGGTGAGTTGACAGGAAGGGAAGAAAGGGAAGATGGGGTTTGTTAAACCCTAAAAAATTTAAAAAAATTTTAAAATCTGTTTTTTTTTATAAATTTAATTTGGATTTTAAAGTTTTTAATAGCTAAAATTACTAAAATGCACATGCCACGTTAGCATAGTTAACAGTTTTGTTGATGGAAATTGATCGAAGATTTTTTGTTTTAGGGGTTAAGTGAGATTGAGCGCTCGTTTCAGGGGGTAAAACAGTAATTAAGCTTTAATTTAATACATATGTCAAATAATTTAATATAATATATACCTATTACTATATTTCTAGTAGGCCTATATACACATAACATTATTATTAGTAGGAACTTGTCGAACTCGATGATTACAAGCATCAATAATAATGGAGAAGAGAAAGAAGATGGCCAAGTTCCATAATAATTGTCAACTCTTCCATGAATATATTGTAGATATTATCAGTACCTGGATCATATATACATGTGTGATCCAATAAAGCAAGATCTCTCAAAAGATAAGAGCTATAGCCGTGGCCCTGTCTGCTCTTGGCGCTCTGGCCATCAAGGAACAGACAAATGGCTGGCGGTTGACTGATGATGACTCTACCATCAGCAGCAGCAGCAGAAGACTACAGAATCATCTTCCTGTATACAAATGGTGTGCATATAGACGTTTTCATCAAAGTTTCTTTGAAGCAACCAACCATATGTTATCCGCTCAAGAAAAAGAACCGTTTATGTTTGAAGTTATGCAGAAAAAAACAGACAAAATCATAGTTAGCTAGTTACCGACTCAGAATATCATGTTGCATGCAGACAATAAAAGGGACAAACATTCAGAAGTGACAAAGTTCCAATGCATTTGAAAGAGAAAGGGTATAATATTGGTGGGCTCGCGTACGATTTGTATACTGTTGAGTTGTAGTAAATTGACAACTCTCGTGCGTCATCTTGGACATAAATTAAGGCCTGGACAGTATCTCACTAGTGGAAGTTAATAATTACCAGAACTGAATGATGAGCTAATTACATCAAGTTCCTATTAAATCATGTTCATGGGCTACCTTGTTTTGATTGAGAGGAGTTTGCTTTTGCTTTATGTTTCTAAACACTTAGGTCTGATTGATCCTGTCACTGATTCAACACTGTTGCAAGGAACAAATGATTAATTTTGCTAAGCTAACTCATATATTTTTATTACTTGGATCGTTACCACCCACCCACCAATGATGCGTACGCCCTTTGTTTTCGTACTGACAAATCACTTTATAATATATAAAGTTTGGGAAATTGGTAGCCCCTCACCACCACACAAAGGCTCCCTGTGTGTCTGAAATTTGTACGAGTCATTTGCATTGCATTATTTATGGCTCCATTTGCATTTGTATTTGCATGCAATCCATTCCAAACATGCATTTGAATAAAGTTGAGATACATTAATTGTTAGCAATGTCGACCAATCTGGATCTCTCTCTCTCTCTCTCTCTCTGTGTTGTGTGTGGGGTTTTAAGTTAACATATCAAGCTCTGTCTTTTGTTGCTTGCCACTGATTAAATCAAAAGATTAGATACATCCATTCTTTGCGTGTGTTGATGTAGACGGGAAGAAGATGCTCTCCGATCCTATCCCATCCCATTTTCGTCTCCCTCTTTTTTGAGGGCACACGTATTCAAACTATGACCCACGGGCCATGGCTAGGCCACGGGCAGATCAACTATATATGAATTATTCATTTTTAAATTTTTTTAAAATTAATTATATTATACTTGAGCTACAAATGAAAGTATCTCTGAAGTTAATTCAAGTGACTGATTCAAGATATTATAACAGAGAATTGAAGATTTTGAAAAGAATATGGTCTTGGCTGAACTTTGTTGGGCTTAAGTGTGAACCAAGCTTACTACTTGCTCAATAGTGGGTCTTGCCTGAACTTTGTTGGGCTAAACTCCAACGGGCTGATGGATGTGGTCACATTTTTCAGTCCATCAACAATCAAACCGATCCCAGTTTTATAAGATGAACAACATTAACGTTAAACCATGGATTCCGAGCCCTCGTTTAGATATTGTGCATTTACTCGTATTTCGCGACAACAGTGTTAAATTGTAGTTGATTAAATGGATGGGTGTTAAAAATCAAAGTGTCGTATCTTGGATCGTTGGATTATTAGAATGGTTTAGATCTCGCAAAATGTAGATAAATGCACAATCTTTAAATATAGAGGCTCGGAATCCGTCTTACTATGATTGGCTTTGAATCTCAATCTCAATCCAGCATGGTTAATACTAGCTGGCGTGACAAGAAATGCAAAATTTAAAAATTGAGGGACACATTCAAACTGATAATACTTAACGACATTCTAACATCCAAACCATGTGATGTGCTACTGGTCGTATATCATAGGTTATTAGTAGAATGTGTCTAACTAACATTAAGGCGCGCTCCAAGCACTCTTACGTGTCCATAAACTTAATTATATATGATTTTATCACACAACCTGTACATGTCCTATATAGATAATTTAAGCAATTCTCTAATATATATTATCTTTCAGGACTTCAACTAGAGAAGGATAATAAGTTTGCCTCAGCAGCACCACTACTTAATTACTAATTAAACAAAGAGATGGACTTTGTTTAGCAACATCACATGCTTTGTATTATGTTAGGGGTCAACTGTTTTTTGGAGCCCTCGAGGAAGGACTCATCCATCATGCAGCTTGATGCTTTTATTCAATGACAATGGACGTGAACCAATAGGGGTTTAACAACTTAATCTTGAAATATTAAGAATTAACCTATTGCTAATTATAATTTATATGTGATGTGAGGCCGAACCGGCAGACATGTGAGGCAACATATTATAAATCAGTGAAATTAAACAATCAAAAGTCAATAGTGTGCCAAGTAATATGACATGATTAGCGGGTTCGTTAGGACGTCGAAGCTTATATAAATATGTATAAGTTGGTGTCTGTGTTTCAGCACAAGAAATAATCACAAACCCTTGAGCTCGACATGGCTACTTCAAAGCTTTTGTCATATCTCTTTCTCCAGCTGACCTTTTTACTTTTCGTCCTTGACCTTGCAAATGCGCAGGGAGGGCTCAACGTCGGGTTTTATGCAAAGTCATGCCCCAAAGCTGAGGACATTGTGAAGAAAGTCATCTTTCAAACCATATCAACTACACCTTCACTTGCTGGACCTTTGTTGAGAATGCATTTTCATGATTGTTTTGTTAGGGTAAGTATATATAACCAAAGAAAGAATGTTATCTATTTCTTTTAATGCAACTGATATATACCACTGGTTTTTTCTGCAGGGTTGCGAAGGTTCGATACTATTGAACTCTTCCACCAACCAAGCTGAAAAAGATGCAGCTCCAAACCTAAGTCTGCGAGGATTTCAGATCATCGACAAAGCTAAGTCTGCTTTAGAAAAGGCATGCCCTGGAGTGGTTTCATGTGCAGACGTCTTAGCCATAACAGCTAGAGATGTGGTTTCCGCGGTACTAAATCATATCATTTTCCCTCTATTACATTCCATTGAATTTGTAAATTTTGCTTTTAAAAAGCTAATGTTCATGATGTGATGACCTCAGCTCAATGGAGCACACTGGAACGTTGAAACAGGACGAAGAGATGGTAGAGTTTCCAATATAACAGAGGCCTTTAGGAATCTACTACCACCCACTGCAAACATTACTATATTAAAAGCAGGCTTTGCGCGAAAGGGTCTAAGCGCCAAAGATCTTGTAGTGCTATCAGGTACCTAAACAACACAACGTATATATGCATAAAACTTCAGTTTTTACTAACTATATTATGTTCATGAAACAAATTTAACTAAGCTCTTCTATGTGCTTGCACTTATATAAGGCGGGCACACTATTGGGACGTCTCACTGCACTGCCTTCAGCAACCGCCTTTACAACTTCACGGGGAAGGGCGATACCGATCCCACACTGGATCCCAACTACATTGCAAGATTGAAGTTGAAATGCAAACCCAATGATCAAAAGACTCTTGTGGAGATGGATCCGGGGAGTTTCAAGACATTCGACCAGACCTATTTCACTCTCGTGTCCAAGAGAAGGGGTCTCTTCCAATCCGATGCAGCTCTTCTTGATGACAGCGAGACAAAAGCTTATGTTCAAAGTCATGCTGCCGCTGTTGGAAAATCTGGTTTCTTTAAGGATTTCGGTGTTTCCATGGTGAACATGGGTAGGATTGGAGTTCTAACTGGTAACGCAGGGGAAATCAGGAAAGTTTGCAGCAAAATTAACTAAGGTTTTATTAATTTGAACACCAAGTAAGCCAAATAAAAGGATGTATATCTGCCTCCATATATATATATATATGTATTTGTGCCAGTGTATTAGTTATTCATGATTATTTTCTTTCTCAAATAAATGTCTAGTTAAGATTTGGTATTGGTGGTGTGAACTTCTCCGGATCCGGACGCCATTATAAAAATGCATAGATAACATGTCAGTTCCTTTGTTTTTTTGGTGATAACGGACATTGGCACATTTGCCATTGATCTCCGGACCACAGCAAGACCAATATACAAAGATACCTAAAAAACAAAAAAAGAACAAAGTGCAAATAAACATTGGATCACCAGCTCACAAGATTCCTTAGTTCGTATCTATACTTTTCACAATCCGTAGGAAACCTTTATGGCTTCTTCGGATACAAGTCTTCGTATGTAATATGGTGATGGATGATGCATTATTTGTACGTACATTTCATAAACCAATTGATACAATACATACAACAATGTCAGTTATATTCTTTTCTTTCTCCCTCCTAAAAGACCCAAAATGCTTTAACCTCCCTTCACTCTTCCCCGCCACCTTCTTCACTTCATAAACATTAACAAACCTCTCCCTCTATCCTATTCATCAAATCCTCCCCAAAACTTCCCTGCCAAAAATGCACAACTCCCCCGACCGGTTGCCGATCCAGTACCCCACCCCGGAGCCCCGACGCATGAAGCGTCAGCACACCCCCCGGTACTACGCCCACCGGGTCCGTGAAAGCCTCACCACCCGGGTCTCCAAGCTTTTCTGCACCATCTTCTTGGGCCTCCTCCTCATTCTTGGCATGGTAGCGTTCATTCTATGGCTTAGTCTACGTCCACACCGCCCAAGATTTCATATCCATGCATTTACGGTTCCGGGTTTGAACCAAGAAACCGGGTTTGAAAATGCTGTGATCACATTCAATGCCACGGCCCGTAACGCCAACCATGATATTGGTATATACTATGACTCAATGGACGGGTCGGCTTATTATAAGGACCAGCGGATTGGGTCAATCTCCGGGTTACTGCCCCCGTTTTATCAAGGGCCTAAGAACACGACGATCGTGGCTGGGTCGTTTACTGGGGCTACCTTAACGGTGAATAGCCAGCGTTGGATGGAGTTCATCAATGATCGTTCGAGAGGAACGGTCGTGTTTCGACTTGAATTTTCGGCTACGATTAGGTTTAGGATTCAGTCGTGGGATAGTAAGCGCCATCGGATGCACGCCAACTGTGATGTCGATGTGGGCCAGGACGGCTTGATCTTGCCCGTTTCTAAAGATAGGAGATGCCCTGTCTATTTCACCTGAATTTGGAGAATTATTATTATTATTATTATTATTATTATTTTTCATTTTTTAATTTTTGCATTTTAACTTATGTTTTTATTTCGTATGCTTTTGGGGGTTATAAAGGGTTTGGGTTTGCTGTGATTTCCTTGATTTGTTGTATAATCTTTCTAAATTGAATGGTTCAAAATTATTTATTTTTTTGTTTTTATACAGCGATAGTTTAATATACGACCCACAGTCATGGCCAACTAACCTAACTAGCGTCTGCACCTGCATCTTGTAGGCATTTAAAAATAGTATTCTTTTTTCTTTTTAACTTTTTCTTCCACATATGCTTTCCATGTAGAACACTTCTCCTTTTGTTTTGATGTTAATCTTTTGGACAGAAAAAAGTTACAAATTCTCGAGCTTCTTTTGCCAAATCATGGTCTGCATAGTCCTACAGTACTGTTCAAACCAGGTCGTGATGAAGTTTCTACAAATGGTGATTGCGTGGGGTCGACTGGTTTTGGGTTGTGAAGTTCTGATGAATGAATGCTGACCATTTGATTAGTCGTCCTCGTCCATATACTATCTTAGCACAGTAGCACTAAAGGCTTAACGAAAAGCTCATTTCAAATGCAACAGCTTCTGGTTTAACAATCATGTCAGATCCAAAACCCTAGTATATCAGAATATAGATATGATTTGATATGATGAGGGGAAATGAAGATGGTAATCTTAGACATGAAATCATAATCATGATCAAATCCAATTCGGGTGATGTTTATTAATTGGGTTGCGCCAAATGATCATGTCATTCTTTCTTTATACATATGGGATAAATGAGGGGAAATCAAGATAGTAATCTTAGACATTAAATCATAATCATGATTAAATCGAATTCGGGTGATGTTTTGCACTACATGATCGTGCCATTCTTTCTTTATATACCTGAAAAACCTTCGCATTCTATCGTTTTATTTTCGGCTTCTCGGGTGGAAAGTGAAATTAACCTAGGTTTCCAAGGATCAACTCGTGGGCAATCAAATGTATGAAAATTTCACAAACTCTAGCCTACTGCTTTAGTTTCCCACTTATTATTTTCTGCTCCAACAGCAAAGGCTGAAACTCCATTGAACTCACTCTAGGAGGAAAAAAAAAAATCCTCTTGTAACTTACTACACAACTTACCACTTTTGCTCCTTTCTTACTGCAGAATTCACCTCTTTTCTCCCTTCTTCTCCTTCTCAAAGTGCAGCCCAATTCATTTTAAAAAATCACAAGTCAATATTTTATCAACAATTGGAAAAAATGTGCGAGAGCAAGAACTTCTACTGCTGGCTCCTAGAATTTTCCGTACTCCTCCTGCTTCTCCTAGCTCTCTGTCTATGGCTGGCCATACGTCCAGAATCCCCTAAGTATACCATTGTGGATATCACCATCCCAAAGTCCGATATAGACAGTGGGGGTCAAAATGGCTCTATCATATACGCCCTTGAAATTGAAAATTCCAACAAAGTCTCTAGTATTTACCACGAGGACACAATTTTGAGATTCTATTATGGGTCAGAGACTGTTGGGGAGAAAACCATACCTTCTTTTCATCAAGGAAGAGGAAAAACCCGTCAAGTGACTGATTCTGTGGATGGCAACCCACAAGTTTGGAAAGCTATTCGCAATTCCATATCCAATGCAACTGCAGAACTGAAGGTGGCAGTACTAACTCGGGTTCAATTTAGAACATGGGGAGTGAAGAGTAAGCATCATGGATTAGACTTGCAAAGTCAAATATCGATTGGTTCAAATGGTAAGATTTTTGGTAAGACGAAGAAAATTAAGCTACACCGTGCTTCCAAGAAATGGAGGAGAAGGAATGATAGACGACGATCGTTATACTAGATGTTGCAAATTTAAAATATAGCTGCCTAAATTTCATGGTCTTGTTTATAATTTACCTGATTATTACTGTTACTGTAGCAGAATATCCAATTCGACAATTTGTCTATAATCTCTAGACTCTCAGCAGATGATAATGTACATTGCAAACTCATGCAAGGGATCAGTATTAAAAGGTTGAATAAGTTTTTGGCTTATGCTTTATTAATATAAACCAATGGACCTGGCGCAAACCCACTCTAAAATCCCTCCAGAATTCCAGAACTTTTACTTTTACTATATTTTATAAGGATTAAAGAATGAATCGACTTTACTTCATACTTATCTGTTTAAAATCTTCACAGCTGATAAAATAATGTGAAGAAGTATCAGGTTAAGGTTGTTTATTCATGTTCGTTTCACATTCACACTTCTGAAAGTAGGAGATGCCCTGTCGATTTCACCTGAGATTGGGGAACTTTTATTTTTACATTAACTTGTGTTTATATTTTCGTATGCTTTTGGGGGTTATTGGCTTTGGATTTGCTTACTGACCACAAGAGCTGTGATTCACTTCATTTGTTGTATAATCTTTCTAAATTGATTGAGGAATTTTAGTGCGATCATGGCTGACTATAATATGTGGACATTACTATCGTGTATTATGATAAACAAAAGTTTAACTTTATATCAGGGTGAGCTAGGAAGCCCTTTTAAGCTTTTATTTGCAAACGATGGTCTAAACTACTATAAATTAATTTAATCTACGTGCATAGCAACTCGAACTTGAGTGCAAGGACGGTCCACTGCCCTAGCCAACTGACCTGACCCACGTATTCCATATATGCTTTCCATGTTTCCTCGGATGCAAATGGAAAGAACATTTTTAAATGTTAAAAGTTAATCTTTTGGACAAAAAAAATAACAGAATCTTAAGCTTCTTCTTCCAAATCATGGGGCCTCCTGCATAGTCCTACAGTAGCGTTCAAACCAATTATCAAGGATAGCGTATATCCTAAACATGAATCTGATCATGCACAATCTCGGAATCTCGGAATCTCAACTCTTGATCCTGGTTTGGTTTCTACAAGTGGTGATTGTGTGGGGGTCGACTGATTTGGGTTGTGAAGTTGCGATGATTGCTAACCATTCGCAACTACTAGCCCCAGGCACAGATTCTGTTTCATTGAACAAACAATGTCGGATCCAGACCATAATATGGATCCAAAACCCGATTAAATCGGAATATAGATATGATTTAATATGGGATAACTGAGGGGAAATCAAGATAGTAATCTCAGACATTAAACCATAATCATGATCAAACCCCAATTCAGGTGATGTTTATTGATTGGGTTGCACTAAATGATCGTGCCATTCTTTCTTTATACACCAGAAAAACCGTCGCATTCTATCATCTTATTTTTGGCTTCTCTGCTGGAAAGTGGAATTAACCTAGGTTGCAAAACTTTGGTTGCAGGTTAGTCTCCCAAAGGAAAACTAATTCCAGATAAGCATTAAAGCAATTACATCCTACACAAGTAAAGAATCATGTTCCTTCTCTTCCAAGGATCAACTCGTGGGGAATCAAATATATGAAAGTTTCACAAACTTTAACCTAACGCTTTAGTTTCACACATATTACTTTCCGCTCCAACAGCAAAGGCTGATACCCCATTCAACTCACTCTAGAAGAAAAGAATATGTCCTCTTGTAACTTACATGACAACCAAACACCCTTTGATATTCCCACTTTTGCTCCTTTCTTACTGCATAATTCACCTCTTTTCTCCCTTCTCCTTCTCAATTAGTGCAACCAAATTCATTTAAACAATCAGAAGTCAATATTTTATGTTCAGTCCTAAAAAATGTGCGAGACAAAGAATTTCTACTTATGGGTTCTACAATTCTTCGGCCTCCTGGGTCTCCTAGCCCTCGTTCTATGGTTGGCCTTACGTCCAGAATCCCCTGAGTATACCATTGTGGATGTCACCATCCCAAAGTCCGATATAGACAATGGGGGTCAAAATGGCTCTATCTTATACGTCCTTGAAATTAAAAATTCCAACAAAGACTCTAGTATTTACTATGATGACACCATTTTGAGATTCTATTATGGGTCAGATACGGTTGGGGAGAAAACCATACCTTCTTTTCATCAAGGAAGAGGTAAAACCCGTGAAGTGACTGATTCTGTGGATGTCAACCCACGAGTTTGGAAAGCTATTCGCAATTCCATATCCAATGCAACTGCAGAACTGAAGGTGGCCGTACTAACTCGGATTCGATATAGAACATGGGGAGTGAAGAGTAAGCATCATGGATTACACTTGCAAGGTAAATTATTGGTTGGTTCAGATGGTAAGATTTTTGGTAAGAAGAAGAAAATTAAGCTACGTCGTGCTTCCAAGAAATGGAGGAGTACTAGACAACGATTGTTATGCTAGATGTTGCAAATTTACAATATAGCTGCCTAAATTTCATGGTCTTGTTTATAATATACTGATTATTGTCCCTACTGTTACCATAGCTGCCTAAATCTCTGCAAGGTTTTTGGCTTATGCTTTATTAATGTAAACTAAGAGCTAAGAGAGCTGGCGCAAACCCACTCCAAAATTCCGGAACTTTTACTTTTACTATTTTTTATAAGGATTAAAGAATGAATCAAATTTACTTCATACTTATCTGTTTAAAATCTTCACAGCTGCTAAAATAATGTAGATTCAATCTTATCAAACACTGTTAAGAAGTATCAGGTTAAGGTTGTTTGTTCATGTTAGTTTCACATCCACACCCTGATATTGTAAGTATTAAACGTACAAGACTTATCGTTTCTACTTTTGGTTTCTGTTGTTTGATTACAACAGTTCAATGCATGAAGCAAAAGGTGCTATCAGCAGTTCATGAGTATAGGAACACATAGTAGAGCAGTGAACAAATTGCATTTATGTCTAGATCACAATCCCTGAGTAGTTATCTTTGCTAAGCGCAGTCCCCAGCAAAGCTCATAATAACAGTGCAAGGGTTTAATAACATAAGAGTGAACCTGAGTTTCCTTTCTAATGATTCTAACGGTTCACCTTTTTTGATGTTCGACAGTAGTTTGCAACTTGTCTTCGCCACTCATGGACCGGAACCTGAAACACAACCAAATTAAGCTAATTAGAATATCAATTGGATATCAAACCCAAACATCCAACAATCACCCTGCACCAACTACATTATTTTTGGTACGCAATGCATGAAAATAATTTCAGAAGAAAGTACAAAGATGGCACTTACAGCTGGGAAGCCACCATAATCTCCAGGTTCTGTAATATCTTTCGTGACACAGCTAGTAGCGGCAAGTCGTACCTGCAAAGTCCATGCAATAAGATATTCAACCATACTCCTAGTCAATTAAAAAATGCGAGAGCATGAAAAGAATGAGATAAAATAACAATGGAAAAATGAAAAAGAACGTAAGATTCTCGGGCTCTTCGAACCTTCAAAACCGAAATGATATTTAAATAGAAGACTGAGTTCTTTCACAAGTGACAAGTCATTACTAATTTAGGCTACTAGTAGATTGGGTCATTTTATGTAAGCAAACACCTTTGATACAATGGAGACATGGTCACGAACTGCTACCCTTCCCCCCATAGTTACATAGTCTCCTATCCTACAAGACAAAAAAGAGAATAAAGTCATTAGACTGGCAGATTTTTTGGAACGTTGACAAATTCATTGAAGTGAAACTGAATCATATTCATATACCATGGTGAACTTTCTAAATCCACAATAAAAAGGAAAGGGAAAGGAAGGGGGAAGGGAGAGAGAGAACGTACGTCACTGAGCCTGCAATCCCAACTTGTCCACAAAGCATGCAACTCTTCCCAATAACTACATTATGACCGATCTGCAAACCCAAGCAAACAGATAACCATAAATTCCAGGAAATTCAGCCAACAATGCAAAAGGCAAAAGCCAACCTGAACTAAATTATCAATCTTGGAATGATCCCCTACAACCGTTTCTCTCCAACTGCATAAACCAAATTATGTTTTAATTAGTAGTCAAACTTCAACAGTATTAGAGTACTAACTGATTCAGAAACTATAATCATGCATGAAACATCAGTGTAAAAGATATAAAAGGCTGTATGTCTCACCTGCCCCTGTCAATGCATGTATTTGCACCAATCTCCACATAGTTCCCGACCCTAGCATTCAGCATCTTGAGTATGGAATGAAGAACAAGAAAGACACACAATAAGATGCTTGCATTCTACAGTTGCATGCATATGCATAGATAACCTGTATGGTCATATAAGTCAAACATATGAAGACTCTCACACCTACATAATGCAATGTGACGACCCAGTATAAAAATAATTATGTTGATTTTCAAACACCAAAGTTCCATAATTTCATTCAGAAATTCAAATTACATGAGAGAAATATGCTCAAAAGCAAAATGAAAGAGAAAGAAAACTAAAATGGACTTCAATTGAAGTACAAAATAAATAAATAAATAAATAATCACTAACTTGAGGCTTCTTTAACATATTCCCATGCTCATCCACCGTAAATCCAAATCCTGTAGATAAACAACATCGCCTGAATACCAGATGCCAATATCAATCGGCTCACATCAAACAGTATTCATATTAACTCATAATTCATATCAATATTCCCAATATGCTGTTGGGCACACTTATAATTCAGAATAATTCATCAAGATCAGATTCTAACCGAACAGATTTATATTTCTTTAGCTTTCATTAGCTGCATCAAATGAATCAAAGCCTACATAAAGTGGCCTTACCATCTTGACCGATGCATACGCCATTGTGGATTACACACGAATCTCCTATACTGCAATTACTGAGTGCAACATTGTAGCTGCAGAGATCAGAAACGTGGTAACTCCATTAACATCAAATAAATTTCAAATTGGCAACTCTAAGTGTAAACTTTAACAAGACAATGTCAAGTAAAAGATTTGATCACTACCCTATTTTTGTTGATTGCCCAATAGTAACACAAGGTCCAACGACAGCCCCAGAACCAATATGAGCGTGCTCGCCCACCACGGATTTTGAATGAACAACAGCACCAAACTCAATGAAAACTGTTGGGTCAATGCAGGCAGACTTGTGGAACGACCCACCGCCATTATGCCACTTTCGGAATTCTGGATGATCAGCGCCAACGCCGTCCTCTAATCTTGAAATTCAGAGCATGTGCGAAAATGGCAGTTAATTCCAAACAGATTGTATAAGAGACATTTTCACAAGCAGGTTCGGGACTTACCGGACGAGTCACACGACAATAAGCAACTGTAACTATTTGCAAAGCGCAACGGAGACAAGGCTCGAACGCATTGGAAATGTGGCGGGTAGCCGAATGAAGCTGCAAATCTTCTAAGAGCGAGTGCCATTAACTGAGGAGTGAGGAGGTAAAGCGCGCGGTGTTGGCGGTTTGTGTCTGAACCTGAAGCCAACTATATATCACCATTGCTGCTTTGTTTTCGCGTGGAGCGTATGTTTATTGGGCCTAGGGACAGCCTGCAACTTGATCTACGTTTGCTGGCTTAAGTTGGACCAACACAAATATTGGGCTTAAAAATGCCAACCCAAGCCCAATTCTTGGAGCAAAATTGGTTATGGAGCTGGGCTAATGGGCTTGTATAATCACAAAAGCGCTTTTAAATAATTAAAAACGATTTTAGAAGACAAAAGCAAGTCAAAATGATTTTAAATAAGAAATTCAGTGTATTAAGCGATTATGAATAAAATCACTCTGTCTGAAACATGTTATAATTCAACAAAATTGGTTGATGTAGTGAGCTTGTCAGGATGAAGTTTGTCACTAGTTTTAGAGAAGTTAAAACGCGTTTATGTAATTAAAAGTGTTTTTAACAACATTTGACATTTACATAAGCACTCTAAAAAATATCTATGTCTAGTTGTGACGGATTTATGTCATAGTTATTTTATAGATTTATGATGTCCTTGTCATTATCTATTAGTCTCGGTCAACAAATCTTTTAAACTGAACAAATTCCAGGACGCTACAGCCAATTGATTTGTCCTGGCTTTCTTTTGTTTATATGTGAAGGTTGTTTCCTGGGTCAGAAGTCAAGAACCTCGTGCCGCACAAAAATAATGAAATTTATAAAATATGTTTGCCATGTGGTTCTGTGGTAATTACGTCTTAGGACATTCATTGATGTGATTTTAGCTACTTAATTAACTACTCTTCCAAGAAATTGCCTCTTAATTCAGTTGTCAAACTTGAGAGATAGCACAAAACTAACGAATTGCTTCTGGTAGTTGTAGCCAAAAGGTCAAGCAGGAAGGAGAAGACAAAGCTATTTAAAAGTGGTACCAATCTTTTGCTATGATACTAGATGATTATTGGTAGTGCAAGCAGAGACATACCAAAATATGGTTCAATTTCTGAAAACCATTCTGCCAATTTTGCTTTGTTTTCTCATCTCCCTCCTTTATGATCTAGCTTTTGCTGACCCTCCTTATTGGAAATGCTCAGGTAACGTTAGCAACTACGCAGATAACAGTACTTTTCAGAAAAACCTCCACAGCCTAATCATTTCATTACCTTCAAATGCTTCTGTTTCCAAGATGTACAATACATCCACTGGAAATGACACTGCAGACAGAGTTTATGGTCTCTACATGTGCCTCAACTATGTTACAAATGAGACATGTCACGATTGCATCAACACCGCGCAGTCAGCCATTGTGACGCTTTGTCCCAGCTCGAAAGAAGCCGTTGTGTGGGAGGAAATGTGTCAGTTGCGTTACTCTGATGCCAATTTCTTTGGCAAGTTGAATGTAGCAGACAACATTCCCTTAGCTAACAAGAAAAATATTTCAGACCCTGAAAAGTTTGAGTCTCTGGTGAATGAGACACTGAGAGGCCTGGCCAAGCAAGCGGCTTATAATCTTTCGGCTAAGATGTATGCTACTCGAGATGTGCCCTTTGAAGATAAAGTGGTGTATGCTCTTGTGCAGTGCACTACAGACTTATCTGGAGATGACTGTGGTCAGTGCCTTCAGAAAGCCATAGTAGACGTTTTAAGGGAGTTCTATTTCTCCATTGGTGCAAGACTTTTGAGTCGTAGTTGCTACGTGAGGTATGAGTTATATGCCTTCTATGATGGTGCAACTGAAGCTTCTATTCCGAGGGATCCGAATAATAACAATGGGGACGGTAAGTACTTGTAAAGTTTGTGTCTACTTTGTGTGGCGTTCTCAAGGAAAATTAAATATATACTGCAAATGGTTGTTCCTAAATGCAGGCAGAGGAAGGAAAATATGGGTGATCACAATTGTGTCAGCATGTCTAGCCATACTACTTTTGGGTTCTTGTGTCTGTATTACAAAGAGAAGGAACCAAAGGGGTAATATTATTGCTTCTGCAAAAGTTTAATTCGAAGCTCACCCTAATTTGTTTTCTGAAAGCAGTATTTTTCTTTTTCTCTCTGTTCAGGGAATAGTGAGAATTTAGGACCAAATGCATTGTTACCTGATCAAAGTTTTAAAGGAAGAAACCCGAAAGCTCAGGAGTACCCCTATATCAGTTTGGCATCCATACATGTAGCAACCGACAAATTCTCTGATTCAAATAAGCTTGGAGAAGGTGGTTTTGGCCCTGTTTACAAGGTAAAAACATTTTTTAAACAATTATGTAAAACAGGTTCACATGTCTGAAAACTAAATTGTTATTTGTATCATCTGCTTGGTAATTTCTGTGATTTGAAAAAGGAAATCTGGTCTTAATTTCTCAGGGTATACTGAGTGATGGAAAAGAAGTGGCGATCAAGAGGCTTTCAAGCTGTTCTGAGCAAGGTGCAGAGGAGTTCACAAATGAAGTTCTGCTGATCTTGAAACTTCAACACAAAAATCTTGTCCGGCTATTGGGTTTTTGTGTTGATGGAGAGGAGAAACTGCTTGTTTATGAATACATGCCAAACAGCAGCCTAGATGTCTTTCTCTTTGGTATGTTTTCTTTTTACTCTGGGAAATTTCTGTGTCTTTGGGATCTGAATCAATTGTTTTATGACTTCTCCTTTTATGATGGTTAGATTCAAAGAAACGTGCGCAACTTGATTGGAGCAGACGTATAAACATCATTAGTGGAATTGCAAGGGGAATTCTTTATTTGCACGAGGACTCTCGACTTAGAATCATCCACAGAGACCTCAAAGCTAGCAATGTATTGTTGGACAATGACATGAACCCAAAGATTTCAGACTTTGGCATGGCAAGGATCTTTTCAGGAAGTGAAGGACAGGCCAATACTGCTATAATAGTTGGGACTTAGTAAGTGCTTCATATCTAAACCCTTTTCTTTTCCACTGTACAGAAACTCTCATGAGAGAATGCTTTTGATTCCAACCATCATTTAAGTTGGATTTTGTTTGGAATAGCGGATACATGGCACCAGAATATGCGATGGAGGGAATATATTCTGTCAAGTCTGACGTTTATGGCTTTGGAGTACTCTTGCTTGAGATCATAACTGGGAGAAGGAACGCTGGCTTTCATCGAATAAAACGCATTCCTAGCCTTGTGGCATATGTAAGTTTATGCACTTTCTCAAAGTGATCACATTGCCATAGGCTAAAACCACTGCTTAATGGCGCTTATCCAATTGAGTGATGATATGCAGGCATGGCAAGTATGGAATGAAGGAAAAGGGTTGGAGCTACTTGATCCCTTACTGCTTGATTCATGTGATCCAGATGAGTTTCTAAGATATCTCCACATTGGATTGTTGTGTGTTCAAGAAGATGCACAAGACAGGCCGACAATGTCTTCTGTTGTTGTAATGTTGAAAAGTGAAACTGTAACTCTTAACCGGCCTGAAAAACCTGCCTTATCCATGGGAAGATTTACTGATCATAATGTGGCAGCTACTGATAATAACTCCATCAATGGACTAACAGTTTCTGATGTCATGCCGCGATAACAGAGCCGATTCAGGGTCCATGAAATTTGTGATGCCTGGCCAATGAGGCTTTGTATATCTGCTTGTTATTGACTTGGCATGATATGTAAGCAAGCACAATTGTTTAATACAGAGGTCACAATTGTGAATATTGAACTGATATAGATTCCAAATTCTGGATTACAATTGAAGAATACATTTGCTTTTCCATCTTGAACTTCAAGTTTTGTCCATAATCAAGTTGTGGAACTGCACAGACTTTGCAACTCCTCCAGTTTGAGACCAAAAAAAAAAAAAAAAAAAAAAAAAAAAAAAAAAAAAAAAAAAAAAAAATACTTGATGAAAAGATGAGAATATACATACATACATCTTCCAATGGAGGATGAACTTTCAGTTGGATGATTGGAGGCTAGGAAATCCAAAGCCTTCAATAATATAATTAAACATGCTTACTGATTCGATATTTAGGAAATCCAAAGCCTTCAATAAGATTACATCTATTGGCTGCACTGCATTTGTCTTTTGGTCGTCGATTCACTATTCAGATTCAAAGTAAACATAATAGACAAAATTAGTAATTAAAAAACAATATTTCAGTGTCACGCAAGTTGCTGTCAGATTATATAATAAAGGATTAAAATTAGGGGCTGCCTAAACGCACATGCTGTTATTTATTTGATGTCACCTCAAGGAAATTTCGTGTAAAGTAAGCTCAAATTCCCTGCCACATTCAGTGCTAAGTCCAAATCCTTTACTAGTAATTTCATGACTTCTTCCCTTCAAGTAGAATGGTCAAACAAATAGTGCTAGAAACATCGCCTAGAAAATAATCACACTTTTTTTTAATCAAGTATTTTAAACATGACTTATATGTGACCCAGGTGCAAAAGTCTTTGATTAATCAAGAATTCAATAAAATCTTCCAAATACTACAATAATCCTGGTCTCTATCACCATATGCAGCAGCATGACTTTATTCAGCCAGTTCGCATCCTTCAGCAAGGCAGTTTCTGTGACATAATCATATGAAAACTAGTGGCCAAACTTCATTGTCAAAATTGACAAGTCAGAGAGGCCTATCTCATCGAAATGAACCATCCACAGCCATCTTTCTGTTTTTCCCTTTTCTATTGGCCTAAATTTGTGTAAATTGGTGTTCACTGTGAATCCATTTCTGGATAATGGGCAAAGATAGGCTTCCTGTGATGCTTTTCACCATTATAACACTATTGATGCCGGCTAGCCTTTCTGCTGTAGACACTCTTTCAATCTTTTGTTCAACTGATGCAAGAAACTACACTCCCAATAGCCAATTTGAAAACAATCTCAAGCAGCTCCTTGAGTCATTGTCTTTCAACACTTCCATCTCAGGCGGCTTCTACAACAACACGATCGGAGATGGCCCTAGCATGGTCTATGGACAATCACTTTGTAGATGGGATGTTAACTCCACAGTTTGTCAAAACTGTGTCAATGAAGCAAGCCAAGAAATCTTCAAGAGCTGTAAAACAACAGATGCAATGATATGGTATGAACTCTGTCAAATTCAATATTCTTACCAGATATCCTTTTCATTGATGGTTTATACTGGAAAATATCCAGACAAGAATAATGAGGAGAAGACTGTATCAAATCCACATCATTTCAAGGATGTATTGATGTATTTAATGAGAAACCTCTCCGGAGAGGCTGCGTTTAATTCTTCAAAGCATATGTTTGCAACTGGGGAAGTTAAATATTCAGAAAAGAATACTATTTATGGTCTACAACAATGCACTAGAGACATCTCTGAAAGTAACTGCAATAATTGTTTGAATTCTGCTCTTGCTGATCTTTCGGAATGCTGCTCTTCTCACCAAGGTGGAACTGTTGTTAGTAGGAATTGTAATGTGAGGTTTGAACTGTACTCATTTTTTAACGACACCTCGAGTTCTCTGTTAAATTTCCCATATTCCAAAGGTTAGGGACTTCAAACGTTTTTCTTTCTTTCTTTGGTTAATCATCTTATGTATGCATATTGTTGAAACATTGAGTATATACCTCTAGTAAGAGCCTTACTACATTATAGAACTTGAATCAAAAGGAGGTCACTGAGTTCTAACAATCTAAAATTTGTTAATGTTCATGGTAAATTGTAACTCACGGAAGTTCTTCCTATTAAAAAGCAGGGGATAAATGGAAGACTTGGAAGGTGGTGGCTACATGTGCATCCATCATACTATTAATGGTCATTTCATTTTGCACTTTCCATCATCGGATGAAAAAGAGATTAGAAAACATCGAAGGTACATGGATCGAAACTGGGAAATTCTTCTGGACTTATATAGGAATACAAACTAATATTTACTTTTTTACTTTTTTCTTTCTGCAGATGAAGAAAAAAGTGAGCAAGTACTATTACATGATTTGGCAAGCCCCACTGGAGTCACAATCACAGAAGAAGGCAAATTCGTAAGTTCTGAGGAGCTAGCCTTCATAGATCTAGCTACTATAAAAATAGCAACTAATGACTTCTCAGATTCAAACAAGCTTGGACAAGGTGGGTTTGGTACTGTTTACAAGGTAATACTATGTCCTATGGTTCTAATTCTAAATGAGTTTAGTATTGATTCACAGGCCAATACTTGTATCTGATTTGGGAAATATTTTTTCAGGGTTTGCTACCAGATGGGAAAGAAGTAGCTGTTAAAAGACTGTCAAGGAAGTCATGGCAAGGCTTGGAGGAGTTTAAGAATGAGGTCATACTCATTGCAAAACTTCAACACAGAAACCTTGTGCGGCTCTTGGCATGTGGCTTTGAGGGAGAGGAAAAGCTTCTGTTGTATGAGTTCATGCCAAATAAAAGCCTAGATGTCTTCATCTTTGGTTGGTTCAACCTAGCCTACTCTTCTGCTATAAATGTTCTTTTATCCTTATATGATTTCATCATGCAGACACATTTCAACTTGATGGCATGTACTGAATTTGATTAGTACCATTGAATTTCAGATTCGGAAAGACGAGCTGAACTCAATTGGAAAACATATTACAGCATTATTGAAGGCATTGCCAGAGGACTTCTGTATCTCCATGAGGACTCGCGGCTCAAAATCATTCACAGGGATTTGAAGCCTAGCAATGTCCTGTTGGACCATGAAATGGTTGCCAAAATATCAGATTTTGGCATGGCAAGGATCTTTTGTGAAAACCAGAACACAGCTAACACTAAAAGAGTTGTAGGAACGTAGTGAGTTTGCTTCTTAAATTGACATCTCCTTTATTTATATCTAGAGTCCTATAACTTGCTTCCAGCAAGAGCATTTCAAATCTAATTGAGAAGAGAACTTGCTAACTACTGCTAGCTTATTCTGCATGAAACAGCGGCTACATGGCTCCGGAGTATGCAATGGAGGGTCTGTTTTCTGTAAAATCTGATGTTTACAGCTTTGGGGTAATCTTGCTGGAGATTATTAGTGGGAAAAGGAATAGCGGGTTCTATCTCACAGAACATGCCAAGACACTCGTTGCATATGTATGTTTCTTTGTCTATTTTGATAACAGTCTTAGTTCACTAAGTTTGATACATATTAATTTCTTGAAAAACAAACATATTTCTTTCTTAATTAATTGATAGGCATGGAGACTATGGAAAGATGGAAAAGAATTAGAATTTGTGGAACCTTTGTTGATGGAATCTTGGCGAAAAGCAGAGGTTTTGAAATGCATGCACATTGCGCTTTTATGTGTCCAGGAAGACCCTGAAGAGAGGCCTACCATGTCAGCTGTGGTTGTATTGCTTGGAAGTGAATCAATAGATCTTCCTGAACCAAAGCAACCGGCAATATTTTCTGTAGGTAGAATTCCAATTAGCGAGTCTACAACTGATCCTACTTCAAACGGGCTCACTCTTTCTATCGTTTCGCCACGGTGAACGCAGACAAGATTGCGAATTCGCTTGCTCTCATGCTGCAAGATTGTAAATTGAAAACTGTAGCATAAGTGTCTTTAACATAGGAGATAATATGTGATTTGTATATTCAAAGTAATGGGACATGGAAAGGGAAGGCTTTTTCTGCAAATAGAAGGGGAGATTGAAAAATTCAACATATATTTTATGATATTCATGCCCCGTTTGATATGCCTGATTGGACTAATTAGGATAAGACTTGGAGTGTTGGAATGGATTGATTAGGATAAATTGAAAGAAACATGAAAGTCAATACATATAATAAAAGTAAACTTGGAAAACAAAAGATGGTTTGTATGATGCATTAATGACATTGTTTTAAATGTAAGGAGAGTGACACATGTCATAAGAAAAAGGAAGAAGGTCCAAAAGAGAAGGTTTGAGAGAATATTGCTAGCATTCCTCTTTTTTTTTGTTGTTGAGAAATTCTATGATTGCATTCATAATTCAGCCAAAAAAGCCACTAGCCACAAATGGCCAATACAAACTAGCCACAAAAGGCCATTACAATAACGGAGCGGTCTAATATCAAAATTAAGACAATCTGGTGCGTCTCCACTAACGATCAGGCAGGATCGAAGAAACTCTGGCATAGGCATCCCAACTAAGATTGCAAACTTAGAATAATAAAAAGCTTGACAAAACCAAGCCATAACAATACAAATAAAACTCTCACAAAAGAGAGATGAAAAGCTCTCACAAAGGAGAGATGAAAAACTCTCACAAAAAGAGAGGTGAAAACTACACAGAGAACCCAAAGAGTCTCTGCAACTTATTTCAAACATAAAGAAATTGCAAAAAAGATGGTGGTGGAGATCCGACGCCGAAATGCAAGTGAAGATCCGACGCTGAGCCACAGCCGCCTATAATGGTTGAATAAAAATTATAACAAAACTAAGACAAATAGGGAAAACCCTTTGTCTCTGAAAATGGGGGAAGAGGTGAAAGGAGGAAGAGAAGAGGGGAGAGGGGGGAAGAACAATGGCTTCCTCCCCCCTCAAAGTGAAAAAAGCTCTAAGAGTGTTTTTTGGGAGAAAAGGGGCTAGGGTTTTTTTTTGCTCAACTAAGATGAGCTTGATAACAAACAATAAATTATTGGATAAAATAAGTAGATTTTTTTTTTCTTTTTTTTGGGTCGAATGGATAAAATAAGTAGCTCCACATATACTTTTTTAGGGGATTCTTAGTAGCGGACAAGAAATAGCGGTAAAGAGGTTATCAGAAAGCTCAGGACAAGGTATACAAGAATTTAAGAATGAGGTTGTATTGGTAGCCAAGCTTCAACACAGAAACCTTGTGATGTGAGGCTTTTGGGATTTTGCTTGGAAGGAGAAGAAACTTTACTTGTGTATGAATATGTGCCTAACAAGAGTCTTGATTATTTTTCTATTTGGTATGTGAGTATCAACTCATGAATATACTTGGTTTGTTACTTGTGTCGGTAAAAATAGATTTATGTGTTTCTATTCTAACATTAAAAAAAATTACTATAACTTGGTAAATGTAAGTGCAGAATTGGCTAGCAGGTTGGTGCCCTTTTACCCCCTCTACCACTTAAACCGCAAGAAACGCGCATGTCTAAACAGAGAAAAGCTTCAAGAGTCAACCAAAGAAAAGAAGAAAACTAGATCGAGTTTGTTTTTATGAAAAACAAAACAAAAGCCCCATGTCTTTGAAGTGTGATTTGCCCATACATTTACATTCTACGAAGCATGGTGTCCAAATTATTTTGGTAAACGAAGCAACAACCGCACGAGACGTGGGCCGGGGGTGCTTCTCGAGACCGGAACTTCCTTCCTATTTAGCTTCAAAAGCTTGGAGTTGAGGTGGAGTTCACACAACAGAAACACAGATGCTGATACAAGAACAAATATAAAAGCTTAAATGAATTAGATTTTTCACTTGAGGTGGTGTAATATTTCAATTTTTTTTTTCTGTCCTTTGGTGCGTTGGGTTTGGGTTCCTATGCAACAGGAGGAGGAGCCAAATCTTTCTTCTTTTTTCTTTTTTCTCTCAGCAAACAAGAGGGCATGATCAAATGTCAAAATCTATAACAGAAATGCAATATCCAAAGAATGAAAAGCAGTCCAACCAAGAAGAAACTAGCAAATATTAGTGAATCAGCAAAACTTATGAATTTAGCAAATAAAGATCCTGAAGCCAGTTTCAAGCAGAAAAAACTTACTTGTGTAATATGAAGAGCCTGCTCAAGGCCCTGAATTTGAATCCACTGTTCTGTAACAATGTCAGCCATCTGAAAGCAAAGAGAAAGAAGCCAATGGCAAAATGAACACCACACTAACAACATCACACACTCATAGCCATAGACCAAAGATGGATTGAGTACATCAGTGCATGACCTTTTGAGCCTGAGAGGCAGCCGTTTCGATTCTATTCTCGGAATCTTGTGCTTTAGACTCTAAAAAATGGTCCTAGGCGGGCGGCTAGGCGGCTAGGCGGGCGGCGAGACGGCTAGGCGGGCGCTAGGCGGCTAGGCGGGTGCTAGGCGGCTGGGCGGGCCTCCTAGGCGGGTTGGGTCGTTTATCGTTGCCGAACCCGGAGGAGGAAGCAGCCGAAACCGAAGAAAACAAATCGAAGCTTGAGTTGAGAGAGAAGCGAAACTTCGACTGCAACCTCCGTCCCCTGCGAGTGCAAGCTTCGTGTTCGTTTTGAATATATTAAAAGAGTATAGCCGCCCGGCTATACACTTAAAATATTCGAATATATTAACATTTACACTTTTAAAATATTCAAATGTATTTAGAAAGTATAGCCGACCGGCTATACGTTTAAAATTTTCTAATATATTTCGCGAGTATAGCCGCCCGGCTATACTCTTGAAATATACAATTTTGTAATATCATTTTAAGGTTTGGGGCTGAAATACCACTTTAGTCCATTGGACTAGAGCTATTTCTTCAATTATTTTATTTGTACAAGCGATATTAGGGAATGAGAATTTAAATTTTTTCCAATACCTCTCATTCTAATGATTTCCAGCTATTAGCCCATTTGGCAAGAATAAAAAAAGTGGATTTTATTTATAACAAATAGCACGGTTTGACCCAAAAATTCAACAACAAAAATAGGATGTCAATGAACTCGAGGTCAATCCTTCTTCTAAAGCATTTTCAGCTAATGATGTCATAGTCCTTTTACACTAAGGGAGGCTCAATAAACGATATATATTTCATGTTGGTGTGTTAATTTAGTGCTTTTGAAGTCAGTTTGAAAAGTTAAATACAATTAAGAGATTCCCAACCCACGCGTTAGCAAATGCACCCTCTAAAGAAAACCTAGGTTTTATGCCTAACTATTTCCCAAGTTTTATATCAACTAGCCTCTCCACACGCACTTCCGCCCCTACATGATGCTTTTTTTAAAAAAATTTAAATTTATTTTAGATTTATAAAAGATAATGGGTAGTTGTGTTCCATAAAAGTAGAATCTTTTATCTGATTTTTCTTTTAATTCTTTTCAATGTGAAAAAGAGTGAATTTACCATATTATCCTCATTTAATTAATAATTTCAATTCTTAATGTTTGCATTAACCAAGAGTATTTTCTGGTATTTTGAATGTTGTACCATTCTCTACATTTTGCTTTATATATTTTGATTATGGTACTTTATCATTGATATGTCCTTTTATTTTTCCATTACTCGTTTCGCACTTGGCGGTGTAAATGGCTGTAAAAATTGCTGCAAACAAGTGTGAAAGACACGTTACATGAACAGGATCCAATGCACCAAACACAGCCAACAACATTACTCCTACCAATGCAACAAATTCAATGACACATAATATGAATACAATAATACCTGCAGACAAAACTCGGCAGTTGTCCACTCCGTTCCAAATACTTGAGGATGAGAGAGTTGTCTTTTGCGTATTAGAAACATGGCCATGTCAAGGTGCTGACATTTCACAACACAACAACGACCTCAATATTAAAAAAAAATGGCCACATACTCAAAGTGATCAATTCAGAAATTTTTCGAAATAAAGCACGGTTCAAAAGTATTACCCTCGAGCTCATCCATGCAGTTTCATCTACAAGTTTGTAAAAAAAATCTGCCCCAACTACAAATGGTTCGAGCTCCAGCTCCGCACTACAAAAAAATAAACTTGCAAAGGTAAATTCAACCATAAAAAAAACTAATGGACACCTTGCATAATATGACAATGACACACACACGAACAATTAGCTACGTAGATATTGTTATTGTACATGACTGCATACATCAAAAAACATGTATATTGGTTTTGCCAAGTTACAATTCCTAACCTGATGTCACTTTTCCAAGCCTTGCAAACTTGTATCATAGCCTTCACATCGTCCATGGCCACGGGTTGTGTTGGATCAAAACAGGCCTCAGGTGTCTGTGCATGAAAACCAGTAGTCGGCCTCTTTTTCCTGGAGGGATCAGTGAATGGACTCAACAATGTTTTCGTGGGCCGCTTCAGTCTGCATCCTTTGCCTTCCGCATCTGGTTTCTGAACCGTGGCATTAGCCTCCTTGTCCCCTTCATCACCAACCAAATTTATACTAGTTTCCATGGGAGGCCTCGCCTTGCGTCCCACCCCCTGAATTTCTTTCTTATTCCAATCCTCTAACAAATTTAACATTGTTTTACAAATAACTCTGTACCCTTCCCTATCTTCCGGACTAGGAATGAGGGGATCTTCAAGACTAGGAACCTTCACATCTTCCGAAGTAGGAACCTTGTGAGGTTGTTGGTGCACTTGTTTGTCACAAACTGAAGTGTCAATTTCAGCGGCTTCGACTTCCATGGCTGGGAAGCCTTCCACAATATCAGCAGGGACTTCCGCTTCCCTTTTAGCCCCTTGTATATGCATGGCTACAAAAGCTTCCACTCCATCAGCAGGGACTTCCGCTTCCCTTTCAGCCCCTTCCACTCCACCATAGACTGTTGCTTCCATTTCAGCCCGTTCTGTATGCAT